AAAATACACCTAAAAGTGTAGAAAAAAATTGACAGCCCGATCCGAGTAGAGGAACACCAATTTTATGACCATTTAAGCGATTTTCGTCAAAAAAAAATTTTCAAAACAATTCAATTTTTCTTAGGCACACTATTTTATTGCATTTTCTTGCACAAAATACACCTAAAAGTGTAGAAAAAAATTGACAGCCCGATCAGAGTAGAGGAACACCAATTTTATGACCATTTAAGCGATTTTCGTCAAAAAAAAATTTTCAAAACAATTCAATTTTTCTTAGGCACACTATTTTATTGCATTTTCTTGCACAAAATACACCTGAAAGTGTAGAAAAAAATTGACAGCCCGATCCGAGTAGAGGAACACCAATTTTATGACCATTTAAGCGATTTTCGAAAAACAAAATTTTTCAAAAAAATTCAATTTTTCTTAGGCACACTATTTTATTGCATTTTCTTGCACAAAATACACCTAAAAGTGTAGAAAAAAATTGACAGCCCGATCCGAGTAGAGGAACACCAATTTTATGACCATTTAAGCGATTTTCGAAAAACAAAATTTTTCAAAAAAATTCAATTTTTCTTAGGCACACTATTTTATTGCATTTTCTTGCACAAAATACACCTAAAAGTGTAGAAAAAAATTGACAGCCCGATCAGAGTAGAGGAACACCAATTTTATGACCATTTAAGCGATTTTCGTCAAAAAAAAATTTTCAAAACAATTCAATTTTTCTTAGGCACAATATTTTATTGCATTTTCTTGCACAAAATACACCTAAAAGTGTAGAAAAAAATTGACAGCCCGATCCGAGTAGAGGAACACCAATTTTATGACCATTTAAGCGATTTTCGAAAAACAAAATTTTTCAAAAAAATTCAATTTTTCTTAGGCACACTATTTTATTGCATTTTCTTGCACAAAATACACCTAAAAGTGTAGAAAAAAATTGACAGCCCGATCCGAGTAGAGGAACACCAATTTTATGACCATTTAAGCGATTTTCGAAAAACAAAATTTTTCAAAAAAATTCAATTTTTCTTAGGCACACTATTTTATTGCATTTTCTTGCACAAAATACACCTAAAAGTGTAGAAAAAAATTGACAGCCCGATCAGAGTAGAGGAACACCAATTTTATGACCATTTAAGCGATTTTCGTCAAAAAAAAATTTTCAAAACAATTCAATTTTTCTTAGGCACAATATTTTATTGCATTTTCTTGCACAAAATACACCTAAAAGTGTAGAAAAAAATTGACAGCCCGATCCGAGTAGAGGAACACCAATTTTATGACCATTTAAGCGATTTTCGAAAAACAAAATTTTTCAAAAAAATTCAATTTTTCTTAGGCACACTATTTTATTGCATTTTCTTGCACAAAATACACCTAAAAGTGTAGAAAAAAATTGACAGCCCGATCCGAGTAGAGGAAGACACCTATTACCACCTAAAAGTCATTTTACCAAAAAAACCAAAATTATAAAAAAGTTCCCAATATAATTCAATTTTTCTTAGGCACACTATTTTATTGCATTTTCTTGCACAAAATACACCTAAAAGTGTAGAAAAAAATTGACAGCCCGATCAGAGTAGAGGAACACCAATTTTATGACCATTTAAGCGATTTTCGTCAAAAAAAAATTTTCAAAACAATTCAATTTTTCTTAGGCACAATATTTTATTGCATTTTCTTGCACAAAATACACCTAAAAGTGTAGAAAAAAATTGACAGCCCGATCCGAGTAGAGGAACACCAATTTTATGACCATTTAAGCAATTTTCGTCAAAAAAAAATTTTCAAAACAATTCAATTTTTCTTAGGCACACTATTTTATTGCATTTTCTTGCACAAAATACACCTAAAAGTGTAGAAAAAAATTGACAGCCCGATCCGAGTAGAGGAACACCAATTTTATGACCATTTAAGCGATTTTCGAAAAACAAAATTTTTCAAAAAAATTCAATTTTTCTTAGGCACACTATTTTATTGCATTTTCTTGCACAAAATACACCTAAAAGTGTAGAAAAAAATTGACAGCCCGATCCGAGTAGAGGAACACCAATTTTATGACCATTTAAGCGATTTTCGTCAAAAAAAAATTTTCAAAACAATTCAATTTTTCTTAGGCACACTATTTTATTGCATTTTCTTGCACAAAATACACCTAAAAGTGTAGAAAAAAATTGACAGCCCGATCAGAGTAGAGGAACACCAATTTTATGACCATTTAAGCGATTTTCGTCAAAAAAAAATTTTCAAAACAATTCAATTTTTCTTAGGCACACTATTTTATTGCATTTTCTTGCACAAAATACACCTGAAAGTGTAGAAAAAAATTGACAGCCCGATCCGAGTAGAGGAACACCAATTTTATGACCATTTAAGCGATTTTCGAAAAACAAAATTTTTCAAAAAAATTCAATTTTTCTTAGGCACACTATTTTATTGCATTTTCTTGCACAAAATACACCTAAAAGTGTAGAAAAAAATTGACAGCCCGATCCGAGTAGAGGAACACCAATTTTATGACCATTTAAGCAATTTTCGTCAAAAAAAAATTTTCAAAACAATTCAATTTTTCTTAGGCACACTATTTTATTGCATTTTCTTGCACAAAATACACCTAAAAGTGTAGAAAAAAATTGACAGCCCGATCCGAGTAGAGGAACACCAATTTTATGACCATTTAAGCGATTTTCGAAAAACAAAATTTTTCAAAAAAATTCAATTTTTCTTAGGCACACTATTTTATTGCATTTTCTTGCACAAAATACACCTAAAAGTGTAGAAAAAAATTGACAGCCCGATCCGAGTAGAGGAACACCAATTTTATGACCATTTAAGCGATTTTCGTCAAAAAAAAATTTTCAAAACAATTCAATTTTTCTTAGGCACACTATTTTATTGCATTTTCTTGCACAAAATACACCTAAAAGTGTAGAAAAAAATTGACAGCCCGATCAGAGTAGAGGAACACCAATTTTATGACCATTTAAGCGATTTTCGTCAAAAAAAAATTTTCAAAACAATTCAATTTTTCTTAGGCACACTATTTTATTGCATTTTCTTGCACAAAATACACCTGAAAGTGTAGAAAAAAATTGACAGCCCGATCCGAGTAGAGGAACACCAATTTTATGACCATTTAAGCGATTTTCGAAAAACAAAATTTTTCAAAAAAATTCAATTTTTCTTAGGCACACTATTTTATTGCATTTTCTTGCACAAAATACACCTAAAAGTGTAGAAAAAAATTGACAGCCCGATCCGAGTAGAGGAACACCAATTTTATGACCATTTAAGCGATTTTCGTCAAACAAAATTTTTCAAAAAAATTCAATTTTTCTTAGGCGGACTATTTTATTGCATTTTCTTGCATAAAATACACCTAAAAGTGTAGAAAAAAATTGACAGCCAAATACGAGTAGAGGAAGACACCTATTACCACCTAAAAGTCATTTTACCAAAAAAACCAAAATTATAAAAAAGTTCCCAATATAATTCAATTTTTCTTAGGCGGACTATTTTATTGCATTTTCTTGCACAAAATACACCTAAAAGTGTAGAAAAAAATTGACTGCCAAATACGAGTAGAGGAAGACACCTATTACCAGCTAAAAGTCATTTTACCAAAAAAACCAAAATTATAAAAAAGTTCCCAATATAATTCAATTTTTCTTAGGCGGACTATTTTATTGCATTTTCTTGCACAAAATACACCTAAAAGTGTAGAAAAAAATTGACAGCCAAATACGAGTAGAGGAAGACACCTATTACCACCTAAAAGTCATTTTACCAAAAAAACCAAAATTATAAAAAAGTTCCCAATATAATTCAAATTTTCTTAGGCGGACTATTTTATTGCATTTTCTTGCACAAAATACACCTAAAAGTGTATAAAAAAATTGACTGACAAATACGAGTAGAGGAAGACACCTATTACCAGCTAAAAGTCATTTTACCAAAAAAACCAAAATTATAAAAAAGTTCCCAATATAATTCAATTTTTCTTAGGCGGACTATTTTATTGCATTTTCTTGCACAAAATACACCTAAAAGTGTAGAAAAAAATTGATAGCCCGATCCGAGTAGAGGAAGACCCCTATTATGACCTTTAAAGCGTTTTTCGTAAAAAAAAATTTTCAAAAAAATTCAATTTTTCTTAGGCAGACTATTTTATTGCAATACTTTTTGTTAATAATTTAACAAGATTTACTTCGATTTAGATTAATACTAAATACTAACTAAATTGCGCGAAACCAGTTGGCTTTTTTGATTAATTAATAGTTACAGTATTTAAATGAAAAACAATCTCATTAATTAGATAAATTTTACTAATTCAAAAGCAAAATGTGAGTCACCAATTTAGATTAGTTTAAAATTTATCTATTTCGGATTTACAGACAAAAAAATGTGAAAAAAGTGTATTCTACAATTGAAAGTTTTTTAGAACAAAAAAATTGTCTGAAGTTTTGAAAAGTTGAAGAAGACAGACAAAGAGGTGGATGAGGAAATCTAAATGTTTGCTGATAAATTTACAAACAGCAATTTGTATCATTTTATTTTTATTATAAACTTATTTTTATATATATATATATACAAATTTTTATTTCTTTTTAAATTGGTAATTATCGTGTAAAAAACTATGAATAGAAAAAATATAAAACTTTCAACGTTAAGTCAGTAAACATTCAGGAATATTTTCTTTAAGATGTCGTTTAAACTTAGAAAAATGTATTCCTTTTCCATGTTATACTATTATACTTTAGATTTTTTCCTTTAATTTTTGTTGTTATCTACTACAATTTAATTTAATATTCCGAGTATTAATTTCTACAGGGTGTGAGTAAAGTATAGAACCGCTTAATGTATTTTTTAAGCCCAATAAATTTTGTTTTAAAAATTTTGTTCAAAAATGCGTATTTTAAGAAATATTTAAAGGGTTCTATATTTTTGCCGCACCTGTTATACGTAAACTAAGGAATACAAAAACTCATTGATGATCATGATCATGATATAACGATCATATAAAATTTGTAAATACATACAGATATTTTTTTATATTTATAAATACGCTATTACGTTTTAAAGGCGTACATTATTATATTCCATACAATATTGCATACATAATTGATACGGTAAAATTTATCAATGTGTAAAAATATAGAGAATTTTAAAACATCCTTCCTGCACCAATTTTATGAAAAAATTTTCAGTTAACAATTCTATTACAAAAATATTAACTATTGTAGAAAAAGTAATTTTCATTTCCTAAATTAACGCCAAAAAACCATAAAGATGTACAGAATCATATTTTTAAATTAAAATAGATTTCAGGAGGAAGAATAAAGATTTTATAATTTTGTCATGTTATTAAAATTAATAAATAATGTATTTGATATATTTATGTATATATGATAAATGTAAGTTGAAACATGAATTTATCAAAGTTTTCATCGCTGTAAAATGAGAATGTTTAATTTTTGCTTTTCCAATATGTTAACAAAATATTATAAATTTTTTTGTTTTTAAGAAAAAATTTACTAAATTTAGTTCCATCTCAAATGAAAACTATTTATAATTGATAACAAAAGAAAGTAATTGCTGAATTCGATAAAATATTTCTAAATATTTTTAATATAATACTTTTAAATAAATGGCTCCTGACCAAATTGTTTTAACAAGACTCTTAAAATAAATTTTAATCTCGAGTATCGATAAATTTTCGATATACTTATATAATTAAGATAAGTGGCGTTATCAATATTATTTCTCATTTTTAATTAATAATTTTTTGAAATACAAATGTAGAATTATTACCTTTTTGTAAAAGTCGTAAATGTTTCGTCCGAATTTGGTAATTGATAATCAATATTCTTATTTTCGTTTACATAATAGTACACCATTTATTGCCATGTTGTGTATCATTCAAATCCATTTTTACATTAGTTTTGTCCTTTCCAAGATTCAGCTTGTCTGTTTGGAACTTGTAGCCTTCAATATTTGGTGTAGAAACTTGGATTGGCCTGCGAAAACTCTTGAGTAATTCCAGAGATGAATTAAAGAAACTACTTTCAGATTCAGTTTTTAATTTTTTGGACGAGTTCGATTCTTCAGCACACAATTTTCTCTTTCTTTCTGATAAAGTTCCATTGCTTGAAATACTATCAGAAAGGCCAGTACGATGCCGAAGAACTTTAAAATCATCATCTTGGGACATTGCGGAAGTATTAACGAAAAGAGAGTTATTAGGAGATAGTCGGTTATGTTCTCGTAGAGTCACATGACGCAAACGACTTAATGAACGCCTTCCCGAAATGGTTCTCAGAGTCTTTCCAAAAGAAACATCTTTATATATAGATTCAACACTTTGTTCGCGATTCTCTTCTGAGGATTTTGAATTATCTTTTAAACAATCATTAAGTTTTATTTGAACATTCTTTAACGTTATAGAGCTGTCATAAGAAACACATGGAGTTTCTGCAGTCACATCTTCATTCAATTTATCCTTCTCTTTAATATCAAATTGTTGCTCAGATGCTTCGGGTATTTCTGTTGTTGTAGATTCGACAATATTGGTTTCTGTATCCGTGTGAGATTCCTTATGTTGGTCTTTTTTCTCATTCTTGTCATCGAGTTTGTTTACCTCTTCCAATTCTTCGCAGACTGTCAGCTTTATATTTTCATCTTCATGTTTTCCATTTTGAGAACTTTTTAAATCTGAAGACACTTGCAAATCAACGTTTTCATCATGTCCATTTTTGTTTTCATTTTTATATCCGTTTTCAGACAATTTCAGAATCGATGCGTCATCTTGATTGCTTGGTGGATCTAAATTTTTTTGTTTTGGTGAGGTTTCTGATACCTCAAGAACATTTTCAGTATCGTTTGACTTGGATCTGGAAGAAACATCTTCTTTTGGAGATTTTGCTTCTTCTGCTTCGGACTGCATTTTTGATGTTTCAATTCTTATATCTTTGTCAGATGCCGTTAAATTTTTTATTTTTTTTGTAATTTGTAAGGAACGAGTATTAACTTTTGGTGCTGGCAATTTACTCTAAAATTCAAAAACATATACAATATTTAATAAAATTATTTTCAACCAATAAATGTTAAAATAGCATTTTTGCAATATAATTGATTTACTTTGAATTCCTTTTTTAAGACACTTGTTCCTTTATCGACTCCACTCACTTTCGTCCTAAAACAAAAAGAAAATAAATTATTTTTTGAAAAAAAAAAACATTATCCAACATCTACAAATACAATCATTAGCTTGAATCGCAATTATATGTTTTATTTTAAATTAATAATTCACAAACGACTGTTACTGGAGGTGATGAGAGGTTTTACATCAATAAATTACAGGCATAACAAGTTTTATAATTTTATATTAAAAAAAAAAAATAAAAAAAAAATAAAAAAAGACACTTTTTAATTTTACATTTCTGAATAGTTCTTCTCATGTACTCTACAATTATAATACATTCAAGTAGATTACTATTCTAAAATATTTGTGTATTAATACAGTTTATAAGAAAATTATAATAAACATATAATAATACAAAATCTGTAAAATTATTATCATTTTCAATGATAATTGAATGAATTTAATTGAATAATTTTTTCTTAATGTTTTTTTAATGATTGAAACTTCTTTTCAACTTCCATCCAAAATAACTGTTCGTGCACAAAAGACATTATTGAAAATTAAATATTTCTCTCATTGCTTTCAGGTTTTAGTCAATGAGTCAGTTTTAGCCAAAGTTTCAATTGTATTAAAATAATTAAATTCAAAAACAATATTATATTAGTTTATAAAAAAAATTAAACATCTAAAAAATACATAATCTCTGTAAACTTTAGTTCTTTAAAATTAAAAAATTAATTACTGTATAATCAAGTATTTTCTTAGAAAATAATTTTAAAAAAATTACTATTCTAAAGAATTATCACAGTCACTAAATTTAAATGTTTTCGACTTTCAAGACAAAAAAATTTTTTTTTACCTTTATTAAGATTATATTAAAATATTATATTATTCAAGCATGAATAAAAATTTTGACGTTTAAAAGATTACTATAAATTTGAAATTGGTTTAAAATATATGGAAAAATGCTTTAGATTATCTCAAAAGAAAATCTCAACTTATGTATTTTTTTGTTACACTTGTACATAATTATTATTAACAGTAAAATTTAAAGTAAATTTGATAAAAATAAATTTTAATTTAAAAATTATAGTTTCTTTAGGTATTAATTCTTATCTTATAGATTTTAAGTTTTTTACGACCAGACTCATGAAATTACAAACCTGGTCGGTATCTCGGACCCACACTCTTTCTCCTCGCTTGAATTGGAAGATACATTTGTCGCTTTTAACCTTCGAACCTGCACATCGCTCTCATCGCCTCCAGGGGTAGCCTTCTTTGGCGTTTTACCCATTGCACGCATACGATGTAGCTTACAAAACTTTAAAAACTTGTTAATTTTATTTTCCTTTAATTCTTTTTTAATCAATTAATAAAAAACAAGAAAAATGATAAATTCAAATATAATTGATTTGTACCTTGAATATTATTAATTCCTTTTGAAGAAAACTATTTGAAAACGCTTCCTTAATGTCTATAAAAGAACGTAACTAAATCGACGTTTGTCAAAGGTAAAACTTTCGTTTAAGAACGATGAAATCAAATTGATTAAGAAAAAATCTAGGCATTTATTAACACGACGCCATGAAAAATGCTGCCGTTCGTTTTATCGACCAAATACAAACACACGCTTAAAATTTCTATATACCTGTATACATATACTGTTATATCAAGTATTTCTTGTACCACTAAAGTTTCACTGCAAGTTTTCAATGTGAATAGTAATTGAACAATTTTACGTAATCTACAAATAATTAATTACAGATAGATTGACTGAATTGACTGCTCGGCGCACAATGACCATAAACGAACAAGACCAAACAAGAGGAGTATCCAACTCCAATTAGCAGAGGCTTTGCCAAGGATGGGTAGGTAACATACTTCATTTATGTAAAGGTGCATGTACATCTCATTGTTTTTGCACACCTCACAAGTTTTACATATACTGAAAAAAAGGTGCTTTTACACCTCTAGTACTTTGGTCAAGCAATCGGCTGTATTGAATTTTCACTCAGAATCACTGAATTTGATTGGCTCTTACAAAATTCAATTTTCAAATGTTAAAAATGTAACATTTGTCATAGCCAATCAAATTCATTGATACAACCGTGAAAATCCAATCCAGCCAATTGCTTGACCAAAATACTGGAGGTATAAACGCACCTTAAAAAAAACGCTGTCAAGTTTGCGGTATATCGAAAGCTTTTAAGGTGTGCAAATTTAATTTTAATTGGCTTTGATTGGAAAATTTCCAAATTCTCTATGTGCAAATCCATTTAAACTTATTGAAATCTATTACAATTTCCGAGTATATTAGAATTTGTGAGGTGTACAAACGCCTTTAAGGTACTGCCACAACGGCCGAACCCTTATTTTATATATTGTGTGAGGTGCATACTTTTTTCATAATGTTCAAACGCAGTGTTTTACGTTGAACATTCCGTGTAAAATGGATGAAAGTAAATGTTTGTCTTTTTCTTCTCTTATTGTTAAACGCAAAACGCAACGTCCAAACGCAAGCATTTTAAAGGCGTAAAGGCATGAGAACGAAAGAGATGAACATATCTCACTATCTCTTTCGTTCTCATGATTACATTGGTGTTTCACGTTGTCAAGAAACGGCGCCTTAAGGTTGGTTCCACAATGGGCTTGACGCAAGGCAAGCGCAGCGTTTACGCGGCACATCTGTTTTAAGTCGGTTCTACAATGGGCACGTTTGTACGTGAACGTGTGCGTTCCGTGCTGACGTCACTCAATTGCAGAACATTGTGACGTCAGCATGTATACGTTCACGTTCGCTTACAAACGTGCCCATTGTATAACCTACTTTAAGGCCGATTCCAGAATGTAGCCAAACGCAAAGCAGACGCGACGCAGCCCCATTTGCTTAAGGAGCTTTTATACCTCCAGTATTTTGGTAAAGCAATCGGCTGGATTGGATTTTCACGGTTGTATCAATGAATTTGATTGGCTCTGACAAATGTTACATTTTTAAGGTTTGAAAATTGAATTTTGTTAGAGCCAATCAAATTCAGTGATTCTCCGTGAAAATTCAATCCAGCCAACTGCTTGACCAAAATACTGGAGGTATAAAAGCACCCTCTTGGCTGGTTCCACAATGGGCTCGACGTAAGGTAAACGCATCGTTGACGCGACGCATCCCCATTTGATTAAGGCGCTTGTATACCTCACCGATCCCGAGTATACTTCTGTCGTGTACCATTGGAGTAAAAGAGACAAAAAGATATTTCCGTCTCTTTTACTCCAATGATACACGACGCAAGTATACTCGGGATGGGTGAGGTATACAAGCGCCTTTAGCATTGGGATGCGTCGCGTCAACGCTGCGATTACCTTGCGTCGAGCCCATTGTGGAACCAGCGTTTAGCATTGTGATGCGTTTTGTCTGCGTTGCGTTTAGCTCCATTCTAAAACCAACCTAAGGCTGGTTACACAATGGGCTCGACGCAAGGTCAACGCTGCGTTTTCCTTGCGTTGAGCCCATTGTGGAACCAACCTAAAATGGGTGGCTATATATATATATAAAACGTAACGCAAATGCGGACCGCACGCGCAGTTTTAGGTGAGTGTAGAATCAGCATTAAAACTTACAATTTTGTGCTCATTCTTGTCGCCTCGACTCGACAGAGCGACTGGCATAAGTACACGGTGAGTGTAGAATCAGCATTATACGTTACCATGACAACCCTGCTTATGGTGTTTTCGGTAGTTGCTGTGAGTATACTGTCAGTATGTTGTGATTAGCTGATCCATCAGCATGTTTATTCTGATTGGGTAATTTTTAACGGAGCTGTGACCGTACCCTAAGAAATTATTTTGTTTTGACCTTTAGGGTGCAATCACATTAATAAATAAAGAATTTGACTGTATTAACCTTTGAGAGAACATGCCAATAAGCAACAACAACAACTTAAATAAAGTATAAGAAATTTTTTATTGGCATTAAATTATAAACAATAACCTTTTATATATTAAATAGTTTTAATAAATCTGTAAAAGAATGGCAGCAATGAGACATACACTGCAAAGAGAAATCTTTACTCCTAACGATGAAAAAATACTAAGCATTTGCAGTGTAAGAAAAGAATATAAGAAAAAGAAAACTAGTTTTTTGTGTCTAACTACAGTGATCGATACTCCTGACTCTTACTTTTTGCACCTGGTGAAAAAGAGTGACAAAAATGTTTTTAAAAAAAAACAGTCTTGGTCTTTGGCTGATATTCGAACAGTTGATGGTATTGAAGAAAAATCAATGGATTTGGAATTACATATTGATAAAATTTACAAGTGGTCTATTATAACTGCTCAAGAAAAACATAGTTTTGTTATTAATTTATATACGTGTTCTTTTAGTCTTCCACAGAGAGCAGAATTCAAAAATTTGCCTAAAGAATGGCTTCTGAATAGTTCGTATATAAAAGAAGGAACTCTTAATAATAAGGGTATAAAATTGAATGCCGGTAAATAAATTTTTGTTTAAAATTTATTTGAGTATCATGTTGACTCCATTTTTATTATAAAAAAATTATTTCTGATAATAGGGTTATTAGAATCTTCACTGTCATTGGATTATCAACCAATTACTGAAAAGGAGGCAAAAGATCTAGATAAATTAATGGAATCCTGTGATTATGCAGTTTCTAATGCTGAGTATTTTATGGAAACTCTCTCAAAGGATCTTTCTGTTTTGGATGGGGTAAAATATTTCTATTCCTCATGATTATACTTGATTTTATTACTCTGAAATTAAATTAAAATTAATAATGCAATAGGAAAATGTACAGTCGGTGTTGGCATCTGAACCGCAAGTTACACTTTTAATGAATGGAATAGAAGCAGCAATTGCAGAAGCAACTTTAGTTGAAGAACGTTTATGTATTTACGATGAGGCATTAGGAAGAATTAGAGAAGCTATGGCAAGAGTTGGTCAAAAAAATCAAGCTATACATACAGCTAATCTCAATGCAAGACAACTACTGGACCAACTTGATGCAGTAATTGTAGGACTTGTTTTCAAAAAATAATCCCAATAGATCTAAACTTTATAATAATCAAATTTTTCTAGTATATTTGTAATTCCTTTTCAGACTCAATTGAAAATTTCTTCCAACCATCAGATAACCCTAAATGAAGCTGAACTCCCTGGAAATCGAGAGGAACTTCGACTTGCAGGTGTTGCTCTTTTAAAAGCAATAACTGCACCTTTACCACCAGGTCTTGAAAAATTAAGTGCTGTTGTTGAACAGAAAAGGCGTCTAGATAAAATGAAAGCTAAATTTTCTCAGATAGTTGCGAGACATTTAAATAATCTTTTTATTCATTTGGTAAGAAATTTAATTTCGTTTTCTTTTCATAGACAGCTTTTTCAACAGAGCTATAGGCTCAATCATATTACCAAAAACTTAGTGTATATTTATATTAATTTTTATGTCAAAATTAGGGTAATGATATTGGAGAAATGCAAATGAATGTAGAATTAACGCTTCCAACTCATCAAGCAATGCATCATGAATTAGAACCTTATACGGAATTAATGAAATTACTTAGAATTTTAGATAACAAAGCTTTTAATCAATTGACAAAGGTTTACACTGATACGATGAGTAAATTGTATCAAAGGGATTTTAAATATTTTTTCGAAGAAGCAAAAAGTCGATTAATCAGTAAACGATCTCACGGTAAGAAAATAAATAAAAAATATATATTAATTTTATAATAATTAAAAAATGTCAATGTCTAATTTCTAATTTATGTAAAAACTTATTAAATTGAAAAGAGAAATTGAAAGAGAAATTACTACAATTCCAATGAATAATGATTAGTAATTCAAAATTAAATGATCGTGAAACATTTTCATTTCTGATTATACTATAATTGTCATTTAATTTTTTAATTACTAATTGCAATGCTTAGAATACATAACTATATATCATATGTATGCTTTATATAGAAATAGTCTATTTTTTCAGCAAGTACATCAAAATCTAAAGAACAGAAAGCAGAAGATTTGATAAATGCGGCTCCAATTTCTCTTTTAAGCGGTGATACTTGGACACCTCAAGGCGATGGAGCTTTGCTGGATTCTGTTTTAGAAAGTGTCTTATCTCAGTTACAACCAGTTTGCTTTGCTGAACAAGCATTTTGTGTCTCTTTTCTTCAATTACTTGGACAATCAAAAGTATTATTTTCTTCAAGTTGAAAAAAGGAATAAATTATGTATGTTTCCTTTTTGTTTTGTTTTAATAATGATACAATTTTCAGATTTCAGATGTAAATAATAGCGATAGCTTGGGCAACGGAGCTGCCAGTCCTAGTTCTGTGGGTTCAACAGCCAGTAAGAAATTAGAACGACAAGTCAATGAAGAAGTTCGAGCTACAATGACTGTCATTTTTCCTTCTCTGGAAAATGAATTAAATAATTTTATTTCCTTTTTAGACAAAATAGACAGCTTGTAAGTACCCTTCTATAACATATAGCTGTTTATTATAAGTGAATTGTTTAAAAAAATTACAAATTTCTAATATTTTTTCTAAGCATCTATAATTGAAATAATTATTTGCAGCTGGTGTATGTATGTTTTGGTTCGCCTGTCACAGCACGTAATGTCAGCTCAAGATACAGGATCATTTCTTTCAATGACTTTTGCTTCAGCCCTCGTTCAAGTAAAGCGAGCATTTGACAAATTTATGCAAGCTCAACAACAATCAATTATTCGCGATACTAAAGTAACACGCAAACATAAGTGCGGCATCTTGCCTTATGTCGAGAATTTTAATCCTTTTGCTAAAATTGCAGAAGGCATTTTTCGTAATTCGGATAGAAAGGTAGATTTGGAAAAATGGTACACAAAATTAATAAGTACAATGTTTGAAGCAATTATTGTACACAGTGGTGAACACCATAAAACACCACAAGAAGTTATTAAAATGGGTATATCTTATAATTTTTTTCTATTGTAATTGTAAATTATTTACTTTTAACAATACTAAAATTGCAGAAAACTTTCATCATCTGTATGATCTTCTCTCGCAATTAAAAATTTCCGTTTTGGATCATGAACGTAAAGAAGCGAAACAGAAATATCAAGACGCTCTCAGAGCATATGTTGTTCAATACTTTGGTAGACCTCTAGAAAAGCTTAATGTAATAATGCTACATTATTAAAATGAAATATTAGTTACTTGAATGTTACATAACCATTGTACATTTTTTCAGTTTTTTTTTGAAGGAGTTCAGGCAAAAGTAAGCACAGGAATCAAAGAATCTGAAATTAGTTACCAAATGGCATTTAGTAAACAAGAATTAAAACGAGTTTTAAAGGAATATCCAGCACGTGAAGTAAAAAAAGGACTAGAGCACCTTTATCGAAAAGTGGAAAAGCATCTTTGCGAGGAAGAAAATTTACTTCAGGTAAAATAAGGAAAAAAAAATAGATTTACAATACATATTTTTTTTGAGATATGTGATTCCTATTTACTCAGATAAACCATCGAGTTTATTTAAGTAAAGTTAGTACTTTTTAAAAACTGTTTTATTTGCATCTAGGTTGTTTGGCGAGAAATGCAAGGCGAGTTTATAGCACAATATATTTATATTGAAGAATTGATTCAACGATGTTACCCTGATAGTATGGTGACGTTAGAATTCACAGTACAAGATATATTAGACTTTTTTTCAGAAATAGCACAGTCTCATTAATGTTATGTACAGTAAATAGCATAATAAAGAGCAATAAACCAAAATAATTATTTTGTGACAAGTCAATTTTTTTATGTAAAAGTTTTTACTTCTTTTTTGCATTACACATTTTATTCAATAAAATAATATAGATTGCTGAAATTATAGATAATCTATAAATCATTAAAAGGTATATCAAAGTAAATCGTTTCCTTCTAAGTTTAAAAATAAGCATTATGCACTTAAAAAATATGATCAATTAAACAAAACATGAAAGTATTGATATTGAGATTATTGTTAATTTTGAAGCAACATTTTGGTTCTCCTGACTGTGCCTGTTTTACAGTTATTTACATTGCTGGCAAATCGCAATGAATTTAGAGTTTCGTTGTAACATTCGTCTAGAGGAGAAATGTTAAGAAGCATCAACGTCTTGGAATTACCTCCTAGAGATGGCATTAGAAGATGTGTTAGCTTGGAATTTCTGTAGGGTATGTGATCCTGCTTTTTTAAAAGCGCTAGAATAACGTTACCAAGATTAGAGAGCGATTTATTGATATTTTTTGTTTCCGTTGTTCGGGCAGCTTCCTCTCCTTTCAATCTCTCAGAGCCAGCCAAATCAACCAAATTGAGATTGCCTATTGACATTTCATCTTTTCTAGTGTGTTTACCAATCAAACGAATTCGAGCGACAGAGTGAGACCGTGACGATCTGAAGAAAAAAAATTATTCTTAAGTTACAATTAATTTTAATGAAAATATTAAAAAGATTCAACAATTAGGGAAGGAGAATTTTAATTATGCAAAAGTCAAAAATGCTCTTTTGTGTGTGTATGTGTGTCAAAAACTCGCCAGTGTTAATTTGTTTATGTACCTCTCATTGGCTTGTGTAGCTGCAACGGCACGATTTTGTTGAGCAATTAAGAGACAATTGTGTAATTCTTCGGGGCTATGAATTTCCTCAACTCGCAAATTGCTGACATATAAGTCGTTTCCCTTGCTGTCAGCCATTCGTATCTCAAGCAATTTATGTTGAGAGTCCAGTAAATCAACTATATGTTCATTATAAATTTCAAGAAAACTTGCTTCGATTCTATATTCCCAACCGAGCAATTCAAACTGTTTCATTTCATGGAAAATGTGTCTCACCTGTAAAGAAGAAGAAAAAAAATGAAAGATGAGATGTACACTAAAAGCTACATTTAAAAAAAACTTACAGTTCTTGGTATCATTCCTTCACTATTGTCTCCAGGATAACCTTCCATTGTGTATGTTTTTCCTGAACCTGTTTGTCCGTAGGCAAAAACGCAAACATTATATCCATCTAACGCTGATTGAACTAGAAGCGACAATTCTTCAAATACATCTGACTGAGTTGAGTTAGGAGTGAAGACCTTATCAAATTGAAAATCTTGCCGGGATTGACGTAACTTTCCTCCACAACCAATCTCACCACCTTCTCCTCGTCCAACTTCTATGGTACATTCATCGACATAGTTAATATGACATAAACTGCAAGTAAAAGTAAATTATTAGCACAATTAAGTAATTCATTCATTGAAAAAACATCTAGACAATCATATTTGTACCTTTTAGAAGATTCTTTTGCAATTGCAGGCCTCACTCGACAAAACACTCGAATATTGCCCTTCATTTCTTGCATGGTATTGTGAAGAATTCTTCTTTCCTTATCCATATTGTGTACTAATATTTGTAAATCTTCACTTGTTGAAGTCAATTTGGCATTTTTGATTTTCTCGCTTTTCAGTTCCTCTTCGCATTCGTCTAGTCTGAGTTTTTGTTCATTTAGAATTTTCTCCTGTTTACTGCATCTATCTTTATACTCAATTAAAGACTCTGTGACAGAATTATATGAAGTCTCTAAACTTTTAAGCGTTTCTTTTAAATTTTTAATTTCATTTAAATATTCTTCATGTTTCGCCTTTGTTTGTGATAATTCTTCATTCAACTTGGCATTTGAGCATTCTAATTTTTCAACTTTTACTTTAAAGATATTTTCAGTTTCTTGGAGATTCTGAAGAGTTTCTTCCATCTCAGTAAATTTACTAGACATTTCTTTATTTTTATTTTTAAATGTTGATAATTCTTCTGTAGCAAATGCTAATCTTCCTTTAAGATCCCACTTTGCTGGAGGTTTGGTCACTGGTTTCACCGTTGGTTTTGTTACCGGTTTTCCTGTCGATTTAACATTTGTTGTAACTGAAGTTTTAGGTGGTTGAACAGGTCGCTGAGAAATATTCTGCCGTTTGACTTCAATGGCATTTATAGCATTTCCTAGTCGTTTCAAGGGTGCTTTTTGCTGTGTAGGTCTTTGTCGCAATATCGTTGACATTGTTTGAGAACGAATTAATCCTGTTTCTTTTGGTGGATTATTTTCGGTACTAGTCTTGCCGTTCAAGTTTGTTGTTTTGGATGAATTTTTCATATTGTCTCCCATTCTCGTCGAATTCGTTATATTTGATGTACTTTGAGAAGCGATTGCCTTCGAATGCTGTGAGCTTCCTGCTGTCGATAATGTACTTTTGGCTTTTACTAATTTTATCTTTGGCTGTGGAAGACGAGATTCCATCTATTTCAAAATAAAACAATGTATCAAGTTTTTTTTAATTAGATCAATTCTTTTTGCTCGAAATTTAAAAAAAATCAATTTTCTTTTTTAATAAAATAAAAAATTTATAATTAACTACTTTTTCTTTTACAAACAAAAAAATAAATAAAACTCTTAAGTCAAAAATAAAAATTTCTCATTAAAGGAATATTTTATAGTATATTTTTTAGTATGTATTATAACAACATATAACTTTTGATATACAATTAAAATTAAAAACAAAATTAAAAAGATGACATTCATGTGATTTGTTACAGAATGTCATACTAGAATTATTATTATTAACTTTTCAGTTTTTGCTAATACAAACAATTCAATTAATGAATTAAAATGTTTAAAAAAGATCTCTATTTTCATTGTAATGCAAAAAACTTAAAAGATTTTATTGACATTACCTTAATTAGTTTGAAGAGAAACACGTTATTCCTTATATAGAATCACAACAAAGTATCAAAAGTTCCAGACTAATATTTTATGTCTATCACAATCTGTAATAAAAGGCACTATATATATATATCTATTATTTAAATCACATATCAGAAGTGAAACAAAATTACACCGAAACAAATTTTACATCTCGCGAATGAGTGTAAAGCAGGAGATAAAATAACGATCATTTTTTAAACTTAAAGTATGTATCATTAATTGAGCGTCTGTGGTAACCACTTCTGCCAACATGTAGAAAATAAATATAAAGAACTCTGAGGGTACGGCCATAACTCAGCTATCATCTAAGTAGGGTCATCATGGTAACGTATTAGAGTGAGAGAAATAAAAAATTTTCTTATTTCTCTCACTCTTATATGTTACCATAACAACCCTACTTAGATAGCCGAGTTTTTGTTCATTGTCCCCACCTGCCATTTGTCATAATTCTTGTCAACTACCGCACCCTGCTCTAGTAAAAATGTAGTAACTTTTAATTTTAACAAAAAAGTCGCTAAAATTTTACTAGAGTGGTGAGACCTGATGGAAACCAACTAAATTTGACGCTTACCTTATGCTGATTCTACACTTACCGAGTCGCTCCGCTTACCTTGGCGCTTTGTGTGAGACAGACAAGGACGAAGATAGTATATCTGTCTCACGCAAAGCTTCTAATAACAAAATTTGATTCTTTATGGCGCACTCACACGTTTTTGACTGCCTGCCTGCAGGTTACCATGGCAACGCACGAGTGTGAGTGAGACAGAAAATTTGAATATGTATTCCAATTTTATAAATTGTCTGTCGCCACTCACTCTCATGCGTTGCCATGGTAACCTGCAGGCAGCTAAAAAGGTGTGAGAGGGCCTTTACACTTCACATATGTTGTGTTATTGTTTGACAGATAAATAATTTTTTATAATGGGTGATAGACAAATGGATATTTGAGTGCATTTTTTTTCTATTATTTAATAATTTTACTAATTTTTTGTATAATCTTAATAGGATGGATCTCATAAAAAATGAAACAAACAATGAAATTTTATTTGAAAAAGCTGTAATAGAAGTATTTAAAAGAATTGCAGAATCTGTAAAGTAAACATTTATTCTCTAAAATCAATCTTATTTACGTTGCAAATTTTAAAAAAATGTTTTTTTTCTTCCTAGCGAAGAAGATTTTCGGAGAATTTTAACAATTCCTTCTTCAATTAATTCAAAATCAAGGAAGTTTTCAAGGATATTCACTGATGAATTAAACCGTAGTATGAATGTAACATTGAAAGATATTAAAAGCAAAGAAGGAAATTTAACTGAGGGATTTAAAAACCTCAGTAATTTAGCTGAAGGAATTGATACAACTATAAATTCTAAAGTTTGGTAAGCTTCAATATTACAAATAAAACATTATTATTGATTTTTTTTATAAATCCATAATACCTACAACGTTAAATCCATTATTGTTTTCTTGAGTTCATACAAACTTCTTTATTAAGTAAATAATTTAATACGACATATAGTTTCTAAAAACTCATATTCTTACAATTGGTATAAAACGGAATTTAAAAAAATTTAGATAGATTTGCTAATCGGTCTTAAAATGCTCTCATTTTTTGTCTACCTATATGAGACCTGCATTTAAAAAAATTTAATCTCTTCCTCTTTTTTATAAAACATTGAGGTCCTGAAGTCATTGATGAGTAGTGGAGTCAGTTTTTTTCAAAAACAGAAAATTAATCGCTGGGATTAAAAAATTTGGATTTTTATTCTTTGAAATGATTTTAATATAAATAAAATTTGTATTTGTATCAATAGGCAACCTCAATAAAATTATTTACTAATTATAACTCTTTTGCAGGAGACCTCCAGGTGATGTAAAATTACATCTAAGATCTCACAGTTCGGAAAAAATAGTTGCTGAATGTCAAATATTGGAAAGACAAATTTCCGAAATGAAAATGAAAAATGATGGGAAAATTAAAAAAATTTTACAAAGCCGAAAAGAAATATACTCTGTTAAAAAAAAAACAACTTATTGGTTGAATGAAAGTAAATTAACTGTACCAAATCTGCAAGAAATTGTTAACATGTTAGATGAATATATCAGTTGTATTGATGGATTAGAATAAAATTTTGCTTAAACCCTTAACTAAAGTTTGAACCCTATCCCATGTATTTTATTTTTTAATCCAAATTATATATTTCACATAAATACCCGAAATTAGATTGTAATACTTGCGAGAAAGATTACAACAAAATGAAGATGTGTTTCTTTATTATTAACCTTATGTAATATCATTTCAAATTTTCAATTATAATATTATATATAATAATATGAGATACATTTTTTCTTTTTTTTGTGGAGTTCTTTGTTTATTACCTTTTTAATAAGTCAATTTTTCAGTTCCTTAATTCAACTTTCTTCCACATTCATTCCTCTTATTATTTTGCTTCAAGAACGACGTTTAATCAATAATCGAGTTATTGTTACTAATTTTGTTTGTGTGTGATGTACCTCGATAGTTGTTTAAAAGCCATCTTACAAGCATTTCAGTCGTATTGTATATATTTTTTGAACACAATGTTTTTACATTTGTTAGGAAACTTACATTATTCTAGACGCGACACGTTCCACATCTACAAGTCTCTTTGTCTTGTGCAAAGTAAGTCTTTAGGAACTTTTCTTTACCTTAAAATATACAGGGCTGAAGAAGGCTAATAGTGCTCTATAACCCCTTTTAGGGGTTTCTCTTTTCTTGGAGAGCTCTAAAAAATAATATTTCATACGAGTTATTAATAATAAATTCTGAATAAATAAAAAACAACAAAGTTAATTCGTTGTAACAAAGATAAATCTCGCTTTCAGATGGTAGACGGAAAATAATAAATTCTTTTAAATTCGATATTTACAATTTAATATTTCTCCCAACATATTTTCACGTGTTTAAAAATCGTCCGTTTTACGGAGCATTTTTCAAAATATCGAAATCCAAAAAGTATGACTATCATATATTGCAAAATTTGTAATATAATACTGTAAGATCTACAATATTATTTATTTTCGATCATGACACCGCATTTCAGATTTTGTTAGATATTTTTTCTAAGACAAACATACCTCGCTTGGAAATGGGACGACGATTTTAAAAAAAGTGTCCGTGTTGTGAGAAAATAAATTTTCATAAAATTATTACCAATTTTTAAAGGAAAATTCAGATGTGCTCTTTATATATCAACTTTTGATTATTATATATATGAGTAAAAAATCAGGGTATTTTCATTTACAACAAAATTTTTTTTTACTATTCGGAGCAATGCAAATTCTTAGTAATTATGTATTTTATAAACTAAAAGAGTAGGTATTTTATAATTTATTAAATTCGGTATGGCTTTTTTATAAGTGAAAAAAATATTGTTATAAGATTTAAAAAATTTGACTATTATACATAGGTAATACAAATTGAAAAAATTACATCAAAGTCTTTTTATCTCTCATAGGGTATGAAATAAAAGTATTTGGAAATATTTCCCAAAAACTCCTTCAAATTTTCTAAATTTCTTCCAAACACATTATTTGTTTTAATTCAACAGTCAAACTATTTTAACGTAAAAATGAACTATTTAGAGTACTCGAATTACAATTGATAAATATAGGTACATTTCGTTTAATAATTTTACTTTTGGAGGTGTACTATTTGGAATTATTGTTTTTTAGAAAGTTATAATTCAATAGAAACATATAGTAAACATTAAATTGTTAGTTTAGTTTTTCAACTTTTTTTTATCTTAATTTTTCTGCTTTTTTTTACTCATACACTAGTATTTGTTGATTACCTAGTGCAGTTACTAGCATAGACGTAATGAAAAATAATTAATCGCAAATAATGCACTATTAGAAAAAGTATATATTGAAGAATTAATAAATATACTAGTGAATATATATATATATATATATATATATAAAGATGGTGAATGGTGCTATAGTATATTTGTTAATTCTTAAACATTTCCTTTTACTCAGAGTGTTCATATGTATTTGTATGACAATTCACTTATATGAGTAATTAAAAGTCAAAGTCTTTTTAAAAAAATGAAGTATATGCATATATGTATATTAATATTCATTGTCTGAATGAAAAAAATTATTATTAAATTAGTAAATTGCAATTAAATTAGATTCTTTAATATTTACACTGTAGATTTCTTTTTGAAAGATTTATTCTTTTCAAATAAAATTGTCAAGATCTTTAGTTTGTTATGTATCCAGTTTGTATTTTACTCACATTTTACTCTAAATTTTTAATGCACTGTAAACTTTTAAAAACAATTACTTTAAAAATTATGATTTCGAATTTGGAACGTGTCTTGCCTAGTCTTTATAATAATTTCCGTTGTTTGCTAATTGGCTTAATACTTTGCATTTCGCGGCAACTGTTGAATGGCAAATTGCATTGCAATAATGACGATTATAAACGACATTTATTTCAGGAATGAGTAAATAAAAATTGATTTTATTAACATGCGGAAAAAAGGATTGTTATACACTTTAATGCACTTCTTGATATTTACTATCAACGAATGTTTATGTTTTTCAAAAAGAAATATAGGAATTCGTGATTGCTGATTTCAGTACATAGCATGGTTGCACCTTCCTTAGACTATTTGACATATTTGCATAAGCTCTGTCAAGGGAGTTTTAGTTATAAAAAGAAAAAAATTTAAACAAATTTTTTGTTGACAATTTCTTGATATTAGCAGTGATATAAAGGTCTCACAAAAATTCAAATAGCTCATTAATACTTTTCAATTAAACAAACAATACATTTTTAAAATCAATATTAACTGTATGAATAATATTGTTTTTAAATTGAATATATAATTTTGTACCAAAATTTCTCTTTGGATATTAAATATAAATGTATAATTGAATTTATATAAATTTAAGTACATTGGAAAAAATAAAATTATTATTATTATTATAAAATTATTAATCAATAAATTTCATTGAAAAATAATAATAAAAATATATAAGCATATACTTTCTTTTAATTGTCTTAAGTTATTGTATCTATTTATGGTAGTTTTTTTATGCTTTTTTTAAATCAATCAATTAAAATATATATAATATCAAAAGTTGTTTTTGTATCACACAATTTCATATTAATTCCAGTACCTAATGAAAATGACCTATTTACGCGCAAAAAAAAATTTGTATTTTATAAAATACTAAATTTTGGATCTCTTGGAGCACAAAATTATATATTCTTAAAAAATATTATACGAAATTGCATTCTTTTAAATTAATATACATATTGATTTTTGCCGTTCTGAGACCTTCTGAATGTCAGATATTATCACAGAAACTCTTCACATCATGTTTCAGAACTTTTGCTCTTTACACATGAAGACATTTATCGTTCCCTTTAAATATTTTTTTCTCCTTTAAATTAAATTAGAAATATAGATAGTATTTATTGACATAGAAATGACATATTGCATGACTCGCATAACACAATTAAAGGTCTCACTGCAATAATAAGGCACTCGAAAACGAGTAAATTTATCCTAAATTTTTGAAATTAAAAAATTTAATATTTATAAAAGATATATGTATATATATATATGAAAGTTTACTCTTTTTCTAAAATGGAATTTCTCTCTACAGTGTTTATTTTTTTAAGAAAAAAATAAAAAATTCAAATGAGATTATATTTTAAGCCTTAAAGAGTTAAAATAGACATGGACCTCGGGTTAAATATTTTAATCAGTTTTTTAAATATACTAAAAGTTTTTATATTCAGTTTTTTTAACATATCAGAAATATTACTTTATAACTTGTATTGAAATATACTATTATTATTTTAACGAAGGTTATTGAAATTATTGAAATTTAAAAAAAGATTTCTTCAATCTTTTCATGTAAATATTTTATAAATATTAAATTTTTGAATTTTGAAAATTTTGGGTAAATTAAAAAGAGGCCGAGTCCCTCAAATGTTAATTTCATTATTTAGTACATTTGTTTAAAAATTTTTTTATACATTTTTTGAAAATTCATAAATAATCAACTGTACATCTCTTGTGCGTTATTCTCAGTCAACAACCTACAATTAGAAAAAAAAAATGTTCAAGATGATTGAATTTAAAACTACAACTTTTTCAGATTACTTTTGAAAATGTTTGATAAACAATTTATTCTTACTACATACTAGAAATGACTTTACATTACATCTAAAATTAAAAGGAATTATTTCATTTTAATTATTTTTAAATTTAATAACTATTTAAAATGTACGAGTTTTTAAAACGTATAATAGATAAAAGTTTTTACTCAAATTGCATTTTAGATTATTTTATATATGAACTTTAATATTATGCATATAAATATTATCCTCATTTATTAATGAAAGTATGTTCTAATTTACAAGATAATTATGTACACATCCATAAAAGGGCAGTCAACAAAATGAATGGATATGGTATCCATAGAAATGAATGAATAAATAAAGTTAAAATTAAAGTTAAACTGATTAAAGGTGTATATTGTTGTGGTTAAAGAATATGGTTTATGTCACCTAGTTGAAGTAATTTAAAAAATTATAATTACCTTCAAATAATATCTGAAATAATTCAGTTGAGCATTTTCCATATAAATTTTTTTTTTTTAAATAAGAGGAAATTATACCTATAGAATTTGTAGATGACAATATGATAAAATACTTATGTTTTTTTTTCTAAAAGTTATTTTTGAGAGACGAAGAGAAATATTGTCTTTTATAATCAGATAATTTTATTAGCATAGATCTCACATTATGAGAGACTCTGGCGTATTATCATTTTTTAAACTTTTATTTAAAATTTGTTTATTAAAAAAATAAAATTTCACATTATAATCTGTTAGTGCACTTTGAGTAACATAATTGCATAATTATTGTTTCATCTTTATAGTAGAAATACGAAATTATAATTATCCTTAACAATTATTTCTTATACGTTTTTTTTTTTACATTTTTTTAATAATCCTTTTCGAAAGGTTAAAATAAATAAATCTTTCTGTCAAAAAACTTATCAACAAAATAATATTTTCAGAATAATTCCCAAAGAAAATTAAATTAATGAAATAAATCAAGTATAAATAAACACCTGTACTTACTTGAAGTTAATAAAAGCTATAAGCATATGAAAAATTCTTTTTAAATGAACCAATTTTGTTAGGCATGTGAGTTGCTCATAATAACTGGTACTCTATATTATACCACGATGATGTTTTGCGTGTATTATAAAGTGAGGTTGCCAAACAAGTTATTTGTTTATAAGAAATTTCAGTGTTCTTACTAAACATTTAAATCGTACACTCTTCTAATGTAAAAGTATAACGCAAAATGACACGTAGCATAATGAGTTTTCAGTTTATGTATACTATTGTTTGTTACGGACAATCTCAGGAATCGGGCATTGTTGATAGTTGACGGGTATTTTCATCAACATTAATAAAAATTTTTAATTCTTTGTCAATGTTGTTTAACATCAGAAAATTATTTGTCGTAGATTTAATATTTATTATTATTTAAAATAATAAATAAATAAATAAAGTATTCACTACTACAAAATCTTATTTTTTTATTATATCTATATTTTAGTTTATTCCAACAAGTCATTTAATTTCCAAAGTTGATTAGAAATTAATCATGATATAAATTTTTTTTATATTATTGTGTGATTCACTTTCGATAGTTAATTGCAAACTAAACACCATAAAATAAAAAGTTGTAAGTATCTTTGGTCTAATTATCCGTTAAGCCAAAGATACTTACGATATCTTATTTTTATTACATATTCTGGCTATTAAATAAAGTAAAACTTTTATCTTAAATTACTCTCTAAATTTGAATCAGCGATAAGTATACCAATGTTATCAATTAGCGTATATACGCTGAAAAATCAGTGAATTTTCACTAATTTATCAGTGCATATGCGCTGATTGGAATCAGTGGTATACTTATAGCTGAGAATCAGCGAGATTTCGCTGATTCTTTAGAGAGTATATAAACTATATTTTTATTTCATAATGACTTTAGCTACACTGTAAAAAGAAAGTACTAAAACAGTACCGATTTTAGGTACCAAATGACAATTTAGTACCTGAAGTCGGTATTAAATTAATATCTTTATTTTTAAAGTGTAGATCGAGTATTAATGACATTACTTATGCGGAACAAATGATTAAAAAGAATATTTTTAGTCATTGCCCAAAATTGATGGTCAATATCGACAACGCACAATGACTTTGCGTAAAGTTAATATTGCCCGATTCCGTATATTGCCCGTATCATATAACCCTATTTTAGCAAATGCTGTTTAATGATAAAAGAATTATATCTAATTAAATTATTTCTTTGTTTAAAATTATTATAATTATTATTTTAAACATGATTTTCTAATCATATTTTTTATTGTATATTAAAAAACGATATATAATTCAGTTTTTCAATTAATAATAAATACCTAGTAATATATAAAAAAGAAAAATATAAAAAAACATAATGAAATAAACAATAAATATGCTTTTATGATACTTAATGATTTTTATAATTCAATTCCTACCTAGATTTAGTTAATATTTTATATTTTGTATTGTTACTTACGTAACTATTAGAATTTAGGAGTACTTTTGTACGAAAGGGCATGTCCCGTTAATAAATGAAATTGAAATTGAAATATATAAAAAAGAAAAATATAAAAAAACATAATGAAATAAACAATAAATATGCTTTTATGATACTTAATGATTTTTATAATTAAGTAATTTTCTTGTTTTTACAAAGTTAAGGTATTATTTTATTTATAAAATTTCATTAAACAAAATTGAGTTCTAAAGCAGTTATGACTAGTTATATAGTAGTTTTACGAAACTTTGAATGCAATTTTTCATCAATGAGATCTAAGTGTTTCATCTTCAATATGAAGGTATCCTAGTATTTTTTTATGATGACCCAGGAATTTACTGTTAAACAAAAATTAACCAGGTCACCTCAAATTACTTTTGTTTCTGAAATAAAACTTATCAAATATACTGTGCAGTCTTTAGTATTTATAAATGTTAACTGCGCATATTTCAATTTCACGGAATTCTACTGCGCAATCATAAATAACTCAGCTGCCTCTAAAAATAGTTGGATGTTTAACTTTAAAAATGAATAATAATTTTAAAATTCCTTTAAAATAAATTAATTGCATTTTTGTCTAATGTATAGAGAACAAAAGTCATAAATGCTGAATCATTTCTTAATTTCTAAATACAAAATAATTGTAGACAGTTTTAACGAATTTTATGTTGTTTTCATTATAAAGAAAAAATGATTTTGTCTTTACTGAAAAGACTGGAGAAAATAGTTTGCATGAGATTTATAGTAAGAAAAAATAGTGGAATCGAACAAACAGAATAAACGGCAAAAATCAATAACGTTTTATTGGGAATATAGGTAGATAAATCATAAAATACCTATCCCGTTTGTTAATGACTACATCATTCTTGATTGACCTTACACATATATTTTTCAACTTTTTTTTTTTTTTTTCTTTTTTTTTATCGATGCTTTCTGTTTATTTTTATAAATATGTATCAAGCCGCGCAAACGTTGTTTGTTCAAAGTCTTGTGAGTAACAAAGCAAGTTTGTACACGACACCGGTGTTTCGCATTAAACAAAACTCAAGTTTACATATTCTCTCTTATCTTCTTCCATACTTAAAAGCTAGGACTTAAATCTGCACTCTGGTCATTCATCTAATTATATTGTACAAATTGCTATCATTCGACCGATTTCATCATATACTCGCGTCATTTGTCACATATCGTATAAAACTCTCACCAGAGGGCATGATTACAGTAGAGTCTCGCAAATTGTTCAGTCCTACGGATACGAAATTAATAGGGGGAAACATCCCCTTGCACAGTGGGTCAACTCTGGTAACACTCGTTTTCTGAACGACTGAAGGGTAACACGTTAGTAAAGCGTCATGTTGCCAATTGGAGTCATACACTGTAAAACAAAAACATCAGTTGCCAATATCACGCTACTAATGGGTTACTTACACGACAGTAGTTCATAAAAACACCTATTGAGGACACTGCCTTGGTTAAGGAAATGAAAAACGAGAGCGAGACACTCACTAAATTTCAAAGTCGGTCAGTTTGCGAGACTCTGCTGTACATCGTCACCGATTTTTTACGATTAGTAATATTTTTATCACTTTGTTTGCTCTCTAGGCCACTCAGATCGCATCGAGTCTTTATTAAGCGTGGATCGACTAAATTCAATATTATTTTAATCTGATAGGACTTTCCCTGGCCAGTTCGGTTCATCCTTACTAGGCCATGAATGACATATTCTCGCTTAAAAATTGAATAATCCTATTTTTCTGCACTTACTTGCAAAATATAAAAAAGTATTCCGATGTAGTTTTCTTTCTCATTGCATGCTTCATACTGTCCTTAATTTGTCAAAGATGCTTCTCCAAAATTATTCGGTGTCCTTATCATTGACCTGTTTATTATTATTATTATTATTATTATTATTATCATCATCATCATCATCATCATCATCATCACCACCACCACCACTATCTTCATCGTCGTCGCCGTCATCGTCATCATCATTTTAATCGCCATCTTTTTCTTTCCTCTCACTTAAACATTTTCGATGCACCGATGGCCTTAATCTTTGGCGTTTTCCATTCGACAGTGAGGCGATAACAATTGAAGCATATTTGATCGTAGCTGATGACGCTAAAGTATACACTTGTCCTTCATTACTGTAGATCAGTGAATGGCAACAGGGCTCTGTTGAACGCAGACCCCGACCATTGGACTGTCCTCTCTTTCAGAGTCTCTTTGTTTTCCGGCAGTGACTGTCGATGGCTGTCGGGCCATCGTATGAGCGTCCGTGCTAGGATAACCATAATTGTAAAAATTTTGCTGTTGGATCATTGGAGAAGTCATCATTGCTGGGAGGTGAGAAATGCCAGGGAGAATGAGACTGTTGTATGAGCCAAGGGAGTTTTGCAATAGAGAGCTATCCACGGATTGCATAGACGTTGGAGCTGATGCCGTTGTACCAGCGACTGAAGTAGACGGGTAATTGGTGATGATGGCACGTCTGCTGCAGGAGTGACGAGGCGAAGAATCACACTCCATTGGTTGATAGCCGCCAGGAACGCTTGGCTGTACTGGCATTAAACTGCTACTTCCTTGTCCTTGTCCGGATACCGATACCAGTCCTATGACATTGTAAAAATTACATTAGTATTTTACATTTCATTCAAGTCTTTTAGTCAATTTTGCTTTTTGTATGTGCCCTGCCGAAATCCATAAAGACTCTTATAAATATAATTTTTGCACTTAAATATGTTTAAATTTACACATATATGTATATAGTATCAGTCTGCCTTGTTTTCTTTAATTAAGACAAGAGAGCAACATTATAAAACATTTTAAAAAACGGTAACCTATAAGATAAATCTAACATGTAATAGTTATTATTATGATTCCTGCATGGCTCTTGTTTGTCTGCATTAAAAGGGTCAAGTTTGCTTTCTCGTTAAAAAAAATTTGAAACTGATATATGATTTTGTTGAAATTCTAGTTAATTCATAGAAATTCTTATGTTATAAAAAAACAAAAGAGACCACTTTAAAAAATTATCCTTATTTTCGAAATGGAACATCAAAAAATTTGATTCCTATTCTATCAATCCCGAAAGTATTTGCACGTGGATTGAATTAATTTTATTAGATTGAAGAAAAACATTGATTACTTAAATATTGAAACAATTTTAAAACATAAAAATGATAAAATATAATTACATAATTATTTTGTCAAAATTTCAGCAGAACAATACTTTATGCCTGATCTTTAGAGAGAAAATAATAGTATAGGCTATACTATTTTAAAAGAATTTTACAGGCTAGTTTTGATTACTGTCTTTAAAAACATTTAAAATTCTAACTTTTCATTGAGCACTAATCTTTAAAAATCCTCAACATAAAATAACAAAGTGTAAACTACTTACAACAACAAGAAGAATAATAATAATATCAAGCATAAAAAGTTTGATTTTTTTAATTGCTTCTTTATCGTATGAAGGTTACTCCTTTCAACTCATATTATTTTGTTTTGTGTAACAAAATGTTCAATTTACTGTTACTAATGAGTTAAAATAGTTAGTCAATTTTTTATTTGTACCTATTTGTTCTTAAAACTAGCATGACATTTTTATGTATACTTAATATTTTCCAGAATGTAATTTATATTTACAACAATTTGAAAAACACTGTTTACACTGTTTAAAGAAATTGATGTTTCATTAGAATGTTAATTTTAAAAATACGAATTTATAAAACCTAAGATATACGATTTCTTCGACAACTGTACATAATAATAATATTTTACATTGTCGACTTGGAAAATATAAATTAAGTAATATGCTAATGCAATAATTTATTGTTTGCAGATTCGATATATGTTTCATCGCATTGAGTCAATCATAAGGATATTTCCAATTTTTCTTAATGCTCTTTGCGATTATTCGCATGTAGATATGACTTCCGAGTATTAAAATTATTAATGCTGCACTATTTAATAAATGTGCTATTTTAAGATTAATTTTTTAGATAGATCGTTCACAAGTGGGATATGAATAACAGTTATTTATAAATTTATTTATATATGTCATATTTATTCGAATTTAGAGAGAAGCTTCATGATATAGGTATACATCCCACGTACGACGATATATTGTAATCACACTAGAGGTACATGAATTGCAAGCAACTATGGCATGCATGAGAGGTAAATGACATAATACGTATTTACGAAAACACATAGAATATGTTCATAATTGAATTGTGTTTTGAGATGAGAAACATCCACGATCTTTTTAAAGTTTTCCACTTTCAGAAAATAAGGAACATATTCTAAGAGCTTATTATTGAAGGAAACATACTGATAGAAGAATAATGAATGTTTAGAATAATGTAGTTTAAAACATTGGATGACAATCAGAATAGCGATTAGAGAAATTGTTAAAAACTATGGGCTTGCAAAAATAATCCATAGTTATTAACATTATTTAAGTAAACAAGCAAGGGTTCACGCAATAACATCCTAGGTAAGGAAATTGGTTGTCTAAGAGAATGTTAGTCTTTCAGCTTGTAGGATTGTTTGTTAGATAGAACTTACTTATGTTAGTAAGTAAAATTAAGGTTGGGGCCTAGGACAGGTCGTCGCCGCCCCGCGGATACGACAGTCATCGAGCCACGTACTGTCCCCCCATCATATCTACGGGCAACAACAAGTATTTTTAATTTGTGCAAAAAATAAAATACGTAATTCTTTCTAAATATTTAACATAATAATTAAGTGTTGATGATTTCCATCTTTTACTTTTTTTTTATTTTCTCTCCTTCTCTTAAATATCAATACATATATAACACCACTTCTACTCAATATCTTTGAAAAAACATACATCAATAATTTTTTAGTCAAAATTTCTCCATAAGTGAGGCAACATTTTTTTAATAGTCCAAAGATTTTCATGCAATACATGTTATTCTGTTCAAAACAATAAATAAAACATACAAGTTGACTGTTATAAACATTTTTTGCGTGAATTTACAAATTAATATTTTTCTATCGATCTATACAATAAATCATTCCGATTTTTAATATTATTATTTGAAATTAATATTGTTTTAATAAAAATTTATCATTTTAAAAAATTACCTAATTTATTAAAAATATAAACAATTTATCTACATTCAGGCCAAAAAAGGATTATACATGAAAAAAAATATAAAGTAACATTTACTATATTTACAAAGTAAGTCATAAACTGTCCGGAAGTTGTGGGCATTTCTAGTAAATTTTGCTCCAGAAATAGAAAAAATTACTATTGAAATAATAGTTTTTACTATTTACGGAGCAAAAGTTGCCAAAAATGCACAGAAATTTCGGGCAGCTCAGAATTTACTATGAAAGTAGTAAAAGTTACTTTGTTTATATTTATTTTCCATTTTCCTCCATGTAACAATAACTTGTATAAACTTGTCAAAACTATTCAAATGGTATGTTTTATTTATTGTTTTAAACAAAATAGCGTGTATTACATGAAAAACTTTCAACCATTAAAAAAATGTACACCCACTTTACAAATTTTGACTCATTTTATAAAAGCGCTTACTTTCTGCACAAAATCAAAATCCTATAAATTTAATAATTTCAGTAAACTATGTATATAGAACCCTAATAAATTCCTCTTCCATATTTTTCCTTTTTTTAAACTGTGGAAATAAGTTTACGAATGAAAATGTTTTAATTCTGAAATGAAAATTTTATAGAACATGTTAATAAAGAATAATGTCCTATGAATCTAAATTTTATGCATATCGTGCAAATTAAAAAAATTATATTTCTGTATTAATATAATAATAAAAGCAAAAGTTACTTTCTTAGAATAAGTGGGTACTTGAAGTTTATTTCACTAAAACTTTAATGCTTTATAGTATCAATTCATTATTTTTATAAACGATGCAGACAATAATAAAATTAAAAACAAATTTTATAAAAAAAAAAAAAAAATTAAAATTAAATAAAAATTAAATTAAATAAAAAAAAAATTTAAAAACTGTATGTAAATGGAAGTTTCATAAAATGTTATTTTAAAACATTAGAAATTTTTTTTAAAAACTCCATAGGACAATTTATTTCAGGGATACAAGTTTGTTTTTAAAAAATCCTAGGATTAACTAAAGTAAGACAGAAACAAATTATTCATAAAAAAATTGACAGTGAGTAGAGAATTTTGAATTATTTAATAGGTATACATATGTATGAAAAAAAAATAGGCTAAAATTTACCTAAATCTTATTACTATGACTGAGTTTTTATTAACTACCAAGTATTGTTATCCAAACCTATAGGGTAAATGGTGGGAGTATATTTTTTTAATAAGTCATAGTTACTACATTCTACACCAACAAAATTTTTAATTGTGAATTTTTTAAAGATTTTTTCTTGATATTTTAAATACTTGGTAGTTGAAATATCAAACTTTGGAAAAACGTTAACCTGAGCCGAGACAATTTTTTAAACACATTTTGAAAATACTCATATTATTAATATTTGTCCTTAGTTTAAATATGTAAATGATAATTTCATTTTTTAATATTGAATCTGTGTACTCGCGTCTTATTCATAAAACAATTACACATAGAGGTAAAAAATTGTTGAAAGTAAAATTGAGTCTGCACTTAAGGGATATTAAAATAGAACATTATAAGAAAAACACTTACCATGATCCTGATTCATTAACACAACTGCAGGACTGGTATTTGCACTATTTGCTGCGGCGATATTTGTGTTGGTCCCTTCATCCGCTGTTCTTTTGAAAAAGTTATGTTGAAGCGCATAGTAAGGCGTTACTCTTGTTTTCGGATCAAAATCCAACATTCTTAAGATAAGATCTTTGAACTTGAGATAATCAGATATCGAATGTCCAGGTTCTCCTAATCTTCTTCCTCCAGGACCACCGCTTTCAACTCCTAAGATATCTTGTAACCGCCTAGTACCAGGTTGCTTATACTTTTTTCCGTCCTTAGACTTTTTCAATATATACGAGCCGTCCGTGGGAACTTTGTCAAAGTATTTTCGCGCCTTATGCGCTTGGTCCAATATGTGCTTTGGTGGCATACCCAATACTTCTACAATCTTATTCATTTGATCCACCTGTAGAAAAATATTCCATATATAAATAAATATTGCACTTTGTTCAACACCAATTCAGAGAAAACACTTATTATTAAGTGAATAACAAGCTACAACTAATGTGTTTATTTATAAGCAAAAATATTTATCAAATTCATAAAATATGTAATAATTTATATATAATTATTTTTGTACACAAATTTAACTGTCAATAGCGAGCTAAAGTCAAAGTCAAAATCGCTTAATTAGAACCAAAGTTACATAACTTTAAAAAAAAAATGTGCAAAAATTTGAAAAAAAAAAATCAATATTTAATGTAGCCATTTAATGTACACAATTTATAATGTATCCTACTAATACTCTTTACGAATGGGCTTTCGCCCGTATATTTTTCAATAAATAAATAAAATTCAAAATCCAAAAATCAAAAATATTTGGTGGTATTGTTTATCACTATGTACTAAAGTAATAAATTTACAAAAGTACAGGCAAATCCCAATCAGTCTCTAAAATTAATGTGATGAACTGACGTGGAATTCACCATTTTCAAAAAAATTTTTGATCATGAAAAAAGCATTAAGAAATTAATATACATATAGTAGTCATATATACATATTTGAAACAAGTCTTACCTCATTGGAACCACTAAATAGTGGTTCTCCCGTATGCATTTCTACTAAAATACATCCTAAGCTCCACATGTCTATAGCGAGATCATATGGTATTCCTAGTAACACTTCTGGTGATCGATAAAACCTAGACTGTATGTATTGGTATATCTAAAAGACAATTGGAAAATATATATTACTCTTCTTCATAAATTGTTAAAATAATGAATAAAATTTATCAAAATTAACACTAACCCTCTGTCCCAATTGACATGAACTGCCAAAATCTACTATTTTAATCGCACTACGTTTGGGATTGCACAAGAGAATATTTTCGGGTTTTAGATCACAGTGAATGATGTTCAATTCCGGCGTAGATAAAAACAAAAGAGCAGTACACAATTGTTGGGCAAATTTTCTTGTTAAATTCAATGAAACACCTCGAAAATTTGTGTTTCTAAGTAAATCATAAAGATTATAAGACAGTAGCTCAAATACCAAACATAAATGATTTCGCCACATAAAATGCCTTTTGAGTTTAACTGAAATGAAAAAATATATTAGTTAATATTGGTATAATTAATATGTTTAGAAATGTTGTTTCAAATAAAGAGCAAAGATTAGTGGGTCATTATGTTTAGAAAAAGAAATAAGTAGATGCTATTCATCTTATTATAAATTTTGTCTTCAAATGTAATGAAACTTGGAAAAATTAAAATTTATTATTTAAATAAGAAGAAAGTAGATTATCAAAGATGAGGGTTGAGAACAATACAGAAAATCGGGACTCACTGTTTACAATATTATTAAGTAGTACATACCTATATAATACTTGTTATCAGTATCCGCTTTATTCATCATTTCAAGCAACCTAACTTCGATTTGGGCTTGATTTAGGAAAGGTTTTTTGTTTTTAATAATTTTTATTGCCACTTGTGTTTGTTCCTCGTGATCAAATGCCTTGACTACTTGACCAAAACTGCCTTTACCTAAAATTAGTGAAAAAAAATAAATAAAATTAGATCCTTTACATTCATTACAGATTTATCAATCTTTTTTACAGTTTTTGAAATGAAATATGACTTGAATTATAGTTTATTATATATTATTAGTTTTTCTATTGAAAATAATCTTAATAATGTTTTTATGCTGCTTACATACACTTAAATGATTTTTATTATTTTCTTAAGTAATTCACAACGAGGAAAATGATCTACAATTATTCGATTAAATCTACTTGATAGATTTTGAGTAATCAGCGAAGAAAGATTATATAGGTATTTCGCATCTGTTCTTTTTTTTTAAACGTCTTTTATTTAGGAATATTTTAAATTTCAAAGGAAATGTTTTATTTTATTATAAAGAAGAACCAAATCTCTCTAAAACTATAATTTCCTAGAAAAATATCTATATAGTATAAATAAATAAAATATTATGAAATAGAAATTTCTGACAGTGATAGCTCATTAAATAAAAGTATGTATATATATAGCAGAAAAAATTTGTTCTAAAGGTATTCAGAAACTTTCAACTTAAGTCTGAGATGCATGAGAAATTCCTTAATATACTTGATCGCACTTCTACGAGAATGAATGAGAAGTAATAACTAATAAATTTGAAAGCAGTTGTAATTATAAAATTTACTAATTATAACGTGGTTCTGAAACACCATTGAGATTTTTAAATGGATAAGAGATTATTATGTACTTTTACAGTTTGCTCAAACAGTCAACAAAAATTTAGAAGAGATTATTTTCCCCGCTATCTAAGATTAAGGCCTTAATACAAAATAATAACAATATTACCTTTATTTAAAGATAGTCTTAAAAAATTACTTGTTATTTAATTGGAATCACTATTGAACTATCTGTAATATATGTACATTGAATTAACCCTTAGCTGGCTTATAAATGTCGCAAGGATACCAGTGAAATTTGTCTCTTTTCTGCCACTTCCAAAATTCTTGTATTCTTTTCATTAACAGTGACATCTAAAGAGTAGCAGTTTAAAATTTTTAAGTTTTATTTTTAAAATTATAAAAATTATTAAGTACATGGCACGCGTATAAAAGTATGGGCTACATTTAACAGTGTGCCAGCTGAGGGTTAATTAAATTTTTAATTCTTAAATTTATTATAAATTCATATAGTATTTTACCAACCTATTAAAGAATCGATTTCATACCGATCGAGGAACTTTTCCCCATTTTTGATAATATAATCATGATTATCATCATCCCACCCATCATTGTACAGTTTTCTCTCCTTTTTATGAGACCCATCCTCGCCTTGTATCTGCTGTGCTCTTCTCTTCTTTTTGGCATAATATACCTGAAAAAAATAATAAATAAATAATAATAATAATTATTGTTATTAAAAAAATACAGAACAATTATATATAAATAAAAAATTTTTAGGAATTTAAAATCTGCGTAACTAATTATTGAATTTTTTTTTTTATGTATTGAAAAAATTATGTTTGAAAATGACATTCTATGGATGTGCCCACCATAGAAAATAGTTATGTATCTTGTATTTACTAATGTACATGAATAGTCTAATTATTCTTCTTAGGTTTAATTAGTTAAACTTGAACATTTTATGGCTTTTGCAATATCTAATGTTTATGAAACTAAAAAGAAGAAAAGAAGAGGAACAAAGGAAAGGGCGCAGAATCCGATCAGTTCTTGGATTGGTTCCGATCGATATCGTCGCAACCACGTGAAAAGCATGCCGCATTTGAACATTATGATGCTCTAACTCAATGTAATATTTTATAAAATTATAACTAAGAGTAATTCCTATTTATGTTAATATTAAGAAATTTAATTTCTCAAGAGTGAGTGCTTCGCATTTGAATGAAAATTAATTTCAAAATAGGGGAGAGTAGGGCAAAACCGGGTACCCCCAGTTTTCCATGATAGGTATTTCCATTTGTGTCGCCTATTACATATATCTTTTATATTACAACCAACATCATTTTAATTATATAACCACTATATTATAAAAATTTATTTATTATATTTTATGCGACTTTTAAATTTTAGGTCAAAAGAAAATCCATTTTTTATCGAAAGTAAATCACTTATAAAACTTTTTGTGTCGAAATATTCGTTTCGGCAAGTATAACATCTTTTTCAGCATTTATTTACGAATAATTTTCATTAAAAGTAATTGTTAAATTATTAACAATAAGCTGAGAATTTTACATTTTGTTCAAAAATGCAGTGCGGGGCAAAACCGGATATAGTATATAAATATATTACACTATGCATATTTAAATTTTTTCTCCAAAGAATCGACATGTATGTTCCGAGATCGATGTTTAACTTTCGATATATCAGTTATTTACCATATCGATAAATAAATGATAAAAAATTAATAAAAATATGAAAAATTTAGTTTTAAAAGATTTAACTGCTGTTATTCATTATTAATATAATATATTTTGATTTTTATTGAATATTAATTATTTTCTATAATTTAAGTGATATATAATAATAATTGAAAAAAAAGTTAAAGAATATTCAATGTTTATATATTTCCTTGACAGTACCCGGTTTTGCCCCACCATCGGGGCAAAAACGGGTACTTTGCATTTTTTTGAAAAACCTGGTTTAAATTGATCAAAAAAATTTTTTTCATGGAATTGACCTTATTTTCTCATTCTCTAATGTTCAAGGAAGAATTTTCAACGAGATTTGAACTAATTTATTTGATAGATTCTTTGTAATCCGAGAATCCCAAAAAGGTACCCGGTTTTGCCCCACTCTCCCCTATTGCTTTTAATTTTTAAATTACTCTTGTTCCATAATAATTAAAACTACATTGTAATAAAAACTTTTAAATTCATCACAATGGATTAAGAATTTAATTTTTAAAAATATGTAGATAAATTTGACTTAATGTTTTCAACATATCTTTTATCATGTCACTAAAGAAGTGACACTATAAACATCTAAAATCATTTCTACAAAATGTATTGAATATATTTTTTTAATTAACTACATTAAAAACAATTAGATATATCTCGAAAACATTTTTTTTTAGGATTTGTGAGTTGTTTATATAAGTTAATTAATAATTCCCTATAGTTTGGAGTATACTTTTAAAAAATACAGTAATATCAAAGTTTTATAAATAAAAAAATTCGCCAACTATTACAAGTTCAGAGTGCGAGTTCCCTTGAGTGTAAGTAACAAGGTATCATTTTCTGCCTATGTCTTACCTTTTATTTAATTGATCAGACCAAGTTAGAATAATTGCCACCTTTACGTGCAAACTATCTCTATCTAAACTGATAACGCGTTTACAGTGCTTTTGCGCACTCTATTCATATAATAAGGAAGGGACGCATGAATATTCCCTGCACTGATAACTCAAGAATTTTTGTGGGTCGAATTCCAATTCATAAAATTTCTATTTAGCAGAATTTTATTTTACATTGAACTGAGTTTTCATTTCACTGAATTTAAATAAATTTCTATTTACATAGTCAAGTGACAATTAGTACAAATGAAGAATCGATAAAATGGAAACTTTGCCATACTTAAAAATTCGACTAATTATAAGTAGAAATTTTAGAAAATGAGAATTCTGCTATAAATAGTTTTAAATATTTCTGCATTGAAATAAAAATAATATTTAACAAAAATTCGGTTAAATATCAGTAAAGATAAATTAGAATACTCGGATATATTCGAATGTAAAAAATTTCTGTTTACATTTATTGTAGTTTATTTACGCCAATTATCAGTATCCACTCAAAGTATTCCAAATGTTTTCTTTTTTCAGGGAAGACTAGTACCAAAACAGATAATCATAGAGATGTGGGTCCAATGAAAAGTAAAATTAGTTACCATGCGCGAACCTGTTGCGACATTGTGAGTTTATAAAAACTCCCAAGTTACGCGCAACCTTGCCTAAATCTTAGAAGCTATATTATATTGGTTATATTTTTATTTAAAAAATGTACACGGAAAAAACAAACTAACTATTTTAGCACCAAATTGCTTTATCCTTTATTAGTATACAATTTCGTTTACCTATTAAAGTATGAAATAATGCTTTTTTAGTTTAAAGTAAGTCCATACTAAATAAGTATAATGGTTATACTCTTATAGTAATATTGATGTACTTTAACAGCATAAAATTGATGCCCGCGAAGTACGACATGGTCTACCTAAAATAGCAAGAGCTTCTTCCTTTTTGGTGGATAAATTCTTGCAACCTGCGTTTTGGCCTATATCGATGGTTGGAAAGGGAGGGAGGCGTGGCCAAAACGCAGGTTGCAAGAATTTATCCACCAAAAAGGAAGAAGCTCTTGCTATTTTAGGTAGACTATATGTCGTACTTCGCGGACATCAATTTTATGCTTTTAAAGTACGTCACTATTACTATAAGAGTATAACCACTATACTTATTTAGTATGGACTTACTTTAACCTAAAAATTCATTATTACATACTTTAATAGGTAAACGAAATTATTTACTATTAAAGGATAAAGCAGTTTGGTGCTAAAATAGTCAGTTTGTTTTTTCCGTGTAGGTCACATAATTTTTAACTTACTTCGTTGATGTGTTTATAAGTCTTGATAAGATCAACGCTTAATTTTCGTAGTGGAGCTGTACTGGGATCTCGAAACCTATGGGGTATTCGAGCTTGCATAGCATGGATATCAGCAGGGGTTTCTTGAGGAACCCCGCCGGAACCTACGCCACTGCCAACTCCACCCCCGCAAACTGCTGCCGGTAGAGGTTCTTCAGCAACTAGGCGACCGTAAAGAGGTGCACCCCCTGTAGCCGTCCTCACACTGCTCACTGTAATCAAAATAAAGATGTTACGAATGTGGTATTTTTAAATTCTATCAAATAACATATCCTTTATTTTTACACTGAGAAAAAAAATTTAGTGTTTGCAACAAAATTGTTTGGTTAGGCAATTTTGGTTCTTGTAACCAAATTTTTTATGGCTGAAACAAAGTCGTAGAGTTATCTCAACCAAACATTTGATTAGGCCAACAAAATTATTTGGTTGAACATTTTTAAATTCCAACCAAAATTTGGTTACGACAACAAAATAATTTGGTTAACACAACTAAATAATTTGGTTAACACAACTAAATAATTTGATTCGCTTTCAGCTCATAGCTTAAGAGAACAGTTAGTTTAAATCTTTCACAAGGATGGATAGTACAGTGGTCAGAGCTCCCGATCTTCAGTTTTAAAACAGAGGTTCGATTCCAGGCGGAGATGAGATTTTTCAAAGTCCACAAATATTTCAATTGAATAAATATAAATTCAATGTTAAATTGATAATAAATAAATAATGAAATAAATAAAAAAGATAAGAAAAAAATAAGGTAGAATAAAATTTTTAATTTTACAAAAAAACTGTATGTTTGATCAACCAAACATTTTTATTGACCTAACAAAAAAAATTTGGTTGAGCTAACCAAACATTTTTGTTATGCTAACAAAAAACACTCAACCAAATTTTTTGGTTGACTCAAATAAATAGTTTGTTTGCTTAAATACCAACAAAATGTTTTTGTTGGCCCAACCAAATTTTGGTTACTCAGACTAAACATTTTTCTCAGTATACTTTTTTATTTTTATTAAATTATTTTTTTAATACCTTCTATTAAAAAATCGACAGTTTATTTTTTTGTTTTTTCATAATTTTAATTTGGGCCATAGCCACAGATATACTAATGATGCTGTAGACCACATGACGTTTATGATTAATTAATAGAAATGAAAATTTTTTTAAACAGAAATTTATAAAATTGTTTTTCTATAATATTTCTTATAATTTTTTGTTCAATAAACATTACAAAAAACATCTTTAAAACAAAAATTCATATAATTTTTCTTTTAAAAAAAATATTTCTTTAAAAATCGTTAATCATAAACATCATTTATGCATTCTTGTCTTATACTAAACCTTATTAATCTTTTTGGTAAAGTGTTTCAAGGTGATTTTTGCCTAAATACAGCTATACGTGATGGTTATTTTAACAAAAAATGAAAAATCTAAACAGCGAATATAACTGATGGCTAAAAAGGCCTGCTCATCATTGTGAATTAACCTTATATACTTTGACATATTTTCGTGGCAGGATCCACAAACCTGTTTCTATCAGTGTCATCCCTTAAACGGTTAAATTTTCTCGGTGCGTCTGAACATCTTCAATGATTTAAAAGATATGTCACATTAAGTCATTAGTTGCTTAGATTAATTTACGCACATAGTTTTTAAACTTTACTTGGTTACTTGTAAAGTTTATGTCAAAAAGTTAGACCTAATTTTCTCCTAGAAAATAGAGCTTAATCTGCTCTACAATGTTGCATTAAAAAATGACACCAGTTCGCTGAAAATTTGTTGTGCAAACTTACGAACGTTACATTGTATATAATTACATATGTTATATTTCATGCACCGTACGGCACTGAGTATTTATATATACATACTTTCTGGTATCAAGGTATCCATACTTAGAACTTGAACACCAAAACCGAATAGTGTATAGTTCGGAGGTTCTAGTGTATTGTTCTATTTCTTCTGACATTAAAAGTTATTTTTTTTATTTGCACGGTTAAACTGATTAAATCAATATTTACAAGTCACTGCTATAAAAAACTCGATACATGTATTACGAAACAATGATTGATTCAAAATTATTCGTGATTTCAAATTTTTGTCTAAAGAAACATGATTTTTAATAAATAGATTTATCTGAAGGCAAAAGCTACTGAACTAATTAGTACGATACTTAAAACTTATAAAGATAAGAAAAAGAGCTAAAAAGTACTTTTCTTTAACTTTTATTATTTTTAAATTAGTTAATTTTAACTCAATATTTTGAATAGTTAAATATTTATGGAATAAATAAATAGCTTAAATATTACATGTTTTTCGTAAGATTAATTGTTGTAAATGAAACAATAAGGAATTTGATAGTTCCAGTCTGCTGTAGATTCTGTCTTAAGTTTTTCATTTTCACTCATAGTGAGAATCGTTACTTTAAAAGTTGATGTATAGTTCATAAAGAGGAACTATTTTGGTTTTGGTCATTTATGATTGATTTCATCAATTCCGAATTGTTCCAGGTATATAATATAATAATAATGAATATTTAAAAATGATTGTGTACATTATAACTATATTTATTTTTCAAGACTACCAGTAAAAGTTATTACTTCAATGCTAGTTTGTTGAATAGAAAAAGTTATTATAAATATAAATAAAAATATATATAAAAAAAAAAGAATTGAAAATGAAATTCAGGTGTAAGATTGTAGCATCTAGCATCTACCTTTTAAGTTAACGACTGTCTCGCTGGCACACGTAGAAATGTGTGCAGAGAAGCTCGATAGAAAAGCAAAGTGGAGATAGGAAGAGAGTGAGGGTACAAGGGAGAGTGAAATGGCAGGAGGAACCAGCATAGCAACAGAGAGACCGCTTCGAAATGAGCTACCAACCAGCCAGCCGGAGTAGCGTAACCCAGCGTAGTGCAAAGTAAAGCGCAGCAAAGAGCGCTTTCAAGCGCTTTACTCCTGCTGGCTGCTGTACCGACTGCAAGAGTTGTGGGCGCTTATAACTTTATATGTACAATGCGCTGCAGAGCGCATGAGAGAGAGCGCATGAGAGAGAGAGAGAGAGAGAAGGGTTTGCCTATGCAAGAGAGTTAGACGGCGAGATGTAGACTAGGAGAAAGACAGGAGTCGCGTATTGATCGTGTCGCACGGGGGTGGAGCAACCACCAACCGACTAGCTGGTCTGCTTGCCTGCCACGTGAGCTCAACAGTAAGAGAAGTCTACTAAAAGAGACGAAGAAGTAAAGAAAAACCACCTGAAAGGGAAAGAGAAGTTGTTTAAAAGAGTAGCAAAGAAAAAATTAGGAAAAGATAAAAGTAGAAAATTTTATACATTCGAAAAGATTTTTTTTTTTTTTTTTTTTTTTTTTTATATTAATTTCTTTATGATTTCTTATATCTAATTCTATTTTTTGGCACTCTCACTTTCCCTACATGGTAATTCAAAGCCCGATAGATCTTTCAAAAATAAAATGGAAACTTTTGTTCTATTTATGTGCAGCATGAAATCTCAATTAGTAGGTCAGAGAACTCTGTCGGGTGTTCGGTTACTATGTAGCTTCCATTGAAACCCAACGAATTTTATGACATGTAGGTGTATGTATATATAATTCCAATTATCACTGTAAAAATCTGAATCTTATTATAAAAGAAAATTAAGTTAAGTGCCTGTAGTATGATTACACGCATAGAAGAAGTTTGCTATAATTTTCATTTTCCGTTGCCATAACAAACTGTCCTCATTGAAATAGGGACAGCGATCAAGTTTGCTTTGGTAACCAACTTTTCGCTGCCATAGCAAATTTTTTTGCTGTACTAGCAAATATTTGTATTTGCTGTTGAAAATATTGACTGCAAAAATCAATTCAGCGAATTCAGTTCTTTCCAAGTAAGATGCTTCAAAACATTTACCAAAATGAGTTAAATGACTATTAAGATGCTTGTTTTTGTAGTTTTTAAACCAAGGTAAATACTAAGAGTTTACGTGTAACCGTGAACGCAAAGTATTAAGCAAAGTACACGAAAATGAATTAATTAGCTGCAGTTGCTAACTGTTTTTTGCAGTCAAATAGTGGTAAAGACAACTGTACCTAATCTGACAAATGCAAAAAAGAGTTTCAAACGTCTTTTGTAAATAAGTGTTTTATGATATAATAATGCGAATTCTAACCTCCAAATGTTAAAACTATACACCAAAATAATGTATATTAAAGGTGCATTTCAAATCCAATTTCTCAAATAAAGATAAGCACTCATTTTTAGTGTCGTTAAATGATTTACAGTTTTCTGAGGATCTCAAATTGAGACCATAAAGTGTATCAAATTATTGATAATGCAACGTTTTGATGCTGTTTATGGTCTAAATTTGAGAGCCTCAGAAAACTGTGTTCAAATAAAAACTTAAAAATGGATATTGTTTTGACTAACAACGTAGAGAGTGTTTTCAATTACATAACGTTTATATAGAAGTTAACGTAAAATTTAGACTTTAGTTTTATCCCGATACATCATTAACTTTCTTCCCAAGAGCAGCTGATGACATAGCAGGAGAAAAATATGTCGAATGCTTTGAAATACATACATATTTCCCAGGAATTTCTCAGCTACAAATTTTTTCCATGCAAATTCACGCGTATCTCCTTCTTGCAGCCAGCTCTTCAATTGTAAGTCGTTGCATAATACTTTTAGAGCTTTTTTTAATATTGATTTCTCAAATAAGCACGGAGAAAAGAGTGTATAGTGAATATCACTACGAGCTGACTAACAATTACCTACTAAACAACTTCGTAGTATTTTGTAAAAACTAAACATTATTATAGTCAAATGAACCTCTACTCTCAGTAATATTTTTTAGGAAACTTAATTGAGTTCATTTAGCGCAACTTAACAATAAATATATAAGAATATACGCAGAACAAAATAGCTGCGGTTGCTAACTCCAATTCTCCTATACGGAACGTTTACATATGACCCCCTATATCATGATTTGACAAGACTCCTCTTTGCTAATGGTATAGGTGTATATATGTAACATTGGTAACAATATGTATGACTAAAGTAACATCGGTATGACTCAAACAACTAAATCGTATGTCAGTAATCATTTCTTTCCACATGCACAGTATTTTCTTCTGTATAAAGCAAGTGCTAATAGAGTTAGATAATTCATTAAATCATTTTACTTGCATTAGTTTTATTGAAATGAGAAATTTCTTTGATGCATTTATAGATATATTTTCTACTCTCTAAATTTAAATCAGCGAAATGTCGCTGATTCTCAGCTATAAGTATACCACTGATTCCAATCAGCGTATATGAACTGATAAATTAGTGAAAATTCACTGATTTTTCAGCGTATATACGCTAATTGGTAACAGTGGTATACTTATCGCTGATTCAAATTTAGAGAGTAGACCTATGCAAAACCAAAAAATAATTTTAAAAAATATTCATAATTACTTGAAATTCTCAGTAAACTTACTAATTTGAAAAAAAAATTGGAACTTATAAATTTTCTGAACCTAATGTTTATATACGCACACATACTTGATCAATGAGCAAAGGATGATTGTTTAGTCAAATTGAATGATGAGTTCCCGATTTTTTCAAGTTCAAGAACTGTAGTTTTCCATGTCAAGCAATCGCATAAAAAGTTGAGAACACTAATGGAAATACTCATTCGAAATTTTGTAAGATGTTGAGAACTTTTCAGAAAATACATATCAACTCATTTTGAGAAAGTAATGAAAAAAATCTACTAAATTAGTTTTAACCTTTTTTCAGCGTTCCTGAGTTTCTCCTAAATATTCTTTCAATATTCACTAAACTTGTTGAAGAACTAATAAATTTGCATTCGTATCTAGGACATGGAAAATAATTCCTGCCTTTTTCATGAATTATTTGTTTATATTAATGATACAGTGGAACCTCTATTATCCGAACCGAATAACATTTTATCCGAACTTCTATTATCCGAACTATTTTTTGGTCTCCTGAATTTTCTGAGTTTTTAATATATTATTAATTAATATATATTTACATATATGTATATACTTATGTATATTTAAAAACATATGTATTAAGTTAAATATATAGTTCAACTGTACATTTTTTTACTTTAATTATAAAAAAAAAAATTAAAATCCCGATTATCCGAACCCGGCCTTGCCTAGATTAGTTCGGATAATCGAGGTTCCACTGTAATACTTAAATTAAACTTATTAAAAATATATTTTAAGTTTGATTCAAATGTATCGTTTTTTCAATGCATTGCATTGAACTAAAAATTAAATTTACATTAAATGAGGCATATAAATAAGAAGTACTAATATGTTTGTTGCTTACATTGCTGTTTATGCCTCGATTCCATGAGCTTCAATTGTTCATGTTTGAGCCAGGCAGCATCAGTAGTATCCGATCCAGCCATACTTCTTGCACTTACAGGGGGAGGTTGTACACCCCCTCGACTACCGCCATACTCCATCCCACAGTCCCCCCACCTGCCTAGGGCAGTCCTCGACAGTTCATAACATGGGGCACGTGGACCCTTAATACCACTTGTTTATTTTTACGATCAAACAGTTTAAACGCTTTATATCACTATATATCAATTTCGATTTATCACTTTTAAAAAATTTGTAACTATGTAATTGTATTCGGTTTCCTCGTTCCTCCTCTCCCGTCCAGAAAAGAACACTTTTCTTAGTTTGCATACGAAACCGTACTTTTTTTTACATAGATAAGCTGCTTTTTTAGGCGTCAACAAAGACGGTAGTCTTTGATTACTTTATATCAATTTGGCGTTTTCAAGTACTTCTCATATCTTCTTCTGTATGTCATAGTAATTCTCCTTTTGTTATAAGTTCTGAAAAAAATAAGCATCTGTTTATTATATCACAAAAAATACATTTTCATTCATGTTGATTCCACAATAATGGACCATGATTTTTTGGGCGATGTAAAATCTCTAAAACTTTAAAATTAATTTAAATTTAGCTATTTTTTTTATTATATTATGATTTTTGATAAATATATTGGATGTAACTATTTTTTTTATATACTCTCAAGCGCTATTCAATAAAATAGATGGCTGAGATAATTTTAATGGATTTCATAGAGTAAGAATATAGTTGTCTTTTAAATATGTTTAATTATTAATCAGTTCATTTTTTTCTTTAATAAAGTCACCAATTTTAAAGAAAAATATTTTTAAAAAAATAAAAAAAACATTTTCTCCCTAATTCACTCAGATACTAAATAAAATTGAAATATTCAAGATACCTGTCTACACACGTAGAGAAGTGCATATAATAGAGGCTATACTCCCATGAAAGTAGAGTCTACTAAACAGAATCGTTAATTTGAATTAATTAAACAAGTGGTACTAAAGTTCATTATAATTATATCAGATATAAGTATATTAAACGAATAATGTTTGTTTCAGAAATTTCAATCAGTACCTGACTTTTTATTATGAACTTCGATATTTTAATTTTAATTAATTCAGATTTAGAGAAAATTAGGATTACAGTTTGTGCCTCTCATACGGTATTGGTGCTACTCGCAAACATATTAATGAAATTTTGTGGAATGCCAACCTAGTCTATGGCTTAAACACCAATATTGTATTATTGATACGAACACAAGCCACAATTTTACTATTTATTATTATTTTATTTACTTTTTTTTTATTTAGATTTCCTGCGTACACCTTTTTAAGGTTTTTACGCTCTCTATCCCCCATCTTTAACCTCACACCATAATTTTACTAATTATTGACAATTAAAATCTAAGGCAGATTTTCAAATTACAAAAATATGTATTAGAGTTTAGATTGACCACAGTTATAAATCATGAAAAGTATGTCCATGTTTTTAATACTATGTTAAATAATTTAAATTTGAATAATTAAATTAATAATAGTCGAAATGTTTATATTTAATTTCATTCTTTTTTTTTTTTTTTTTATTTTATCTTTATAGATACGCATTACAATTCATTTTTTTCACTACTTTTGTATGTACGTAGTCATTACTATACTTTTTATATCTAATTGAAATAAAAAAGGTTATTTGGGAATAAAATTTAAAAAATATTTTGACAATTATGAATGTTTGTAAAGAATTTGTGTTATTAACAGAAATTAAAATTAAATTTATACATAATCAACTTTATAATAAAATGAAAAATAAATTATTCTTTTTAATTTTTTACTTGTATTTTAGATTAAATAAATATATATGTATTTGGATTTAACTATAAGTGGTCTGTTTAATTAAAACATTAGTAGAACAAAAATACATTTTTGTCTTTTGAAGGCTAAAAGACTAAATCATTACTAATTTATTAATAATAATTTGAAACATTTACCTGTTTAAAAAATCTTGATGAAGACAACAATTATTCATATCCTTGAAAAGAAAACGTTTTATTGAACTGATTATGTCGGTCGTTGAAAAAACACACTTGAAAATTTCACTTAGAACAATAAGATAGAAATGAATACTGAATCATCAATTAACCATCAAGACGAGGAGCGATGACGATAATATATCGACCAACGACCTTCGTCGTTGAGAAATTTTAGCTGCAGGTTTCGTTGAATTCTTAAATATATATTTACTTAGTGCTTTTCTTCTCTTTCTTTCTTTCACATATTTCTTTATAGAATGCTGCCACTTTTCAGTCTTTAGATCTACTGAAATTCATTTAATTATTTGATTTTGAGCTAAAAAAAATTTGACGTTCCAACGATCAACGAAATGGGCGGTAATCAGAAGGAGGTGTCCTACATTTTGAACGCAGTCGCTAGGCACGTGTAAGCTTCATTTTTCATCGAAACAAAAGCCACAATCATCTTGTTGTATCTAAATACATAAATGATTATTTAACTTTAAAATTTATCGACTGTCCAATCGACATTTTTGGAGTTGCGTATATGAAATAAAGCAACTTGTAAGAAAATTGGTTATTGTCGTTAATATTGTAGATTATTTGGTGAATTTGTGTTGTCAATTGTATCAGTTACACATGTTGACAAAAAGTAATTGGATTATTTAGTTGCAAATGTCAATGACAACGACAAGAATGACGGCAAAGGAATCAGGTTATGACCATTGAACAGCGGTGCATACGGTCGTAACTATGTGGTTTGACAACGAAGATCACGTGTTCCACAACGCGTCCACTTCTTACGACCTCACTATTCTCTCTCTTGTACTCTATTTTTCTTTTCCGAATTAGGTAATGAATACCAACGTCGACGGTAAAAGCGGCTTTTCTTTAATAACGGGACATTTCTGAGCGATTTCTAGTCACAAACGAAAAACAGACGATCTCGAGGAATTAGATGAATGCTTTAAGATATTGGTGCAGAATGTAAGTATCGCTAGCGCCACTGCAGAACAGATATATAAAAACACACTGGACACCCCTCTGATAACTGCGCAATGAACTCGTCCACTTTAGGGTCAAAAGCACCGCGGCAAAATAATAACAAAAGCTATGTGTTGCGAAGACGTGGAAAAAAGACGATTCCCAACTCAATTGCAGCAACTAAATATAAGAAAATATTCAGTATTCGAATTTTAGTATTCGTACGCATCACTTTTCACATTACTGGAACATTCTTCGATTCGTGCACACAACACTGCTATCACGGACATTCACCTTACAGCTCGCGTCGCCGACACGCTCTGACGAACTTCCACTTTATGTTACCACCCAAAAAAAAGAACGATTTAATTTAATACCAATAAATTTAGCCACTGATTTCTGCTGTTAAGCAGCACTATTTGTCTGATCTATTTTTTACTACTATTGTTGTTTGTCGACAAAAACCTTAAACACGAGCACTGCACGCCCTAAGCGACCATGGGGTAAACAGCGATACTGAGAAAGAGAACATGAACATGAAGCAAGAAAGTTAATATCACAGTTGTAAAAAAAGGTCTTAAAACTCTAATAGAGGGGATGACTCGTATATTGAAGCAAACTCTAGAGAGCGCAACGTGTTTCAATTCGAAAGTTGTTGTTGGTCGTTAAGGTGCTTTATACGCTTATCCTTCTCGCACTCATAGTCTAGTTACAAAATTTGATGCTTTAAGGTACGGTCACAACTCAGTTTCTAAAGTAACGTTGCCAACGTATAAGATTGAAAAAAATAAAGAATATTCTTATTTCTCTCCCTCTTATATGTTACCATTTGTCATAATCCTCGTCAACTACCTATTGGAAATTTAGTGACTGTATTGTTAAAATTAAAAGTTACTATAAAATTACTACAATTTCACTAGAGCAGGGTGCGGTAGTTGAAGAGATTTATGACAACAAATGGCGAGTGGTGGGGACAATGGAAACCAACCTGAGCTGTGGCCGTACCCTTACGCCCCCATGTGATTTCACCTTTACATATCCCGACTTGCGTCATTCGGGAATCTTCTCTACTTTGGTCTTAAATCATAATGAATGAAATATCCCGGCCCTTACTTAACATTCTCCTCTGATAATACTGTAGGACCGTTTCAACTTTTTACTACTTTTACATCTTCATAAATGTCTAATCATTAAATATGTTATTCAAGTACTTTATGTTATTACAAAGTGTTCATATTTACGTACAAGCCCGTGACGAATTTGTAAACACTAAAATAAGGTATAATGTTGTTTATATTTCAAATATTGTTTTCATATAGTAAACAATTTTTAAATAAAAGAGTTTATGGTATTCATTTGTATTTTGGATTATTTAATATTTCTGAGTGTAATTTTAAAGATAAGGCACGACTTCTAATAAAGTAACATGCTTACAAGATTTTTTGTGTAATTAATTTTCTTTTTTTTCTGTTAAACAGGACTGAAAAGGAGAATTTAAAATCGTCTAATGATAAGAATAATTTTAATTATACTGAACTTAACAATTTAAGTAATTTAAATGCAACATTAAATTGGCCGAATAATTTAATTATAAGCCCAAAATATCAGGAAGGAAAGTGTGAGGTAGGTAATATTAAAATTGCTGTTGAAAAATAGTCATTATAATTATGTAGTTCTTCAGCTAGAACGTATAACAATTTACATTTTAAATAATTATAGCTTTACTTTTCATCGATTTTTTTCGCAGATATATAAAGGAAAAATATGTTTAGAATTTGTTAAAAAAAATTTTGTTTTCATTCCTGATTCCATGACACAAGACTCTTTGGAAAATAAACTTGAACAAGCTTTCAGCGTTATTAAATTTTCAAAGTAAGTTTTTTTTTTCTATTTTCTGAACGTTTGTCGTTATCGTTGATAATGTAAAATTTTTTAATAAAATGTTTATCTCTGCAGTGAAGTTTCAACTAATTGTCAAGGATATGCAAAACCATCTCTCTGTTATTCTGTGTTTCCCATTTGTCGTGATAAGACGATTGATAGTGAGCATCAAAATTCTCGAATTAGCAGTCGGTTATTTAATTTATTAAACTCCAATAAACAAAAATTACAAGATAAATCTGAAAAAATCGACAGTACAGATGAATTAAGAGAATCTCCAATTACAATTGAAATGTTTTCTTCGTCCGACAACAAAATAAATAATTATAAAGATAATTTACATTCTCAAAACGAAATTGTTTTAAGCCATTCAATGCAGTCAAAAACAAATAATTTAAATACTAGAGTGCGTAGAATTTGTCGTGAAGAATGTGAAATGTTAGAAAATGAATTATGTCGTCAGGAGTATGCAATTGCAAAGCGTCATCCGCAAATTGGGCAGCAAGTTCCTTTGGTAGAATGTTCGGATTTACCTTTAAACGGTACAGATGAAGCTGTTGACTGTTTATCTTTAGGTATTTCAACAGAAATTCACATTCATAAAGGTAAGTGTTGGAAAATTTTGTTAAATTGATTAATATAAATAAATTCGAATGTACTGTTTTAACATATTGTTCCTTTTTTTCAGAAGACAATTGTTATTGGGGTACTGGCCAATCATATCGTGGAATTGTAAAAACAAGCATTTCTGGTCGCATGTGTCTTAGATGGTCACATCAGTTTAATCTTCAAATATCTGATTATTTGGAACTGGCTGGAAGTCATTCTTATTGTAGAAATCCTGGTGGAAAAGAACTGCATCCATGGTGTTACGTTGATGTAAATAAACGAACACACATTGAATTTTGTAAAATTCCAAAATGTAGTAAGTTTCTTGAACAAATTACTTATATAATTAATTTGTAAATGGTGACCTTTTTAAAAACCAGATAAGATAATTTTGTATATATTTTATTTATAAGAATTAATATGCAAAAATGATTTTTTAGTTGACAGTTTTTGGACTTACACCATTATTGGATTCATAATAACGGGGGTGCTTGTAATAATATCTTTTTACACTTATTGCTACAAAATTAAGAATTCATTAAGATCGATAGATCATTTACCATCAAGCAAGGTATGGGTAGAAGAAGCATAATTTTCTACTTACTTAAAAGATATTGAAGAACTTAATTGTTTATATTGCAGATGTTAACGAATTTACATTGTGATAGAAATATTTATAATGGATGTCAAAACACAACTCAAATAGTAGAAATGAATTCTCTTTTGTCAGAACGAGAAAATATAACGTCATGTACTGGGACACTTGGGAGTAAAAATGTAAAAACTTGTGCTAATTCAGTACCTCAATTTTCAATTACTAATGTAATGTTTTTACAAGAATTGGGAGAAGGTGCATTTGGTAATTTTCAATTTATAATTATTTATTATAATTCAATAATGAACAATTTATTTTTCATAATAAAATTATTTTAGGAAAAGTTTACAAAGGAAAATTACAGACTGAACAATCAGCAGATCCTATTTATGTAGCAGTCAAAACTTTAAAAGTAGATGCAAGTTCAAAAACTCTAAATGATTTTAAAAGAGAAGTAGATCTCATGATAGATCTCAGGCATCCTAATATTATTTGTTTATTAGGTGTGATTTTAAAAGGAGATCCTATGTGCATGCTTTTTGAATATATGACTCAAGGAGATTTACATGAATTTCTCATTAGTCAATCTCCAAAATCCGATACATATTTTAATGACAATAAAAATGTGTTTAAACAATCCGAGTTTTTGCATGTTGCTCTTCAAATTGCCGCAGGTAAAGTGATTATGCTAGAAAAAACAAATGTAAAATGAAATATAGCTATATTATTTATCGGCTATCTCTTTAATTTTTATTAGTTTTTAATGATTCATACACACATAATTTTAATTATATTTCTTTTGTCAATTTATATTTTCAGGCATGGAATATCTTGCTAATAATCATTATGTTCATCGTGATCTAGCAGCTAGAAATTGTTTGGTTGGAGATAATTTGACGGTGAAAATTTCCGATTTTGGTTTATCCCGAGATATATATAGCAGTGATTACTATAGAGTACAATCGAAGAGCTTACTTCCTGTCCGATGGATGCCACCGGAATCAATTCTTTATGGAAAATTTACAACTGAATCTGATGTATGGAGTTTTGGAGTTGTTCTATGGGAAATTTATAGTTATGGTTTACAGGTATTAAATTTTTCCAATTTGCAAGATTTAATCATATTTATTCATTAAATTAAATTTACATTTTGTTTATTTTAGCCATATTATGGATATAATAACCAAGAAGTAATCGATATGATACGTTCACGTCAATTATTACCATGCCCTGAAGAATGTCCTGCAGTGATATACAGTCTAATGCTCGAATGTTGGTCAACAAACCGTAGACCACAATTTTCTGAGATACATCAACGGCTACACAATTGGTCAAGTAAACTTTGTTAAAAATTATGTTTTCTTTTCATTTCTTCACGCAAATAAGAAGAAAATAAACATTCTTCCTAACTTCAATATTTTTTAAGAAAAAAAAATCAATTACTAGTCATATTAATTTATTTAATTACGATAAGATAAAAATTTGTTAGTAAAGTATCAATCTGAGAATATTTACAACTATTTGTAAAATGTTGTGTATAGCAATATTATATATTTATATTTAAAATTTTTATACCAGTGAATATGAAATGTAGATGTACATAATATTAGGTATATAAGACATCTTAATTGTATTCTATCTAAGACTTGTGTATGTTTGTGAGGTTGTTTTGTACTCCAAAGAATTTTATAATTTTAAACTTTATTTGTAATTTTTTACAATACATTTTTTAAAAGTCTGAAATGAGTGGTCTTATTTTTTTTAACATATCCTACATAGATTTATATATATATATATATGTATGGCTTTTTACACTAGTAGATATATATATGTATATATATATATATATATCTACTAGTGTACATGTAGATGTATATGTACTAGTGTACTAGCCATGAGTTGTACATGGAAATATTTTTTTCATTATTTATAAAACTAATAATAAAATACAATAAACAAAATTAGGTAATTTTGTAGAAGAATATTAACTTAATTATAAAGCATTATCAACAGTATGCTACCTATCTGCAAAGTAAATGAAAAATCATAAATTGTTAATATATAATAAATTTAAGCTTTTGTAATTAGAAATAATATAGGTGTAATTTTAATATTTTAAATATCTAAATAAATATTTAAATGAAAACAGTTTAACAATTATTGAAAATTTATTATGTACTTATCAATATACATAAGGAATTGTTTATTAAATTTAATGTTTACTGTTTTTTATTATATGTTAATAATACAGAAGTAAGTGGAATTTACATGAAAGCTTATTATTGAAATTGAAATTGGAAATTACATTAAAAAAAAAATCAATCAACACTAAAGCTTTCTGGTTAGAAAATATACAAATATGTATTTCTGGTAAGAGGTCATAAAATCATAACTTGAACATACTGATTGCTTCAAATTTTTAATCAGAAAGCTGTACTCGACAAGAGTTTACAAAGTGTAGAGTTTACAATCATGTATAACAAATTTCCAAGACTTAAGCTGAACATATAATGGCTTTGGTGGTTAAATTTAGTTACTAATAAAGACTGTATGACTTAAAGTAGAAAAATGGTTTTTTTAATGGCAAATATTTCAAGTGATCTTTTTTTACTAGAGTTTTTACCAATATTTGCCGCGAAAATTTCCTCTTGCTGGTGGTCGTCCTCCCATCGGTATTTCACGGGGTGCACGAGATTTAAAGAAAAGCGCTGCTTTACTTGATCCAATAGATTCTCTCGAGAAATTTTCGTGTTCCAAATCTAAATCTTCAGGTGGATCATCCGTAGTCATGGGACTTGAGCCTCGTATTTCATCAGACATCTCTTCACGAAAGTTAACTCTTTCTTCTCGATAATTAATTCTTTCATCGAAATTGCGATTCAAAGTATGAGCATAATTTCCGGATCTCATGTGGTCAGATCCTCTATTACCTGTAAAAGATTCTCTAGGGGGCAATTCTGAATTAAAGTTTCGAGAATGTTCAATAGATGGATTTATATTTGCGGTCAAACTAGAACTTTGACCTAAGTTATGCTCATTTAAAGATTTAAATGGTCGTTCAGGGGAAATTGTGCGTCCCCAAGGAGTTCGCTTTTGAGAGCTACTTAAGCTCCATCTTAAGTCCTCTGAATCTCTCATCTTATTGGAGTAATCATATGTTTCTCTCATACTCCAATCCAAACGATCAGTAAGTGGTCTCTTTTCTTGTTGAGTAAACGGTTGCTGTATGTCCGTGGAATACACTTGAATCCCAATGTGGGCAACGCTCACACTTGCTTGAACGCCCATTGATGCTGTTTCTAATTCGTCCGTTTGACAGATTTTCTGGTGCATTTGAATAGATGATTTAGATGCAGACTGAGTCTCTTCCAAATCTTCCCAATCAATTTTATTTTTACCCTTACGAAGAAGAATGGAATTTGAAGTTTCTTCAGCAGTTTCATTTGGCGTGAGTTCTTTAGTAGGATCAAAGAAAAATCTGCCCTTCATCTTTAAACGTGGATCTTCCGATGGTAAATCTCGCAACGCATACTCACAATGACGGAGAATTTCTGGTCGGAATCCTATTTAATAAAATTATAAATTAAAAATCACTGTTTAAATTAAAAAAATATATATGTATATATACGGAAAATTTATTTTTTTTTTGAAACAAAAGTGTCTTTTCTTCTTTCTCTACATTTAATCAAAAACCTATTCATTAGACGAACGCTATTATTAGTTGAATAACATAATTAAAAAAACAAATCAACTCACCTGGATATAAGACAGAAGAATTTTTTGAATCTAAAGAAAACAAATAAAAATGTTGTAAGAATACATACGTGGTTAAAATTTCTTAATAGATATTCAATAGTTAAAATTAATGGATTAAAAAATTATTTCGAACCTTTTGTAGAGACTGATGCTTCCAAGAGACTAGATAAGCTGGTTTTTTCAAAACGCTGAAAAAATGAAACAATTTAATTATGAATAATTTTTAATTAATAATAATAAAGTAGAAGACATCGTTAGAATTGAAGTGAGTTACTACAAGCACTAAAAAATATTTTCATTGTAATTTTTATATTATGTAATGGTTTCATTTGAGGAAATATAATTTTGACAACAAAAATATTAATTATAACTCATTAACAATTGAATTAATGTTTATATATCTTAATGAATACATGTTATAAAATAATTTTGAACCAAGTAGCAGGATAATTACTTTGGAATTGGAAATAACAGGTGGCTCTGGTGTTTTTAAGCGTTCATCCTGGGTCATCTCCTGAATATTATAAGGTGATGATGATCTGCAATCGTGGTACGTTGTTTGCTGTGAAGAATTGACATTTTTATTGGTTTCCAATAGATTGTGATTTGGAGATATTTGAGATATAGGCTGTCGTAATGAATTGTAGACTGAAGATGGCTCCGAAATCCCAGGAGCCGGAACAGGTTGTGGTGAAGGAACAGGTAATGGTAGACCCGGGGGACCCAAAATAAGTTGTCCAGTCGGTGGTCCTGGTGCAAGTATTGGAACAGGTACAGGAAGAGGTCCAGTTCTGTGTACAGGATTCGGTTGTCCGAACACTGGTGGTGCTGGTGAAAAGTCGGGTGGACCTAAATGCACTGGCATCTGTTCAAAGTTCATCACTTGTCCTTGCGGCAGTATGTCGAAGTTGATGAATGGCGCTGGTCCCGACATTCGAGGTGCTCCAGAAGGCACGTTCATACCTGGTGGTCCAATAGCACTTGACATTGACGAAGGTCCAGCAATTACTGGCCCCTGTGGTGTAAAATTTGGATTTGGCAACAAAGGTAGTCTTGGTTGAGAATCAATGTGAAAAGATGAAGATGACACATTTACCGGTCCTGAATATCTGTTTAGAGTAGATGCAACTTCCATTTCGTTTCTTAACTGCCTAGCAATTTCATTGATAAATGGAGAGCGTTTTCTGCGTCGATCTGGAGATCTGCTGCGGCTGGGGCTTCGACGTCGTGGTGATCGGCTGTACCTTTTGCGTCGTTCAATGCTGGAACTACGGTGACGATCGCGAGATCGGCTCCTTCTACTCGACACCTTGAATTCACTAATAACATATTTCCTCACTCAGGTTTTTCCTTTCTAAATAACTTATTGCTAATTTTAACACATTTCAAATAAAATACTATTCACAAAATAATAATATTCAGGCACTTTTCTATTATTATGACTTTTTCCAAACATTCTCACCCCACATAGCACTATAGTTATGAAAATATTAAATGTGTAAATATTATTCGTAAATTTATTTATATAAATATATTAATGGCATAATATATTTATAAACAAGTTATTAGTATATAATCAAACTCGTTGTACCTTATATCTCATAAAACTTGTATTCAATCAACAAAATTGTTTTACAATTATTATATATACATGCAAATACAAATAAAATGAAACGTTCATGACGCTATAATATAAAATATTATTTAGTAATAATTATCCAATTATTACAGGTTTTTTCTAAATATGTATTATTAACACTTGATTACGTAAGTTTCATGTACAAAAAATACAATAAATTCATGAGTAAATAAACTAATAAACTGAATCTTTGTTTGGAAAAAGATTAATGAATGTAAAATATTATAAATGATTAATTATAGGATCGGATGTATTTTTATTTTGTATCTTACCGATCACGTTGTTCCAATCTTCGTTTTTGCCTTTCGATGCTCCATCTTCTTTCAGTACTGTTTCTACGATCCCAACTTGATTTTCTACGCCTATCGGGACTTCTGCGACGATCAGGACTGAGAATAAGTGGACTTCTACGATGTTGTGAGTTTCTTCTTCTTTCAGGGGTCATTTGATAAGGACTTCTTCGATTTCTGTATGGACTTACTCTTCTTCTCCTCGAAGGACTAATTTTATATCTTTCCAAGCTCTTTCGACGTTGACTTGTTTCTTGTTGTGTTTGCTTCTCAACTATACTTTCAATAGCATCTTCTTCTGTTCCAGGTGGAACAACTTCATCGGAATCTAAAATATGCTTTATGGCTCTTTCTTTCTCTGCCAAAAGTTTACTCTCAGAGTCCTTTTTCGCACGGATTTTGTCTCGTTCAATATCTTTATTGCTTTTTAATGGATCACGACGGATTGGTTCTCGCTTCTTTTCTTCTTTCCTAAGTCTTTCTCTTTCTCGACTCTCGGCTCTTCTTTCAAGTCTACGTCGTTCCCTATAAGTACGCTTATCTTCATTCGTTTTCAACATGAATTTTCAAATTTTTATATTAACTTTTTACATTAAAATATTAATAAAATTAATTAAATAAATAAAAAATTAAAGAGATATTGAATATTTAAAATAAAAAGTTAATCGTTAATATATGTAAACATAGTTTAAAGAATTTTCTCACACATTCATTTATATATATATTTTTAACTTTTTTGGTACCTAATAATATATTTTCTTTTATACCTTTAACTTAAACTCGATCAAGTAACACATTACGTACTACATATTTTAAGAAAAGATGTTAATTCTGTTAATGTATGTAAAGAAAAAAAAAAAAAAAAAAAAAATCAACAGTATAGTTTTTATTTAAAAAATATCAAAGTACTCGAAAATACTTAAAAAAAATTGAAATTATTCCAGTACTTGAAAAATTTCTATCTGTTGAAATCATGCTTGACCGCTGACTCAACACAAAGATCAAAAAACTTGACTTGACCTACTTATAAATATCGAGTTTCAAGCCTTTTTTGTACAATCATAACTGCATGAAAAATTATGTTATTTTTAGTCGGAGTTCCTATTAAATCTACTGATTTAATATATGATTAATTATTCTAACTTGGACAATAAAGAGAATTCTAAACTATATGTAACATTTATATTAAATTTTTCTATTTAAAAAGAACTAAAGAAAACGTTATAGAAAGGAAATTTTTGACAGTGCTTTTTCCCTTCAAAATATCCTTTCATAATCAGTGTAATATTCTTTTAGTTATTTGAAATAGTTGTACAAAGATATTCTCTCTGAGAAATCGGTGACTACTACATTCAATTTATATGATTCTCAACAAATATTCATTTAAAAATTATGTTTTTCATTCTTGTTTCAAACGGAAATATCATCTACAAATTAATTAAAAACTTATGAGTGAGAAAAGCATCACAAAATTTCCTGACTCAAAAATTAGTGTTTCTTGTCAATAAATTTTTTAAAATAATTTAATTTAAATTAAAAATTTCATAAAAAAACATTAAAATATTTTGATGTTGAATTACATACTTCCATCTAATGAAATTAACTCTTGAATTACACAGATTTTCAAATAAAAAAAATTTGTAAAGAATCAAAATAATATATCAAATATGAATTCAAATATATTGATTATATAATATGTATTGTTTCGATACACGGTGAAAAATAGAAAACAAAAATAAAGTACATTTTACTACTTCCGTATTAAATCCTAAGCAGCCCGTTATTTCTGCTTATTTCTGCCAACTTTTGCTGAGTAAATAGTAAAAACTACTATTTCCGGAGTAAACTTTAATATTTCAGTAGTAATTTTTTCTATTTCCGGAGCAAAAGTTGTCAGAAATACACACAAGTTCCGGACAGTTTAAATTTTACTTTGTAAATAATAAAAGTTACTTTATATTTTTTTCTGTGTACTATTGCAATTATCATAACAAATTTATATTTCAGTTAATCTATCATATTTTTAAATGTTCTGACATGTTTAAAAATATGCCAATTAATAAAGCAATATGTAATATGTAGTAAATTATTTAAGAGATTTTACGTGTGCAAAATATTTGCATATTTAATAGAACAAAGTACTATTTGAGCAATAAATTAATGGTTTGAGAAATTGTAACTTAAAAACCAGATGTGTTTAAAATTTCCGGATTGAGCAATATTTTTAGAAAATTTTCTATAAAGAAACTGCTACCTAGATGTAAGTCTTTTTTCACGTTCCCTTGGATGATTCCCTCGTCTTGTGTCTTCATTTAAACGATCTTCTTCACCTTCCCAAGCATCAACCACGTCCATTTCTTTCATAAAGTCTTCATCATTGACATCTTCAGTTTCCTCATCTTGATTCTCTCGAAGTTTACTGACATGTAGATTGATTTTGTCCTTATCCCCACCTCTTAAATTAGATTTTTCACGACTTTCGATATTAGATTCGTCAACTACACTCATACCATTTTCCTCTTTACCCTCCATTCTGGTCAAAAATATAGAAAGATCTGCTTATTCAATTATATTTTATAATATAGATATACAAACACGAATGATTTCAACTAAACTTCAAATTATATATTTAAATTGTGTAAAATTCATGCACACATATTTACGTCATTAATTAATACATTACAGCTTCATTATAATGAGATACTTATTTTAATTGCAATGCAGGACACAAGAGTCGGCATGCATATTTTTGATTATGTTGTAGTACGTAGATTCATTATTTTACATAAATTATACAGAGTTAATTAGGAATATTAAAAGAAAGAAAAATGCCTACTGAAATTTAATTACAAAAAACATTTGATACCTGTTTATATAAAAAATTGACTAAGAGATCAAAGATGAAAACAAAATTGGTATAAATTATTATTACAATCTTGTTAATCGAATCGTTTCCAAACTTAAACTTAATAATTTAAAGATAAGAGCATATTTGTAAGATATTCATGTACTGTATGTACACAGTTTAATTCTAAAGGCCTGAGCAGAATAGAACGTAACCAGAATTGTAACCGTAAACGCAACCGGAATAATGAGTTAGAGAAGGACAAACAATATGTCTATCCTTCTCTAACTCATTCTTCCGGTTGAGTTTGCAATTACGATTCCGGTTACGTTTCTATTCTGCTCAGGCCTTAACTATTAACCAGGCTTAAAGGTCTTTCTCCAATAGCATGCGTTAAGGTGCTTTTATACGAGTGTCGAAGAACTGCGCAGGCGTAGTACAATACGTTCCAAAAATTTACTGATAACTGTCTTATGTCATGTTCACGTATATATACTGTTAAATATTTTCTAATGGACCTGTACCACCGATAAAGAAGGGAACACAGGAATCAGACATCTCTCTCGGCTCGCGACTTTCAATGGCAGACAGCATTCCAAATATATAGAGTTCAGTGCATACGTTAGTTTCACATTTCAGATATTGTACATACTTTGTAAAAATGGTTGAAGCTTGTAGAATGGGATTGAGTGACTATTTTTGTATGTATGTGACGAGAAGCCTTCTTAGTTGGATTATGGTAACATGACATGCAGATCTTTTTCCAAATTTCTGACTGATGTATATTAATATCACGGGAACTACTTTGTAATATTAAATAATTGAAATAACAGAAATTTTGGTAAACTTATATTTTATAATTCATCATGACACTTATTAATAAGGTAAATTACTTTTTAATTGAAGTTTATAGTTATTGTATAATGATAAATATTCATAATCAAAGGATTAACGTAACTACGTATTTTAGATGGAAATAGATGAAAAAACTGCCAAGGGGGAAGGATTTAAACCATATTATATTACAAAAATTGAAGAGCTTCAATTAATAGTAGCAGAAAAAAGTCAAAACCTTAGACGACTACAAGCACAAAGAAACGAACTAAATGCAAAAGGTTTATTTAATTTTTCTTTTTTATTTTCATGGCTTGTCAAAAATTTTTATAACCCGGCAAATGTTATTGTTTCTGAACACTAAAACAATGAATGCTATTTTACATAAGTACTAAGTATGTGAGGAAATAAATCACTATTCAAAAGCATAAATTTCCAACAGTTATTGAATATTTACATTATAATTGAAAGTTGTTTTAAATACTGGATACCTACTTTAAATTTACATTATCATGTACTTCTAACCTTAAAACGATTATTATGACATTACAGTAAAATGATGAAATTAATTAAAAAATTCATTATCTTTTTTACAATTTGTGATTTTTAGTACGTATGCTGCGAGAGGAGTTGCAACTTCTTCAAGAACAAGGTTCCTATGTTGGAGAGGTTGTAAAACCAATGGATAAAAAAAAAGTGTTAGTAAAAGTTCATCCTGAAGGAAAATTTGTGGTAGATTTGGATAAAAATATTGATATTAATGACGTAACTCCAAATTCACGAGTAGCTCTTCGAAATGAAAGTTATACCCTTCATAAAATTTTACCTAATAAAGTGGATCCTCTTGTCTCTTTGATGATGGTTGAAAAAGTACCAGATTCAACTTACGAAATGGTTGGTGGTTTAGACAAGCAAATTAAAGAAATTAAAGAAGTCATTGAATTACCTGTTAAACATCCTGAATTATTTGATGCGCTTGGAATAGCACAACCAAAAGGAGTACTCCTTTATGGACCTCCAGGCAAGTGTTGTTTATTTATTGTTAAATTGCAAAATCTTTGAGAGCCATTGTATATTAAATGCAATTTGCATTTTACAGGTACTGGAAAGACTTTATTGGCAAGAGCCGTTGCTCACCATACAGAATGCACTTTTATTCGAGTGTCTGGATCTGAACTGGTTCAAAAGTTTATTGGAGAAGGATCGCGAATGGTTCGAGAATTATTCGTAATGGCTAGAGAACATGCACCATCTATCATTTTTATGGATGAAATTGATTCCATTGGAAGTTCTCGCATCGAATCTGGTTCAGGAGGTGATAGCGAGGTAATATTTGAAAGAAAAAAAATATAATGTATTTATTTTATCTTCCCATATTTTATGAATTATTATACATTCTAAATCTTCTTTTTCACAATTCAAAAATGAAAACACTTGAGCTGTCATTGACTTTATTATTAGAAATTTAAATTACTTGGATACGTTCAATTGTAGGTACAACGTACAATGCTTGAGCTCTTAAATCAATTGGATGGTTTTGAAGCTACTAAGAACATAAAAGTTATCATGGCAACTAATCGCATTGACATTTTGGATCCAGCTTTATTGCGCCCTGGACGCATTGATCGAAAGATTGAGTTCCCTCCACCAAATGAAGAGGCTAGACTGGATATTTTGAAAATTCATTCCAGAAAAATGAATCTAACTCGTGGTATAAATTTAAGAAAAATAGCGGAATCGATGCCGGGGGCTTCTGGTGCAGAAGTGAAGGTAAAATTAATATATTTTTAATTGATATATAGAAACCGGACTGAAGCAAGCCACGCTGAAAAAAATTTTGGTACGTTGAGGTTTCAGCGTTGATGGCGTCGCGTCATCTTACAAAAGAAGCACTGATATTTGATGTGGTATAATAGAGGTAAGCAGATGTCCCACGACAAATAAAGCAGTAAGTTGTGCTCACAAAACGGGATCGTTGCTTCATCGCCGTGGGTCACCTGTACTCCTACAACAAAATCTCAGCCGCCCAAATTTTTTTCAGTGCTGCTTTGTCGGCTTACTCAAAACTAGACTCTATTGATATATATATATGTATATATAGATGTGTTTATTATTTTTTAATAATTTTAATAATTTTTCCAAAACAGGGAGTATGCACAGAAGCTGGTATGTATGCTCTTCGTGAAAGACGTGTTCATGTTACTCAAGAAGATTTTGAAATGGCAGTAGCTAAAGTTATGCAAAAAGACTCAGAGAAAAATATGTCCATCAAGAAATTGTGGAAATAAATTTATTTACTTATTATCAAAACTAACTTTATATATTACTAAACATTTTTTCATTATAAACAATAAAATGAAATTAAACATTTTTTCTTATATGTACAAAACTATTCAAGTTATTATCTTACATCCAAGTCCTTAAAAAAAACTCTTTTGTAAATATCCTTTATCTGTAGTGTATATATATTATTTTTAAATATTGCCCAATAGATTTTATCGACTATTTATAGGGTAGGTACAAATTTCCATTTCTACAATGATAAGCTTGCATTACTGTCTGGCAGCTTCTTATCTTTGCGCCCGACTTCTTTTTCTATCAGTCAATTTTGATTTCAGTGTGTGTTTCTTTATACAAAAAAAACAAATTTATAATTCATTTTCATTTCTTTTATTCAACTTTTCATAACTTACAATATTGCTAAAAGAAAATAACAGTTAAATCTAAAATCATTATCTGTTACTGTAAGGTAAGTGTGGATATTTTTACAGATTTTATCAAATGACTTTTATTTGAGAGTATATTAAATTGATTAACTTTACACCTTAATGAGATTTCAAAAATTCTGCAGAAAACTGACACTCATCCTATAGTAAGCGGTGTGCATTCTCGAGTTCGTGGGCTGATCCATAGCCAGTTGTTTTAACTCTATAATAATGATGAATAACTGTCTAATCAAATTATATAATCGTTTATTTTAATGTCATGAAATTTAATTTTACGCTTACGAGCTTATTCCTGTAAGGAAGTAATGTGTTATTCTTAAAATGAAAACTTTTGCGCCATGATGTTTATACCTTCACTGGCGGTAATTGCTTATTTCGCATCTGCTTTAAATGCACAAAATGATAAAATTTCCAGGCAGATAGAAGAAAAAAGATTTTACACACTATAATGATCACACGAGTATAAATTGGCAACTGTATTCTCAGTTAATTACTCTATATACATTCATTATGTCTTTATGCGGAGTACATATATTTTCATATCCTTCAGTGTTTACCGTCTATTACATATTTATTATATGTATATATAAATATTATAATTGAAAATTTAAACATTAGCTAAACAACATTTAATAAAATTTCTTATTACATGCATTTAAATATTTATTCGTTGTTGCGTAGAATTTTGTATTTTTATTCAATATAACGATTTTTGTAAAAATTTTTCATCAAATTAACGATAAACAGAAATGTATTTTTTACTTAAAAAAATGACTGGATCATTCACATATTACGTGATACATATTTGAGGTAATTTACACCCCCTCCCTCCCTTAAATATATCATGTAATATGTTGTTGCTGACATTGTGAAAAGGGATTTTTCATAGAATTTGATACATAAGTTAAGTTATATTTATGTACATGAGAAAAAATTATAAAAGCTCTTAAAAAAGGTGAGCAATGAAATAAAGTATTATTTTTATTATTATTATTATTTAAGTACTTTATTTGAATTGCACTAAACGTAGATTTTTTAGAAATTGTTTTATGATTTTCTGTAATTATGCAACTAAAAAACGTATTAAACCCATGTATAATGAAAACTTCCTAAAAATATTTACATTTTGATTTTCATAATTTTTCCAATTATTATGCTCATGTTACGAAGTAGAATATTAATTTGGGAGATGTTATATTTTATGTGAATTTAAATATTTTTTTTATTTACCTGACATTGTAATTTTTGAATATCTTATTCTATTCCAAAGGTACAAGTTTCCTCTACTGCCAGCAATAATTTTTCATATAAAATTTCTGGAGTCGGATAAGGTGGAAGATCCAAACGATTGAAACAAGTGTGAGCTCTGTTTTTTCATCAAGAAATAAGTTATTACTTAAGTACATACTAATGAATAGCGATTTTTGAAATAAAAATGTTACTTTTTACCTTGGTAGACTGTTTGGTTTCCCCCATTTCTCAATGCAGAATTTTCTAGGTCCTGTAGATCCACGTAAAGCTGAAAATCCTTCATAAGGAATACTAGACGTTCCAGTGACAAACTGCAATAGTCTTAGTCTTTGTTCGTTTGTAAAATGAGTAATACTGCTCCAAAACCATTCCACTACAGGGTGAGTATCATGATAACCACTTCTGTACTCAGTATGGGCTCTCCAGTCATTTAGATCTATTTCGGCAGCACCAGCTATTACTAGTTCTAATTCTCGTGCATCAAATACTGAAACTAAACGAGGATCAACAACTTCATAAAAACCTCTAACCAAAGACTCTGTTTGCTCAGCAACTCCTCTTTCTAAACGCCAACGCAAAATACGTTCCAAATATTCTTTCTTATTCTTTTCAGTTACTGAAATATTTCTGCCACCAGGTTTTAGTTCTCGCTCTGTTACTTTTCCTAGTAATTCTTCAGTCACAGAAAAAGTTAACTCTAAAGGCTCTATGCTTATATCTTTTTCCTTAATCCACAATAAACTTTGGTGAAATTCCTGATCCAAGCTTTCTAAATCACTTAAACTTGCTGATATTTTCAAGAGTGCTTTATAAAAAGGTCTTGTGAAAAAAGCATCAAGTAAGTACTGATGAACTAATGCCAATCCTAAAACTCTTCCTGAAAATCTAAACCAGTCATGGTAATTATCTACAAAGGCAGACATCGGTGACACTTGAACCGTGTAAGTATCATTAGCTGAATACTCAAATAAACCATAATAAGGATTAAAGAGTTCACGTGATAAATGAAAAAAAAATTCTCTAGACGGTCCTCCGTAATCCAAGCCTTCTTCATGATCAAAAATTACAACAAGTTTTCCCTTTTGCAGATCTTTTTTTGATACTGCCATTATATGAGTAAAAGCGTCTTCCAATAAGTGTTCTCGTCTGATGTGCAATCTGTATAAAATATATCGTAGATGAGATCAATTTTCCGCTGGCTTAATAACTATTGACGTATGAAATTGTCTCAGGGCAAAAATAAGTTGAAAGACTTACTTCAATTTACCGGGACCTTGACCATAACCTTTGCTTTCTAGTTTTCTGTAAAAAGTGCGGAGTTTTGCTTCAAAATCTCTCCGATACGGAGCAGGTGCTCTGGCTGAAGCTCTAGCTAAACCAGGAGAGGCATGGGGACTGCTGAGAGGAGATCTTCCAATACCAGGAATATATGACATAATTTCTTGCTCAAATAAACTAAAAATGAAGAAAAGATTTTTAATAAATGCTTAAAAACATTTCATTCACATTTCGAGAAGTGCAATTCTTAATACATAATAGTACCTTAAAAGTAATGCCAAAGGGACATCATGCCCTAAACGTTGCAAAGATGTGGATCCTTCAACTCGAATTGTATTAATTTTTTCTTTCAAAGCAACATTTTGACTAAAAGCTGAATGTCGTTCTTTGAGAATGTCCATTATGTTTGGTTGGCGTAAAAAAGCTACAACCTTATCATTATATGCTACGGGAATGTCGGGTTGAGCAGTCGTAACTGCAGTTGCCGAAATCACTGGTTGCTGTGTTCTTGGTGGAGGAAGTGGTACTTCTTCAGCACTTGTTCTCGGATGTGTTGCTTCCGTCGGTAATCTTGGGTCAATAAATGATGTTGTTTTTCTCATATGATTAATAAAAAATCTCTGAAAGATTATATTGTAAATGAATATTCTGATTGGGTGAAATTTGATAACTATTGTTACTAAATTGAAGGGAAAACTTACTTTGCCATTTCGATCTAGTTTTGATTCATAACCAACTGGTAAATCTTTATTTACGTCTGCGAACAAATTGACTAATACTACCAAATCTCTGTTGTGTTCATATCGTGGAAACACCGTGGAATCTCTTCTAATTCTATTGATTATATGTTTTAGGCTTGAATTGCGATTATACAATTCCATAGCGTCTGCATTAGTATGGAGAACTGTAAAAAAGTCTGGTCTACTTAAAAATAAGACTGCGGGTATTGTGATTACACCAGAAGAATCAAATTCACTTCTATTGTTAGTGTTTCTTTCAGTTGGCCTATCACTGTTGGTTTCAAATTGACTAGGATTAATATTCGAGGAACTGGGTTCTTGATCAATGTCTTGTCGTGAAATAGTCAGACGCACACTTTGATATCGCCTGTCAAGTTGTTGTCGACGCAGGTCACAGCCTAAATTGCGCGAGGTTAATCCAGGACTTTGCCAGGTTGTTGTGCGATTAACATGATCTATGTAAAATACTCGACCGTGACTATCAATACGAGCTTCCCAAGCTATAAAATAAATAATTCATCATAAAGTAATAAAGATAGATATTAAATAAATATTTGGTCGTAAATCTTACATGCAGGCAAAGGTTCTTCAGATGTTAAAGTTGACTTGGGAGAAGGACAAATTGGTAATGGACGTAATGGTTTTGGTCGATGTGTTGGAGTAGGCGGACATTCAATTTGGCTGCTTGTTCCAGGTTCAGGTCTTGTCAATTGTCTATGAGATCTAGGTGAACTTAAAAGTGCTATACTTTTGGTAACAGCCGTTCTAGTCTGTGAATAAAGAAATTCAAGAAAATAACTTTCAACAATGTTATTCAATTTTTAAATAAAAATGAATGACACACTTACCTGCTTTAAATTAGGACCTTCATCAACATCTACAATTTCAAATCCAAAGCAATCTTCGGGTCGCATTGGAGTCTTAAGATTGCATTTCTTAGGTAACTCGGGTGGCGTACTCAATATAGCTGTTGTCCTATAAAGAGGTTTATGAGCTGATCTAGGTGGTAATGGAGGAGGATTCGGATATAAAGTTTCATACAATGATTCAGGCGTTGAAAGACCTGCTGTGCTTCGCCACAGTTGATAATATTCCACTCCTTCCTTCCTTGTTATTTTATTTATATTATATGATTTCTATAATTATTTATTTATATTATACTTTTTCATTTTTAAACCTCATAGATTACATGAAATTACTATCAGTGTTTAGAAAATTAAAAAAGCAATAAATTTCTAAGCACATACAACACACCGAATTTACCTGAAGCTCGTTACTAGGAGGTTTTAGGGGTCGTTGATTACGAATCTGGTGCATACACAGAAACCTCCGAGGCTTGGACGTCTCCTATTTGCAATAAGTTGACGGTGAAGATGGAAAAGGCAGAGAGTCAAATCAAAGGAAAGTGATAAGCGTCAATACTAAATGTTGACATATAATCTTGCCCTTGCTATAAATGTATTGTTTGTAATTTTTCAATTATACAATACACCGTACTTTCCTTTCGGCGACGTTATCTCCATACTTTGGACACCATGCCAGAGCAGTCCAATCCTTGGAGATTCCAATGTATTCAAAGATTTATCAAAGCTATCGAAACCTTGCATTTTGGCGTTTTCAGGAGTAATGCCATTAAGCAATATGGAATTCTGCAACCAGATTCGTAATCTTTGCTCATATCTAAAACATAATTGTTTTGATGGATTTGCATGAAAATTAATCGGTATAAACACAATTCTACTTGCTTAATTATTCTTGTATTTTACTTAACATAAAATGTTACCTTCCTACACCTGCCATGTTTACTTGAAGCTTGTTGAGATTCAGTTTCAGAATTACTTCCATCACTACTATTAGACGAATGAATTGATCCTTCGATACCTTCAAACTGATGGACGTGATTTGAGGACAAATCAGAAACGACTCCTGCATTTTCTTCCAATTCTTCTCTTTGAGCCTTAGCTACTTCAAATAAATTCACTAAACTTGGTAATTTAAATGGCTTATTACAATCTATTTTTATATTTTCATCATCTTCTGTCATCGTTTTAGGAATTATTGCTGAGGTGCATAAAGGTAAAGATATCGCACCTTCCATGCAATCATAATCATTATGCACATTTAAATTAACAAAACTCTTCGTTTTTGTAAAATTATGAGAGTCGCACTTTGCAACGTTCAAACTGATATTGCTATTTGCATCATCTACATTCGGAATACAATTTATATCAAATAAAAAATTTTCTTCATTATCAGGATGTGTTGATTCTATATTTTTCTTGTATTCATTTTCTACCATATTTAACAATCTTTGTTTTCTTCGAGTATTTCCGTGACACTGAGTATTAGTTTGTAAATAAGTATTATTTACCATTTCTGTAGATGTACTTTCTACATCTTGCACTGATGATGGATTACATTTTACATTTTTTTCTAAAGGTGTAATAGAATTTTCTATTACTTTTTCTCTTGAATCAGAAGCACATCTTGAAGCTTCTGCTTTATTTAGCCTAACTTCTTTTATATGTTCTTCTTCTATCTCTTCTTGTTTAATTCTTTGAGAATCTCTACTTTCCACTGCTTGACTTGTAGAGACCAAAATGTTATTATGCTGTAAGAACACTTTTTCGTCACTTACCGATTCTAATGAATTAAGGTCTAATCCGTAAGCATTATCTTGCATATTTTCTGAAGCACAAGATCTACTAACAGATATAGAGGAATCTAATATTGTATCTGATTTTTCTTGATGAGCATCTTCTCCATGTTCATTTCCCTGCTCAGAGACCATTATGATGATTTTTAGTTTATAATTTTTAAATTCGAAGAACGCAACTCTCGATACCTAATTTAATTAAAAATTATTAACATTAAAATAAATATACAATATGCTTTAATTTTGATAATCAAAATTTATTTTAAAAATTATTATTATATAAATGTATACTAAATATTAACATCATTATTAACACTTTCCACATTCTTTTCTAAACTATATTGTATTTGAATACTTAAATTTTACTTCATTCTATTAACAGAAATATTAATAAAATTTTATTAAATATTTAGAAATCATTTTCTGTCAAATATAAAATAATTCAAAATATACTTTATTAATATTGTGTACATACAGTTCATAAATTTTTAGTGATTTGTTGGTTATAGTTATACTACATTTACAGAAAATTTTAATTTTATTTATATAAAATTAATAAAATAATAGAAAAATGAATCAACAATTAATATTGTAAACTTATTTATAAGTAACTAATAAAAACCAATACTTTTGATTAACATTAAATTTCCAAGTGTTTCCAAGAGATTTATTTTTTTTTAAACTTACTATTTAAAAATGATTTGCAACTGTTTTAATTTTAGTCATGGCAACATTTTTGATCTCTTAAATGTACTAAAAAATTATTCCGTCATTCAACTACAGAATTAAAAAAATTATATCTTAAACTACTAATCACTTTTTTTATGTTGCTTTGTAAAACACTGGTGTGAAAATACAGTTACATTAAATGGAAATAAATTTATTCCAATATATATATATATATATATATATATATATGGGTTAGGCCCAGTTAACCATACCTATAGGTGAAATTACATATGGACACGTAAGTAGAAAACTATGAGTCCAAGAGATGTAGACATATATCCCTATCTCTTTCACTCTAATAATTTTCCGCTTATCACTTTCTGTCTCCATGTGATTTCACCCTAAGGCTGCAGTCCCATGGCAGCGTTTTGCGTTGCGTTTTGTCACTAGATCATGAGTGTAAAAGAGATGCAGATATATGTTTGCTATGTTTACACTCAGAGTCTAGTGACAAAACGCAACGCAAAACGCTGCCATGGGACTGCAGCCTAAGGAGTACCTTACGGAAGCGCCTATGCGCAAGCCCCGGCAAGTGTGCTTGCTGAGATTTTTGTTTAATAATGGAGAGAGAAAGAGGCATATACTTTCATCCTTGTTACACTCATTGGTATCTGAAATAAGGCCTGAGCAGAATAGAACGTAACCGCAATCGCAATCGTAAACGGATGAATGAGTTAGAGAAGGATAGTCATACATTGTTATTCTTCTCTTACTAATTCTTCCGTTTGCGATTCCGGTTACGTTTCTATTGTGCTTAGGACTATACTGCGTCACGCCATCTAGTGAGTCTTATTGTGGCGGACATGTTTTCATTCCGTCTTTCTCTAACATATGTTTAAGAAAGAGATACAAAACCAAGATGGTTGTCACAAGAAGGCTCAGGCGTGGGTCAGTTTCACGTGATTTCTGATCCCAATTATTCAACGCAAAAGCAGCGTTCAAACGCAATCAAGTACGACCCATATTTTTCAGCTTCGATTTTTGACTTTGTGTACATACAATTCTTCAAGGCGGTTCTAGAATAGGTGCAAAAGCCAAGTACAAGTGCAAGTCCAAATGCAAATCTTATGAGTGCAAGAGAGATAGATAGACTGCCTATCTCTCTTGCACCTATTCTGGAACCGCCTTCATGTGATTTCGCCTTAACGTAATTTGGTAAACACACAGTGCACTAGTGCAGTGATAATAATCAACAACTATTGTAGACTCAACTTAAAAATTAGTGAAAGCGAACACGTTGTAACACGTGTGTATCGTACAATACAACATACGCATCTTTAACAGTCACCAGTTTTCCTTATATGCATTATTTAATTTAAATACTCTTCTAACTGTTTTATAATGAAAGTAATGAATTTGTTACAATAACTATTATCAAATACAAAGTAATAGTTATGGAGAAATTAGTGAAACCAATAACCGAAAGAAATACTGAATCTCAGTTTTTTGGAATTATAGTAGCTGTATTTTGTGTAATATTAACACTATGTAAGTATGATGTTTATATATATATATATATATATAATTTTTATTTACTTATAATAAATTAAAAACTTGAACAAATTTATTAATAGTTTTAGTTACTTTATGGCGGAGAAGAAAGTCTGCCGGGAATAGTATTCTTATTACAGGCCTTAGTGATGCTGGAAAAACGATACTTTTTTCACGATTATTGGATTCTAAATTAATTTCTACTTATACGTCTGTTAAAGAGAACACAGGTGACATCGTTATAAATAATGTAAGGCAAATTTACACGTTTATGAAATATGTATACTTTTTCTGCAACATCTGTCTGTAAAGATGATTTTGAAAAAATAGCAGCAATTTATAAAGTGATATACACTGTTATTTGGATTTTTATTACAAATGACTAATTTGGATCAAATGTGTTAAATATATATTTTTTATATACCAATAATTTAATTTATTTTTCAGCATTCTTTGCGTATTGTAGATATTCCTGGTCATGAAAGATTAAGATACAAATATTTTGACAAGTATAAATCTTCTGCCCGTGCTTTGGTATATGTAATTGATGCCGTAACATTGCAAAAAGATATTCGTGATGTTGCAGAGTAAGTAACGAATATATGTTATAATTATATTTTTATTTATTTTTTTTTTATTTTAGATTTCCCGTGTACACTTTTTTCTAGATTTTTACGCATTCTATTTTATAATTATATTTACGAGTACTTTAAAATTTGTATTTTTTAGGTTCTTGTACAGTTTGTTATCAATTATAAATATTAATAGACATATTCCTATACTTATATTGTGTAATAAACAAGATCAAACGATGGCTAAGGGGTGGAGAGTTATTAAAACTCTCCTGGAAAAAGAAATAAATTTGCTTCGCTTAACTAAGTCCAGTCAATTGGAATCGATTGATGATTCATCTTCAAATGCTTTTCTTGGAAAAATTGGAATTGATTTCGAATTTATTCATCTTAATATGAACGTTCAATTTGCTGAATGTTGTGCATTCAACAAAGATTCAGATTCAATTGCCGATATTCAAGAGTTAAATATGTGGTTAAAGAAAATTATTTAAATTATTTATGTAAATTATATAATAAAATTTATTTTATAATAAATTATAGTTAAAATAAAATAAATACTGTGTTCAACTTGCAAGTAATTTTATAAAGTTGTTTGGACAATAAGTAATTTCATGAAGGAGGAAGAAGAAAGACGTAATAGTATATCAAACTATAATGATTATTTATTCTATTTGGGAATAACTTACAAAAATCTCATTATCAATAATTAATACCTAACATTCAATGTTGCGAAATAAAAATTTTATTTTTTGACATTGTAAACATATTTAAAAGTAGATTAACAAAATTTTTTATAAATATTATCAAAGTATTTTAACTTGTGTTTTCAATTGGTTCTTTAAGAACCAAAGTCACAGAGTTGTTGATTAATATTGCTGCTACAATTGCTTATGTTTGTTCAAATCTTTTGTTTCTGGCCCTCAAATTCTATAATGAAATTTTTCTTTACTTTATTAGTGTAGTAGACATTCTGACAATGTCGAAATTGATATTGTTTTTAAATGTAATTGAAATAAGTATAAACAGAAAAGAAAGATATTGTAGACAACAATTAATAATTTGAGGGACATAAAATGAAATGGTTTTATGAACTATAAGCAGTTAGTACTTACATTAAAGTTCATTGTAGTTATGCTCATCTATTATTTTTAAATGTGACAAATGTTCTTAACATCCTTCTAATGCTGTACTTGGGGTGGTTTCTTATAATTTCATCCATGTTGACAGGAATGATAATAATAATAATGATGATGATGATGATGATGATTGGTATATGAGAATAAAAAAATAAAGATTAAAAATTATTATAGATTATGGCATTTAAATTAATTGTTTAACCTGTAAAATGTGAATTGTACTAAAAATGAAAGGCATTATTTCTTTAATGATTTTATAATATTCGTATCTTATATTTAGCTACAGTTTAGACCATGATCTTTCGCATTATAGTATATGTTCAAAAGTGAAACACCTTTTAATAACATTAGCTCGAAATTATTTAATTATTCATTACAATGTTGTGCATGTAATAAATAGAAAGAAAAGTTTGTAACACATTAGATCAGTCATTGACGTTCAAGGTGTCTGTCTAAGAATAGGTGTGAATCCAGTACAAGAATGCTTTAATACATCACCGAGACACTTATTACCACGATTGTCACTATCCGCAGACAAATTGTTAACTGCATATCTATTATTTGTCGAGTCTACAGGATAAATGCAAGGTTTGGGACAAAATTTGCCAGTTGAAAATGACCGTGAAAAACTGGTTTCTGGCTCTGAATAGTCCATGGGATCTTTATTTTCATCAGTGGATATGCGTTTACTCGAACTTTCTTCTTCATCGGAAGAACAAAGATCAACAACCATGATCGCACTAGTGGATTTTGAATGCTTTACTTTAGTTCGGTGTCTTTTGACAGTAATACTCGCAGGTCGTACGGAATAATTGTTTGATCGACTGTGGACGATTCCAGAAACTCTTCCAATTGGAGTCAAAGTAGCCATAGCCATTTCCTCTGGCACTATTTCTTCATCGTCAATGACTATAACTTCTTCCCCATGGTCCATTGGATGTCCAAATGTAAATTGGCCTTGGTTGGAATTAATTGCCGCCTGCTGCCTTTTCAAACTACGTAATCTTGGTCGTGGCACTTGACGAACGGGACTTTTATATTTAGATGGATCATGCTGCAGTTCCTGTATTTGTTCCTGATTTAGTGAGGTCATACTTACGTAAATGGGTTGACAGGCTACGTACAACAACTGGGACCGTATATTGAGCACTGTAAAAGTTATAAAAAAAATTATAAAACTTGATAATAGAATTTTCATTTTTGTTTGGATTCGATCAAAAAGTTATTGATTAAGAAGGCAACAAAACTGAAAAAATCATACCAGGTTTGTTTTTAAAATTGTTGAATTTATATTCATGAGAATAAACGTCCTTTCCCAGTTTCTCACGATGAGTTTTGTATGTGATATTCCATCTATCTCCATCTATCATTCTGTCCAGCCATTTCGGACGAGATGAACAAGAAAGTAGTGGAGGTGCTGTCAGATGTCTTTCTATCCTTTCTAGTCGCTCTTGTTGTATTCCTTCGGTCATCATTTTTGACTTTTTAGCCATAGCGATACCAGCTGGTGAGGAAAAAGGAATTGTTGGACACCTTGTCATGTTTACCGCTCCTCGAATTCGACGCGATGATCGGATTGGGTTATTCTGATTAATAAAAATTTCTTTCGACGAATTTGAACATATATTTGTTGATTGGGGTGGAAGTAAATGAAAATATGCTAAAAATTGATTTTGCTCCATTTCCGGCTGAATGCACAAGATATCCGGTGTCGAAGGCCTTGAATTACTGCCACTCTGTTCTTGATCACAGCATATCCTTTCGTGTTCCTACAGTATTCATTTATCAAAAGTAATGTACGAACAACACAAAAATGAATTGTGCTATATATGTATGTATTGATCGTTACAAATACCTTCATTTGATCGAAACCTATCAGTTCCGCGTCACAATTATCACATAAATATATATCATCGTTTGGTGGTTGCACCACAACTAACGAAAGTTGATGTTGTGCTTTCGTTTTACTGGGAAAAGCAGATGTGACTCCATTAAAGGGTAACAACATTTTTCGAGGACTTTCAATTTTCTTATCATAGTTCTGCAAAATAAAAGTTTAATCTTTGTAAAAACTTTTTCCAAAATCATAAACAAATATTTAACGACATGCAAGTACAACACACCATATTCTCATTGCGGAATGTCACCAAAAGTCTTCGGGTACTCTTCAGGTAGAGACTGGTTGTTGAATCCCAGTTGTTAACATATTCAAGGTTTTCTCGTGGATACTGTGTCAAATACGAACAGAAGCGTAATAAATATTCGCTTCTGTGATACGTATAGCACCTAAATACGAGTTTCTTTAAACTCCCAATCCAGTTCTGAAATTCCGTATATTTCATTTTATTATTTAAAATCAATATCTCACTTTAAAACCTTTAAAACTAGAGCAACAAAACTTATGAATTTTCCCTGAAACTTGTTGGATCAGACCCGACGGAATATTTTTTCCAAATGTAAAGTTGTTAACATGATGAGTTTTATTACCATTTCATTAAAACCACGCGCTGGTATAATATGAAAAATTATTGTCAAATATTTTCAGAAACATAGTTGCAAATTATTAGAAAAAATTTAGTTTTGCTCAAGATCATGTAGCATTTCTTTTCTTCATAGTATTATGATACTTGATACTTTATAATGATACACCAAAATAGTGGTATTTACTATTCTTGAGCTCGAATATCAACGTTCAGAATATTACATTCACCTTGAGAAAAATTTTTCTTTAAAGGGCACTTAATGAATTGAGACAAATAAACGAAACTTCTTTCTTCTGTACAATTTTACAGCTTTAATGCAAATTACTAAATACTTACATCGTTAACTGTCTTAGGTCTGACAAAAGGATTTGAAAATTTTACTTCTTTAGGCCACCACTGAGGTTGACGGATTACTTCAGCGGTATCATGCCCCAAAGAACATTGCACCATAAATGTAATAAATCGCTCTAGTTCCAACTGAAATTTAAGAAAATTATTACGATGCATTTAGATCAAATTTCATTGTACTTAAATTATTTACTAAGGATTTATTCCTCGCTCGCTTGATCGTAATTATACTTATTATAATTGTTATATTTAAATATTCAAAACTATATGACTGTGAACCTGAAACACCTCTATTTCGTCCATCATTTGAAAAATATCTAATTTATATATAATATAACAGAGGAAAATAGACTTAATTTATGCTTATACTTTTATATAAATAACCAATACTTTGTCTACGATATAAATTTGTTTTTTTATAACAGCAATGGTTTCTTGTAGAATAAGATATTTACCAGGGTGATTTTTTCTAATGATGTTGGATATCCATTTGCGAATAAAAGGGGGAGATTCGATGTCATAGAACCCTTTTCTGGTGGTCCACCACCATCTGGATCCATATCACCAGTGGCAGCCATCATACTTTCGTCAACATCATTAGGGAATCGGTCTTGTCCCAAGCCAAGCCCGTATCCGTCCTCTTGTAAAGCGGAAAACCTCATTTTATCTAACTCAGCAACATGATGATCTTTCTAATGTTCCTTCTTCAAATTCGTGCATTATATTATCTTGTCAGCAATAATTCTCTAACTGCCTGACGTAAAACTGAAAATAAATAAATGTTTTAATAAATAATATCATCAAATATAATACTACAATTAATTATCATGTTTAATGGTGTTTTCTGTCAACATCAATACTGTATTATATGGATGTTGACAGAAAACAAATAAGTATTTGAATTCATCTTTTGAATAAACCATTTCTAATTAAACAAAACGTCAAAAAATGAAGTCATTATTGCTCACAATTTAAATAGAAATTAATTGCACTTGCTGTATAAGCAGTAGACTGGGTGTCTAACAAGGATTGAGAAAAAAATTCCCTGACTTTTCCTTGACTCCTCCCTGACATTTTTTTATTTTTCCCTGACTTTTTAATAACCTTATTTCTGCTTTCTTTGGACAAAAATATGGTTACTGACATATGTAAAAATAAATTAATTTCTAATGGTAGTGACAAATGGTAATAAAAACCATTCAAGTTTTTTTAGATTAAAAAATTTTAATTTTTGTAGAAATTTACAGAAATTTCCCTGACTTTGAATAAAATTTTGTGAAATTCCCTGACTTTTCCCTGACCGTTAGAAACCCTGAATATTTCTTACTCAGCCAGCTTTTGTCTTTCATTTATTTTTTATGAAGAAGACTATTATTAAATATTTTAAAATACTTTCAAAACTATTATTTTTAAACTGATACATAATAATCTTTACAAATGATTAGTATTTGTCTATTTATTAATTTAATAAGAATTTTTCCAAAGAAGCAACTAATTTTAATTATTATTGAACAGTTCAAATAAATTTAAAATTCCTTTACTTAAGCATTAAAAGCATATCAGTAAAAATAATTATTACTTAAAGTTACAATTTACGTTAAAGATTTCACCTTCCAGCACATTCAGTATTATTTAAATTCTCTAAAACTGTATTTTAAAAATATCAGATTGACCAAATAATTCTTTTCACTTGTTTGGCTAGTAAACTGGACAAATGATCTCTTTTTTTTATTTGAACACATAAGATTGATTTGAAAATATTTAACATATAATTTAAATCACCTAATTACACACACACACACACACACACATATATATATATAACATCAGACCCTTTTTCCTTTGAGCTGACATATTTACTTCCAGAAAAAAATAAATTTGCCGCGCACCTGATGTTTTTATATTAATGGTTTAAGCCGCTTCATTATAAAAAAAAAGAATCTAAAACTTTATTTTACTATTTTACAAAAAAAATTAATTTACAAATTTAATATTTTTTCATAAAGTCTATTAAGAAGTTACAAAAATTATCTATGTTATTTTACTTAGTACGGTATAAACAGCTACGTGCTATTTCATAATGGTAATGGTGGAAATGTCCTTTCGTTCTGAGCGCGATTATGAGCTACACTGACCAAATTGGAACACATTAAAATTAATATAGTTTATGCAAATTACAATACTGAATGTGCATTCTAAAAATGCTTCTTTAAATTTTCAATCAATATTCAATACATTAAGAACAATAAACTAATTATTATACGTTTATTATTATAATAAAACAGTGACGGACGAACTGACAGTTCCCTACCACGATTCGACACTGCACAATAACCTAAGATGGCGGAAAGAGAATTAGACTTTTGGTATTAATAGAATCAAATGAATGTTATCATTATAATGTAAAGTATGAAGATGTAAAAACTAGAATTAGAAAAGAATAATAAAAATCTTACCTTGCTCATAACTTTGTTTTTAACAATAAACATGACGAATCGTTGAAATTGCAATACAAGAGTTTTTTAATAAGAAAAAAATTATATTTCTGAAAAGAACTACCCACAATCACATTAATATATCAGCGCTCCTAGTGGGAAAGCGACGTGTCATGTCTTAGGGTACGGTCACACGGTCTCATTTGTGCACAATGTTTGCATGCAGAAGCATTTGGTCATTATTTTTCTTTTGATTAAACGGCTTTTTGCATAGACGCATTTGGCCATTCACACCTCTATGAAATCACATGGAGTCCTAAAGCGTCAAATTGAGTGAGTGAAAAAAAAAAAAATTGACTATGAGTGCGAGAGAGACAAACATATTTCTTTATCTCTATCATATTTAGGGTACGGTCACAGCCACTGAACTCTATATATCTGGAATGCTGTCTGCCATTGATAATCGCGAGCCGCGAGAGAGGTCTGATTCCTGCATTCCTCTTTATCGGTACAGGTCCATTAGAAAATATTTAACAGTACATATACGTGAACATGACATAAAGACCTGAGCAGAATAGAAATGTACCGAAATCGTAAACGTTAACGCAACCGGAAGAATAAGTTAGAGAAAGACAAACAATCTATATATATCCTTCTCTAATTCATTCTTCCGGTTGCCTTTGCTATTCACGATTCCGGTTACGTTTCTATTCTGCTCAGGCCTTAACACAGTTAACAGTAAACTTTTGAAATGCATTGTACTACGCCTGCGCAGTTTAGCAAGAGAAGAAAAGGGAACGGAATCAGACCTCTCTCTCGATTCGCGACCATCAATGGCAGACAGCATTCCAGATATATGTATAGAGTTCACTGGTCACAGCTCAGCTATCTGTGTAGAGTCGTCATAGTAACGTATAAGAGTAACAGAAATATGAAAATTCTTCATCTCTCTCTCTCTTATACGTTACTATGACGACCCTACTTAGCTGAGCTGTGGCCGTACTCTTATGATCTCTTTCACCCTAAGGGTGAAATTACATGGAGGCGTCAAGTTTCGCCTTCTGTAACGCCTATGATCTTATAGATCATGAGTGGAAAAAGGTTAAACATATATCTCTTTGGCACTCATTGTCTAGTTATAAAATTTGACACTTACGTCTCAATGTGATTTCACCTTAAACATATGGATACGGCCACAGTTCAGCGTTGTCATGACAACACGTACGTAAGACAAGGACAGAAAAGTATTGGGATCTGAAATACTGCGATACGCCATCTGGTGAGAGCCTTCTTGTGGTGGCCATGTTTTCATTCCGTGTTTCTCTAACATACACAAAAGAAAGAGATAAAAAACCAAGATGGTTGTCACAAGAAGGCTCAGGGGTGGGTCAGTTTCGCGTGATTTCTGATCCCAATAGGAATAAACGGCCAAAAGAATTTGTATAATGGCCTAAGCACAACTGAGTTGGGTACGCAAGTCGGATACGAGATATGTAAGTTCCCGCAACCGTCTTTAATTATGCGTTGAAAAACGGTCCGCCAATGTTTCGCTCAACCGTTTTTCAATGCATAATTAAAGACGGTTGCGGGAACTTACACATCCCGTATCCGATCAGTTGTGCTTAGGCCTCAACACTATACTGTACATTGTAGAAGCAGCTTTCAGTTGTGCTCATGGAAATTCATAGGAATGTATGTTTCCAAACAAATCATGTAAACACAAGAACCATGATCCATTTGAGATATCTGTAAAATCAGTATCTTGAATTTATATTTTTACAATTGCGTTTCCATAAATAAATATTTGTTTTATTAAGAACTTGACATGTCTTGTGAAGATTGGTTAAAATGCATCAAAGATGCAAAAAAGACTGCTATTATTCAAAATGGTAACGTTTATACTTTATTATTGTTTTTTGATAATGTATAACTATTGTCATGAAAAGTATGAGTTGAATATTTTCTTTAGGATGTAGAAAAGTCCATTATTTATTAAAAGATAATAAAGAAATGGTAGAAGAATATCACTTAAATACGGGTGTTCTTATTCGAAGAATTTGGAAAGAAAAAGGGAAACTTGGACAAGAAATTGGTTGGAAAGTAGAGATTGGTGATCCTGAACCTAAATTTCAAGAAAATATAGAAATCAGTGGAATTCGAGAAAGTGTAACTGCTGTATGTATACATTGGTTGTGAGATCCATTGATGTCTTCCTTTAAAATTCAGGTCAATATCTATAATGGTTTTAAGGGAAGATTTATGCGTTTCATTGTAAAAGGATTTAATAAATTATTTTTTTTCGATTAAAGTCATTTTAAAAATTTTAATAGCCATCGGTGTCAAGAAGAATGACAAAAAGTGCATTAGAATGGAGAATAAGAAATTTATCATATCCGAAAGACGTTTATTCTGTGACTGCTGAAGAAGATGAAACAATTACAGTGAGGACGAGTAATAAAAAGTACTTCAAAAAGATAGTAGTTCCAGATTTGGAACGCATTGGATTAAAACCAAAACAAGAAAATATTTCTTTTTCTCATCGATTTGACACGTTAATAATATTGGTAATGTTTTACAGTAAAAAATCATTTCAACATTTATGTGTATTTAAAGTATTAATTAGTTCTGTCACAGCACACAGATATCCTGAATATCCAAGTGACGTGAAAAAAGTTTATAGCCATTAAAATAAGTATATTATTTATATAAATCTTTTTTACAGTACAAGAAACCTGCATTGCTTCTTGAAGTGGAAAATAAAATATTAAACGAAGTTGTACAAATAAAAACTAGAAACGAAGATGTCCAGTGCCCTACTAGCTGATTTATATAGTACATTTTTACGTGATTTATTATTACATATTTTAAACCTTTATTTATGTTCAATATTTTATAACACATTTGTATACAAATATAAGTACTTGATTTAAAAATGTTGTTTTCAAAACACCTGAAAATGTTTTAAACAATTTTAGGTCAGTACATTTTAATATTTCAGTCAAAGCCGTTGCCACCTATTTTTCAAACAGAATGTGGGCGTCATGTCCTATTCCCATTTTATATGACAGCGTTTTGCGTTGTGTTTTAGAACTAGTCTGTATGCGAAATCAGGTGACAAATATCCTTAAACAAGCTTTATTCTATCTTAACCTAATAGTGACTAATGTATATGTATAGAAAGTAAAAAATGATAACTAAAGAACCTGTGAATTAAGATAAATTAATAATTTCAACTTATTCATGAAATGTATTAATGATAAATAGAAGATTGTATATATATATTAACACCAGTTGTTTATTATGGAAATTTTCAGTCACAATCTTGCAGGTGTATATATATTCTTGTAGGGTGTTTTCAAACTTATGCTCTAAGTCAAAATAATAATAATTATTATTCGAGTTTTCATTTATAATGCAATTCGCTTAAATTAATTACAGAATATACCTAGTATAATTGGAGCATTTGTCGAAAACGCTAATAATTTATATTATATTTATTACTAATTTTCTGAAAGTAACCTATTTGCATTTTGCAGATATGCGAATTAAATATAAAGATAAAAATGAAACATTTACAGAAGATCAGTTGAACAGTAAAGAGCCATTTGGTCAGTTTAAGGCTTGGTTTGAAATAGCTTGCAATACACCATCTATTTTGGAACCAAATGCTATGCTTTTAGGCACAGCTACAAAGTTTGTGAAAGTTTCTCTTTAATAAAATATTAATTTTATTCTTGTCAGATTCAACTACATAAATGTATAAAAACTTTACTTAATTATATTATTTTTAGAGACGGAATCCCATCTGTAAGGCCAGTGTTACTTAAAGGATATGGTTCTGAGGGTTTCAAGTTTTATACCAATTATGAAAGTCGGAAAGGAAAAGATCTGGTAAGTCTTTAGTTCTTAAATTTTTTTTTAATATTCATTTAAAAAAAAAAAAACTTACGAAATATTTATTTCAGGAAGAAAATCCAAATGCTGCACTTACCTTCTTTTGGGAATCATTAAGGCGCACGGTTACTATTATTTTAAAATAATCATTTCCTATAAAAAAAATTATTAGATAGTAGGGTTAATGGATTAATTTTTTAAAATGTTTTTTTTTTAACAATGCAGTAACATTTTTTCATTCTTAAAAAGTCTACTTTTGTATAATTTATAACAATTAAATATGCTGTATCCGCAATGTAATTTCTTGAGTAACGTTAGACACAACTAATGTTGCATTCACTATACAATATAATGTATGATAACGTATGAAGTGACCGCAAAATGAATACGTAAATCCTACTTCTTTAATTAATTTTATTAAATAATTTTAAGATTCGCATTGAGGGCACTGTCGTGAAGACATCGTCTGAGGATTCGAATACATATTTTCAGAGTAGGCCATTTCCTAGTCAAATTGGTGCATGGGCTAGTAAGCAAAGTACACCAATTGCTGGAAGAGAAATTCTGATGATTCGAGAACGAGAATATTTGTCTCAATTTTCAGATAAAAATGTTCCACGACCAAATTATTGGTATGTTAGATTTCTGTAAACAGAATCACATTTACACATATTTACTTTCTTTCTATTATAGGGGAGGTTATACTCTTGTTCCTAAAGCTGTAGAATTCTGGCAAGGACAAAGTGATCGTTTACACGACAGAATCCGGTTTAGACGTCCTGTATCTGGAGAAAAAATTGATAATATTTTACTCCATCAGGGAGAGAATGGATGGGTGTATGAAAGATTGTCTCCATAACAATTTAATACATATTAAAAAGAATATATATATATATATATATTTAACAAAAAAAATATATTATATGCAAATAGTACAAATTATAATAGAAGTATTACTGCACAAAATGGTGTAATGTATTAACGGTGTGATAATGCGATTATTTCTTTTTGTAGTCCTGAAATAAAAATTTAATTGCATATTTCTTTAAATATTGAAAATATAAAATTTTTATTTACTTGCCTTCATTACTTTTCCAAACTGTTTGTACATTAAATATTTCATCCTTTATTACAAGATCTTGAAATTCTCTCATACTTCCTCCAACGCCGAAGTAATGAGTTTTTCCAGCTACTAAACTAAAATACGTTTAATATGATTTACTTTTCATAACATTTAAATACAACTTAAAAATTTTGTGTTGCAAAAATATAATTGCATCTGTGAAATTTTTTATTTTTTTTAAAACTTTTATTAACTTACCCAAGACCACCAAATTTTAATTTCTGTTTAAAAACTTCATAAAGCTTTTTATGGTTATCTGAATTATAAATAGTTTCACTTGTGAAAATGAAATCATATTTTTCATTTTCATTATTCGAATTCTTAAGCAAGAGAGAAAGAAAAGATTTCCAATCTCCACAATAAAATTTTGTTCTTCCATTATTAATGACTGCATTGCCCAAATTCAAAATAACATTCGGTATAGTGATATATGTAATTACTTCATTATTCTATTGAAACCACCGTGATTAATTCACATTTGTCTATAGTTAATTCAATTTCAATGTGTAATTTTAAAGTTAGAAAATAAAACTTACATAGTCTTGAAAATGAACTGTTGATCCTTTTATTAAGCATAAAATTCCTATTATACCTGATCCACATCCTAAATCCAATACTTGTTTGTTATTTAAATAATAATTTTGCTGGAGTAAATAATTAGCTAAATCATTAGTACACTCCCAAATTTTTAAACCACCTATAAAAATATACATATAAGGACTATCATTTTTCAACTGATCCAACCTTTTAAGGTCTTAAGATAAACTAAAAATTATATCTATATACAGATATTATACGTTTTTTACAATTTCAAATTTTCTAAAATCAACTTACATGCATAATGTTAACTACTCTAACCTTCATATTTAGCAGTAATGAGATCCGAATGTCGAGATTCTGCTTCAACAATTGCTTTATAATTTTCATCTTTTAATTTGGTAACAACCTTGTCTGTTTGTACTAATTTTAATGATATATCAAAAAAACATTTATTTTCATCGTACTCAATACATTTATACCTGCTAGCAACTTCTTCTGGATAAATATGTACTTCAGATGCAATAATCCATTTAATGTTATCATCTGTCATGTTTTCTCCATCTTCTTTTATATTTCGATTTTCATACAACAAATTATTCAATTAATTATTTTCTTAAAATTTGATAAATAAAAATCTTATTTCACATATCAAATAAAATATTGCATATTATTTAAATGTATTAAACGTAATTGATAATTTCAATTACTATTTAGAATTTTGATTTACTACAAATATTTTAATACCTTTTACATTTAACCATTTATTACAAAAAACTACAAAATAATGATTGATTTTTTCAAAGTTCTTTTTCTTTAAATTTTGTTTATCTTCTTATTTTTAATATTTAGGTAAAAAACAAATATATTTATTCAAATGAAATAAATTTTGTTTACAATTGCTAAAATGGTGCTTTTTAAAAAAAAAATATATTCATTTGAATAAATTTTCAATAGAATATTTAAAGATTTTAATTAAAAAAAATATATTTTTTGATTACAATTTAATGGTTAGGTATGTACTTATTTACAAAAATTAGAGAATAAACATTTTTTTAATATAAAACTTGAAAATAATGCAAGTACCTTGAATTGAACAGTCATTTGAGAATCCAAATTTAAACATATTTGTTTAATTATATTTACTTAACAAAAATTATTGTCAGATTTTTGTTTATCTTTTTATTGCTTCAAAAATTCAACAAACTTTCTTGTTTTTATAATTATAATTTATAATCAAAATCATAACCAACATTTTAAAGGTGAATTCACATGGAGGAGGAACGATGGATTGTGTTTCCACTCTCCAAATTCACAACTCGCCATCATTTTGTCGTCTCATAATTCTAGATCAACTACCGCACCCTGTTATAGTGAAAATTTAAGACCATCACACAATAAATTCACGAACGAGATGCATGAGATAGAAAAGGATACATATATATATATATATTTCTGTTCTTTTCTAACTCATGTTTCACGCAGAGTTGCCAATGACCCTACCTAAACGCTACTGCGCTTGCGCTACGACAACTCTCTTATAGGTAAAAAAAAGCGCGCTTATATAAAATGCTTAATAATAAGAAAACGTTAATAAAGCAATATAAAACTATTTTCACTATTGAATTTATTTTTTTTGTTAATTATATTGCTTCTTAATAAAAAAATATTAATTTACTTAATGTACTTAAGTATGTAAAAATAATAATAATAATTATAATATTAATAATTTTATTACATTTATATCATTATTGTTATTATTTTTTTTTAAATATATAATCTATTATTATTATTATCAATTTAATATTTATTATTTAATTATCTATGATGTATACATATATATTTTTTGAAAACTTTAGCGAAATTTTTTTGTACCTTTTTTTGAGGAAAATTTGAATTGGGAAAAAAGTACAAAAAAAATTCGATTCATTTTTATGAAATATATAGATGTAATACATTCATAGATATTTAATAATAATTTATTGAAAATATTGATAATAATAATAAATATTATATTGATGATAATAATAATAGATTATGAATATTTTATTTCAAAAATAATTACAATAATGATATAAATATAATAAAATTATTATTATTATTATTATTATATACTTAAGTAAATTAAGGAAATTAGTATTTTTTTTTATTAGGAAGCAATATAATTACCAAAAAAAAAATCAATAGTGAAAATATTTTTATATTGCTTTATTAAAGTTTTCTTATTAAGCATTTTATATAAGCGCGCTTTTTTTGACCTATAAGAGAGTTGTTGTAGCGCAAGCGCAGTAGCGTTTAGGTAGGGTCATTGGCAATTCTGGTTTCACGTTCGTGAACCTCCTTTGCGAAGCTATTCTGCTTTGGCCTTTAGTGATATTCTAGTTAAAATTAAAAGTTACTATAAAGTCACAAAATTTTCACTAGAGCAGAGTACGGTAGTTGACTGAGAATTATGACAAAGACCATTGGCATGAGTTAGAAAAAGACAGAAATAATGTCTGTCCCAAGTTCAACGTGAAACGCGCAGCAGTCGAACGCAGTCATGTAAACACAGCCTAAGCAAAGGAACAACAAGAAGAGGACAGAGATATTATTAGTTTTTGCTTAGGCTTGCTTGTAAACGGTCAATTTTTATAAGAAATTATAACTTGTAATTAATGTCATGTTTATAAATAGGAATTATGGCAGGTACTAGGTATGAAATGGATATTGACAATCAAAGTGAAGATGGAGAAATTAAAAAGAGTCCAAAAAAAGATACAGACAATTTTAGGTAAATTATGCTTTTAATTTTTGTATATTAAGAGGTTAGTTATTTAATATGTCGTTGATTTAGTGGAGGATCATAATATTCCAGATGACATTTAAAAATGTTGAGAACTATATAACATTCCTGATGATATTTAAATAACGTTTAATCTGTTAATCTTTTTCACAATTTTAGGTTAAAAAATTATTAATTAACTTTTTACTTTATACACAGTTTTTCTGAAGAAGAAGGAGCTGATACGACAGATTCACTTGACATTAAACCGCCACAAGCTGTTAAAAGGCATCATAAAATTAATGTGTCAAGAAGACGTGACAAACATGGCGAAAAAAGAGATCGCAAAGATGAAAAAGAACGAAAGTCTCGGCATCATGATCGAGTAGAGGAAAAACATCGTGATAAGCATAGGCATAGAAGACACGATGTAGAATCTTTAGAACGGGGGGAGCGTTCTGAAGGTTCAAAACGAGAACGTGAAAGAATGGATCGAATGGAAAGAATTGATGGACATTCTAGAGATAGGGAATCTTCTAGACATGATAGGAAAGATAGAACTACTGGAGATCGGGTATTGGAAGATTTGCGAGAAAGGTATTACGGTCGAAATAAAATTATTTATATTAGTGTTTATATAGAAAGATTATTATGTAAAATTAAGTAAAAATGAATTCTTATACAATGTTTCTAGACTATTGGATAAAAGAAGGGAAAGGCGGGAAGATCCCCGCGAAATTCGAGAATCTAGACGAGATGTTCGCTTAGAAGAATCTCGTGAAATGAAAGAATCACGTGATCGTCGTGACATTCGAATTGATGAAATACGCGACCGTCATGAACTCCGTTCGATTGATGATGGACGTGATCGACGTGAATTAAGAATAGATGATCGTCGACATATTCGTATGATCGAAGAGCAATATCCAGAATCTGATTTGATCGATCGACCTGAGAAACGTCACAAAAGATCTCACAAACATGATAGAACACGAGATAGAGAAAAAGTTGATCGAGAAAAGCATATGAAAAACATAATAGAGATGTCGAATAATGAAGATCAAGAAGGTATGGAAGTTTCAGAAATTCTATTAATGCCCAAAGATCCAAAAGAAATGACCGAGCAAGAACTTCGAAAAGAAAGGTAAAGTTTATTATTTTATTCACATGTACATAATTTATACAATTGTAATTTTAAAAAAAATTTATTTAGACTTTTAGAAGCTGACAGAGAAATGGCTAGGCGAAAAGAAGTATCTCGATTAGAACTCGAAGCAAGAAGATTAAAAAGAGGAGAGAAGAGGGCATTGAGTCCTGATTTGAATCCTGATCCATCTGTAGTTGAATTATCAGATGAAAGTCCCAATTCCATACATTCTGATATTGCGAGATCTAGATCTATAGAGTACGTATTTATATATACATAAAAGTTTTATGGTTTTTAAATACTTTTACATATACAATTTCAAATAGGGAATAGCCTACTTTTGATTTCTAGGATCTACTATATTCTCTTTTATCTCTAGGCGATCATCTGAAGAACGCAGAAGCCTTCAAGAAAGATCCGCAGACAGACATTCGTCAGATTCTTCTAATTCAAGTAGTGATGACGACGAGGACGATGAGGATGATGATGATGATGATGATGATGACGATGATGATGATGATGATGATGATTCAAATGAATCGAATAAAGGTAGTAATGATGAATCGAATGACGGCTCAGATTACAATAATCCAAGTCCTTTATCAGTGGAAAGATTGACAAAGTCAGATCATTCTGAAGGCGGTTCACCAGGACATGTTGATTCAAATGGAACAGCTAAAGGTGACGAAACTGAAGAAACAGTTAATGAAGCACCTGAATTGCCACCTTATTTGCCAGCCATTCAAGGTAATAAAAATTAATTTGAAATTTTTTATAATAGGTACCTAATAATATTTTGGAAATAAATTTTTTTTCTTATTTTAGGTTGTAGAAGTGTAGAAGAATTCCAATGTCTTAATCGCATAGAAGAAGGTACTTACGGAGTTGTTTACAGAGCTAGAGATAAAAGAACCGAAGAGATAGTGGCATTAAAAAGACTCAAAATGGAAAAAGAAAAAGAAGGATTTCCTATAACAAGTTTAAGGGAAATAAACACATTACTCAAAGCTCAACATCCAAATATAGTTACTGTTCGTGAAATAGTTGTTGGCAGTAATATGGACAAAATATTTATAGTGATGGACTATGTTGAACATGACTTAAAGTCATTAATGGAAACAATGAAACAAAAGAAACAGGTTTTTATACCTGGTAGGCTTTATAAAATAATTATTATAATTAAATTGTTCGAATTTATATTAGAATACAATGTATATATTAAAAATTTAATCTCTTTTTATCTTAGGTGAAGTTAAGTGTCTCATGCAACAATTACTACGAGCTGTAGCACATTTACATGATAATTGGATATTACACCGTGATTTAAAAACTTCAAATTTGTTATTGAGTCATCGAGGTATATTGAAGGTCGGAGACTTTGGCTTAGCACGAGAATATGGTTCTCCTTTACGACAATATACCCCAATAGTTGTAACTTTATGGTATCGAGCACCTGAACTTCTTTTAGGTGGAAAAGAATACAGTACCCCAATCGATATGTGGTCCGTCGGGTAAGTTTGATACAAACATGAAAAACGCCTACTACTTTCAGTACCATTTTTTGTCTCTCTTTGTTTATTGCAGTTGCATTTTTGCCGAATTCCTCAGAATGGAAGCTCTCTTTCCGGGTAAATCTGAAATGGATCAATTAAATAAAATTTTCAAAGAACTAGGTTCACCAAGTGATCGAATATGGCCTGGTTATAGTAAATTACCAATGGTGCAAAAAATACCATTTTCACACTATCCTGTTAATAATCTTAGACAACGGTTTAGTTTGTCATTAACTGATCTGGGAATTGAACTATTAAATAAGTAAGTATACCATATAAAAAATATGATTTGTAATTAAAGTTTTTAAAATTATAAATGTGTGTTTTAAATTATTGCAGATTTTTAACATATGATCCTCAACAGCGAATAACAGCAGAAGATGCATTAAAGTATGGTTACTTTAATGAGCCTCCATTACCTATTGATCCGAAAATGTTTCCAACTTGGCCAGCAAAATCAGAATTGGGAGCGAGAACAGCTAACAATGCATCACCTAAGCCTCCCAGCGGTGGTAAAGAATATAAACAATTAAATGATGGGGATGAAGCAGATATTAATTCCTCTGGATTTCATATGGGTCTCTTGGAAGGTGGAAGACCTCCTCCTATCGGTGGTGGTTTTCATCTTAAATTTTAAAACACTATATTTTTCAAAACTTTATAAAAAATAAATAAATTAATAAAAATTATAAAAAACAAGTTGAATAATTTTTAATACATTTATTGAACAAGTTGATATAATCTTAATAATTGTAGCTTATAATTCAATCAGGATATAACAAGGAAAATATAATTAATAGTAAATTTTACATTTTTTACTATGCTAAAGACATTTATTTTTATTTCTAGACAAAACAGGTTAGAAACAGAAAAAATCTTTATTCTTTATTTCTAATTTTTATTTGCACTTAAATATTTCTTAAATTGATTTAAAAAAAAGGAATTATAATTAATGTTAACTTTATAATAGATATAATTTTTTTTTTTTTTATACAATAAAAGCGTTTGATATATAATCTTTTAAATATTGTGAAGAAGATTTTAATTTAAAATACTGATAAATATTTATTTACCATTGGTTGATTGTATAGAAAATTTGTCATAATGATGTTTCTTAGTGCCTCGTCAATTATGATATCGAAATACAAGATTCTATTCCAATTAGTAAAATGATTGCAATTAAACAGTAGTTCATCATCAACTGCATTTTCAAGGTATTCTTTCAAGAACTGTGAATAGCTGTAAAAATTAAAGGACAAATTTAAATTGTAAAATTATAATCTCCATTCATATTATTATAGTACTTATTCTAAATATGTTATATATCGATCTATCAATATACTTTATGGATAAAACTTACCAAGGTAGGTTCGTCTCGTAAAAGCATGAGTTCTTGCTGGATCTTTATCTTTTATATGTGAAAGATTTTCACTATCAACGTTTTCCATTATCAAATGGTTTCATGCAATAAGTGACATGTCTATAAGTGAAAAGCAGAATAATAAATTTCACAGGAATATAATTATTGATTTATTTTACTTCTCATTAATAGATGTATACTTGAATAATGAAATAGTTTTGAAATATCATAAAATTATGTATTTTGCATTGTTCTACCAAATAACAAATAAAACTATGAAATAAATAAATAATTATATATATTATATCGTAATTTAAAATTTACATTTAATTTATGAATTATTAAGTAGAAAGAAAATGATATAATCTCTTTTGAAAAATTTAGTAAATAAAAAATTTTTTTGTAATAATTTGATATTTTATCACTGTAATTTTGAAATCATCTAATTACATATATCGATCATGAGAAAGGTCAACGATCTAAAAGATGAACATATGCAGGTGCAGTAAAAATACACTTGGTCGCGACCAAACAAGCAACACTGGTTCCAATTCAGCAGGTAGCAAATCTGAGAACCTGATCTTGACGCCAAAATCAAGGTGACCCCCCTATCCTATTCCAAGCTGACTCTAACAACAGTCCTGCCTGCTTGTATACATATACATATGCACCAACGCAAATGGAAACAAGTCCTGACAATGAAGCAAATAATGACGACGAAATTTACTGTGAAGGAAATGAAATATTCAAATATTTCAAGTTATTATTTCTATGCATATACCTATATAAAATATTTTAATAACAAATATATCTTTTTTCAATTAGTTTTAAATATGAAATATAAAAAACTATATAATTTTATAGTACACAGGCTTGGTCATATGAATATTTATAGGTATCTTGATACAATATAGCAGCAGAATGTGTCTGCATTTGTATATGTATAAGTACATATGTATATTAGGCGAAGAGGAAAATAATAAAACTGACAAGTTCTCTCAAATCAAGTTAAAAAAAATTAACATTAAACAAGATATATCTAAAAATGTATACTATAACACATAAAAACTAAATTACATATTTTCATTATTATTGTTTATTATTGAAGCTTCAAAAACCTGATAAACTAATATATTCGTATAAAAACATTCATTCAAAATTTGGTTAAAAATATTCATGATTAGAATAATGTGGCCGATATTAATGATATATTTATCACATAAAAATAGATAATGTGAAGTGTAATTTCGTGTAACGTTTTAAAGAAATTATAATATTGAAACAGAATTTCAAATATTACTTCGGTTTACTCTGGAAAAGGAGGTTTCAAGTTTTTTTATATTTTTTAAAATTATTTAAAATATTTTTGTTAATTTTCATATATTATACACATTATTTAAATAAAGAAAATGTTGTGTTGTTCGTGCATATCTTCTTTAAAAAGCAGATTAAGACTCTTGTCAACTGTCGGAACTATGAGCTATGTGTGAATATACATATAAAAGCATGGAATGATGGATTTGAACATCATCTGACAAAAATGTTAGCTATACATGTCACTTGTTTTCAACTGTTGTTGAAATATTTTACAGAGGTGGGAGGAATTAGTAATTCCATTAACAGGTTTGCTTCATCTTTGCAAACTATACGGTAACTGTGGTGCCAATGACCTTCTTTAATGAGAAGAACTTATGTGATGATGTCGATTGAACTCATTAAAATAAAAACCAGATCTTATCAAATCGGAATTTTAAAAAGCGAGAATAAATTTTCCTTTTACATGTGCTATTTATTGGCCATTAATTGGTATAAACCTTAAATTCTATAAAGGTATAAGAAATTCTGATTCTTACAATATATTACTCCTCACCTTTGACTTGATTTTTTTGGCTATTTTATTTATTTATTAACACAATGGTCCATATATATTATTCCTGAATTTAACAATAAAAGACGAATAAAGGCATTTTCAAACTTTGCCGATGAATAAAAATAAGTTTCTTCTATAGTCAATTTTTTTATGCCATCAATGCAAAGGTAAATTCATTAATTTATTTGATATAGTCACAGCTTGTAAATACAGCTTGTACAATACAACTTGTCGAGGTTGAAATATATTAGACATTTTTAATGTCTCTCTAAAGCAAAGACCTTCGTCAATCAATGCGTGCGTGCAGAGAATCCTTATCTTGGCATGAAAAGCGAAACATTATAGAGCATCAATACATAAAGAAAATAATAGAATTTGTAAAATATAATAATACTGCAATTTATATTAATTAATTTCAAATGTTGTGCAAGGTTGAAAATCTATCATATGTATAAATAAATAAAATTAAATAAACATATTTTCTCCAGTGTATCTATTAATTTATTCCTGACAATGAACATATCCATAAATAATTTTAAAATTTAATTTTAATAAAAATTGTTTGTCGCACTCGAAATTTCAAATAACATGCGGGACGGAACAAAACGATTTCAAGAGCTCGAGTGTGTCCAGTGCCTTCTTTCGACTTTTGCATTCGCGTGCACATTGGCATGCTTGGGTGCTTCAACTTTTAAAATTCAATCATAATAGGATGTATTTTATACTCTCGACTATTTGAAAAGAGATTTTAATCTATTATATTTCACTGACAAGATCACTGCAAATCTTATTATATGAGACACTTTACACTGAAAACAAAACATTTATTTGATTACTTATTATACGATTATTAAATAAATATTTACTAGAGCATAATAGATATCGTTTGAATTAAATAAACTCTATTCAATGTAAGTAACTTAAGTTTCAAATAAATATTAAGATGCTCTTTTCAATTAAAAGTTGACTGCTACCTAGGTATAATAATTTGAATACAATTTTGCAAAGTTTCATCCATAGCGTGTTTGAAAATTTGTTGAAATCTTTCGCGGAATGGCAAGCCGAGGCAAGGAACGAACAAGATTTCGACGCGGGTCGCGGGGTCCGAAGAGTATATATGGGCCCTATACGCGTTCAGAATACCACATTTGTCGTTCTCCCTACTTGCAAGGTAGGGATCTTATGAATAAGCAGAATAGTATAAATAAGTGTTCTTCGCTCATCGGAAGAATTCTCTTGACAAGGATAAATTAAATGTGTAAATTATTAAACATTTTCAAAATCACCATTTTATATTTCCTTTCTTATTGTTGTCCGTTAAAATTTTAAAAATGCATGGAACTTTAATACATTTATAATAAAATAATTAGTGCAAAAGATTTGAGTAGGTATATAATATGTAATATGAAAATCAAATGTGGTGATTTTTCCAAGTGAACTCTCAGTATATTGTATATTCCTGAATTGTGATAAGTGATTTTTCATACATTATAAAGTTTTAAGAAGTAGAAATCTCGAATAAAATCAAAAATTTTAAATATAATAAGTTTTTATTTTTAGCCATGAGTTGGCTTATTTTTGCCTTTTTGGGTTTAACTACATGCTCTTCAGTAACATTATATCGCCTTCAGCAACGCAGTTTGCTCACTGAAAATGATACTTTTCCTAAAACGTTAAATATTTTAAATTTTCAACGTGATTCCGTGGAAAGTTTTCCACAAGATGTACTTCTCAATGTTGAACTGGAGAAAAATAAAAAAATTAACTATTCAGAATTCGGATCTAAAGTTTTACCACTTAGAGATGCAGTGGAAGCCCGTCCAAATATATTTAATTTACAAGATTCAAACGGGAACTATTTCAATTTCGGTAGACAAAAGTAAGTGGGAGAATAATATTTTTGTCTAATCATTAATCTAGTTTTAAATAATTTTAAATTGAGTGTTTAGTAAATTAATTGTTTTCTCTTCAGAGATGAGAGGATACCATTGCGAGATGCTGTAGAACATCGTGTAGAACCATACTTTGAAAATACTTTAGATCATGAATCAATTTGGCTTGAACAGTTATCACCACCAGCAGTTCGTAAGATGGAAAATGAATTTAAAGTTGTTTGTCATTTGGATGCAGGAGCAATATATAGAATGGAACCGTTTTCTCTTCTTCCGCAAGCAATACCGACTCGAAAATGTACACATTTAATATATAACTCAGCATCCATAGGTTAGTTGTTTTTATTATTTTGCTCTCTCATATTAAAAAACCGCACAATTTTTTAATTATTAATCATATTAACTAACTTTAAAATTATAGATCCACACGAATTAACGGTCACTGTACGAGATCCAGAATATGATTTAATTAAAGGTAAAATAGAGATATAGTTATTTGCTCTTATATATATTTGATTGAAAATGTTTTTAAAAAACCTTTCTTATTTGTAGGTGGTTATAAATCAGCTGTAGGTCTTCGACAAAGTGATCCTGGATTACGAGTGTTAATTTCAATTAATTCACCCGATAATGGAAGAATGTTCAAAGAGCTATTTAATGGCTTTGATCGTACACAAAAGTTTATTGAGTCCGTCATGAATTTTCTGAAGGAATACGAATTCGATGGAGTAGAGATTGATTGGGAAAACAAATCAAATGCGGAACTTAGAATCCTTTTACGAAAACTTTATACACTTTTTGTAGAGAAAGGATACAGTTTAGCACTTTCCATAAAACCTCAAGATACAGTGGATCCAGAAATTGCATCAATGACTCATCTTTTGCTCTTTAAAGCTTGGAGAAATTCAGATGACAGTGAATATGCTCAACATTCAGCTCCTCTTAGCTTTGTATCTAATTTGGTTAATAAATGGATTAGTAGAGGTGTAGAACCTCGCAAAATAATATTGGGAATTCCACTCTTTGGAAAATCATTTACTCTGAAATCTAGTAATTCTACTTCAGCTGGATCAGCAGTAACTGGTCCCGGTCTTGGAGGAATCTATACGAATCATCGTGGGACATTAGCTTACTATGAGGTGCACATGATAATATTAGCTATTTTTATTTTAATATAATAATTATAATATTCTGTTATATGTTTATGTTACGCAATCATCTTTATGTTTAGATTTGTGAAAATTTAGGAAATGTATGGACTTCTGGAAGAGATGAAGAAGGGCCTTTTTTAAAACTTGGAGACCAGTGGATTGGATATGATGATCCTATATCGGTTAAAATAAAATCGGCGTACGTCAGATTCACTGAATTAGGAGGCGTTTCTTTATGGTTTTTGGACTTGGATGATTTTCAGGTATATTTTATAAAATTAATTAAAATATTTTCCTTTGTGTAAACATTTCAACTAATAAAATTGTGTACTCTTTTATAGGGAATTTGTGGCAATCCTTGGCCAATGTTGAATGCTGCTCTAAACGGATTAAGCTATTCTGATGTTCCTGTTAAAAAATGTTCAAAAGAGGGACTGTTTAGTGATCCCGATAACTGTTCAGGATATGTATCATGCAGCAAAGGTATAAATATAAAATAATAATAATAATAATTTTAAAATTTACATATTCTATAAAATGAACTTTAAGGGTTGCAATACCATGGTAGCTGTGGTTACGGCAGATTCTACAATTCTGACAATGGAATGTGTATCAAAGCAAGACCTGACATATGTGATCCAGGACATAGTAATCGGGCTACTTCAATAACAAAGTTGGAAGAATTACGCGATAAACAACAATTAGAACAACTGGAATTACACCAAGAAAATAAAAAAGTTGTTTGTTATGTTACTTCGTGGGCATTTTATAGGAGAGGAGAAGGGAAATTTGTGCCGGAACATTTAGATTCACGTTTATGTACGCATATTGTATATGCTTTTGCTGGACTTAATCCTGACACACTACTCATTCATCCTTTTGATCCTTGGGCGGACATAGAGAACAGTTAGTCTATATTTTTAATGTAGTATCTAGACATTTTTATTTTAAACGACTCATTTAACTCATTAACTTGTTTTAGATTTGTATCAACGCATAACTTCTATAAAAGGTCCTATCGTAATGCTTGCATTAGGTGGTTGGACTGACAGTTCCGGTGACAAATATTCACGTTTAGTGAAAAGTGCATCATCTCGAAAAAAATTTGTAACTTCAACATTAAATTTCTTAAAAAAACATAACTTTAAAGGATTATCTGTTGAATGGAATTATCCAAAGTGTTGGCAAAGTGATTGCAAGAGAGGACCAGACTCAGATAAACCAAATTTCACAAAACTTTTAAAGGAACTACGTAAAGCGTTTGATGAAGAAGAATCCGGATTGATATTATCTGTCGCTCTGTCAGGCTATAAGGAAGTAATTGACAAAGCCTATCAAGTGGATGAAATTTCAAAACTTGTTGATTTTATATCCGTTATGACTTACGATTACCACGGAGCTTGGGAATCTAAAACTGGTCATTTAGCACCTCTCTACTCAAAGAATAATACAAGTTCTAATATTAATTACAATGTGGTACGAAAAGTTTGTTTAATGTTGTAAACACTTAAAAATGTACATAAAAAATAATTTCAATTTCATTTATCATAGAATTTCACTATGAAGTATTTATTTGCTCTTGGTGCATCAAAAGAAAAATTGTTAATGGGTGTGCCCATGTATGGACAATCATACAGACTTTCTTCAACTTCCCATTATGAATTGGATAATCCAGCTGCAGGACCGGGTACTCCAGGAGAATACACCAGACAACCAGGAATGTTGGCTTATCATGAAATTTGTAATAGAATTAAGAAAAAAAATTGGAAAACTGGTCCAGGTAAATAATAATTCATGTAAAATTATACACAACAAAAGTATGACATAATTAATTAATTTTCCTTTATAGCTCCAAATGCATATTTTAAAGATCAATGGGTAGCTTACGATAATTCCAAGAGCATTATGGAAAAAGGACAATATATTCTTGACAATGGTTTCGGGGGAGCGACTGCATGGACAGTTGATCTTGACGATTTTACAAATCGCTGTTGTAGAGAACCTTTTCCACTATTGCGCACCTTAAATCGAGCGATAGGTAATAATTTGTACTTTAAAAAAGAAGAAAAAAATTTATTGTCATTAGCGAAAAAAACTCTTCTTTTCCGTCAGGTCGATTGTTAACGCCATTGCCCTCCGAAGGGAGCTGCCAAAAACCAAATGAACCTGTTACGCCTCAAGCACCAACTCTAACAACACATACTGACGCCCTTGATGGAAGGCCACGACCAACTAAACCAATGGATTCAAGTACAACTACTCCAACTACAACTTGGCCAACATGGACTGAAAAACCATTTTCAACTATAATTACAAGTACTCCAACTACAACTTGGCCCACATGGACTGAAAAAACATCTTCAACTACAGAGCGAACGTTACCTACAAGGTAAACAAGTAACAACAATTAATAACATAGTCATTGTCGCAAAGAAATAATTATATTAATTTTTTTATTTGTAGGAAAACAACTATTATGAGTACAACAGATACTATAAAAGAAACAACAACAATAATATGTAATTCTGGGGAATTTATGGCAGATCCTAAAAATTGTGGATCATATTATAGATGTATCCTGGGCGAATTAAGACGTGAACAATGTGCACCAGGATTACACTGGGATAGTCATCGGGGTCTTTGTGATTGGCCATCTTCAGTGAAATGCCAACAAGGATTAGGTATTGCATAGAGAGACATTAAGATATATCATTCAAGTATAATATATGGACTTTACAAAGATGAATATCTGTTTTCTTATTAATTGTCTATTATAAGGAACCTGTTTTCATTATTCAAATCATGTCTAGTTTTATTTGATATGTCTTAACTATTCTTTAGTTTATAATGACTTTATAATATATGTATGTTCAAAATTTCTTTGTATACAGTCAGGATAATAGTAGTCAATTTATTGTTGTATTTTTAAAAATTTCTGCAAAATTAAACGTAATAAGCACCTATACAGATTTATCAAGATTTTTAAAAATAGAAACAAATAAAGTCACAGACTATTATTATCCTTACTGCATACGTAGTGCTTATATTATTAAAAAAAAAAAAGAATAAATTTAAAGAGAAATGTCTAATTATCGTTTAAAAGTTTTGCTATGTTCCTGTTTATTATTGTTGCAAATAGAAGAATTCTTATCAAAAATATGCATTAAAAGAGGTATTTTTAATAAAGTTATATATTATTATTCTCGAAAAATTTTGAAATATTATTTTCATTTCAGCAACATCTTTAAAGCCGCCAACACACAAGTTCGATTCAAGTACAACTCGTCGACCGACGACAACAACAATAAAATCTAGTACGAAATATATGATTGCAAAACCCACAGAAAAACCAGAGAAAGACTGTGAACATGGACAGTATTACTCGTACCCAAGTTCATGCGAGCAATTCCTGATATGTGTAAATGGAGATCTTATACCACAACAATGTGGTCCAGGCCTCAACTGGAACGAAGAAAAAAATATGTGCGATTGGGCCTTCATGAGTCCATGCAATAATGCTTTGAATAAAAAAGCCCCTTTAAAAATAAAGGATCTAAGTGAAAAGGTATGAATAATTTGTAAATTTTTCACTCAATTATAAAGGTAATTAATAAATAGTTGAATTGGAAATTAATAATTCCTCATCTTTTTGTAGAACTGTTCTCCAGGTAGCTATTCGAGTGTACCAGGCGACTGTCAAAGTTACAGAGCTTGTTTGTGGGGACGACACGAAATATTTCAATGTGCACCTGGTCTTCACTTTAATGCTGAAACTCACATTTGTGATTGGCCAGTACGAGCCAAATGTCAAGACGAACATTTTTTACCTGACAATATTTTAACAACTGAAGCCAGTTCAACATCTACTACTTTAAAACCAACTTCAATAGCAGAAAATCCATGGACATGGACAGAACCTCCAAAACCAACCCCCACCCCAGCAATTGATGCTGAGAAAAAATCTCCTTTATCAGGATATTTTAAAGTAATATATAAAGAAATATAAATCATTTTTTCAATTCTCTTTTTATATATATTCATGTATTGCAGGTGGTTTGCTATTTTACTAATTGGGCTTGGTACCGAAGAGGAATTGGACGTTATTTGCCTGAACATATAGATCATACTTTATGTACACACATAATTTACGGTTTTGCCGTTTTAGACTATTCAGACTTGACAATCAAGGCTCATGATTCATGGGCGGACTTTGATAATCGTAAGTTTAATACATTGTAGAAAAAAGAAAAAAAATTTTATTTGGAACAGCGATATATTTCTCTATAAAATAGCGTCAAGTATAAATTAAACTGTTGTTGGATCAATTTTTAATTTTTTAGAATTTTACGAAAGGGTACTGAAATATAAAAAAAGAGGTCTTAAAATAAGCTTAGCATTGGGAGGATGGAACGATTCAGCCGGAGATAAGTACAGTAGGTTGGTTAACAATCAGGCCGCAAGGAAGAAATTTATTGAACACGCAATAAGATTTTTAGAAAAATTCGGGTTTGATGGTTTGGATTTAGACTGGGAGTATCCTGTTTGTTGGCAGGTAAATATATTGACGAATAATTTTTCACAATATAGACATTCTAATTATAATAAAATATAAAAATCATTTTAGGTGGATTGCAGAAAAGGACCAGTATCTGACAAACAAGGTTTCGCATCTCTAATAGAAGAATTAAGTATAAAAATGAAACCTAAGGGACTTTTATTATCGGCAGCGGTTTCACCTAGTAAAACAGTTATTGATAAAGGATATGACGTTCCGGCATTAGCGAAATATTTAGATTGGATAGCAGTAATGACTTACGACTATCATGGACAATGGGATAAGAAAACTGGTCATGTCGCACCCTTGTATTATCATGATGACGATGAATTTTATTACTTTAATGCCAATTACTCTATTAATTATTGGATTTCAAAAGGAGCACCGGCAAGAAATATAGTAATGGGTGGGTAACTTTTTTGTTGGATTTTGTGATTCCTCTGTAACATATATTGTTTGTCACAGGAATGCCTTTGTATGGTCAATCATTTGCCATTAATGATCCAAAAGTAGGAAGTGGTTTAAATGCGGCGGCTAGTGCAGGAAATGCGGGTGAATTTACACGTGCAGCCGGCTTTTTGGCGTATTATGAAATATGCGATAGAATTGTGAATCGTAACTGGACAGTTGTACAAGACCCCCAGCGTAGAATGGGCCCTTATGCATTTAAAGGAAATCAGTGGGTTAGTTTTGACGATTCCGATATGATAAGACAAAAGGCTCAATTTGTTAGAGATATGGGTCTTGGCGGTGGAATGATTTGGGCCTTGGATTTAGATGATTTCAAGGGACGGTGTGGAGAGGGCCCTCATCCACTTATGCATACTTTACAGCAAGTTTTGTCAGAACCACCCAACAAACACGATAAACGTAAATATTATTTTTTATTTCAAACTTTTTCTTAAATTGAAAATTTTCTTATTTTAAAACTGTTTATGATTGGTAGCTATAAAACTGCCAGAAGTTGGTCAAGAAATAGAATGGAAACTTCCAAGTGCGGAATCAACGAAACCAATGAATTTTAAAGCGGACACTATTATTGATGATGAATTTAAATTAGTTTGCTATTTTACAAATTGGGCTTGGTATAGGCAAGAAGGTGGAAGATTTCTCCCAGAAGACTTAGATCCGGAATTATGTACTCACATTCTCTACGGTTTTGCTGTTTTGGATTCTAATAGTTTAACAATAAAGTCACACGACCCATGGGCCGATATAGACAATAGTAAGTTTTATTCTCTCTTTAAATTATTATTTTATTCACTGACTATACTTCTAAATGTTGATATTTCTAGAATTTTACGAGAGAGTTGTAGCTTTTAAATCAAAAGGAAAGAAGGTATTGATAGCATTAGGTGGATGGAATGACTCACAAGGAGATAAATATAGTCGTCTGGTAAATTCACCAGAATCTAGAAAGAAATTTATATCACATGCAGTTCAATTTATAGAAAAGTACAATTTTGATGGTCTAGATTTGGATTGGGAATATCCTGTATGTTGGCAAGTAAGTAATATAATTCAGAAATAATATAATATTTTTGGTTCAAATATAATAGAATTTTTTGTTACTTTCAGGTAGATTGCACTAAGGGTCCTAAGGCAGACAAGGAAGGTTTTACAAATTTAGTGAAAGAATTAAGTCAAGTTCTTAAACCAAAAGGACTTCTCTTATCGACTGCAGTATCTCCAAGTAAAAAAATTATAAATGAAGGATATGACGTTTCAGAAATATCAAAATATTTTGATTGGATTTCTATTATGACTTATGATTTTCATGGACAGTGGGACAAAAAGACTGGTCATGTGGCACCTTTGTTCACATTGCCTGACGACTGGGAACCGACTTTTAATGCCGTAACTATTTCTTAATTTTCTATTGCTTCGAAAAATTATTCAAATTCATTTAAAATTTCTCATAAAGGTTTTGATTGTAGAATTTTTCAATTCATTACTGGATGGAGAGAGGAGCACCTGCTAAGAAATTAATTATGGGTGCACCACTCTATGGACAGTCATTTTCTCTTGCAGAAAGGAATAAAAGAGGATTGAATGAACCAACTTATGGAGGTGGAGAAGCTGGTGAGGCTACTCGAGCTAGAGGATTTTTGTCTTACTATGAGGTTGGTGGATTTGCAACAATTATTTTCTTTTTAACATTTTTCTTAAATAAATAATAATATTAAAATAACGTATTGCAGATTTGTGAAAGAACACTCAAGTTGGGGTGGACTGTGGTACAAGATCCAGAAAGACGAATAGGCCCATTTGCTTACAGAGGGGATCAGTGGGTTAGTTTTGATGATGCAGCACAAATCAAATTAAAAGCAGAGTTAATAAAGAAATTGGGTCTTGGGGGCGGAATGGTATGGGCTCTTGATTTAGACGATTTTCAAAATAGATGTGAATGTGAATCATATCCATTGCTAAAAACTATGAATCGCGTGTTAAGAAATTATCCAACAGGACCTACATGTTCTATAACAGGTTAGTTAAAAATATTCATTCTTTTTCAAACTGAAACGTAACAAATATTTTATCTTGTATATGTACATATTTAATGAAATGTAAAAATATTATATATTATTAAGGTAAAGTAAAACATTATTTTTAGGACCATCAACTGAACCTTTCAATCCTTTGACAACAACTGTAAGGCCAATTACTAATAAACCAATTAGTACTGCTAGCATGATCTCACCTACTTTAGATGTAACGCCAGACTTGGATGATGCAGTTGAAGTAGTAGCAGCTGGCAAACCTACAACGACAACTATTTTTCCCATTCAGGACTGTAATGGTCGATTATTCATGGCCCACGAAAAGGATTGTTCCAAGTATTTATTGTGCAATTTTGGCCAACTTTCTGAACAATCTTGTCCCCATGGTTTATTATGGAATGAAGACCGATGTGATTGGCCTGAAAACACCAAATGTCAAAATAAAATATAAAATTGAGGGTGTTTTCTATTATAAAATACTTTTTAACAGTAAAAAGAATTCAAAAATAAAAAATTACATCCAATTTTATTCTGAAAATAACAATGAACATTCTTTCTTGTATTTTAAAGAGATTGGTTAAACTGCGATATGCATCACCTATACTTTTTGTGAAAATAAAAATTCTCCTCTGTAAATATAAGTAGAAATGCAATATAGAAAATGTATAATTTCAAAATATTAAATGCTTAAAAAACAATTATCAAAATATTACTAAATTAAAGATTTCTGTTATTATAACTTTCAAGATACATTCTGTTGAGGAATTTAAACTCTAACTGAACTTTAATTTAGTTTTAATGATGTGTATATTTCAAAATTAGTATAGCCAGTTTTAAGTCTGAATATTTTATAAAGAAAATAAAAAAGGTTAGTGAATGAAGCTATTGTATCTTTATAATGATAAGTTCTCGAAGGTCAAATCGCACGTGTACAAATGAGTAAGTAATATTCTGGTGATATTTCAGTAGAAGATCATAAGTATATAGAAAGATAAGTTTCTTATACAAAAATTTTAGTTCACTTAAAACTGCTTGCGTGTTAAAAAGAATATCACAAGTTTAAATTAGAATTTCTTTTATTGCTTTAAATCAAATAGTAAAATCTTATTCACTCTAAACATAATATTACGTACTATAAATTAATAAAACATAAATAAAATATTTTTTTATGTTTTAAAGCCAACAAAGAAAGTTTCTTTCAACAATGGAAATCAAAAAGAAAGGTTTGTTTCTATTTTTAAAATGATAAATTCTTAGTTTCACATGTTAAAACTTTTGATTGTTGTTGATTGAGTTACTTTACTTTCATTTTTGCTTATTGTGTTTATAACAGTGAAAATTTTAAACAATTGTTTTGTTGTTATTTAAGCAAGAAAAGTTATACATTTTCGCGTAAAAGTGTTTCTTTATTTTCTGTAAGATAAAAATTTGTTAGAGATAATACAACTTTGAAGATTTTTTGCCAAGTTTTAAACATATCTTCTCTTTTTTTATTCAATTTTATAGTGGGATATATTTTTTAATTTTTGTAAATAGACCTTACTAACTGGGATCTTCTCTCTATTTTTATTAATACTTTTTAAATCTATAATGAGTAATTCAATTGAAATATTATCTTGAGAAAAAGTTTTTAGAATCATCTTCTCTGTATTTCCCAAATAATAGAAAGTTTGTTCCAATACATATAAGATTATTTTAATTTGAACTTTTAAATTGGTTATAATTTTTGACATAATTCAAATACATTTAAGTGCACAAAATCTATCAAATTTTGCACTTTTATTTTTATGATTGAATGCATTAAACACGGGATACTTACTTTATTAGTGTCAATTGTATCAATTCTCATTCATAAGGATTAGAATAATTTTTCCAATTATTTTGACATTATTTACATATTCTTAAATAATTAATATTTATTATACATATAATAATAATATAAAAATTAAAAATACCACCAATGCATTACCGTGGCCAGGGTTGTGTAATTATGAATATTTATGAAAAAAAAAAAAAAAAAGATAGATACAAAAAATAGTACAAATTACAATCGAACGTTGCGTTTTGCGTTGAACAGTGAGAGAAAGAATGACAAACAATACTTACGTCCATCCTTGTTACACGCATTACTAAACGCAAAACGTAGCATTCTAAAAATATGTATATGAAAAGGACAATGCGATTTGCCTATTTCTCTTGCACTCATAATTGTGTCTGTTTTACTCGCATTTTCCCAACCCTGGTGTTGTGGGTTAGGTGAGAAAATAAAAAAAGTAAGAAAAATATAAAAAACTATATATTCTACTGTAGTGCTCTTATATCATTTTAACAATAATCTTAATAAAAGAGTTAAAATATTATAACTGAAAGTATAACAATATGACATCAGGTGAATTAATAGCATTATACGTATGTGCTAAATTATGCACAAGTTTCCATTTATAGTAACACGTGTATAAGACAATTTCAGATAAATGAATGCATGTATTTTTATTGTGTTTGGCCTTTAACGTATACCTATATGTAATATAAATTTAAATACCTACCTAGTTTTACATTAAAATTAATATGAGATATTAAATAATATAGGTATAGTATTTTCAGCAATGAAATAAACAAATAAAAGAAGATTTAACCTAAAAATGTTAGAGAAATTTAATAAAGTAATCCAATAAGGATTACTGTTATAATAATAATAATAATAATTATTATTATTATTATTGTTATTGTTCCACATTTTGTATTTTTCTTCATCTTGATAAATAATTTTATATTTCATCCATTTTTAATAAATAATAACTCAATTTGTTTATTACGATATTCTATACAATTCTGTTTATTAAATTTTGTTGAAAATAATTTGTTTAAAAAATATTAAATAAAAACAAAATATTGAATAATTATTATAACAATAATTTTAAAATTAATTAGGGCCTCAAATTAATTAATGTTACTGTTCTATTTTCTGATATTTAGAAGCGTTTTTAGTTTAAGTTTACATCTGGTATATATTTAAAAATGTTTGTTTTTTCCTTCTTTTCATTAGATTCTGAAGTTCCTACTTTATTTACTGAAACTTCAAGAATTATAGGATTAACTGATTTAAATGTAGACGTAAGTTACATTTTTTATATATTGTATTTCAATTCGCAGTCATTAATGTGTATTTATATATTTCCAAAACAAGTATTATTTAATAATTTCAAAATTATTAATAAATATACGATATTTCAGAGAGATGACGATGAAGAAAGAGAAAAATCTGATAAATGGAGCCCTTTGCTTATTCTGTCAGGAGCAACATGTTGTTTGGGTTCAGCAGTACCTGCAGGATTTAACATAGGAGTAATCAATACGCCTGAAAATGTGAGCATATTTTATAAAAATTTTAATTATTTATATTGATGGTAAAGATTTGTTATGTTGAATTTCTTATATTGCAGTTAATGAAAGCTTTTTGCAATGAAAGTGTAAGACAACATTATGGAATGCAGATTTCTGATGATGGATTAAATATTTTGTGGTCAGCAGTAGTTTCAATTTTTTTAATTGGGGGAGTCTCAGGATCTTTAACATCAAGTATTTTTGCTAATAAACTGGGTAGAAAAGGAACTCTTGTAATAGGAAATATATGTGGGATATTAGGAGCTGTTGTGTTTCTTCTAGCACCAACATTAATATCTGTTGAGCTCCTGTTAATCGGGCGTTTATTAGTCGGTCTGTATTTATGATCTGTAATACTTTAATATACAAGGTAATTGCTTAAAAACTTGTAAAAAGTATAGCATTTTGTACTTTTGAACTATGTATATGTATAATACTTTAAAGTTGAAGTTTCAAGTTTATAATTTGACATAATGATAGTAATAATAGTATAATATTTTCTTTAAATAAATGTAAAATAATAATTTAAAAAAATTGTATTTTCAGGTTTATCGGGGGGTCTTGCTACAAGCTTATTGCCAATGTATCTGAGTGAATTATCGCCTCTGAAATTAAGAGGTACACTCGGTGTTCTATGTCAATTGGGTATTACCATTGGAGTGCTATTAGGTCAAATTGTTAGTTTGGATACAGTATTAGGCACCGAAAATCACTGGTCCTACATGTTGGCCATTTTTTCACCGTTATGTATTCTTTCATTGCTTTTAACACCAATTTTGCCTGAAAGTCCAAAGTTTTTGTACGTAATAAAAGAATCGCACGATAAAGCAATTAATGGTTAGTATTAATGGTTAAAAATATGTTGAAACTATTTTGAAGCTGTGTTATGTCACTAAATTAAAAAATATTTTTTATCTTTTTTAGAATTAAAACGTTTACGTAATCAGGATATGAATAAATTACGCCACGAGATAGCATTATTGGATCAAGAACGAGCAATTAGAGCAGGCGTTAATGATTGGAATATTCATCGAGTTGTTAGTGATCCGTGTTTGAGATTACCACTTCTTTTAGTAATTTTTTCACAATTTGGTCAGCAATTGAGTGGCATTAATGCTGTTTTCTATTATTCAAATTCAATATTTAAAACAGCAGGATTAGGAAAAGCAATTTCTCAATATGCAACTATTGGAACAGGATTGGGAAACGTTTTCATGGCTTTAATTTCAGCATTATTAATGTCTCGTATTGGTAGAAGACCATTACTCCTTAACAGCTGTTACTTAAGTGCATGCTGCTTATTAGTTCTTTGTTTTACAATATTATTCTCAGTAAGGTTTTTGCAATATACATATATATTATTTTTAAAACTATTTATTGGTTCTACAAATTTATACTTGTTTTTGTTTTAATAGAACACTGTCAACTTTATGATGTGGTTGTCTATATTAGCAATACAAGCTTATGTGATATTTTACGGGCTGGGACTTGGTCCAATACCATATTTCATTGGATCTGAATTATTCGATGTTGGACCTAGACCAGTTGCAATGGCCCTTGGAAGTGTTGCTAATTGGGGTGGAAACTTTATAGTTGGAATGACTTTTCCTCTTTTACAAAAATCAATTGGTCCTTTTACATTTCTTATATTTATTGCTTGCACTTTGACTTTGTCTGTCTTTATAAGGTAAGTACAATATATGTATATGTACATACATATAAAATTATATTTTGATTCGCATGTAAACAATAGAAATAAAAATAATAATGATAATTATTCTAGACTGTATTTACCTGAAACTCGAGGAAAAACTACTGTTGAAATAGCCTCCTCTATGACGCTTGGATTTAAATCTCGAGTCATCAACAACAGTAATTAAATATACTTAAAAAAACTCATTTAGATTGTAATTAAAAAAGTAAGATAACATTGTATAAAAGTAAATATAAAAATCCAACATGGGTAAAAATCTTGAAAATAAAAAGTGTGGCAACAAAAGGAAAAATGATGAATATTTTTAAGAAATTTTATAATCTCTGTGTATATTAAATTACTATGAATTATATTTGTAGCGCACAATAACATTTAAGAGTAATATAATGAATCTCAGTAAATTAGCTATTTTTATAAACAATTTCTATCAATTTAATATTATTATCTTTACATTAATTACACATTTATTTAAAATGGTTTTATCAAGAGTTGGATGAAATTCTTTGTTATTTACAAAATACATAGATGCAGGTATACATTCCTCTTAAGTACATAAGTACTTGAATAATAATTTTTTGTTAATTTTTGAAAAAATGTCGCTATTCATTTTCTTATGTTAGTTACGGTAATTTTAAAATAATTGAACTAATTTCTCATAAAATACTAAACATAAAACTGTATGTGGAGCAATTCGCATCCACGTTGGAAATACCCCTTTATAAAAGCCGATTACTCCTTCAGTCTTAAATATTTTGAAAAATGCATCACCAAGTCCGCTGTACAACAAACCTTTTCCTTTAACATCAACACCTGTTAAAAAAAATGGTATATATTTATACATATTTCATAAATATATTTAAATATTATAAAGTTTGAAATTAATTATGTAATTACTTCTTACCTTGATTATAAAGCCTTGTGGCTAATACATCAAATGGTTGCATTGTCAAAGCAACACAACTTCCTCCAATCAAGGAAGCTGTAAAAGTTAATAAAATTGGCCGATCTGTAAATATCTATAAGAAAATAAAAATTTTTTTAACCACAGCATTGCTTTTTCATTCGCTATGTTTATAATAATAATAATAATAATAATTATTATTATTATTATTATTATTATACGGTTTGGAAAAGTATAATTACATTAGTAAAGAAGAAGATGATACAACATATTTTACTCACTTGATAGGTTTTTAGAATATCTGATACAAGACCAAATGTAGTTAATTGAGTTGCTGAACCAACAAATACTCTTGGAATATTGGCATACCATCCTCTATATAAACTTGAAAAACCTCCTTCTTTCCATAAAGATTTAAATGCTGCCCATGTTCCAGAATAAGTGTGTTGATGACCAACAGCGATGCATTGAGCAGATTGAGCTTGAAGTTGAGTTTTCACCTACTCAAATAATATAATATAATAAATCAAAACACCAAGAAAATTAAGTTTTCATTTCATTTATTAGGTAGTATTTTTGATTATACCATAAATAAAGGACTCCCTAACACTGCACCTAAAGAACCAGATACTCCAGTGACCAAAATAGTTTTTAAAATATCTGTATTCCCTTCTGTATTCAAAATTAATTTGCTATTTTTTGCAGAGTTATACATTCCTAATCTAATTCCATTTAAAACTACTTGAAATGCCAGTGCAGGTACCAATCCTGCTTGAAGAGCAAATATTCCTTCATATTTTGTTATAATTAATGCTGCGTGAAAACTATTTTTATAAATTTTTTTGTAAGATCCACGAGCTGCTAATTCTCCCTGGAGTTGGAGGCGTATTTTAATAACTTCCGCTGGATTTGTGAAAAATCCAGCTCCTACTGCAGCCAATGCTCCAAATGTAAACTCATTTCCAGGACTGAAAAATTTATAAAACCAATTATGTGAAAATCAATTTTTCATAATTTAGCGCCATTCTATAACTTCAAGATGGAACTATTAATGGAAATTATTTTAACAACTTTCTACAAATTATTGAATGAAGCGTTAGTATCATTAATAATTTCTTTTAAATATATTTTTATTATAGAAACTATTTAAAGTCCAACAACATAAGTGTACATAAAGAAAAAAAAAAGATAAAATTGATTGTCCTCCAATATTTGGCCATTTTGGAAAATATCGTCTCATTATTATAAATTTACATGTTATAGCTTTTTTCTCAAAAAAAAAAAAAAAAATTAGAATAGTAACTTGTATAAAATTTTAATGAATTCCCAGATATGAATATATAATAATATATCTTACGATTTTTTAATGTCTGCGTCATTATTAGCAAGTGTCGCCATTATTGAAATTGGATACAAAAATGAGCAGATGATAGATGATGCTCATAACTATAACAGTTAAGACTGAACTAATTTGTATGTCATACTATGTTTACTCAAGGCCATGATAAGAAGTATTTCAATCTTTTATTTATAATGTACAAAAATGTTCTCTTCAATGTCAACTGAAAGCTGAAAATTGTTTACGTTATAGGATAAAAGTTACTAAAATGGAGAAAAATTTAGAAAGACAATTTTTACTAGACGGGGTAATATGTCATTTTTAAATCCTGATTACCCTGTAATTAAAAGAAAAATTTCAATCGACAAATTGATTACTATTAATTACTAGGTGTATTATTATAAATTTTTGTTAACAATATTTGTTTATACATATGATAAATAATTACAAGTCTTTAATTTTTGCATTTACTATTATTAAATTTAAAAAATACAAAGATTATAATAAAGTTGAACATTTAAAACTGGATTGATAACAGACTGTTAAAATTTTAACAATCAACTTTTTTAGAATGCGTGTAAAAATACGCGCGTGTACAATTTTTAACAGATTTTTTAACTTAAAATTAAAAATTTTATGCATTAAATTCTTTGTGAAATAAAATATTGTGCCTTGGTATCGTAAGGATGAAAATATGTTCTAATCGAATATTTTTCTTAAGTTATAATCATTTTTAATATAAACTAATTCATCCAGTTCATATTTATTACAAAAAATTAATGTAAATACTATGTAATTTAAATGCTGAATTTGATCACTTCCCTTATATACTAATATATTTATTTTCTATGTAATTAATTTTGCACAGAGGCAATTGCCGTTTTCTTTTCTTTCTCATCTTTGTTTGTTATAAGGATTATAAAATTTCAAAAAAATTATAATCACATCTTTTCACTTGTGACTTTTACAACGTTCTTCATATTGTTTGTTATATAATTTATCAATAAATGATGATTAAGTGTTTTTATGAATTGTTACAAATTAATTTATAAAGAATATTATTTTCTTTAAATTTATTAAGATTCGTAGCATCCTAATTTTTTTAAAACATTCAACCCCTTTTCTTCATATTCCTCTCGAAGCATCCAAACGGCATCGCGATCTTTAGTTATTTCTGCTAATACTGCTCCGCCCATGAATACCATATCCTTTCTTCTGGGAGAATCCTCAATCTTAATCTTGAATTTCTATTGTTTGAGAAATTTAAAACAAATTAAAATTTACTTGGTGAATAAATTCTTTAAAAGTGAAAGAGAATGTAATTCTTACATTAAGTGTCGATGTATCATTTTTCAATACACGCTCAAGATAAAGTTGTTTTATTTCACGTTCAAGCCTAGATGGTAAACCAGGATACATGGTGCTTCCTCCACTTAAGACTATATGCTTATACAATTCACTCCGCATATCTATATCTGCTGCTTGAATTGTACTAAAAACAAGTTCAGCAATACCCTGTGCCTCAACGTTTATAAGATGTGGTTGAAAAAGTGCTTCTGGGGCAGCAAATCTTTCTCCGCCAACTTTTATAACTCTACCATCAGGCAGCTAAAGAAAATGAATGAGTAGATTATTTATTTAATTTTAAAGCTACGTTTGTTTCTTACTCACTGTATATGATTCAACCAAAACTGTCGTTTCAAGCGCTAGTTTCTCTTCTGTTTCCAGATTATAACTTATGTAACATAATTTCTCCTTCATCATTCTCACTGTTTCAAAATCAGCAGAATGATTAAACGCATAACCACGCAAAAGCAACAATTTAATAAGGTACATTGTGATATCCCGTCCTGCTATGTCCAATCTTCTTGTTAAATGAGGTAAAGCATATTCTTCATAGACAGGACATATATGAGTTACACCGTCTCCTGAATCTACTACAACTCCGCTAATTAATCCTTGAGCATATAATGTTAGCACAGCTTGAATAGCAATGTACGTTCCAGCAAAGCCGTATTTTTCAAACATCACCTAATATTTAAAAAAAAAATTTATACAATTTTAAATTAAATTCAACCAAAATATTTGTTTCTAAACTTGAATAATTAAAATTACTTCAATCATCTTTTCTCGATTAGTAGTAGGATTCATCGGCGGTTCAGTAAGTAGAATTTTACACTCCCTGGGATTGATATTCATTTTTTCTTTTCCGAACGTGTAATCCCAAACATGGCACATGTCTTCCCAATTTCTATTAAATTAAAAAAGAATAATATTAATTCTACCATATACCTAAATAAAATAAGTCTATAAATTGGTTTCGCTTCAATTTTTTATTTATTATAATTAGTATTACTATTACATAGTACCAACTGCCTTATCCATTAATTGAAATACCTACCTAACGATGCCATTTTGCATCGGGTAACTGATTTCTAACATTGATCGAAGTTTACTTGCCTCATCACCAACCATTAAATCCTGTTAAACAAACACAATTATTTTATCAATGATTCACAGATTAAAAGAAAGGAAACGTATGAATTATTGAAAAAAAACAATTTTTGTTACGATTTCTTAACTTACGTAATTACCTTTCATTCTTATTTTGAAAATTAATCAAATTTATTTAGTACTCTATTAAAAACAAATAAATAAATTTTAATATCAGAAAATGGTTAAAATAGTATGCCTCAATAGTTACTGGTAGTTTACTTTAAGCCATTGTATGCATATACTTTGTAGCCCTATAATTGGTATTATTACTGTTGGGCTTTGTTTTATTCAAATAAATAAACATTCATATATTTGTATCATGTATTTTTTTAACATTCTAAAAGCCTTTAAACTCTCAAGCAGCAACGTATAGATAATTTTTTTTTCAACTTCATTTAATTAAATATTAACAAAATATAAATAAATTAAACATATTTTTTAGCAGTTTATATATATATATATATATATATAGCCACTGTACATATCAAGTACAAACAATAATGCAAAATCAAACTTACAGACATGTTAAGCACATCCTACGAGAGCAATTCCAAGCATACAAACATAAACATTATTATTATGGCAGAGAAATATGTAATATTTTATTTTAAATCTGCATCTTTATAAATATGTGCGATATTTTTTCGTATTATTGAAATAAATTTGATGTTTAATATTCATATAAATAAAACTTGATTAATTAGTAAACAAACTCATAAAACGTAAAATTATTTTTTTAAAAATTGAACCCTCTAGGTACTGGAGGAACAAAATAAATTAAATTAAATTAAATTAAACAATAGTTATTTTTAGACTTTGCAAAATTATTTTATAACATAATATATATATATAATAAAAGTAAAATCATTTTTCATGATGAAAAGAGTACTAACAACAAAATTTTATTTTTTACATTCATGAAATGTATTGAGCTGTTCCTTCAAATTCAATGCAAAATTACATAGTAAGCCCGTGTAAAAACTCGAAAAATAATTCAAAAAAATGTACATGTTTATATTTAAAATTGCAAACATTTTATAATAACTTTGATACACCTACGCACGTAGAGGGTTATACATGTTAATTGTAGTATACAAACTGTTTTAAAAAAGAAAAGATTTCAGTTAATGGTAAGTGTTATTACTTGTTAGAATGTGTGCCAAAATACGCACTTTCAAACAGCTAGGTAATTATATTTATTACATTTTTTTCATACATTTCATCAAAAACACACTAAAGTTTCAAAAAAAGAGACTTACATGAATGCTATGATCTTGCTGAAAATATATTTTGAAAATTAAATCTTTATTGTTAAAAGTGTAAAATAATAAATAAATCTATAAAATAACTAAGATCTGTTGACAATAAATAAATTATCCAACTTCTTAGTAACCTAAATTATTTTACACAAGTATACATTGTGTAATAAGCATCAATTAATTACGTTTTAAAATTCGTTGTAGCTGATAAAAATATTTAAATTCTACTGAAACATTGCATGCAACAATGCTTCAAAATTACAGTTATATACATTCTTGTATAATAAAATATTAATTTTCTTAATTAATATAATTTTATTTTATTTTATCTAAACTACCGTTGAAATATAATTACAGTGGCTAACATGGTTACTATCAAACAATACATATTTTTTTTAATCATGATAACTCAATCAAAACATAAGCTATAGAATTAAAACAAAAAACATTAGAAAGTTGATAAAATTATCCGTTTGATGGCTGAGATATCATGGTTCAATAACATGTACTTTTTAATAGTGCTCGCGTTAGCCTTCCTGATAATTTTCGTTGATAGAGTATGTATCTACAATTATTGATGCATGCCAATATAATCCCTACATAATTAATCTGAATTAAAAAAATAATTATTATTACAAACAAATCTCAAGATTCTGAATCACGTATAACATTTTTGAAAAAAGTTGTCTAAAAATAAATTGTTTACTTTATTTAACTTTGATTTTCAGTAAAAAATAAAGCTCCTAATGATGAAACTAACGTTAATGTCGAGACGTGATTTGGAATTTTCATTTTGTCAAAATAAATTTTAATTCACAATCCTGATAAATTATTCCTAATGTATTGACAATGTTGTATGAATTATAAATTAAAATTTGTCTAAACAATTAAATTTCGAACAAAATATAATATATTACAAAATCAGTGACAATAAAGCAATTCACATAAATGTATTATATTTTTAAAAAGAATTTTAAATACCATTGCATACCAAACAATGACGTTAATTTAAAGTTAAATAAATTATTCTTAAATATTAACTAACCTTTACATCAATATCACCGATTTTATTAGTGGCCCTAATAATTGGTCGCCCTACTATTGAAGGAAATATGTGAGCTGGGAAATTTGCACCTGCATATCCACATTTTACAAACTGTAAAAAATTAACCTCATACAGTAAGTAATAATAAACATATATAATTACGAATGCTTATACTGCAATTATAAGAGTAAATAAATAGGTATATATAGAAACAGTATATTATAATTTATATGTAAACATTTTTAACATAACCTTACCCCTGTTCCATTGTCGCAAACAATGACTTTTCGACCTTTACTGTCCATTTTAACAAATCTCCAATAGCATTTAAATAGAAGATAAGGTTCTTAATTTGTATTTAGATAAAAATAATTTTCATATAATGTAAAGAGAAATTACATTTGAATAAAGTAATTGGTAAAGGGCGTAACCGGTTAAGGACTATTTAGTTCACTTTTAAACATCATTAAACCCCACTAGAGTAAAATAATTATTGATAATCTTTTACAGTTTAATATGTCTAGTTTTATAAAAACCTTATTTAATTTTTGTACTTGTATTTGAAAATACTATTCTTTTTTATTCAATAATTTACATTGTATGGGGTGAATCAGTTTTTGTCATGACACGAATTATAAGATTATAACCTAAGTATAAAGGTGCTTCTACAACAATTTGTTATTTTCTTTACATTTGGTGACTGCCTGTCTCAGTCTGTCTAATGGAGCGGTCACACCTCGGCTGCAGGAGCAGTTGCCCATGGCAACCGTGTAAGAGTAAGAGAGATAGAAGATTTTCCATCTCTCTTACTCTTACATGGTTGCCATTGGCAACTGCTCCTGCAGGCGAGGTGTGACCGCTCCATAAAGGAGCACAAATAGCAAAGTGCAAGTCCAAGAAAACCATGAGTGCAAGAGAGATAACTAGACAACCCATCTCTCTTGCACTCATTAAACTTGCACGTACCTTTTGTGTTTTAATTTAAAAATAAGGAGCAATGTATTTTTGGGTTATGTTCAACGTACTTCTAATTTTTCCCACTGTTTACATATTTCCCACGAGAGCGCTTGTGTTCCATCACGTATTTTCATGACACTAAGCGATTACCAAAATTTGGTCCACTTTCAATGTACGTCGTTCGGTCTCCTTAGGCTGCAGTCCCATGGCAGCGTTTTGCGTTGCGTTTTGTCACTAGACCCTGAGTGTAAACATAGCAAACATATATCTGCATCTCTTTTACACTCATGGTCTAGTGACAAAACGCTGCCATGGGACTGCAGCCTTATACTACTCCATGACTTGGCTTTTGCACCTATTGTAGAACATCCATTACGATTCCTGTACGTTATTATTCTGCGTTGGCCTTAAGAATATAATCATGAGAGTGAAAAGGACAGTGACATACTATGTTTATTTCTCTCTCTCTCTCTCTCATTATTCAACGCCCAAAAAAAACAATGCAACGTTCGAAAAAGGAGACAAGTCATGTAAACACTGCCTAAAATATGATGCTTTCGGCCTCCATGTGATATCAATCTTAGACGTCTGCTTTTGGATTTTGGAAGGAGTTACATAAGCTGGTATGCTTCAAAATTTTTAATGATTCTAAATAAAATAAGTAGTTATTGTAATTTTTTTTTCATTTAGAAGATAAAATGTCTGCCGTCAATTTTATTTACAAGGCTGTTTTTAAACGTACTTCCACCTTTGTATTCTCCATTGTCGTTGCCAGCTTCCTTTTCGAACGAACAATAGATGCTACAACTGATGCTATTTTCGAATCAAGAAACAGAGGGGTATGTTTCATTTAAAAATTATGATAAAATTTCTATATGAAATTATATTGAAAAAAATAAAAAATTTTTAATAAAATTATATATAAATTAAGAACATATCTTCTTTTAGAAACTGTGGAAGGACATCAAGCATAAATATGAGTAGTAAACGATTCAAGAAAAAAAATGTAATTATTATTATGTCATAAAATAGTCAATATTATATTTACTTTTCTTGAAATCCAAAGAATTAATGATTTATATAAAAACTAAATAAAACTTTATGTTAAGATATTTTTAATGTAGAAAAGTGTTTATTATATTAACACATTATAATTAATAAATTCTATTGGTTCACTCTATTATTTATATTTTGACAGTCAGATAAATTCAATAAAACACAATTACCATATAAATTGAGTTTTCTTTTCCTAACTGTCAAAAAATTGTTATTCAAAATGAATTTTATGATTAAAAAAGTATTCTATGGAGATAGAGATATATGTATGCATAAAACAAATTTTAAATAAATAGTGGTGCATGTGTAATTTTATTTTAAAAAAATATTTCGTTCTCCAAGGTAAAAAATTTATTTTTCTATTTTTTTTTAGTGAGGATTGTTTAGAATATTCGAAATTTTCTAAAAATATTTAATATAGAAAGTAAAATTTTTATATTACAAACGTTTTAGAAAATTATAATTAAAAGTTACTCAATAATAAAATTAATATAATATAAATGTAACAAAACTATTATTATTATTAATTTGGACATTTTACAGATAAATTTAAAAATCAATGTTTACCTAATATTTTGGTCTTTTTGAAACAATAATCAATTAATATTAGTAAATTAGATTGTTGTGAATAGTAACAAATGACAAAATTTTTATTTTCGAAATTATTTCAGTGTCTTTCATTAAATTTAGCCAACTGTCGAAATAATCTTTTATCCTTAATTGACAAAAATGTGTTATAAGATCATCATTCCTATAAAATATAGAAAAATATTATATATAATATAGAGTGATTGTATTTTATTTAGTCTTCTAAGGAAATATCAATTTTTCCCAAAGAATAATAAGAGGGACCACAGTGTACAATTTTTGCGCTTCCTAGACATTCTTCTCCTTTGTAAAAGACAGCGTACTGAAATATTAAAAATATATTTAATTATAATGAATAAAATAATTTAAAAATAGATAAAATTTAATTATTAATAATTTCAGACCTGGCCTTGAGTTAAAGCTCGAAGTGGTTTCGATAGAAGGACTATCAAATTTTCATTTTTTGTTTTGAATATGGAACATGTTATTAAAGGTTTTCTGTGCTGAAATCGAAATCCACACTGAAGTACAGATTTACTTTTGTTTAATTGATCAGGTTCTTCACAAATCCAATGTGGTTTAGATGCTATTAATAAATCTGAGTATAACGTTGGATGGTTAGTACCTGGGACCTGAGTTGATTGAAATTTTTTCAGATTGCGAATAAAAAAATTTACAATTTAGTACACATAAATATGTATAATGGTATATACGATTGGGATAAATCTTAAGAAATGCGACTAATATTTGTTAGTGAAGCTATGAATTTATTATTATATATAAATTAATTTTGTCAAAATGTTTTACTAATTGTTGGTAAAATTAATAAATATATTTATTTATGTCTGAAAGTAAAAATTTTGGACTTTAGTTGTTTAGTTTTATGTAGGAATGTTGTTAAATATTTTAATATTAATTTTGATATTTTCACAAAAAAACTTTCAAATACCAAACTGTCCCATGGGTACCCACATTCTTTTAATTGATTTAATGCTTCTATAGTATTAAAATAAAATGAATACTTACTACCCATATATCATTTGTCTCAATATTTTTGTAAAATACCATGAGCCGATCGTTACATCCTCCAACTTTACATCTTTGTCCGACAGTCCAATAATGAAAACCATTATGAGAGCCTACTATTTTACCTTTAGTAATGTCGAGGAAATTTCCCGATTTATTTTCTACATACTGTAAAAAACAACATAATAATTAAAATTTTTAATGCGATAGTAAAAAAGTGCAAATTAAATATTAATTATATGAATTAGATGATACAACTTTGAGAATTCTTCTCATGTACCTCTGTAATGAATTTTTGAAAATTTCGACTACCAATAAAACATATTCCCATGCTCTCCTTTTTATGTAATACAGAAGTTAATTGTGCCTCTTTAGCTATTCTCTTTATATCTATTTTATTGTATTCTCCGACCGGAAACATACATTTTTTCAAAGACTTTTGGGGAACTTGAGACAAGAAGAATGACTGATCTTTAGAAAAATCTTTTCCCCTCAAAAGTTTTACATCTAAAAATTCATATTTAATAAGTTATACATATAAATTCACAAGATATGTAATTATATTATATGATGATATGAAAACGAACTAGCATTTTCTGAGTAGTTTTCTAAATATTGACCAAAACTAGTCCTCACATAGTGACCAGTGGCAATAGCATCTGCTTTAAGTTCATTGCGTGCAAAGCAATAAAATTTATCAAACTTTATCTTTTTATTGCATTTTATGTCTGGATTTGGTGTCATGCCATTTTGATAACTTTCTAAAAGATAGCTAAAATAATAAAAATTAAATTAAAGTGTAACAAATAGTTGTTTCAATCATTGCAAAATTGTACACAACTCATTTTTTTGATTTACTTTTTTACTCAAGATTTATCCTTGAGAGTCGCCTCTAAATCTGAGAAAAAAATTGCATAATGTTAAAAAATTTTATCCTCATCAACAGGACAAATTATAATATATGTATATTAATTCCTTAGCAATTATAATTATCTGACTTGTGTATTTTTTACAACAATCGGTTCAGTTATAAAAATTGTATTATAAATTTAAATTATGAGACCTGAAAACATCATTCCAATATTCCTTTACAAAGTCAATACGAAAAAGAGGAATGTTTAATTTTTTACAAACCAAGTCTGCATCAGCGAATTCTTTATCGGCTGTACATTGACCTATCTCATCTACGATATCCCAATTTTTCATAAAAACTGCTTGAACATTAAAACCTATAATAATATTAAATGTTTTAAAAATATTTCTTCTATATTTTAACACATAATTCTTTTGCCTTTTATCAAGGAGATACTCACCTTTGTTTTTTAATAGAAAAGCAGCCACTGCACTATCCACGCCACCAGACATACCAACAACTATATTTCTAAACATTTTTTAATGTTTTGATTTAATTGTTTAAACAAAAATAAAAGTATTTCTAATAAAATGTAATTCTTAATCTTATAAACATTTGAACGGGTATAGCAGAATTACATAAACACATTAGTCATGTTTGTTTGAATGGCCTCTTACATTAGCCATGATCATATAAACAATCAGGCATGGTTAGAGGTTAGGTCGCAATAGATGTTAGGCTAGGTTAATACATTAAAAAAAAAAAAAAAAAATTAATGTATCACTCTTTGCAGGGAATTTAAGAAAGATTTAATAAATTATCTCATTTTTAATTATTTTGTAAGTTTATTAAATTACATATGAAAATAAATATTCTATTCTGCTTTCTCTTTCCAAAAAAAGTTAATGTATTTATTATTTTTCCACCAAGATTTTTGAATACGTTTCAAAACAAGTTTCTTTGTTGAAATGTTATGTAAAGGGCCAAAAGCTAATGCCACAGCCGTACAAGCTAGACAAATTACATTATACGGCATACTAAAGTCTGGAGTTGGAAGACTAATTAATAAAATGTCAGTTCTCAGCTGGATTATATAGTTTTCCCGCGATGCATTAAAACTAAAAATTCGAATGAAAATATTATCAATAAAATTTGATTGTCTGAAATACATATACATATAGTATCAAAAGTATATTACCTGGAAGAAATCGTGCTACCATCCATAGGTAACGCTGTATAATTTCTGGCAATTGGTAGAGATGCCGTAATAATGGCTGGCCCTGCATAAAAACCATGATTGGCATCAGGTGGATATTCTTGCCATTTTAAAAATAAATAATCGAAATCTATCGAAAGTTTCGTTATTGAATGTGGTGGTAACTGTAAAACAAGTTCCAGATAGTAAGGCCTTTTTCTTTCTTTGCCAGGTATATAACGCTGAATAGCTGAAAAATATATTATATTATAATTTTCAAGTCTGGAAAGCATAAAAGAATTATCTTTAAAAAAAAAGTTCTTACACGGAAGAATGGGCTTTCCTTTACAGTTGATTTTAACAGTATGCAAGTATAATGACAAATACCAAGGAATATTTTCTAAAAGAATAATATCTAAAGGTTGCCAATGATTATTCTGCAACTTTGTCACTAAAGTTCCTTTTTGTTGACCGTAACCTGTAATCAAAGTAATTTTCATTTAACAAAACTTATTCAAAATTATTGGTATTTAAATAATTAATTTAAAGATAAATGATACCGTTTATATATCTTGTAGCTAATAAAATGGGAAGGAAGCCTTTATTATCAAAGTTTGGTAAAGTATAGTGAGCAGCAATATTGAACATTCCTTTAGAAGTGAAAGATTTAATGTCGTATATTGCAATTATATTTTTCTGTCCACCTCTCAAACTGGTTGTTTTGATACTTGCCTCTGGCATTAATTTATATGAATGAATGGTTTTATTGGTAGTGACGTCTACATAGATGTTACTCATAGTTGCCAGTGTACAAGCATCTTTAAGACCAGTACCAAATAATTTTCGAATGGACCAATCCTATTAAAAATTTTAAAAAAGTAAACTAATATCTAACGCAGAAACGGATACAGATATTAAATCAGAATAAAAAAATTTCTTACATAAGTGTCACCTGACAAAATATCATAAATCAATGAAACAGTTTGACGAAGTTCAAGAGAAGTTTTCGTACACTCAGAATTTCGACAAACTGAACGAAAATGTATTCCTATAGAATGATAATTAGTGTTATGAATATATGCTGAATTCATTAGCGTTGCTAATCCTCTCTAGAAAGAAATTAAGAGTACAATTAGTATCTACTTTAGAGAAATTTTAAATTTATTAATTCAATTATTTCTTCACCTTTGAATCGCAAGGTAGTAATTTTTTAAAAGGTGTTAAATTTTCAGTACAAGCAGTTTCTCTGGGTAACGTTGAGTAACGAAAATAATTTGAATTTGGTTTGTAATTTAACGCACTAGTTGGTTGCATACTAAATTCTGGCGACAAACTATTGGAAGAATCTATAAAATTTAAAGAAGCACATAATAATCCAGCTAATGAACTCGTTAAACTTGTCCATTCTTTGTCAACACTGTAAAAAGGGATAAATATTATAAGTTGAAAATAGTATTTGTCAACTTGCGAAAAAAATTAAATCCAATATTTAATTCTTTACTTTGAAACATTTTCTTTGAACCAAGCTGAAATCTCTGCACCTGGTCCTGCATTTTGAAATGGATATCCCCATTTTTTATGCCGCCAAAGTCCTTCAGTTAAAGTAAAATGTAATTCATCTACTTGGTGACGACCTAAAATTTCTCCTAGTCCTCTTGGGAATAAATGTGAATGTTGCACTGGAACAATGATTTAACTATAAAATCTTTTGAAATAAAGTTAAATTTATTTTAATTGTTTAATTAGTGTTTTAATTGTAAACATAGAAAGTTGACATACGTGTACGCAAATTGTTTGAACCCTCCCAAAGAGTTGTAAATTGAAAAAATGCATAAATATATCCACTAGGAAGTGGCTTTAACATTAACTCCTCATCATAGGTATCAGTCTGTGCACTTGCATAAAAAGTACAAAAAGTTATTAATATAATACAGAACTTTTGATACAAAAAGTTTCCCATTGTCACATTCGGTATAAAAAATTGTTTCAAATATATAAATTACAATATATTTTAAAATGTTCAGAATTTAGATTAATTTCATTCTAAAAATCTGTATTTATATTATAATTTAGTTGTATCATTTTAAATAGATTTTTTTAAATTAAAAATCAACTGTATAAATCACGATGCATTACGACAAATTTGTTAAACTCAGTTAAACTAAACAAATTGGATGGTTCGATCATTCCTTCTTATTATTTCTCAAAGCTATTGTGCACTGGCCCTAAGATTAAGCTCGACTCATAGTTACGATTGCGATTTCGGTTACGTTTCTATTCTGCTCAGGCCTTATCTCTTTCCACAGTTAAAGACCTGAGCAGAAAAGAAACGTAACCGGAATCGTAATCGTAAACGCAACTGGAAGAATGAGTTAGAGAAGAATAGATAGATTGTTTGTCCTTCTCTAACTTATTCTTCCGGTTGCGTTTACGATTACGATTCTGGTTTCTTTTTTATTGTGCTTAGGCCTTTAGATGTACAGCTTGCAAGTTGTTGTAGAAGTACCTTCATCGTGATGTAAACGGACAATTTTTTTGTGCATGTATCAACCATTCTTGCTTTACGAGGTGTGATCGTACCCTTATCATTCAGAGAATTGCATTCTAGAAACACCTTTAAATTAGTATAACGTGTTTAAAATTTTGACATACCTATTGGCCTACATTTATTTTATCATACTTTTATAAACTTGGGATCGTAAGTCAAATTGATGGTGAATTATTAAGTAATATTTTTTGTCGTTAGTTTATGGGATGATTGCGTTAAATAAAATTAAAGATGCCTTACTTATTATTTCTATCTTATGAATTCAAAGTTTGTTCGTATAATACTGTTTGAACTTTAAAGACGGCCATCTTGGTGGTTAATAGGCTTGTTTGATAGCTTAAAAACTCAATTCTAAATTTTTTTATGTGTCGAACTTGGGCAAACTTAAGCATAATTTAATCGAGATTTTAAGTTGTCTGTAACTAAGTGTTGAAAAAAATGGCTATGGAGACTCCAAGAGAAAGAGAAATTGCTGCAGAAGACAGCATTAGAGTAGTATGTAGATTTCGGCCGCTGAATCATTCTGAAGAAAAGGCTGGCTCCAAATTTATAGTTAAATTTCCTGCTGGAGGAGACGAAAATTGTATTTCAATTGGGGTATGTAGTTGTCAGCTTTAAAGTTTTTTTTTATTTCAATATACAGACATTAAATAGACAATCTCAATCACAGCTGACAGTTGTACGTACATGCTATTATTGTGTCTGACAAGAATATCATTTTTAATAATTTTAATATACATACTTATAATTGAATAGAAAAAAGTTTACTTTCATATAATATACTATATATATATATATATTCCTTTATTTATTTACAGTATATGTATATGGGTCATTCTGTTAAAATTCAAATTTTTAGTTTTAGAACATCTTTCACATAAGAAAATAATGATAATTTTACTCGATTCCATTTGCGTGATTTAAAAAAAAAATAATCGAGATGAGTTCAAAACTCGATTTTATATTAAATAAAATAAAATTTAATATTTTTATTTCTAGTCGTCTAGTTATGATTGAATTAAGTTTCAAATTGAATAATACAAATTGTTATTGTTTTTATAGGGGAAAGTTTATCTTTTTGATAAAGTGTTCAAGCCAAATGCTACACAAGATAAAGTATACAACGAAGCCGCCAAATCTATTGTCACTGATGTTTTGGCAGGCTACAATGGGACGATATTTGCTTATGGACAAACTTCTTCTGGTATTTTGATTATTTTAAAAGCAATAATAGGTATGATATATAATTTTTATTTTCTGTTCACAATGTGAATCTTATGTTAATAAAGGTAAAACTCATACAATGGAGGGAGTTATTGGAGATCCTAACAAGCAGGGCATTATTCCACGCATTGTTAATGATATTTTCACTCATATATATGGCATGGAAGAGAATTTGGAATTTCATATTAAAGTTTCATATTTTGAGATTTATATGGATAAAATTAGGGATTTGCTTGATGGTAAGATTTTTTTAGAAAGTTTTTTTTAAAACCGAATGATCATTAATTAATTAATTTATTTGAATTATTTAACAGTATCAAAAATAAATCTCAGCGTTCACGAGGATAAAAATCGAGTACCATTTGTGAAAGGAGCTACAGAAAGATTTGTATCTAGTCCTGATGAAGTGTTTGAAGTTATAGAAGAAGGGAAATCTAATCGTCATATTGCCGTGACTAATATGAATGAACACAGCTCTCGTTCGCATTCAGTATTCTTGATAAATGTGAAACAAGAAAACTTAGAAAATCAAAAAAAGTTATCTGGTAAATTGTACCTTGTTGATTTGGCAGGTTCTGAAAAGGTAATTGGAATGTTTTTAGAAATACGTAGAGCATAACTTGCTATTTAAAAAGTTGATGTTAATTACAAATAATTACAAAAGGTTTCAAAAACTGGAGCAGAAGGAACCGTTCTGGATGAAGCAAAAAATATAAATAAATCTTTATCGGCACTCGGGAATGTCATTTCAGCTTTGGCTGATGGAAACAAAACTCATATACCATACCGTGATTCTAAATTAACTAGAATTTTACAAGAATCCTTAGGAGGAAATGCAAGAACAACAATCATCATATGCTGTTCACCGGCAAGTTTCAATGAGTCCGAGACTAAATCTACGCTTGATTTTGGTAATACTTTTAATAATTTGATATTACGTATGAATTTTAATAAGATTCTAATAGTACGTACTAAATTATGTGTATTTCAGGAAAACGTGCAAAGACTATCAAGAATGTTGTTTGTGTCAATGAAGAGTTAACAGCTGAAGAATGGAAACGTCGTTATGAACGAGAAAAAGAGAAAGCTGCTAGATATAAAGGTAGATTGGAAAAGCTGGAAGCTGAATTATCACGATGGCGCCAAGGTGAAACTGTCAAACCTGAAGAACAGGTCAATCTACAGGAAGTTGCTGATGTTGTTACACCCATCATGGCAACGGTTGAAAGTAATAATAATTTTAATACAAATAATTTATGTTAATATTATTCATTTGCAGTAACTTCAAATTTATCATTTTTAAGGTAAACTTGACGATGGACCAATGCCAGCAACGCCTGGAGGAGGTCTTATGGCTGGTTCTCTTTCTAATGAAGAGAGGCAAAAACTTGAAGAGGAACGCGAAAGGCTTTATCAACAATTGGACGACAAAGACGAAGAAATCAATCAGCAATCTCAGTATGTGGAAACTCTGAAGGAGCAAATGGAAGAACAAGAAGAATTAATTGCAAGTACTAGGCGAGACTATGAACTCTTACAACAAGAAATGATAAGAATTCAACAAGAAAACGAGAGTGCTAAAGAAGAAGTTAAAGAAGTATTACAAGCTCTTGAAGAGTTGGCTGTAAATTATGATCAAAAGTCACAGGAGGTATAACACATTTTTTAAATTTGTTTTTGCCTTTATTATTTTTTCTTTTTACTTGTACATTTTCTCCATTTTTATTTTCTAGGTGGAGATGAAAAATAAAGAACACGAGGCTTTAAGCGAAGAGTTGCTTTCAAAGCAAACAACTCTAAACACAACTGCTTCAGAATTGCAACAACTTCGTGATATGTCGGCTCATCAACGTAAACGTATTGCAGAAATGTTAACAAATTTATTAAAGGATTTAGGAGAATTCGGTGTAGCAATTGGTGGCGATGAAAATTTAAAGGTTTAAATCTCTTTAATTAAAAAAAAAAAATCAATATTATAAGATATTGCTTTTTATAAAATTAAAGAAACCACAAATATTTATTCTTAATTTAATTAATATTTTTAAAAACAGATGACACCAGATAATAATGGCAAATTGGAGGAGGAATTTACCGTGGCTAGACTTTACATAAGTAAAATGAAATCAGAAGTTAAGAACTTGGTGCAACGCTGTCAAGGACTGGAAAGTTATCAAGCAGATTGTAATAAGAAAGTAAGAATTGTTGATTTTTTCAAATATTAATTATTCGTTGTAAATTATTTTCAATAATTAACTTTATGCATTGCTAGGTTTCAGAATATGAAAAAGATTTGGGCGAATGTCGTCTATTAATATCTCAGCACGAAGCTAAAATGCAATCACTTCAAGAAGCTATGAAGGAAGCTGAATTACGAAAACGAACTTTAGAGGAAGATGTGGATGCCCTACGAGAAGAATGTGCAAAGTGGAAAGCTGCCGAACAAGTACAAGCTGTGAGTAATAAAGAGAAAGCTGAAGAAAAAGAAGCGGCTACTAAAATGAGAGTCGCTTTAGAAGAACAAATGGATCAGTTACGTGATGTGCATCAAAAGCAGGTTGCTACCCTTAGAGATGAAATTTCTGAGAAGCAACAACTTGTCAACGAACTTAAAGATTTAAACCAAAAGTTCACATTAGCCCATCAACAAATGCAAACAGATTACGAACGATTGAAGCAGGAGGAAGCGGACAAATCAGTCAAATTACAAGACTTACTTTTACTTAATGAACGTAGAGAACAGGTATGTATATACCTACACTTTATTTAATAATGTGTATTGATTATAATAGATTTAAAACTATATGATACTATAAAAATTTCAATTTTTATATTACGTTAGGCAAGAAAAGATTTGAAAGGATTGGAAGAAACAGTTGCGAAAGAGTTGCAGACTTTGCACAATTTACGAAAACTATTTGTTCAAGATCTTCAGTGTCGAATCAAAAAGTCTATGAACTCTGAAGAAAACGAAGACGATGGTGGTTCACTTGCTCAAAAGCAAAAAATTTCTTTCCTGGAGAACAATTTGGACCAACTTACAAAGGTATAGTTAATAATTATGCCAAATCTTGTAATTCATGGGTAATGATTATATTTTGGTTATTTAGGTTCATAAACAATTAGTAAGAGATAATGCAGATCTTCGTTGTGAACTTCCTAAACTTGAGAAGAGACTGCGAGCAACAATGGAGAGAGTTAAGGCTTTAGAAACTGCTTTACGAGATGCCAAAGAAGGTGCAATGCGTGATCGTAAACGCTATCAATATGAAGTTGACAGAATTAAAGAAGCTGTAAGACAAAAGAACCTTGCTCGACGTGGACCTAGTGCTCTCATTGCAAAACCGATTCGAGCAGGCCAGCATCATGTTACTGGAGTTAATGCAATTAAAACTGGAAATCGAGGTAAAACTTTTAATCATATCTTCCTTTAATTTTGAGTTTCCATGCCCTATACAACTTGGATAATTTAAACAATTTTTCTCTATTTCCTTGTATTAATATTGTTTTAATATTCGCTTTTCCATGTATATCAATAGATGCGGATGTCATTGCTCAACGGTCGTGAACGTAATTCGAAATTCTCCACTTTTACAAAAAGCAAGAGCAAGAGTACTTTTACAGATGAAAAGGAACTCTGACGTCAAATTTATTTATGATGCATACGCATAAATAGCTATATAATATTATTTAATAAGATAAGCCACAAAAATATATTCACAACCAGCACTCACGGTTTTGTTTATTACATATATTGAGAAAGAAGCACGTCACTAAAAATATTATTGCAATAGGTAAATTAAGTTATTATAAGAAGTCTGCATGTCTTATCAATTTGTAAATAGTTGATTTTATAAATTATTATTTAGTATAAATTAACTTGCAAGGCTTGGCAATGAATTTATTATTATTATTATTATTATTATTATTATTATTATTATTATTATTAATCCCTTAAATGTGGAATTACACGTATAGACGTACTTGTTTTCTTATAACTCCACACTCAAATGTGATTAGTAATTAAACGATAGCACCAATATTTTGTGATCCAGAAATACGAATATTTTGTTGTTATTTTGTACATCACGACCACGACAAATTCGTGAAAAATAATTGTCACTTTTGTAATTGATATATTTGATTAGACATGCAGTTTATGTAAAATTGTACGAATGATTGCGAATCGAGTATTTGTAATTATACATATTTTTTCAAATTAACTGCATCGATCAATCTTAACTGTTTTCTGAAGGCATTAACAGATTTATTTTCATTAGGAGGGCTCATTTAATGTAAATTAAATGCACAAGCTTTTCCTTTAAGATTTATTAATTACAAATGCTGCTTCTGTTTTAAGAAAACATCTAAACATAAAAGAGAAATGCCTTACTCGTCATATTTTGTTCTACTTTTTAGCATGTTAGTAATTTATTAATCAAATTCATTGATTCAAATATGAGGCTTTAACTATAAATAAAATGCATAGATTCAAATTAAAACTCACGTGACAAATGGATAATTATTCTTTTTTCTTCATTTTACTTTAATTTCGTTTAATAATGTACTTTTTAGTGATTAAATCAATTACCGCGTTGGTTTCCCTTAAAATGATCGATTCACTATTTCTTTTTACTTTGTTTCCCTCAAACAATAAGATTGATTTGTTTTCTAATTTATTGTTTCAATTATTAATTTTTGTGATAATAGAAAAAAAAACGCATTAACATAGAACTACAGTGCAATTAAAGAAATACTCTTATTGTCATTCGTGATTAAATATACGCATACACATAATAATTATACTTATACATAATAAATTAGCACGCTTAAGTTTAAGCGTAACGCCTTAAATAACTTGAATTTCTGCCATAGATGTATGCAATTCTGTGCAACTTTAAAAACTTTTTGAAAAGTAAATTGGGCTAAACTGTAAGAAATATTTTTTTTATGATTCCGAAAGTTTAGACCTAATATATTTTAATTTTAAAATCTCAATATTTTTAATATACAGTAAATCATGTTACATGTAGTATATGATATGTAAATGCAAAATATACTACACATGCATATAGTATATAATATTTTACCAGATTCATGAGTCATTATGTGCTTTTTTTTAAACATATATACTATACATATGTATATATGTAATGAATGTCATTTTCGGTGTCTATTGAAATGTAATTTTTATTAAGTACAGTTTCATATTTATAATTGAAGCAAGTATTTTCAAATTTTGCTAATTATTTTAGTTAACGTTCATTTTAATGTAGTAAATTTAATTTAACAAGTTTTTTAATCAAAAAGGATAAAAATTGTTTCTTAATTGTCAGGAGAATATAAATTATATATCGAACAAGATTTAGTACACAATTTTGGTAATCAGAAAGGCTTTATTAATTTAATTCTACACAAAAGAGACGTAGTAACAATAGATATAGTTAGTTAAAATGAGATTTATTTCATATTTGGATTATCTATATTAACTTTTGTGTACTATAGTACATATACATATAAACAGTAAACTCGGCTATCACCTATAACCTGGAAAGACTTTATTTAAACTATATGTATATTATACCTACATTTTGTACATGTTTTTATTTTAAAAGTTTACTATTTAATATTAAACTCATAATGTATGTTCCTATCAATATTCAGGGCAGTATTAATATTAACAGAAACTTATTATTGTTTCTTATTATAACATTACAAGAACTTAAAGTGTAAAACTTAGATTTAATTAATTGGGTTGAAATAAGTTTAGATCATTTAAGAAGGATTTGTTTACTGTTACATTGCTTTCAAATTAGACATGAAAATCTCAATGTCCTAAATCATTATTACATATTGTTAAATAACTTAAAGGAATAAAATCTCAATAATAATTAAGAAACAAAACTATATTTGTATAAAACCTAGAACCTCAGTATAGAGGTAACTCGTTTAACAATCTAGTTACTGAAAACATACTTTAAGTTCAAAAAAAAATTATTTTTTTTTTTAATTAAGCCAAACTTAGTTAAATTGGTCTTTAAAATAAAGACTTAAAAATTTTGTACTAAATTTATTGGTACATAAAAGTGTATTTTAATTTTTAATAACCGACATATTTTAAAACCACAAATATATTTTTCCCTCTCTTTAATTTAGTTGTCAACATACTGGTATTCTAAATTAGTCACATAAATTTTGTTGTAGGTATAACATAATAGTAAAGTTATAAAAGAAAAATTAAATTATAAATTTTTAAAAATAACAATGAAACTGTTTTTAAATAAGTATGTCAAACCAACTTGAACTTTAATTTTTTCTTTCTTTAATGGAAAAGCGATAAATTTGAGCTATTTTTTAGTGACTTACCAAAAACCGGTAATCACATAGAAAGTCAACAATCTTTACAAAATAAATCGTTTTGTTATCATACGTATATTGTTATTAAAGGTGTGCAAATTGACAAAATTCGGTCATTTGCACACCTCTAATATTGACACTTTTTTATTTTAATAATAAAAATTAATAATATTGACAATGTACTTCCATTCTAATTTTGAGAAACGAAAAATGGAAATTTAACGTTAACGTAATAAAACTACACACAATAATATAATATTAACTATCAAGGTACAGTAACACAGAAGTAATGGTAACCAAAATGGACTAGTTATCACAGTAGTATGCCCCGAATAAACTGGTGGTTGTTGCATGTGGTTAATTACATTTTCTGAAAGCTTCATGTATTGATCGTGAACTGGGGAATTGTTTACTTGCAAATGCATCAACGGCAAAGAATTATTGAATGAAGTTTGATTATGTGTAAAATCAGTTAATTGGTTGTAAATATGACTTGCTGGTCGATTAAATGAAGAATTGTAACGACAATTGGTATTTAAAGCAACTTGACTCAGTTTATGAGAAGAGCAACAACATTGCATCGTACCTGAGGCAATGGAGCATTGATCAAAGTCATTATAAACAGGTGTCTCCCTTGAGGATTCAACATTGAATCCTGTAGATCCAAGGCAGGAACTTTGACTTGATGATCTTGATAACAATGACGGATCAATTCCATCTTGCCAGTATCCATCCGCCATCCAAGATCCGGCTATAGATTTTAATTTAGAAGGTGTTAAAATAGATTTTTTACTGCTCTTATTGACCATATTATATTTACTAAATAATTCTGAGCTGGATGTACTGTATGTTTTCGTTTCAAATATATTTGATGTCTTCACCAACTTTTCCGGATAATCTTGGTTTAATGATAGTGTACTTAAATTGTTTATACTATCACTAAATGCTAAATTTTCCACTTCATTACAATTAGCAATTGAGAATTGATTGAAATAAGATCTACAAGGAAAAAAATGATTTAACTAAATTGAAATGTGTGAAAATAAGAAAAAAAAACATTTTATAATATTTATCAAGATATTTACGGATTATTTTTTAGTATTTGTGAAGAATTAGTAGGCACTGTAGATTCTGACAAATTTTCAGATTCATTAGACACTTTTAATGCTTTCAAAGATGATGATGATGATGATGATGATGATGACGATATAGTAAAAGATGAAAGTCCAGATGATATAAAATGTGCCTCTGACTCGGAATTATTTGGAGAAGTGTCCAACTTTTTAAATGTTAAATTTTTCCTTGACATTCTAAATGACTTTGTTTTTACATTCATAAATCCTATAATCGATCCCAGTGCAATAATCTGAAATTATTGATTTTCTTAAAATACATCCAATGAAAGATTATGATTATTAAAAGTTGCGAAATCTTACAAAATGTTTAAGGATACAATTTAATGATATGCATAAAATAATTAAATCAGTCTTTGAAAAGTATTCATTGAAGGTTGTCAAAACACTTATCCATATCCACAATATTATTAGAAATATTTCTTGTTTATCATATTGAGATTCAATTAAACAAATTCCTAATTGCAACAATATACCAAAAGTAGACAATGGCCAAAGTGTATGATTATATATGATTGCAATGACTATAATTATCAAAAGAATTCGAGAAACCTTTGCAATTCTGTATCTATTCTGTAACATATAAAGAAAAATACAAAACTCTTTTGAAATTAAATGAAAAGAGCATTAAAAAACAACAGGTCGGAGGTGAGAATCCCGATTAAAAGTAACACTTACATGTAAAATTAATTTTACAGGTTTTTGTTTGAATACCATCATTTTATAACGCGTAAGCCATAATGATTGCTTATGTAAAACATTATTTACAATTTGTTTACATCTGAAACATAATGGATACTTCTCTTCAATATTTTGTTTAAAGTCCTGTATTTCATTTTCTGATCGTTTTGAATTTATTTCCTCAAATTTACGAAATTCTAATAATTTGAGTTCCTCATTGCTATTACAAAAAGTACAGAGGTAATTTTTGTAAGCCATTGTTTTAGAAGGTTTGCGAATAGCGTAAAATTTAGGAGTGTGAGGCATTTTTCTTTGTTCTGGAATGATATATTTATAATCTCCATCCTGAAAATATTACTTTATTACCTATTTATATAATTATACTTTGTTAAAAAAAAAAAAAAAAAAAATGTCAGTGTACTTAACAAGCATATGAATTTATAATTTAAATTAAAAATAAATTAAAAAAATAGAAACCTTTGAAAAACCATTGTACTGTGTACAAAATGGACAAAGCCACCAATTCACTTCGTCTCTCCAAATTTTTACATTATAATTGCAAAACCAACAGTTCACTTTAATAGGACGCCGAATTCTATATATAATAAAAATTAAATTATATATATATATATATATATATTATTTGAAAAAGATATTATGAAGAAAAAATATAAAATTATATTTTTCAGGATATTTAACGTGAATTAAAAAATATAAAAAATGAAGATATAGTTTACAAAAAAATGTCTTAATACTTACTTAATAAGTTTATAAAATATAGTCAACAATATAGCAATCGTGAAAACAAATATTAAAAGAATTGGCGCGAAATTTATCAACAATTCTTGATCCAAGTCCATAATTGAAAATAATGCAAAAATGTAAATAACATATATATGTATATATATAATGTTAATAATAAACTCTATTTGCAGAAAATTAGCTACGATTCTTTATTTTTAGACATTTCGTATATATGTATATAGTTATTACTATCTTCCTAAATATATACAAATTTTAAGAATTAAAAATAACCTATATTTATGGTAATTTTACTCTTGACTGACAAACACAAAATAAAGCAAAATAGATTTAGAAAACTCGTAAGAATTCGCAAACGTGAAGAATGAGATATATAAATGACCTTTTCTATCTCACGTTTCGTTGCCGTAACTATTCTTCAGTGAGATTGTATATCTCCATCTTTTATGCTTTATGGTCATATGGTGTTAATACTTGCAGACTCGGCAAGCAACTGACCACATGTCTGCCACATACATATAGCATCACTAGTGTTGTTTTGATGTCTTTGTTGTTTTATGTTGAAAAATTATTTAAATAAAATGATTACAGATAAAGAAGAGAATAATGATTCCAATGATGGTGATAAAATTAATCAAGAAACCGCAAATATACAAAAAATTCTTCCTGGCTTTGATACTTTTGATGACTACATGAAAGTAAGATATATTCTATTCATATAACTTATATATATAATATTTTCTTGAATTGTGTATATATTTACTTGTATTAAATGTATTTCCTTAGTTGTGATTGCATATTATATCATAAATATTGACTAATTGTAGTATATAATTATATACACGTGCAATTCGTTTTTTCTAACCTATAAACTTATATTAGAAGTAAAAATATGATTCTTTTAACTGTGAGTTACACGACTTTACTTAATATTATGTATGTGAATAGTACTATATTAAAAACAATTGTTTGTTTTTCATTTTAGGCTGGTTTTAATGCCATGAAAGAAGGAATTAAAATCACCAACAGTCTGCCATCTGAAGATAACTTTAAATATTATTCATGTTTTCCAAGTTTCAATAATGCAAGGCATTATCAAAGTGAAAGAATTTTAAAGTTGATACAGGGTATTATAAATTTAACAGGTGCAGCAACCGATGTTAATCGACGAAGTATTGAAGAAAAACTTGATCTTTTGGTGGAAGCTAATGATATATTTTTAGACCGAGCTGTAAGAATAAATTCAATACCTACCATAAATAGTAGAATAAATTAATAGTACATATCAAGTATCTGAAAGAAATATTTAAATAATTATATTGTGTTTTTAGAATGTCTATATGAACGAAGAATGCGGTATAAAGCCAAATGCGGAAGTACAATTGATTGTAGCTCAGACTAAAAAATCTGTTAATATTAATGGAAGTTGGAATACTGTAAACCGAGACTCATCCGCTACTTCTAGCACTGGCAATGCTCCATCTGTACGATTGTTGGGTGCAAAAAATGTTCAGAGACCACAATTAACTTTTAAGGATAAAGTTGATAATAGTTCAAAAGCCTGGATACCACGAATTAAAGAGAAGCCTAATGCTTTAAAACCACTTTCTATATATTTAAAAAAAGGAACGGATGTTTGCCATCCTTACGAATATGAACTAAATACATTTCAAGTGCCCATTAATCAATTGGAGGAAAATTCACCATTGAAATACAAATTATTAGAGGAAACACCTATAATTATGATAGAGAAAGAGTCTGATTTATCAATTTTATTAAATGACTTGGAGAATTATAATGAAATAGCTGTTGATTTAGAGCATCATTCTTATAGAAGTTTTCAAGGAATTACATGTCTTATGCAAATATCCACACGAGATACAGATTACTTGATTGATACTTTATCTTTACGATCAGAATTATACAAACTTAATCAAGTTTTCACAAAACCAACAGTCTTGAAAGTATTTCATGGAGCTGAATTTGATATTCAGTGGCTTCAGAGGGATTTATCACTATACGTGGTAAATATGTTTGACACCTATCAAGCGGCCAAACAACTAGAATTACCTTATCTAAGTTTAGCATATTTATTGAAAACTTATTGCGGAATAGAACCTAATAAACACTTTCAATTGGCCGATTGGCGTATAAGGCCACTACCTCAAGAGCTTATAAAGTATGCGAGAGAAGATACACATTACTTATTATATATAAAAGATGTGTTAAGGAATGCTTTGATACAAGTCTCAAATGGTAAAACAAATGTCTTGAAAGCTATTTATGATCGCAGTACCCAAGTTTGTAAAAAAATGTACGTAAAATCTATTTGGACTGAAGAAACTTGTTTAAACATGTATAGAAAAAGTCAAAAAATGTTTAATAACCGACAACTATATGCACTTAAAGAACTTCACAAATGGAGAGATGAAACCGCAAGAGAAGAAGATGATAGTGTTAGTTATGTTTTACCTAACCATATGATGTTAAATATTGCCGAAACTCTTCCAAGAGAAATGCAAGGCATATTAGCTTGTTGTAATCCTATTCCACCATTGGTGAGACAAAATTTACTAAGATTACATAAAATAATATTGAAAGCACGAGAACAACCACTTATAAAGCCAGTTTTGGAAGATGACATCAGACAACGCATGACTCAAAGAAGTCACGTCGCTCAATCAGAGACGTGGATTTATTCTCCTCACGATACACCGCAAGGAACAGAACCCAGAGCCAACTTGACATGTCTTCTAAATTCCAAAAGCACAAATGAAACAATTATTTTCAAGAAGGTAGAGGATCACGACATAACAGTATTTGATAATGCTTCAGATGTATGTATAAACAATGTTAATTAATTTAAAAAATTATAATCCATTAGAAAGTATTTATTTGCAACTTTTCTTTATGTTTTAATGAAATAAATCACATCCTACTTGAAAATTATTTTTAATAAACATTAATATTGTCGTTTAATAAACTCTTGTATTCTGCAATTTAAATTCCATTTTGAACATTATTTTAGGATGAAGAAGTAGGGATATCAAAACAAACATTATCTGATAACAAAAAATTACCTTTTGTAAGTCCCTTTGAAAGGTACAAACGTGTCATGCCAATGATAGCTGAACAAGAAGCTAAAGAAAGAGAAAAACAAGAGGTTGAGATGAACATTTTAACAAATAAAGATAAAAATGAAAGCATTCAAAGAGTACAAGAACATTTTAATCAAATTGTAAAAAGTAAATGTTCATCAATTAGTGTCAGCACTCCTTTAAGTCAAATGCATAATAAGAAAAGAAAAATGCACTCTATTAATGACAAAAGTGAAAAATATGTAAAAGAAAATTCTACATATGACATTAGTGCGCAAGCTGAAATTTTCAACAAAAATAAAATTATTAAAGAGAATGTGAAAACTGATAAAGAGGAGAATATTCCTGAAAAATTCAATGATGAAACACATTCAAAGATTGGAATAGTCCAAGATTTACAATCACTGAGGTAATTATCTATCAGACTATATTGCAGTTTCATAACCAGTTGTTTATTTAAATTATTAATTTTTAATATGATACATTTTCAGACCGAAGAAAAAAGGTGTTAAACAAGAAACTGTAAAAATATTAAATGCCAAGGGAATGCTCCCATCAAAAAATTTTAATTATAGTGCTGTTGACTTTAGCAGTTTTCAAGGAGGTAGTAATATTGGTAAACAAAATAATATAGAAACAGTCTTTAAACAAAATAAGGTAAGACTTTTTTATGTGTTGGTAATTAATAAATATTTGTTGCATAATAACTTTTTCATTATAATTAAGATCTATAAAATAATCAATATTTTTTCAGGAAAAACACAAGAGAATAGGACAACGGAAACGAAGAAAAATTTAGAGTATCTACAGGGAAAACATGAGTTATTAAATACTTTATATACTTTGTTTATTATTTAAAAATTTAAAGATTTAGTTTACATGATTAATAATACAGGAGATAATTTTTACAATCTAACTTTTATTTGTATCCTCAGAACAAACAATTTGTCGGCCCAAAATATCATACTTCATTTTCTTTTTATCATGTTCCTCGTCTGTATCAGAACTATATTCGCTATCACTAGAATTTGCATAAAATCCTAAACCAGGTAATATTCCAATACATTGCATATTTTTATTACTGACATCAATTTCACTTTGAATGCATTTTGTAAAATTATCTTCCACACTAATTGTACTTACATTGGTGGAAGGTATTTGTTCGATTTTATTTTTTGTGTCACTTTCCACGTCTAATTGTTTTTCATCCTTTACATTTTGCTTAGTTTTTACTTCGGTGTCTGTAAATTTATATACAATATTATTTAGAAAAAATACTAAAATTCATATTGCCAGATATTGCACCCTAATCACAATAAAACTTACCAACATTTGATTTATTAGCTTTCTTTACAATTCCAGATAATATTTTCAGTCGTACGCTTTTTGCACTAAAAATAATATTAGTATTAAAACTTCCAAAATAGTATTTTATAAACTAATTAACTTTTTACATCAATCTGATGAGTACAAATTATAAAATACCTCTGTGAAGAAATTTTGCTAGCATGCTGTGGTTCTTGTAATTCTTGCATTAATTTATGATGTAAAGTTTCTTCATGTAAGGAAGAAACGGCTGCTTTAAAATCACGCATTTCTTTCTCTTCTTCCAAATTTTTTTTGCGTTCTTCTTCAAATTTCGTTCTGTCAACTAAATCCAAAAATTCAACTTCATCGTCATCTAAACCTTTTATCATATTTTCTGGAAACATAATTCTTTGATAATTAAAAAGAGCTTTCTTTATAATAATAAAAATATTAATATGTAATACGTTTCTGTAACTATAATTTAAAAAAGGACTGAGATTTAAACGTTATTAGCTTCAATGAAAATCTTACTACTTTTTCTAATATTTATAATTTTAGGACAACTAATTTATTACTTACTGAATTTGTGAGCTTCTTCATACTCAATATCTCGTTCATTACGGCGTTCTTGTAAACGTTCATATAAAGATTTTGAGTCGTAGGGTTCTTCTGGAGGAACTAAAAAAAAATTACAACTGTTAAAATGTAAACGCGTCAATTATATTACACTATTAAATATCCTTAAAATTAATAATATTCATATAGCAGTCCTTGCAAATAGTTGACGCATTCACTGTAAGCAGGTAATAATTTATTACCTAAAAATGATAAATTATTAGAAAGCTATTTACCAAATTACCAAAACGTTATTTTAAAAGTATTTTAAACATGTAGTTCTATACATATTATTGTTTACTAACCTAATGGTTGATCAACAGTTCGGATCTTATTCCACTCTTCCTGACGAACCTTTCGTTGTTCAGCAATTTCAGCTTCAGAAATAAAACCCGAACTCATTTCGATTATTTGTGATTTTAATATTTCTTATAGTATAGTAGTTATTTATAAATTAAAATTTTACACTGCTGACATTTTTATTGCTGACATACATTATATCACTACAAGAAACAGAACTCTTGGGTAGAACAGAACTTTTGGGTACAGTCTACCTTTATGTAATGGCGTTCACGAAATTATTGTGCTTACGCCCTTCGCCAAAGACTTTACCGAACATATTGTGTTTAAGGCCTTAAAATTAGATCATGGACAACACAATTTGTGTTAGTTGTTTCAAGTTGTTTTTTTATTCTGACTATGTTAATATGTGTCAAAATATTTTTTTTCCTTAGTTTATTAAACCATTAAAATCTTCCATTATTCATGTAACTATTACTTATCTATTTCGGAAGACGAATTATCATTTACGTAAACAGTTGTTTTGTACAAAATAAAAAAATGAGTTTCATGGTAAAAAAGACGGGTGGCAGAATGTGGCATGAAGCTCGCAAACAAGAGAAAAAAATTCGAGGGATGTTAGTAGATTATCGCCGACGAGCTGAACGTCGTCGGGATTACTATGAGAAAATTGTAAGAACATTCTTTTTTTTATTTAATTAAAAAAAAGTTGTTAATAAAAGTGAATTATTAAATAGAATAATTACAAAAATTCATATTTGGATTATGTCATTTAACATTTCTTGTTTAGAAATCAGATCCTACTCAATTTCTTCAGCTACACGGAAGACCATGTAAAATTCACTTGGATGCTGCAGTTGCTACTGCTGCTGATAGTCCAGCAAATATGTAAGTACACGTAAATTGATTGATTTTATTTGATTGCCAATTCAAATGTGTAATATTTTATTTTTCATGCAACTTAATTTGAAAATGAAAATTCCAAAATAGATAAATAAAGAATATTTAACATTAATATTAAAAATATTCACCTTTTTTTTAAAGAAATTAGTCGTAAAAATGTTTGTTAACAATAATTAGGATGCCGTGGCAAGGAAACGAAGATAATCTTATTGATCGATTTGATGTAAGGGCACATCTTGATTGGATACCAGATGCATCTCAGTCTTTAGAAGTCGACATTGCTCTTACAAGTGAAGACAGACATATTAATTATGAACGATATCGTATAATAGTCCAAAATGAATTTTTGGGAGGTAATATTAAAATATGTTACAATTTGAAATTATAGTTAATTTAAAATTAAACAATTGAATAAATGTTTTGTTGTAGTAACTGAAGAAAAATTTTTACATCAAATTCATCTAGAAGAACAATTTGGTTCTTCGACAAAACCAGATTCCGTAAAAGATAAAAAACGTTCTACTAATAATGCAGCAATTGGTTACAATTATGAAACAGATGAACCTATTTTAGAACCTTCTAAAGTATCTGATTCAATTACAAATGATGATAAACAAGAAGATGAAGATAGCGACATTGATTTAGGTTGATATTTACTATTCAAATGAAATATTTTAAATAATTTTTTGAAATAGTCAAAACCCTTTTTTTCTTGTTTTATTTATTTATTTTTTGTTTTAGATATTTGCGTCGATGTATCACAAATAGAACCTTCACAAGCTCATGAAATGAATCAAGTTGCGCAAAAATATGGACTTTTAGGTGCTGATTATTTCAGTTTTCTAACACAAGACTTTGAAGAAGCGGAAACGCTTAGACAAGCCCGCAAACAGGAAGAAGAAAAGGCCATGTATTCCGTAAGTAATTCGTAGTATGTATTAACTTTTGTTTTGATACATAGATGTGATCTATCAACAGGGTAGAAGATCGAGAAGAGAAAGACGAGCTTTCAGAGAGAAAAAAATGATTGGTCGTGTTATGAGTCCGCCTAGGTAAGTTATTTAAGAATAAATTGATGAATTTAGTTTTCTGCTTATGAATGCTGTATATAAAGATTTTTATGTGGTCTAAAATTTTTATTACAAAATATATTTCAGTTATGCTGCAAGAGAAAGCCCAGAGTATAATCCTTATCGAAAGTCTTCTTCCAAATCTCGATCACGTTCCACATCACCAGTGAACACGGGTCAAATTACGTACATTACTAGCTTTGGTGACGAAGAAGAAGCGCATAGTAGTACTTCCCATAATACATCTTTGAATTCTAAGCGGATTAATTATTCATTTTTTAAAAAAAGAAGATCAGATAGTCCAGTATTTACTGAAAGAATTATAAGTAAAAGGACTTCAAGATCAAGAAGTAATTCCCGATCAAGACACTACAATTATTACAAATTTTATGACAGAAAGCGAAACACCTCTAGAACTAGGTAATTATAATTTTTTAATGCTGATTATACTTTAAAAAGTTTTATGTATTTTCATAATCAACTGATTACATTAGATTTATTTTAAGAAAGTAACATTAAAAACTAATAAAATTTTGGATTTTAAAATCAAGGATTAGACAAACAAACTCAAGGTCAGATAAATATTCTCGCTCTAGAAGCTATTCAAGATGGTCTCGATCACGCTCACGATGCAGAAACAGGTTAAGCAAGAGTAGATCACGTTCAAAATCAAGATCGATATCAAGTTCTACTTGCAAAACACGGTCGCGTTCTCGCCAAAGGAGATCTAGATCATCTAATTCTATCAACTCGAAAAGATCACACTCACAATCAACATTTAAAACTAGATCTCGCTCAAGATCAAAGTCAAATTTAAGATCTCATAATAGAAGTCGATCTCGAGATAGTTTTCGCAGAAGACGCTATTCTGAGTCGAGATCAAGGTCTCGATCTAGATCTAGGACTCGATCAAGATCAAGATCAAGAAGCAAATCACGATCTAGGTCCAGAAGCCACTCAAGTAACCGGTCAAAAAGTATTGATAACAAAATTCCTGCCTTACCAAGGTTATTTGAATAGACTATAAATATTCATCATATAACTTTAGCACATAGATGTTAACAAATTTATTTACTTTTTATATTTTTTAATACATAGGTACTATGGTCGTCGTGGCAAATCCTCTAGCCTAGAATTAGAGCTTTCTGGTAATGAAGAGAAATTATCCTTAGTGGCTAAAAATTCTTCTATTAACACAAGCATGTAATTGTTTTTTAAAATTCTTAATTTTCTATTTATGAATATCAGTTTCAAAAAAAATTATAGAACAATTTTTATTTTGTAGGATCAAACCAAAGGCCGGGTTAAGTACAAATTCTGGTGGCGGACACAAAGTCAGTAAGAACCGTAACGTTTTATTAGTCTTTTAATTGCATTTTTAAAACATTTAATTAATTTATGTCAATAATGTTCCAGTTTTGTTTAATAATCTAACTATCAAAATTGGCTGCCACTTTGTATAGTTTATTGTGAAAGGAATTTTATTTGACATTAAGCCATTTATCAAAAAATCGCCAAAAACATGTAGCACATATACTTAATTTTTATGAAGCCGTCAACAAAGCATGTAATACATGATTTCAAAAATGCAACCCCCCCCCCCCTCCTAATCGTGTTACTTTTCTCATGCTTTTTTAATTTTTATTTAATCATGTAAAGTAATATTTTGCTGACATCACATACTGAAAAATACAAGGCAAAATGTATAAATTGGCGGACATTTTAGACAACCAGATTCTAAGACAACTCAGGAATATTATTAATTCGCAAAATTCATACTATTTAAGTGTTTGACAATCAATGAAACTATTGAGTTGGTGTAAAACTTCGTCCCGTTTTTATTATACTCTGAAAAGCTGAAATTGCTGCACGAATTTTTCACCGACTCAATACATTATGATATAATCTCTCTAATATTGGTTTTGTTTTTTATTATTCTATTATCTAACATAAATGCAATAACTTGATACATAGTATAGGTTGGAATTTTTCTATTCATCAATAGAATGGTAAAATTTGTTGTTAAATAAATTACATAAACAACTTTAAGATAAAAATTTAATGAGTGATATAAAAAAAAATCAATATTTTCTCTTATTGAATACGAAAATATAATGTTTTTATTATTATTATTTATTTATACATACCTTTCGGTTTCGGACGAACTTCCGGCTTACATCTTCACGTTATAATGTTTCTAATCAAGTTAAATTTAATCAGAATTATATAATCATAACAATCTCTATTTCAGGTGGTGAAAATTACTCCTCAAGAACGACTTAAGAAGAAGATGCAAGTTTTATTGAATAGACAGTGTAAGGTTTAAATCATCTTTATTTACATATATAATATGGTTTAACTTATCATTGGCAAAGAAGAGCTATTTGAATAACTATTTATTTAATCCAAAGTACCACAAAATTACAAACTTTTTCATTTCTAATAGGGAGTTCATTAGGTAAACCCTGTATTGTCCATATATTCTTGCACACTTTTTAAAACTGTATAACAAAAGGTTAAAGAATAAATCTTAACCATCCATCACTCGCATGATGAAATTTTTTTTTTATTTCTCTTAAAATATATAAAATTAAATTAATTACGTTACACTTGTTCTCTCATAGATAAAGCTGACAAGAAGGCAGAACAATTAAGAATTGAAAAGATGGAACAACAGAGGCAGGATCGTGAAGATGAGATTCGTGAAATGTCTCTAAAACTTCGTCGAAAGTAAGTAGACAAAAATAACTTTTAATATTTTAATTCCTTGCATAGGTACTGATTAATAGAATTTAATAAAAGTTAAAACTATATATTAACAAGTTTTTTTTTTTTTTTTATCAAAGCAAACAAATTGAATTGTTAATAAATTTTGTTACATGTTGTCGATTGAGTAAAGAAACGTATATTACATTTTAAACTAGTCTTGGAAATATCTTAATGCTATTATCCAGATCTAGATCATCTATTTCATTCCTTTCATCGTTTACTACTAAAGAAAATTTTGAATAAAATCAGAATACATACACATAAGAGTATAAAAACAATTTATACTCTTCTAAAATGTTTGTCATATTATAAAAATCACAAATTTTCCGAACTATATTCAAACTTACAGTTAAAAACGAAGAAAATTTAAAGAGTTTGTTATTAAAAATCCAAATTTTATCAATTTTAAAATGTTAATAAACTTAACAATTTTGTAGACAACGAGAAAGACGTCATCGCTACGAGGGGGGACATACATCCGATTCCAATTCATCTGACTCAACAACTCCTAGTCCAGGACGTAGTCCTCGAAATAAGGGTACAAGTCGGGATAGAAGAAATCGTGATCATAAAGACAGTGAATTTGAAGTAGATAAGGATAAACAGAGAGATCGTGAAGATAGGGATAAGAATAGGCAAAACTATCGTAGACGACATCGGTGAGCAAAATATTGTAATGAAAGAGAAAAAGAATAAGAATAATACAGTCTCAATATATTCAGTACAACTGTAATTAAAAATACAATTTTTTTTATATAAAAAGTACTTGTCAATTTATCGCAAAGTTTTTATTAACAAAATTTTGTGATTAAAACAGTTTGAATAAAAATTAGTATCTACTAATAGAAAAATAGATTTATGAAAATTTTAATTAAATTTAAGGAAGAAGTGATTAAGTACTCCAATTAAAATTAATTCTTAAAAGACTTTCGACTTAAATTATTTTATTCGTAAAATCTTGATTATTACAGAAATTTAGTCGATTACTGACAGCTGTGGACTGTACGAAATCTTCCAAAAGTGAATTAAACTATAAAAGACTTTGTTAAAAGTTTACTTGGAATCATCGTTGAATTTTATGTATTATACGTCAATTATTACTTAATATGTTAATGAAATAAAAAATTTCCGACATGTTCTGTGTTATCAAATTTTAATTTTACAAAAAATACAATATTAATAATTTTTCTAATATACATATTTCTCCACCACCTTTATACCTATAATATAAGCTATAAGAAATAATAAATTCTAAAATGTTAAAAATTAATATTGAAATTTTTTATTGTTAGATGTAAATTAATTCTATTCATTATAATATGCCATAAATTAAAAAAAAAAGAAAAAAAAGTATATAGATACTATCTGTGATTAAATATTTTTCATTCCTTTATATTATATGAATCTATAAGAATAATTTTTCAATTACTACTTGAACTTATTTTTTGGGATTTCCATTCAAATATTAATAAAGGACGTAAAAATGAAGAAAATAAATTCTTTACCTACAATGTAATAGCATATTTATTATTCAAGAATACATTGATTGATGTTTAATAACATGGCTTTTACTAAATCTCCTTTTTTAATCAGCATTATTTCTTCAGTTTTGCCGGGAAGCAATAACAATGCATTTGCACTTTTGCAATTCAACAACCTACTACTAGTTTGATTTCCAGTATTGTAAGCTTGAGGATAAGGATCAGAATCATTCCACTGTAAAATAACTCTCAAATATTCTGGCCTAACATCTAACTGATGTGAGAAAGTTATCTGTGAAATTATTATGAAATAATTTTAAAAACATTCAATTGATGTAATAAAAAAAATAGCACATAATTGTTTAATTACTTTTGACGAAATGATTATAGGCTTAGAATTATTTCCATTTAATCGATTAATTATCGGTTGTAAAAATAGATAAGCAGTAACCACTGCTGAGACAGGATTTCCAGGTAAACATACAATAAATTTTTTCTTGTTATGAAAATTACAAGTTGCAAAAGTCATCGGCTTCCCAGGTTTCATATTGAGACGTCCTATTAAGACATAGAGAAAAAAATCTTTTAAATAAATGCATTCTTAATAAGAACATGTCAATTATTAACTTGATCAATTGATTAAAAATAAAATAAATACATCTTTACCAAAATGCACAACTGCGTGAAAATTTTGTTCAAGAACTGGTTTTAAAAAGTCTTTATCGCCCATTGACACGGAGCCACTAGTCACCAAAATATCAACTTCATTTAATGCTCTTTGAAGAGCATGTATTATTTCTGTTTTACTAAAAGAAAAAAAATTATACTTATATTATTTTATGAAAATATTTAATCCTATAAAATAAAGCTAAATATTTACTTATCCACAACAATCCCGAAATCAATTGGAACACAAGTAAAGTTCTTTAACATAGACATCAAAGTAATTTTGTTACTGTCATATATATGACCTGATTTTAACGATTCTCCCATAGATTGCAATTCATTTCCAGTGGATAATACACCTATCATTGGAAGTTTTGACACCTTTACATGCAAGCAGCCACAAGAAATTAAAAGTCCAATTTCAACTTCACAAATTTTTGTGTTTGCATTTAAAACTAATGCTCCTTCTTGTAAATCACTACCGACAGATCTTGAAAATGCATTAAAATTTTTAATATGCATACACAGATATTTCAATTTATTTCACTAATACTCGAATAACTTTTTTTTACCTAATATCTTGTCCTGCTGTAGGCTGAATAAGAATTTCAATTTCAATTTCTTTTCCATTAGAATTATATTCTTTTACTATCGTATCCTCTACTTGTACTACAGCTGTCGCATCTAGTTATTAAAGAAAAAAAATTGTAATTTTATTGTACAGTAGTGTTGATTGATACCTTCCTCGGATATATACATATAAATATAAAAATCTTGTTATCTCTATCAAATATAATATTTTTTTATAATAACTATAGTATTAATCTCTGTCCTGGATTAATTTAATGTTAAATGGTATTCAAGTAACATTTATTATTTTACAGACGTTAGAGAAGGCCCAAATAATTTTAAATGAAAATTTTTCAATATAAATTTGTCCACAGCTTACTATTTGGTACAGGTGCTCCAGTATTTACCCATACACAAGTTCCAGAATTCAAATGTAAAAGGTTTGGCTGAAAATATAAGTCCATGCAAATAAATAAAATAACGTAAAAATTTAATCTCTTAAATATGATATCGAATAAAATTAAATATTTCTTCTTTTAATTAAAGTTGAGCTAAAATCAATAATTGGTGTCCCACAAAAAATTATAAATAAATAATAAATATTTACAGCGTCACCAGCGTCTGAACTTCCTATAACTTTACGAAGTCCTTTGCCATCAGTATCTAAAACTGCATAACCGTCTTTGACTGAAGCTCTGAAAGGTGGTAAGTTGACGACTGAAAATACATTTTCGCGTAATATTCTACCAAATGCATTCCATGCACTGATAATTTCAATTTCACCCATGGTTACGTTTTCTTCAATTAATTTAAATGCAGATTCAACAGATATCATCGGATACGGAGATTGTCTTATCCTTCTTTCTTCTATTTGCTAAGAAACGAGCGAAAAAAGGATTCATATCTACATCAAGCATTAAGTTTTAAAAATACTTGTTGAGAGAGTTCTAAAAAGAAAAGATTTCAAGTTATGACTTTTATATTCACTTACTGAATAAAGAATTTCCGTCTTATGAACACAAGTATGTTGCTGTGTAGTTTGAATCATTTTATGCACATGAGTGATTTCTGAATTATTATTTAAAATTAAATCCACTGCATGAGGTATTGCAATCGCAATTGCTTCCAAACATTCTGTGACAGCTTTCGGTGATCCTGGTAGATTAATAATAAGTGTTTTGTTCCGAATTCCGCTAGTAAGCCTTAAATAGACCATATTTATACATATTGAATATGAATATTTAAAAAATGAAAAACATTCATCTTACTATGATGAGTAAAACTTGCGATACCTTGTAAGCATAGCCATCTGTGTAACTTTTAAACTAGCATTTAACATTGCGAATGAAATTCCTGGAGTTTCCTTTTCTATTACATTTTTTGTTGCTTCTGGGGTTACATCGCGATCAGAGAACCCTGTACCACCACTCGTTAAAATTACATTTACGTTCGGTAATGAGGTCCATGTTTTTAATATATTCTGTATAATTAAAAAATTATCATTATATAACTAAATAAGAAAATTTCAGGTAGCACACAAATAACAAAATTTTATTAATACTTCTATCTTCTGCTTATCATCAGGAACAATTGCTTTATAGGAAACATGACCTTTCAATATTTGCCCAGTTTTCGATTCTGCATTAGTTACTAGTCGAACTAAAGTTGGTCCGCTTATATCTTTAGATTGGTCTACACTACAACTATCACTGACTGAAATAAATTAAAGATAATTAAAAAACAAGAAGGGGTGGACATTTATATTACATAAAGGTGATGTTCATTTCACGAACATTATGCTTCCTCGCAGAAAATATTTAATTTAATTTACATTAGAAAAAAAAATTTTTTAATACTTTTAATTTAATTTATTTCAATTTTGCATTTCCTGAAGAAGTTTTTGTTAATTCTTAAATTTTTCTTTTTTTTTTAAGTTCTTTCGAATTTATTTATGTTTTGTTGACGTTAAAAATAACGATTAATTTTATAAATTTAGATAAAATATGAACTTAATATAGGTTAAAAAATTCGTTTTAACGCAAACAATACGTTTTTAGAATAAATAAAGTGAAATTTTTATAATAAAAAGCTTTTTTATCAAAAAATGTATTTTTAATTTTTTGAAAAAATGGTCCCAAAAAAAATTGTGTGGATATTTTTGGAAATCCTTATGTCCGATTTTTGAAATTAGTAAGTAGAATTAACATGCAAAATTTCAGGGCGATCCGTCAACATTTGTTTGAGATAATTTGTACACAAGAAGTGGTGCCATCCACACACACACACACACACACACACACATCCGGACATTTGTTCCTCATGTCGCAATATAACCATATCAGTTAAAAATTTATTAAAATAATTAATTTTAGGAAGTTCGAAAATTGTCATCACTATAAAGCTTCCTACGAGGAAGAAAAAAAATACATTTCATATTCCTATTAAGCAAATCAGATAAAGAAATTTAAAACTTGTGTATTCAAATTAAATAATAACAATAAAAAATAGAGTTATATATACACATTTAATATAAAAAATTTACAATTTTTACTTAATAAAAAAGAAATTACAATGTGAAAAATAGTAAAATATAAACAAATAAAACTTAACTAATAAAAAACATAAATTCAAATGAAAACATCTCACCAGTTAAAATTGCAAATTGAATTAACGTCATTTCTTCTTTATGAATTTATTGACTCATTAAACGGCATAAATAAGTAATTTTATTTTATTTATTTATGTATAAATTTTCATTATCAATGAATTTTTTTCAAATATAAATTATGAGGGTACAGTCACAGCATAAATGGCGAGTGGCGACAATGGAAATTGTTGTGACAGTACCCTTAAGCAGGATTGCGCAGTTACATATCCTGTTCCCGACTTAGTTGTGCTTAGGCTTTAAGTCGAGCAATTAGATAAAAAAAAAGTTGTTGTAGAATCAGCACTACGTCTACATGTGATTTCACCTTAACAGAAATGCTACTATGTTCAGAATGTTTGAAAAAAAGACGATTACCAAATATCAATTGCAACTAACTTCATTCTAATTAATTTAGTTTCCTTCAAGAAAGTTTTGAGATCTTCTGAAATAAATATCCTCACTTTTTTAAAGAAAAAAATGGCTTTACACGTTCCAAAGGCCCCTGGCATGGCACAAATGTTGAAAGACGGTGCCAGAGTAAGTATTGTTTAAATAATTAACAATTTAGTGAATTAAATGTTATTAAATATTATTTTTGTCAGTAGTTAGGTTATATATTTTGAGACGCGACCATGCCTCTTGGTACATTTCCTTATAAGGGCATAAATGAAAAAAAGTTGATGAATTATTATATTCTTCTAAATTAAAATTTTTCAAGTAAATGAATAAATAATAAGAAATTCTCAAAGTGAATTGTCGCATTAAAAAAAGTTTTAAATTCATAAAAAATTATTAATGAATACAATTATTTTGATTATCAAAGTATAAGAATTAACAATTTAAATTTGTTTTAGTATTTCACTGGGCTTGAAGAAGCAATATTTAGAAATATAAACGCTTGCAAACAATTCGCTCAATCTGTGCGTACTGCTTACGGACCGAATGGAATGAATAAAATGATAATAAATCATATCGAAAAACTTATTGTCACGAGTGATGCTGCCACAATTATAAAAGAATTAGAAGTTGAACATCCAGCTGCAAAACTGATGGTGCTTGCTTCAGAAATGCAGGAAGCAGAGGTTGGAGATGGTACAAATTTTGTCATAATCTTTGCTGGTGCACTTCTCGAAGCTGCTGAAGATCTTTTACGTTTGGTACGTTTAAACTATCTTTTAAATTAGATATTCAAATTAAGTGAATTTCTTGTATGTTCCAGGGTATCACAACTTCTGAAATCGTTGAGGGTTATGAAACTGCCCTTGAAAAGTCCCTTGAAATTCTTCTTCAACAAGTTGTTTTTGAAGTGAAAGATCTACGTGACCTTGAACAAATTAAGGGGGGAATTAGAACCTCTGTTATGAGTAAACAATATGGACGAGAAGATTTTCTTACTTCCCTTATTTCACAAGCTTGCGTTTCTATTCTGACAGAAAATTCCCATTTTAATGTGGATAATGTTAGAGTTTGCAAAATTATTGGTTGTGGAATTCAGTCATCTCAGATAGTCCAAGGAATGGTTTTCAAACGTCAAGTTGAAGGCGATGTCACAAAAAAAATGAATTGCAAAGTAGTAGTATATACCTGCCCTGTTGATATCACACCTACTGAAACAAAAGGAACTGTTCTAATAAAATCAGCCGATGAACTTTTAAATTTCTCCAGAGGAGAAGAGTCAATGCTTGAAGCTCAGATCAAGTCAATTGCAGATGCCGGAGCTGAAGTAATTGTTTCTGGTGGAAAATTTGGTGATATGGCTCTTCATTATATTAACAAGTACAATTTGATGGCTGTACGACTTCCAAGTAAATTTGATATTAGAAGACTTTGCAAAGCAGTCGGTGCCACAGCACTTACAAAATTAGTAAGTGTAACAATTTCTATGGATTTATGAAACGAAATATCAAGTAATTTACTAATTTCAATATTAATTTTGTTTCAGGCGCCACCTACTTCGGAAGAAATGGGATTTGCAAGCAGTGTTCACATTGATGAATTAGGCGATACAGCTGTTGTTGTCTTCAGTATGGAAGGAAAGGACAGTCGAATTAGCACAGTTGTAATTCGTGGATCTACTGAAAATTATATGGACGACATTGAACGTGCTATTGACGATGGGGTTAACACTTATAAGGGAATGACTCGAGACGGACGTTTTGTTTCTGGTGGAGGTGCTACCGAAGTTGAATTGGCATTTCAAATAGCTGAATTTGCAAATACATTACCCGGTCTTGAACAATATGCTGTGCGTAAATTTGCTTTGGCTTTAGAAGTTTTTCCCAAAATTTTGGCTGAAAATAACGGTAGCCAACCATCAGAACTTCTCTCAAAACTGTATGCTTCTCACAAGGAGGGAAATAAAACTTATGGTTTTGATAGTAGTGTATGTATTTAAAATGAATCTTAAAAAAATGTGTTTTTTCTTTACAGATAATCAAATATAATTTAATTTCAAATTACAGGAAGGAAGTGGGGAAATGGTTGACTCTGTTAAAGCTGGAATTTTAGACTTGTTTTTGACAAAGCAATGGGCCTTAAAATATGCTGTGAATGCAGCCTGCACCATTCTTAAAGTCGATCAGATAATAATGGCAAAACGAGCAGGAGGACCAAAACCCAGAAGTGGAGGCCATAACAGTGATGACGAGTAAAAATCTCCAAATGAAAAGTACTTTAATTTTCAAACGTTTAGTATAATTTTTTTATATGTAATGTTTAAGATTAATTTAAAATTTCTTGAGTGTTTACATTGTTTCTTCAAGAAACAGTTTGGCATTTAATTTTTTATATAGTTATCTTTAAAATCAAATAATAAAAAATTAAACCCTTTTCAATTTAATACGCTAACATTGATTTAAACTGCTGATAATGAAATCAAAATTTTACAAAATGAAATTTTTTTAAAAAACTGTGTTACTTTTTTTATTTAATCTTGAAATACCTTTTTTGTTTACCACTGAAAAAAATTGTTTTCATAAGAGGAAGAAGAAGCACTTGTTAAAAAGTAAAAAAAAGAAAGAAAATTTTCTATTAAAAATTATATTTAATTATAATGTGAAACATGGTAAATGTGTTTTTCTTTAAAAATGACATAAAAAATATTTAAGTACTAGTTGTCAAAAAATCCTGTGGCAAATGACCAGCATCTCCAAGGCATTTTATATGTACCTTTCCAGTTGGATGAATTGTTAACCAAGTAATACTAGCATGTTTAAGAGAAATACGTAACCAAGCTTCTGGTGGAAATTGTAATGCTCTGAAAAAAAATTGGCTTATTATTACAATTTGATTTCAATTTATAATTAATAAGTAACAATTACAGACCTGCAAACAAAATATCGAATCACATTAGCATGACAAACAAGAACTGTATAAGAATCATCTGTTTGATTTTCATGTGCTCTATGAAAATACTTTCGGAACGCTGATTCTATTCGTGAACCATCTTGAAAAATCTATAAAAAAATTTTTAATCATCTTAAAATGATATTGATGCCTACAAAATTTTTGGTTCTATATGTTTAATTATATATAAATAAAGTCTTACAGAAACTTCAGGTTTCCAGGAACTTATTGGAGGTTCTGGAGGTATTGGATAACCTTCCACAATCATACTGTCACTAGCAGTTTTTACATTTGGAAGAAATTGTTCAATAATCGACGAAGTCTCTTGTGCTCTTTTCATTGTCGATTTTACGATTAAGGAATAAGGCAAACCTAATTCGGCTAAGCGTTTACCAGTCAGTTCAGCTTGCTTTCTACCTTTAAAAACATTTTATAAATAATTTTTAAGTCTAGATCAATAAAATTTTGTACAATTCTATAATTTAAAAAAAATTATAATTACCAAGTATTGTAAGAATTTTTTCTTCATCTGTATTTCCTTGACGATTATATTGACCGTGTCTAATGAGTATTAAATGTCGAACAGCCTTTGATTTTTTAGCTTCACATTTTTTATTATATTCATTTTCACCTTCTGGGGTTGTTAATTTTACTGGTTTTACTAAACTTTTTGGGTCTCGCCTAAAAGACATTTATTAAAATCATAGAAATAAAATAAAAATTAAATAAGACATTTATTTCGGTACATACATGTAAAACAAATCGCTCTTAATTATTGTACAGCTCATTTGTCATTAACACTTATTTGTTATTAATGTAAAAATTAATTAATTAACTACCTACTTTTGTATAGAGTATTTTCTAATTTAAAAACTCACTCAATTTAATTTAATTGTAAAACAATAAAAAAATATTTACCTATCCCAATTGTAGTCCCAATTTACTGAATTACTTATAGCAGTAGAACTTTTATACAATTTATTATTAATTTTTCCTGAATCTAATGCATAATAAACAAATGCAAAACCACTTAAAGCACCAATACTGGATAATGCATACTTCTGTAAACGAGATAATGTACTCATCTTCCTTTGTTGAAAAAATAACAACAAATTTTAAATTTTAAGCATAAATATTTATATACAATGTATATTATAAATAGAAAAATGTGGAAAATATAACATCTGAAATGTGAAACGTCTATTAGGTGAAATTTTAGGGTACAGTCACAGCTCAGTTACTTGAGAAGGGTCGTCATGGTAACGTATAAGAGTGAGAGAAATAAAAGCATTCTTTATTTCTCTCACTCACTCTTATACGTCACCATGAAGACCCTGAGTTAGAAAATGCCAGACATATATTTGTGTCCTTTTTTATATCATGCATCTTGTTACCGAATGCCTTCAAGATACTAGTGTGCATTAGCCTTTACTTCTTCAATAAACTGTAACATTAGAGAGGTTCCTCTTTAAAAAAAAAAATCCCCAGCAGTATACTGGGATAATAAGTAAATTACCTTTACAACCCTGCCTATTTGTGGAGGGGATCATTGGACATGTGCCTTGCACGCAAATGAAAATGTAAATATTGTAAATATTTGTGTTGTGGAGTTCGAAAATGTCGGTGGTAGTGAATAGACGCTAGCGTCTCCGTCTCCGTCCACCTATTTCATCTCACTTTAGTGTTATTCAAAAATTAAGTGTTTATTTAATTTAATTAAGATGAAGAATTAACTTCATCCAATTTTTAAAGTGTTATTTTGTGCGAATTGTTCAACTGATTAAATAACGAACTTAGGCTACTATTAACCACGAGGCTATACGTCATCCTAACCTCACAATCATTACTGCTTAATATAAATTAAATCCATACGCATCGATTTGAAGAGGATTCTATTATCCTTATAATTATTGAAAAAGAGAATCTAAGATTTCTATACTAATGGGGAAGTGATGTATTTTCTACAAAATTATAGACAAAAAGGAATACCTCTCTACAAAACACGAGGCAACATAACCCCATAACGTCTATCTACAACAACTTACATTACTTGTGCATTTAATGGATATTCATGGTACAGACTTATTAGATTTACGCTCTATATTGCTTTGGATAATTCTGGACCTAGTTGCTTGCTTTGGAATTTTTGCTGAATTTTGTTGCCTTTCCATTATTTAAACCTACAATTCTCATACCTTTCCCTTTCTTAATTCTGCATCCACACATGCTTGATTTAGTCATATTGCTTTAAAAAAAAAAAAAAAAAAGAAAAAAGGGGAAAAAAAGAAAAAAAAAAAGAAAAAATTTTACATTTTGCTTTAATTGCTATATACATAAATTTTCTACGGTTAACACTCTATGCAAGTAAGTTTTGAATTTGTTTTCTCACTCTTTCTTTTTCTCACCAAACGCATTATCGCTTTTTTTTTATGAATTAATTATTTTATTATCAGCAATAGTTATGCAAATGCACAGTCACTTTGTTCTCTAGTTGGCTTATGTTATTTTAATTCAGTTGCTTAATCTTAACGTTTCTATTTTGTGGTGTGAGTTGATTTTTGGATTATTACATATTATGCCTAAAGTTCACGCTTAAATCGATGAGCGGTCGGTCTTCGGCTTCAAATCATACTATTATTATTTGAATTGGTTGATTTAACTAATTATTGTTGGATCTGTATATAGTTTACTAAATTTATATTAAGAAATATTAATCTTATGAAAATATTAAAGTTAATAAATTATTTTTAGATTTCCGTCTAACTAATAAATATGGACAACCAGGAGGAATGTGTTTTGGTGAACGGAGAAGTGATGCGGGATCCAACTCGGCCTAGTCACTCGATGAGAGGTGATACTGATTTGTCTCAACGAGAAAGAGTTCAGTCAGCAGCTGATGACCGGACCCATGGTCTACCTAATGAATCGGCTTTTAATTTAAATTTTGATCTTTCTACCGGTGGCAACCCACAGTTATTACCTCAACAAGACACTTCCACACCCCAATCCTCGGTAAATCCAAGTGGTAAAAGACTGAGAAATTCACCCGGTTCTGATTCTTCTTCTAACGGTTCCTTTTTCCACGCTCCAAAAAAGACTACTTTGGTGGATAACGATTCTCTTCTTTCTCTCCAACTCGAATCAGTGATTCAAATTGATAAACATAACATTGATGCAGTTCCCAAGATCAATGAAGAGGCTACCTTATGGGACAAAAATGACCTCGAATGGTACAATGAATCTGTACCATCTCTATACACTTCCAATAGTCCAGCCCCCTTTGTAGTTCTGGTTGAAAGTACTATTAGGGGCAGAAATATAGGTAAATTAGATCCAATTTGTGTTATTGACCTTCTTACCCCCCTAATTCACGGTAAAAAACTCATTACTAGAAATGGCCAAAATCAAGTCAAGGTGGTATGCGACTTTTGGCAGAGTGCCAACGACCTTGCCCAATCGCGTGATCTTGTTACTGCTGGATATAGAGCAATAATCCCTGACTCCTTCCTACGAAAAAAGGGATTTACCACCTGGTTCCCTTGGGACAGATCTGTCAAGGACATAGTTAGAGTGTGCTCCTCAAAGGACTTGGAGAGCATTGCAAGTATTAGAAGATTAGTAAATGAGGATAATACTATCCAGGACAAAATTGAATTCACTTTCGAATCTCCTACAGTCCCACGATATATCCAATTGGGGGAATTTATGATTCAAATCACCCCTTCAATTCAACGCCCTCGCCGATGCTTCCGTTGTCAGCGATTTTGTCATGATATGAATCAATGTAGGTCAACTTACCCTAGCTGTGAATTTTGTGCTGGTAGACACTTGACTAGATTTTGTCCAAACGGTCATCTCCCACCGAAATGCAAGAATTGCAAAGGTCTTCATCTAGCTTCCTCTTCCGAATGCCCTGTCTATAAATTTGAATTTGGTATTCTCAAACATAGATACAGTACTAACTGCAATAGGGATGAAGCTAAGTTATTGTTCTTCTCTGAGAACCCAGATCTGACCAACAGAGTAACAGCGAGAGAGGAATCTTTCTCAAATTCCTCAAATGATTTACCTGCTAATTTGAATATTGATGTTCCCAAACCCACATTCTCGAAAAACTTCCAAATTGATGAAGTGACTAACACAGATCAAGATCAAGTCATCCAAATCTCTAAGGATATGAGTGCATATAAAATTGACGAAAAACTTCAAGCTGTTAACTCATTGATTGATCTCAATGATTCACGTTCAGCCTTAATAGACTCTTTGCAAGAGAACTTGATCTCTCCGCTAAAGGAGACCCACGGAGCATCTTTTGCTTTTCTCAGAAAGTAAAACGATCACATTCTTATCATCTTGATTCTTTAGATTAAGTTAGTTAAATTTTATTTTTTCGGCTTTAAGCTAATTTTAATACTCTATATGAATTTATTCTTGAGACCGACTGCTCATGACGTCTTCAAGTCACTCGTTCTCAACACAAATAATTAAATAATTAAATAATTTTGTAGTACTATTTTTTTTGTTCTTTGCTTGAGTTACGTGTTTTGTTTTGTTCTTTTTTTGCCATTTTGGTTTTTGTTTTTTTTTTTTTTTTGTTCTTTTTTGTTCTTCTCATTGATTGATTTAGTTGTTGATCACAAGATGTCTCTCAACACTAAATATATTAAGTATGGCACATGGAATGCCCACAGCGTTATCAATAAACGTGCTGAAGTTGAGTCATTATTACACATATACGATCTTGATGTGCTATCGATAACCGAAACCTGGTTGACTCCTGCAACTAGTACCTGGCAGTTGCCTGGTTATTTGACCTATAGATGCGATCGATCTAATGCACAACATGGAGGTGGTACTCTACTCCTAGTTAAGAGAAACCTCACAGTTTGTCCCTTTCAGGTTCCCGTCTCTATCCGGTCATTTGTTGACGCGGTTGGCATTTCCATCTCTACCAATCTTGGAAAATCCAATTTCTTTCGACCTATGCTCCACCCTCAACGAAAATTCCCCCTCTAATTTGGAAACGGTTGATCGACTGTTGTTCCCCGGATGATCCTCTCGTTTTTCTGGGAGACTTTAATGCCCATTCATTGATGTGGGGATCTAGTTTCTGTAATACCAGAGGCAACCACCTGTCTGATGTAATTGAGGAATCAGATATGATTCCTATCAACGACTGCGAACCTACGTTCGTGAATAGAAATGGTAGAACGGGAGGCAATATCGATTTAATATTTGTCTCGGACTCTTTGAGCAACATAACAACTGTTGAGGTTACAATAGACACCTTTTCCTCAGATCACTTTTTGGTTATTGCCTGCACAGATGCAACTGCTAAGTTTCAGAAAGCATCAGTCAAGCGATTGAATACCAAAAAGGTTGACTGGTCTGGGTTTTCGGTACAATTAGATTCTCGTCTAGATCCTCTATATCGACGAATTGAATCGAATGATTTGCTAACAGAAGTGTATGAAGAATTTCTAATCACCATAAAAGAAGAACTTCAATCTGCCGGGGCTTTCTATCCCACTGACCTCCCGGGTAAAAGAAAAGCCAAACCCCTATGGTGGGATCAGGATTGTGAGGAGGCTCTAAATCGACGAAGATTGGCTAGGAAGGAGTTTTTAAGAACTCAAATACCTTCAACTAGATCTAAGTTTGATGAGACAGATAATGAGGTTAAATGGTTTCTTAGAAACAAAAAAAAGGTTTCCTTTGAAAATTTCTGCAATTCGGTTGAACCTTCAATGGGTTCCAAACAGATTTGGTCCAAGGTTAAGGCCTTCGCTACTTCATCTCAACCTCTACGCACTAACATATGTAATGATCCAAATTCCGAAATTTTTCAGAATTTACAGAAAAATTTGGTTAAAGAAAATATACCCCCAACTCACCTACCATTGATGGAAGGGATTAACGTTGATGATCGAATGAATTGCCCCTTCTCTATCACTGAACTCAATATTGCATTAATGAGTAACAAAAAAGACTCAGCTCCGGGCCTAGATTCCATCTCTAATTCAATCTTACGTCATTTACCTCCACGCGCCCGGAATTTGTTCCTTACCATTTTTAATGGTTTTTTTCTCTCGTCTGTTTACCCAGCGACCTGGAGAAATTCCAGAGTCGTCTTTATCCCGAAACCCGAGGGAAAAGGTTATCGACCAATCTCCTTGACATCGGCCGTAAGTAAATTATTTGAAAGAATGGTCCAGAAAAGACTCGAACACTATATTGAGTCGGTTGGAGGTGTGCCATTGATGCAGTATGGTTTCCGCAAGGGACGTTCCACCACTGACTGTGTCTCTGTTTTTGTCACCGATATACAGGATAGTTTTTTAAAGGGAAAACATACGGTCGCCTTGGCTGTCGATTTGGTTGGAGCTTTTAGTAATATTTTGCCATTGGCCATTTACAATCGATTAGTAGAGCTTAGAGTTCCTGACAGGATAGTTAATTTTGTATCATTTCTTATAGCTTCAAAAAATTTGTTTTTCGCCTCAGACAATTCCAACTACAAAGTCTCCTATATAGGTGTACCACAGGGAGGTGTCTTGTCTCCTCTTCTTTTCAATTTGGCAATCAGTAAAATTGACAATGTTCTACCTAAATCAATCAATCGCCTGATGTTTGCTGACGATTTACTTTTGTACGTCAGTTCGGATAATATTCAAGACGCAGTAGATACCCTTGAAATTGCAGTTGCTACCTTGTCTCCATGGCTTGCTGAAGTAGGCCTGTCCATCGCTCCTAATAAATCACAACTTGCACTTTTCTCTAAATCTCGAGAAAAAAGTAATAACGTTTTTCTTAAAATCGATAATAACAAAATCAAAATGCAGGACGAGCTGGTCTACCTCGGAATCCACTTGGACCGACGACTGACTTGGTCCTTGCATATCCACGATCTTGTCAAAAAGGCTACTAAAGCAATCAACATAATTAAAGCAATGTCTAGGATATCATGGGGAGCGAACCCAACTGTTATGTTGATGGTCTATAGGGGACTGGTTAGATCGCATCTGGAATGGGGCTGTCAGCTGTTTTCTTCTGCCTCTCAGTCTAATTTAGAAAAGCTTGACAAAGTACAATCACTAGCCCTCCGAACAATATTGGGATGCATGAGGTCAACCCCTATCAGTATCTTAATGTCCGAATCGGATGAGCCTCCGCTACATTTAAGACGTTCCACCTTGTGTCGGAAACACATGATAAGGAATTTTTCTTGGTCTTTGAACCCCCTGATTCCTAAGTTACAATTGCTTTCTGAGAAATGTATATTAGACAAACGGTACCGAAATAATATCTCCTCATTGAAATTTTCACTATTGGATTCATTTCGCGAGTTGAATAACATGACTCACAGATGTACTAGATCAATTAAGCCTTCTACTTTCGATTTTACATGGGAGGAGCTGACTATCCCGATTCTCGTAGATATTGATTCGGGTCTGGAAATAAGGGTTGATTCTAATCCGGGCGGAGCATTTGAGACATTTGTCGAACGTGAATACCCGGATTACATACAAATCTTCACTGACGGTTCGAATGACCCGAAAAGAGGACTTTCTGGAGCCAGCTACGTCATACCCCTTTTGAATGTTAAGTTTGGAGTTCGCTTGAGTGGTCTGATGTCCATTGAATCGGCTGAATTATATGCAATTTTCTCGGCATTAAAGTATTCCCTTCAAACAAGCCTTGACAATGTGCTTGTCATTTCTGATTCTCGAGGATCTCTGCGAGATTTAAAGGAAAGAATGTTTGTCTCTAACCCTCACCCATTTATAATCAAGATCACTAGAATGATTGTTCAACTGATGGCAACCGGTTGCCAAATTCGTTTTCTCTGGATACCTTCTCATGTCGGAATTAAGGGCAATAATATAGCAGACAGACTAGCGAAAGAAACATTGGATTTCCAATTTGGTAAATTTTCCGGTGTACCCCCCCGTGACCTATTACCTGTTTTTAAAAAAGACCTTGATTCCTGAAAGAGAATGATTTGGCCATACACCGACTGTACACAATCACGAAACAAATACTACCTGAGAGTGGGCTACAAAAGTAAAAGACCTTGGTTCCGGGGCATTGATGCGGCTAGGAGATACATCAACACTGTGACTAGGCTGAGGACTTCCCACATCTGTACTGATGATCACTTCAATAGGATGGGATGGAACATTCCTCCTGGTTGCGATTGTGGGGCCGAACATAAAGATCTCAAACATTTATTGAGTTTCTGCCCCATATTGTCTTCTGGCAGACCTAACTTTTTCACATTCTTAGCACTTAAAATTCCAGACTTTAATCCACATGACATAAATTTGGATGAATTGATTTTTAATCCTAATCAAGAAGTTACAATGGAAATTGGTAGATTCTTCGCCTTGGGTAAAGTGATTGTGTAGTTAAGTGAACAATTAAATTTCTATTAAGTAAATATATAGTTGCGATAAATTAACTAATTTAAGTAAGGTGAGGAAGAGAGGAGGGAGGTGAAAGGAAAAAGAAAATAAAACAGTTTAACAAATAATAAATTTAAATATAAGTTACTGTCTACTGAATTGAATCTAAGTCATGTAAACTCAAAATTCAAATTCAAACCTTATCCCATCCGTACAATCCTAAACCTGAGCAACTTTTAAATTCAATTCACAACTCAAGATATCATACCATTATATAGACTGGGAAGTGAGGAGACCAAATTTGAAATGAACCCACCCTAAAGCTGAACTACGACAACAACAATATATTTACGTTTGACTACGTAACTATACCCGGATTAACATTTTGTACTGGCTACCTGTTAATACAAGAGGCCATTTAAACAGAAAGAAAGAGAGATTTGTGTTGTGAATTTTAATAATGTCAAGCATTGAGTTTTTACCTCTTTTAGAGGGTACAAAATTTATAATAATAGATGAAGGTAAAAAAAAGTTAAAAAGAAAAAAAAATAAGAGTATTGTATGTGAATATTTAAATGAAATACTTGAAAATAAAAAATTTTTATTTAATTTTTAGGTTTGGATGCACCTTTTGCTGAAACGTTAATTACAGGGTGGTTAAAAATGTTTGAGAAGCGAAGATGTGATTGTGAAATTGACGTAATTTCATTTGCAAATCCAAAGTACCTTTATGTTAATCATTTTAATTTATTAACATTGAATAACATAAATGTGACTGATTTTTATTCTATAAATTCAAATAAAACAAATTCTTTTATAGAAAGAATGGAATATTATCTTCAAACTGCTGGACATGATACAGTTATTATAAACTGTCTGAGTACTCTCAGTTTATCTGTTGGTTTTGAAAAAGCAATATGGTTTATTGAGAAAGTCAAAGAAAACTCAAAACAATTAATTTGTATATATCGAAGAGATTTTGGAAAACTTAATTTACCAAATGTAGAAACTATGGGAACAACTTATGTGAAATTAGAAGGACACTTAAAAAGTACACAGATTAATAATTATGTTTATGAGGGATATTTTACTCATAAAAAACTTGGAGGAAGTATTTTACATCAAACTGAAATAGTGACCCAAGATGTTAAAACATATGAAATTATATCAACAGAGATTTTAAAAGATTCAATTAAGAAAATAAAAAAACCTATTCAAGAATCGACGAAAGAAATTAAAGCATCTTTTCGAATAGAAACAAATGACCAGGAAATGACGCAAAAAAGAGATACTCCTTTACCTTATATAGAAGCTAAAAATCAAAATAACCAAACAGCTATTTTTTATGAACCTGAGGATTTATATGATGGCGAGGATGAGGATCTTGATGATGATTTAGGAATTTAAAAGTATGTAAGAACCGAATCATCATGTTTTAAATTTGTTACATTTTTCTATAAAATGACACTCAACAAACTTTATCTTATATTATATTTTAAATAAAAAAATTATTCAAATTGTATTCACTTTCTTAGAATTTGAAAAACTAAATACATATATATATATATACATTATACTAAACTAATATTTTAAATTGTGATTAAAGTTAAATTTTTATTAATGACCTTGTCAAGTGTTAAACACAGATACCAGTCTGTATATTTTTTTTGTGCTTCAAACAGTATCGATAAAATTGTTCAACTTTCATTTCAATACAAGAAGTTGACAATTTTTATACACGATGATGAGATAAGAAATGTCTCGAAATGTTTAATACAAAAAATATCCGACAGGCACAAAAAATTTCCTAATTTTATTTATTACTTGTCCCTATATAATATAAATAAATTTTCAACTTGTGCAAAAAAGAAAGTTGAGCAATTCAATACCAGATATTATTTTAAATATTGCAATAATAACTTAGCGATTTGCAAGGAAATTCATTTGAAGAGAAATTTTACAAACTTCTAAAACATAGCTTTACATGATTTTAAAAATAATTATAGAACTGGGTCCAAACACAATAAAACAACTAAATTTTCAAACAAAAGTAATGTTAATACGTTCGTGACTTTTCTTTTTGTATATTTACATGTTCTTATTTTAAACTATTAAATCAGATCTTTAATGTTTTTTTAAGTCTCAATATAGATTAGTTGTAACGTTCAAAGACAGCTTATAACATTCACTCTTTATGTACAGGTATAAAATATTTATCATTCTAATGTTTTTTGAACTATTAATCATATATAATATATGATCAACCTAGACGTTCTTTTTTATAAAAGTGTATATATATATATTATTCGTTTGCAGATTTTATATTTAAGTATTTTTACAAAAAAATTATCAAACTGGTCAATAATTAAAAACTCAATAAACACAGTGACAGACCCAGGAAGTGGCCATGAGGGCTTTGCTCTTTACAAAATCTTTAAATTTATATCCTAAAGGTTTAAATTTTCTAAAGTGTTTGTTCATCTCCCTAAACAGTATTGTCTGGATCTAACTTTGTAGATAAACAAAATGTAAATTTGAATTGACCTTTGGACTTGAAAATTCATTGACACAAAAAATTAAGGTCTTCGTTATGTCTTCCCTGAAATATCCATAATAAAACCGATAAAATAAGATGCTAATTTTTTTTAAATTCGACACAATTTTTTTGTAAAACTTGTTTAGTTACGTTATTTTAAACGTTTAGCATATTTTTTAACCAAATTAATTTTACATATACATTCATGTGATTAAAACGAAATTGTAAATGGAAAACAAATAAGTTCTTATCAATATTATATAAAACATTTTTCTTAAATTATATATTCTAACTTTGGAAATTTTGCATATTAATCAATATTAGTCTTGTAGATTTGTAGGCTATTATTTACTCATGAATGTTTTAAAAAGAAACTGCGACATTTCTTGTATTTGTTTACATTTATATAACTATTTTTTTTATTTTATATTATATTTCTTATCCAAAACATGAATCAACAAAAGACAAAAAATCAATGTTTTTTAGTCATTGTATGTCTTTTGTTAGATGAACTATTTTATAAAAAAATTTTACTTTCAAAGAAGTAGAAAAATCTGAATCTCTTTTAATAAAGAGATCATGAAACTTATTACTCACAGATTTATTATAATTTAACATTTTATTGCCCCTGAATAACAGGATAATCAAAATTCAGGCCCATCCTGTAATACCTAATTAAAAGTTATGCGACCAATATCCTATCGGATGTCACTACTAATACTATTGAAGATAAAATAATAAAATAATTTAATTTTTTTATACAATTGCAGAATATTTAACCAAGTAATTTTCGTTAAAATTGTTTCTTATTGTTTAAACAAGTATTGTTATTTTTATTTAATGCGTGACGCACTGTAGAATAGGGGTTGTTTAACTTGTAAACAGCTGTATTGGCATGAATTTTTGTTTACCTGTTAATCAAGAGCACATTCATTGTAACTGTATAGTCTCATTCAATGAGACACGTGTCTAAATAAAAGAATTAAAATTAATGAAAAAATAAATATGGAAGTAGAATTGGACATGAGATATTTCACTAGCAAAAGCCTATTGCTTGTAGAACATTTTTCATAACGATTAAATTTAAATAAAACTATATTAAATATAAGATGTAGTCAATGATTTTGAATCTTTGTAGTATTAAATTTAATATTTACTTTTTTTTAAATACTGTAGATGAAATTGATAATTTTTTACTACAAGCATCTACCATCTCAAAGTTGAAGTATACCGTTTCAAAACCAATAATTACATTTAATATAGTTTTAAAAAATAAAATTTGTTTGAAAAACGCTTTGCAGATCAGTCTTTTGCAAATGGAACGGTTTTAAAACAATATCCCATACAGCCTTACAACATTAATATTTTTACAATAGGTAAAAAAACACCATTCAACAACATCAGTGTACAATAAGAAAAATATAGTATCAATTCTAGAAATACAATACTCGAATGACAATGCCTGCACGGCAAAAGTATGACTAAAAAATGTCACAGAATTTTTAGAAAACATATATTATTGCCATGGAGCAATATATATATAATTGTCCTTCATGTTTGAGCATTAATGAAATAGTCAAAATTTCTCATTTTTAAAATAAAAGATAATATTGTCTGAAGAATAGCTTCTTGGTCGATACTCGATTGTGTTGTTGAGATATGTTAATATAGTCGCTTACGATTTTGTTCAGATCGTTTCTGATAAATCATAATTCCAACAACAACGACAGCTATTAAAACTAAGGCACATAAAAGCATCATAAAGAAGGTTTTAATTCCACTTGATACTTGAGGTTTTGGATCATCCACGTGTTCTGAAATGTCATCACATATTAAATAAATTTATAATTGATAAGAAGCAATTATTTCTAAAAAAAAAATTTTAAGATATAATATTGAATTAAACCAAAAAACAAACAATGATTAAAATTATGAAGAAAATTGCATCACAAAAAATGAGCAATTGCGTTGAAAATTAATTTTTCTCACCTCTTGGAGACTCAAAGAATGTTGCAGAAGGAAGAATGCTCGCCCTATCTTCATCGTCTTTAGACTAAAAAGTGAATTATTAAAATTGCATCTAAACAAATAGGTATGTTGTATTTTATTTTATTGCAAAAATTTTTAAAAGAAACTTACTTCATTCGGCAAATCCAGCTCAAATAGACGAATTGATAAAATATCGTGATTATCAGAAAGATCACCAGTAGTCGCAGTCATACCAAAAAAGTATCCTGTTGGTAATTTAACTCCTTTCACCGAAAAGCATTCCTTCCATGCTCCTTTGTTTGCAATATCCGTTGAAACTACAACAAATAAAATTGAATTTAACAAAATTTTACAATACTGATAAGTAAAAAGAAATTGTCACACTGTCTAACATATTACATTCCACATACCTGTTAATGTATCTTTTTCATATCGCACAGTAATGTGAGTATCAAATTCAAGATTTCTAAATTTTGCTTCACATCCTGCAAGTTGAGTATGAGTTCCATCTCTATCATGGTCATAGTGAAGCGTTCCATTATTAATCATTGCCGATATGTAAGGATGTTGGTGCTATTAAAAAATGTATTAAAATAAAAAAATAGAATATATGAAAATTGATTCTAAATCAATATCACTACGTCTTTGCTTTATGTGCAACTATAATAAAAAAAAAATGTAATTAATTAAATTTTTAGATTCATTTTAATTTAATATAAGTGCATTAAAACTTTTTTTGTTTAAATTTCTTCAAGTAATATTGATACGAACATTATGTGGACCATTGTGGTTACTATAAGTATCAAGAATCACTGCCAATCCGTGAAAGTGGTCTTTATTTCCAAAAACTGGACCTGTTTGCATTCTATCTTTTGCGTACCATATTACAAATCCATCTCCGAATAATTCTCGTCCTTTTCCATGAACTTTAAAATGTACCTTGAGCTCCCAGTTTTTTAAATTACATGGCTAAAAATATAATTACAAATTAATGCATAAATCATTTTATCATTTTATTTAGTAAAAATTAAATAAGATTTTATTTTATTTCAAAAGCATTATATCAAATTAATATTCATCGTAACAAATACTACAAAAGTATTAAAATATACTATGCATATATGTATGTACAAACATTTAAATTTTGCTCCACATTTTAACTTATACGCAAGCGTACATATTATGCTCTGTGTGTATACATGATTGGTTAACGAAAATAGATAAGAATCGTCTAATCTTTTCGATTCCTATGATAATTTTAATAATTTTACATTTGAGTGATGAAAAATTAAAAAAAAAATTAACAGTAATTGTATTAAAATTTTATTATGAATAAAAAAATTGTAATTATTTCACAAAAATTAAATATAAAGATTATAACTTTAATAGCAATTACATATTTATAAATAAAATATCAACTTACAACTGAATTCCAAAGTGCTCCTTGTGTACTTTGTAAATCAGGCGTTAACCTAATATAATTATTTGTTACCATCGTACTGCCTATAAAATCCCAATAAGGTACTGTCATACCTAACCCTAAATAAAAAAAAAAAATTTCATATAAAGAAAACATATTTAACTTATGTATGTTGATTGAATCATATAAAAATGAGTTTCTGATAAATTCATTTTAATTTCAATAATTAAAACAATTAATAATATCATGTATATACACTTATTTTCACTAATAATTAAACTTGAAAACTGGTATTTGACATAATTAACCTCAAATTAATCCTTATGTGTACAAACTTTACTTTTACATAAATATATTAAGAAAATGATTATAACTGGAATAGATTATTATTTGTAATTTTACTATATTTATTTTTAAATTTAAAGAATAAAACAAACAGACATGCATAAAAAATAATAAAATAAAATATTACCTTGATAAGGACGAACAAGAGAATGTTCTCGTTTCATATAATCGTTTGAGATCCATTCTGAAGTTACAATGTTAAAGATATTAAATAATAATGTATAGTACCATATCCATTCCATTATAATTTATATTAAAAGTAAATTTTTCGATGTATTATAATTGTAACGTACAGATGACGTCTAGAAATGACAACTGACAACTGGTAATAGCAGGATTAGCAGTAATAGCCAACTAAACTTTTTATTTACATATATATATATATATATATATAGTATAGTTTAGAGTATTATATATAATATTAGAGTTTCTTTAAGGCCTGAGCAGAATGGATTCTTGAACGGGAACGCAATCGTAAACGCAACCGAAAGAATAAGTTAGAGAAGGACAAACAATCTATCTATCCTTCTCTAACTCATTCTTCTGGTTGCGTTTGCGATTACAATGTCGTAAATACAGGTCCGGAATCTCTTCAATGCCTACAATGGTATGGTGGGGTCTCGCGGTGAAGTCCGCCGATAGGTGGATACGTGTCGAAAAGTCTACTCTATCTTCGTTTTTCTTTCTTGGTGGAAAAAATATAGAGATTACTTTACGACACGTAGCCACCTATCGGCGGGCTTCACCGGGAGACCCCACCTAAACAAACAAGATTCCGAACCTGTATATACGACCGTGCTGCAAACGTAACCTGAATGATGAGTTAGAGAAGGATAAACAATATGTCTACCCTTCTCTAACTCATTCTTGCGTTTGCGATTCCAGTTACGTTCTTTTCTGCTCAGGCCTTTACGCGTAACTCGATGTTTTCTACGTGTAATGGAGCATTTACACCTTCGGCAAAAAATGTTCTTCACCTTGCATTTTCCAAAATACACTTACCTGATTGGTTGTCCACAATGAATCAGATTCTAGACAATTAATCAGGTAAGCGTATTTCGGAAAATGCAAAGTGAAGAAAAATTTTTTGCCGAAGGTGTAAGTGCCATTATGACGACAAATAGTGAGTGGGGATTTTGGCGCATATTCACGTATAATACTACGTCACGTATTATACGTTCCCATCTCTGCGAGTCGCCCCCCGACTCGATGAGTGTGGAATCAGTATAAAGTCGTATCTACAATAATTGTTGATTGTTTCTTTTATTGGTTCTTTGAAAAGAATATAATTTAGTGCATTTAGTGGTAGTTCAAGGTTCCAAGTTGCTGGTTCAACTTCTAGTGTCCCATACCTTGATTTATACAAAAATTGGGTAGATATTCATTTAAATTCAAACAATAGAAATGCTAGTGACAGTGAAATAATTAAAGATTAATTGTTAAAAATTATATTACATATAATTCAGACCGTTGTAAACAAACAAAGAAACAAAGGAAGACGAAGAAAATAACCTGTAGAAACTCACAAACACGTTTTTATTATAAATTGAAATTGGTGTAATAATCCAAGCCAAAAGTCACGCTTTGCTTAAGTTTAGTATATTACACACACACATATATATATATAGTAATAGAAAAAAGTCTTCGTCTTTCTTTTTTATTATCGGATTTCGTGATTCGATATAGAAAAGTTTGTGCACAACGGTCTCATTTCATATTACACGCGATCGCAAGTGTTCTTTTTTTGAGAGAGAGAAAGAGAGATTAGGTTAGTTCGCGTCCGGAAAAACAGCAGAAGGCGCTGCGGACTTTCGTGCGCGAGAATAATCAAAATCAATGCAATAGTGCAGTGTTCCTTGATCGTCTTGCAGGTGTTTTTTTGAAAAGTATTTTTTTCCTCCCCAATAAAAATTCATCATGTCGAATGGACTAGCAGTGTTAAACAATAGCAAAGCAGTTCAAAATTTGAGTAAGTTTGATGATTTTCTGTCATAATTTCATCTAAATTTTACGCGTCGAAATTTTATACACAATACATTTACTCTGTTACTTTGTATATGTATACATATACCTATATATAAAATATACATTTACATTTCCAGCCTGTAACGCTTCGCCAATTGTCTCCACAACACAAGGACAAGGAAAACACTCGGCGAGGGTGAGTTTTTGACTAATTAGTGCTATTTTTAGATGACGTCTTTTGTTTTTCTTTTCGCTTACAATGAAAAGCTCCTCTTTTTTTCTTATTTTGCATTTCAGATGGAACAATCGAATACCTCGCACGCTGCTGTTAAAAGAAACGCTGATATTGCTCTAGAAGGTTTGTTTTAAAAATTATAGTTGAGATAAAACTTGACTTAAAATAGCTGATAATTCATATTATTTTCGTCTTTGTCAATTCTTTCTTTTAAGAAGATATATTTTATCACAAGAATAATTAAACTTGTCATTAATTTTAAAAACTTGTTAACTTTTGAAAAAAATTTGGCAAACTAATTTCATTTGTTTTTTTAAATATCTACAGTTTCAAAGAGATTTTTATTTTATATTTTTTATTTTCAAATTAAATTTCAATAAGAACTTGGAAATTGTTTTAAATTTATTTTGTTTTTTTTTGTCATAAATGTTAATCATTTTTTTTTTACATCTTTATTCTATAGAATTATCATCTCCTGTTTCATCAGGTTCGCCGTGTTCAAAGAAACGTCACAAGAATCCTCAACCAAAGAATGCAGTGTGCGCTTTAAATGAATTAAAAGCGGGTGCTGTTTATAAAGTTGTCTCACAAACTGGTCCAACACACGCTCCAATATTTACTATAGCGGTGCAGGTTGATGGACAAACATATGAAGGAAAGGGACGTACTAAAAAATTGGCAAAGCACGCAGCTGCCGAATTGGCATTGAGAAATATTGTACAATTTAGAAATGCACCTGAAATTGTTCGTGTAATTAATACAAATAATTGTCAAGCAACACCATTGGAGCCAGACTTCACGAGCGATGTAACCGAACGTGATAATCATTTGGTGAATGCATTTAAAACTCTCGCACAAGAGCCAAAGAGCGCCAGTAAATTTTTAGACAAAGGCCCAGTAGCATTAATCAATGAATTATATCCGGGCGTTACTTATAAATGTATTTCTGACACGGGCGAGAGTTATGCAAAATTCACCATTGCAGTGACAATTGATGGCGAAACATTTGAGGGTACAGGTCCGAGTAAAAAATTAGCAAAAGCCGCAGCAAGTAAAGCGGCATTGGCGAAATTAAGAAATGTTCATAGTTCATCATTTTGCATTCCATTACCAGTACGTGTATTGCCGAGTTATGCTAATTCGGGACACTGGCAGGAACAAATGAGTCTACCACAAATGTTGGCCGATCGAATAGGAAAAATGGTCAATCAAAAATTTACCGAACTCGTGCAAAATAAACCACAACATGCGAGACGCAAAGTTTTGGCAGGAATAGTTCAAACAAGAGGGAACGAAGCGGAATTAATTTGCGTTTCAACTGGTATTTTTTTTTTTTTAATTTCAAATTTGTTCTCAAAATTGATAAATTAATTTTTCTTTTTTCTTCTAGGCACTAAATGTGTTTCGGGAGAACATTTAAGTGTAAGTGGTGGAGCGGTAAACGACTGTCATGCGGAAGTTGTTGCACGACGTTGTCTATGCGAATATTTGTATAAACAATTGGAATTACATACAGATAATCGTGGTGATGACTCAATTTTAGAAGAATCAAAACAAGGATTTAAACTCAAGCAAGGTATTCAATTTCATCTCTATATTAATACTGCTCCTTGTGGTGATGCCAGGATTTTTTCGCCTCACGAAGAAAATGAATCGGTCGATAAGCATCCAAATCGAAGAGCCCGCGGTCAATTGAGAACGAAAATTGAATCGGGTGAAGGAACAATTCCCGTGAAAAGTAGCGAGGGAATTCAAACCTGGGACGGCGTTCTCATGGCAAGATTTTTTTTTTTTGTAAAATGTTTAGAAAACACGATATTTTATTCAAGGTTGAAATTTTCAGATATAAGTGAATTTTTCTTTTTAGGGATTAATTATTTTGTTTTGGAAAATTTTCACAGGGACAAAGGCTGCTGACGATGTCGTGTTCGGATAAAATAGCTCGCTGGAACGTTCTAGGAGTGCAAGGAGCACTCCTGAGCCATTTCATAGAGCCAATTTACTTCCACAGCATCGTTCTTGGCAGCTTGCTAAATCCTAGCCACATGTATCGAGCGGTTTGTGGGCGCATCGAGAACACAATACAAGGTTTACCGCCTCCATACAGGCTCAACAAACCACTGATGAGTTTGATTACATCTTCCGAAGTTAGACAACCTGGTAAAGCACCTAATTACAGTGTCAACTGGACAATTGGTACGTATAACATTAATCTTCACCTCTGCCAAGTTTTAATATATAATTTTATTTTTATTTATATTACATCGCTTTTTTATAGAGATTTTTTTTATCATTTCATTTTTATTCAATATAAGTCATAAACCAATTACAGAATTATGAGTAATACATAAAAGATAATATAAATTATATTTTTAGAATATGAAACACGTAATAATCAATAAAGAGTAATTTTGTATCTATTTGAAATGGAAGAATATAAAATATGTAAATTATTGTCTTTCATATAGTAACGATATATTAGTGTTTAAATAAAGTTTAAATATTAAATCATTTGAGAAACCCTTTTTTTATTATGAATTTTTAAAAAACTTTCTTAATTGTTAGATTATAAAAATAAGTTTTAAAAGTAGGTCAATCGGTGCGTTTTTATAGCGTCTATAAATTAGTTATAAAATTATATATTTTCAATTTTGAATTTATAGGTCAAGTCGAAGCGGAAGTAATAAATTGCACGACTGGGAAAGATGAACTTGGGAAACCGTCCAGAATATCAAAACAGGGACTCTTCAAAAAATTCTACAACCTTTTGGGAAAACTTGATACGATTGATGATGCCGATCAGAATCAGTGTCGTCATTATTTAGAAGCAAAGTCATCTGTCCAGAATTATTCGGTAAGAAATTCTAATTTTATTTTTGTTGAAAATGTTAAAACAATTTTATTAAATTTCAATTAAAGATAGTTGAATTATTTAAAAAATATATATATATGTAATTTAAAATGTATATCATTAACGAATTCTTATGTGTGTTTTTTTTTATAATTTGTTTAAAAAAAAATAGCTCGCTAAACGTCAGCTGAAGGATGCATTCGTCCGCGCTCAACTTGGCAGTTGGGTTAAAAAACCAATTGAACAAGACATGTTTGATGTTGACATCTGACTAAGCAATGATAATAATGTTTCTCGATTGGGTTCGAAGAAACGTGTTTCCGAGTACGTTGTACCTCGCGTAAATTAGATCGATCGTTCAGTGTGTCACGGAACGGTGGATTTTGGTATTAGTAAAGCATAAATTTTAGGATCTCAAAAAACGTCTCTTATTATTATTATTACTTGATTGAATGCAAGATAGAAGAAAAAAAATGATTTAAATGTATACAAGAATGTCGATAATTCGCATGAGTGTATGTATGTGTGTAGGAAAAAACAAAGTGTGAGACAAAATACGTTTTTCTGTTTGATTATAAGAGTTAACTTGAATATTCAACTCTCAGTAAACTATCACCTAAATTTAATATGACTTCAAGTGTTAAAATTATATTTAAGTAATCAATATTCTCTATTTATATAAAATTTTTCACTTGAAGTATATTTCATTTTTAAGAATTTAAGAGTTGAAAAGTGTCCACACAAAAAACTATTTCAAGTTCATTCTTTAATAGACAGTAAATTAATATAAATATATATATATATATATATATATATATATATATATATATATATATCGCGTCGTTTTTTGACAATTCCATAGACTGTTAGGAAATTAAGAAAGAACTTAATTAATCTCGCGTATATTGTAAGAATCAACATTTATTTTTTTTCTTTTTTTAGATAAATCCGTGATTTTATTTAGTAGATATAAAAATTTGCTTATCCTTATTCGAGGTGAATTTTCATAATAATGATAAGCAAGCCGGTACATATCTTTTATTCGGTCTCTTCTAAGATAATATATTTCTCGCACGTATATAAAAAAAGAATGTTCTTTAACACAAAACTAGAACGTAGTCATCCGAATTAAATATATAGTTAAGTCAAATATTATTCGATTCAATCTCGTTAATATATTTTATAGAATTTAGGCGCGTTCACCAATTCATTCTTTTGAAAAGAAAAAGGGGGTGGAAAAAGAAGTAGTGAATTGGAATTTTTTTAAAATGTCGAAACATAGAGACTGCCGCGTCCTTCTTATTTGATATCCTAAAAGGCTGTGAGCGAATCTCGCATTGAGGTAGTGAGCAAGACGCGGTAATTAATGTTATTTAATAAGTGAGAAAAAGTTGATCAAAATAATTCCCACAATTGCTCAGTTTCCTTGAATCGGGGAAAAGAATGAAAATATTGATAAGATTGTTTTTAAATTATTGATAATTGCGTTAATTTTCGCACACGTTTTACAATCACTTCCCTTTCACGCATTATAATTAATTAATTTTAAACAATCTTATTTATATTTTTTTTTTATCAATTTATTCACCCTCCTACTGTGGTGACGTGCAGTCATTTTTTATTATTATGTATTTAGCTTGTGACTCCATTAGAATTTTAACAATATTATTGTTGTAGTAAATTTTTCCTCTTTATCAAATAGAATGGTCAGTATTTAAAGAATTTACTTGAAAAAATTTAAATTTAACATTTTCATTCAAAACTACATTTTAAACATTTGAATTAAAAAAAAAACTTATATTAAACGTTTTTCAATGGAAAACTACATTTCAACACTGTCCTTTAAAAACATCAAATAAAGTTTTGCAGTGTACACTTAATAATAAATATTAAAATAATTACAGTGAACGATTTGCAATAAATGATTTAAAAAAATTAAAAAAAAATACTGTTGACAAATGAAAAGACAGTTGCATGTAAAATGTAGATGTAAAAATAAAACATGCAAACATTTTTTCAAATCGGACAAGAGAAATTTTTTGATTAAGGCCTAAATACAACATTTTTTCCGTAATCTGCTTTTTACACTTCGTGTAGGAGGGAATTTAGCGATAATATTAGAGTAAACAATCAATTTAGAGATTTCTAAGATTAATTGCCTCACTATGCCAGTAAATTGTCATTTTATAAATAAGAAAAAAAAATAGTTCTGCCGTAGTGACACACTATTCAACACCGATCCAGTTTGATGCGAAAGACACAAAAAAATTAATTTGGAAATAATTACCACAAACGTACTCTGAAATAGTTTAAAAAATACTAATAACAAATAATTATACACTTCAAACCACAATGGTATTATCAAGTGTGTATTATATAAAAATTTCGTTTTTAAATCTCTTAGTAATCAAGTTCAATTATTGAAGATCATTTGCTTCTTAAAATTAATGAAAAAAAATCGGCTCGAGTATTTTTTTTTCATTTCAGTCACAATTTTTCATCTTAAGGAAATACTTGTGCCAATTTAAATAATATGTTCAGATTTGCACACGAAATCTGTCAAAAAAAAAAAATAAAACAAAAGTGTGCTTCAATTTGACTTATATCGCTGTGCAAATGTTGGGCAAGAAATTTTTTTTTTCCACACTCATTGGTTAACTATCATGTAACAAACAAATTGTATTCTTAATAATTATAATAATCTTATAATTATTGGACTTAGCTCGTAAAAATAATTGTAAGTTAATCTGAAAAAACCTGTAAACTACAAATGCATAATATAAAGAACGTGAAAAACGAAAACAATAAATGAAAGTAGAATTGAAGAAAAAAAACTAGTAAACGAAAAATAAATAAAAAATAGAGAAAAGAAAGTAGGAAAAAAAGAAACGAAACTAAAAAAAATAAAAGTAAAATAGTTTTTACTAAAAAGAAAAAAAATGTTCTTTATATTGAAAGTAAATGAAAAAACAATTAATTTCTTGCCTGGCATATGGAACACCAAAGATTTCAATTATTTCTGATATAGATATTTTCATATTTCTCAATTGCTCTGTCGCAATTAACTATATAGTGTAATAGTGTAATATTATTTGTTTTTTTCTATGCTTTTAACAATTTTATTTTAATAATAATTTCTAGCGTAAGATAAGAATTTAAAGAAACAAATTTAAAACCTCCATAAACTTGCTATATATAAATTTTGCAAATTTTAAAACATTTTTTGTTTGTTATTTACAATATCTGATGAAAGTCATCAATTTATGATGATTTAAATTGATTTTAATTTTGTGTTTTCTTTTTTTTTTTTTGTTATTTTTATTTTTTTGTTCTGTCAGATTAAAAAATTTTTTTGTTATTTTAGCTCAGCGATATATCTTTTATTACTTTATTATAAAATATAGTGAACGAGTGAAATTTCTATATTTATTTTCTTATTTTTATGTTCGTTGTTGATTAATGAACATTTATAATTTTGTATTCTTTTTTTTGGAATGTGAGTTCTTTTTTGTATTTTTTAAAATGCACTTAAAAGCATATAAAAGAAACTATTTAATAAACAAAGAAAAAAACTAATAATAATAATAATCAAGTATTCAACATCGAGAATTACAAGTATTCTTGTTAGTCAGCTAGAACTTAAGCATGACTAGTGCCTCTAGTTGTAAAATCTTTAAAAAAAACAAATTAATGAGAAATGATTCGTCAATAAACTGTTATTTACCGAAACATTTCTTCAGGCTTTTAATTATTAACAACCACATTTTTTATTTGTTTCCATTTTCAATCCCTGAAAATTGTTTTCTTTGGATAATTTTTTTTTGGAAATGCTCGGATAATGAAGAAGTATTTAAAGTGATGATGAATGAGGATGGCAAAAAAAAATGGGAAAATAAAAAAGCAATGCTTAGTGACAATTTATGTTTCCTTGAAATTTTATATGCCTCCGACGTGTACATGTATATATTTTTGTTTGATAATAGTTTTCTGCGATAACAATTTGTCATTGATTTTATATTATATATATATATATGATACAACTAGTAAAATAATTGCACTTCCCACGCGAATTTTTGCTTATCTTTTGATAAATTTTTCTTGAAAGTAGAGTTTTTATCCGAATTTTATAGCAAATTTGAATAAATTTCCTCTAGGATATATAATATGAAAATTCATTGCATGTGAAGTACAGGATGAACTTAACAGACTTCTTAAATCTACGCTGATATGTATCGATTTTAATATATGCTTTCTTCCCTGATCCCTTAATTTGAAATTTACAACTTTTAAAAATGGAAAAAAATCCAATAAAGGTAATAAATTATAATGGCAATGATAATTAATAGATAAATATTTCATAATTTAAATTTAAATTTCTAGAAAACAATTTTTGCTATAAGAGAAAATAACGTTTTCAATTTTATTTTGTTCGATTTTTAAAGGTTTGTAAATTTTCTTTTCTGTCAAAATTGTCTTCAAGTGAGGGTCATTATACATATAATGGGAAAATTTTAAAATAATTTTTATTTTCTATACTTATATATACCTATGGAGAAAGTAATTATTTTAATCGCTTCTAAATTAAAGGGAAAAAAAATTTTAATAAAATATTGAAACTTGATGATATAATGTAGAAATGGATTAAATATATATGAATCGCTTTGAAAAAAAATTCTTTTTAATAGTAACCTCAGTTTATTTGACGAATTGTTACATCAACAAGAAATTCCTCTTGTAACAGAATATTTAATTAATGATTAATTATTTCGTAATTTCCAATTTTCTTTATACACATTGAGAGAAAAATTTAATGAATTGTTATCAGTTAATTTAAAATTTTAAGATATTAATAATATTATTTTAGAAAATGTCATTGGATTTTTTAAATTATTAATTTAATGAATGAAATTTATTCTTAATGTAATAATTTTTAATTTTTTCATGAGTTTAAAATTTTATTTATTTATTTTTTTTATCATATATTCAATAAATTTTTTTCCCAGTGTAATATAAATATTATGTAAAATTTGTAACACTGTGCGCTTTTTTATTCCAAAAATCTAGTTTTCTGAATTTTTTTTGTTGAACAACATTTGTTACTTTTACAAGAAATAATTCACTACAATAACAATTTACGAATGAATGTAATTAATTGGATGTTTTTTCTATTCATGAGATTAATGTTTTTTTCAACTTTTTGTTTCATGTATTTCTACAACTGTACATAAATTCGAATACGAACTTGATCGTCAAAAAAATGATTTTTTTTCGATATTTTCTTACATTCACGAATGTCAATTATATTCAGAGTGACTAAAAAATTTTTATTTCTGAAATCACAGTTTCTTGAATGCCTTTTTTTATTGAAACCTTAGTATACATTTTGGTTTTAGAATTTTTCGCAATTTATTTTTAAAGAGAATTCTTTTTTTGTTAAAGTAAAATTAATCCAAAAATCCTTAATTTGAAATTATTATAAAGTTTTTCTTTAGTTCTGCTTTAGAGAATAATTAATAAATTCCAATTTTCAAGCCCCTCTGACTTAGCGTTTAAATACATATTCTTTTTCTTAAGCATTATTTATCTCTGAAACGTAGTACAATAGGCTTAAGTATTTCTTGTAATAATCTAATTCTCTTGTGCCTCGATGAGGGGTTTATATATTTTATATCCATTCTCGTATCTTATCAAACACAGGGAAAATTTTATTATAATCAATTTTTCTTATCTAATTAAAATATTATAGCAATTAATTTCCGGTTTATAAAAATATATTCACCAGAAGAAAAAATGTGTTAGTTAATTGAAATTAAAAAAAAAATTTAACAAACAAAATTTGTATACTATAAACCAAAAGAAACAAATGTTGAATATAAATTTAAAAAGTCAATTGAAGATTATGAATAATATTTCCTTGTGCCTGAAAGATCCTCTTCATACTTTGCATTATCTTACGCGACACTTATTATATTTTGGGAATTAACATTATTTTATAATACACACAACACGTGGAACATTTTATATAAAAAGAAATGAATCTAATATACATGATATTATCAATACACGTAGGTATTCTAACAGCGAGCATTTTTTTTTTGCATATAATTTTTAATAATACGTTGCTCTCTAATACTTTATAATAGAATTTTCTACGCGAAAAACGAACGATCTGTAAAGCAAGAGCCTCATTAAATTAGATAATAATATTTACATAGAAGCATTTTACTATCATTAGATTCATTCCAGTATTCTGATTTTCATTCTTTTTTAATATCATAATATTAATTATATTTTCCTGTCAAGAAATCACGCATTTCTTTCCTCATTTAAAAATTAGCATTCATAACATGTTCTTTCTTTTCCAAATAATTGGAAAGTGCATTATATATATACATACATACATTCATACGTATATAATTTATTACAATAGTAATTATATGTATATGTATTATTTTTCATTAGGCAGAGAAAAAGAGAGAGATAGAGGCAGAGATTAAATTAAAATTTTCTAAACGATCAAATTCCAAGATCTTTCAAACGTCACATTTCGCTGTAAGTAATTCGCGTTTTATAAAAAGCAAACGTCTTAAACTATAATATGGTAAACATTTTCTAAAAGTTTTTCAGGCTTTATGTGTATATAATAGCTATATAATATATATTACTAAATATTCTTCACTTTACAAACTTTTACATAAAATCTTTTTAAAACTAATAACTGGATATAAAATCATTTTTATTTTTTTTTGGCAGAGATTTCTGATATATGTGTAACTCCAAAAGATCTTGTGTTCTCTTACGAAAAAATATATATTCGATTTACATAATTTTTTATTTACTTTTATATTATAAATATATTTATTTTAACATATATTATTATTTTAAATAAATAATTTGTTAATTCTATTTGAATCGAGATTATTTTTCTATTTCAAATATATTTTATTTTATTTTATCTTTCGAATTAGATGTAAAAAAAATCGTAATTTTAATTCTATTAATTATATTTTTTTCGTAAGAGTTATTTGCCGATAAGTGTAAGTATTGTCGAAAAAAAATGTTCGTTTCTTAATTATTATAGTGTTTACAATTCCTCTAAAATCATTTAAATTTTTGTTCAAAAATGCGTGTCCTTTTTTTTTTTGCTAAATCTATAAGTAAGATCAACAATCTATAATGTTAGTAGATTCGAAATTTCATGATAATGAAAATAGTGTGATTTTGAACGATAGCGTTACACTAATACTGCTATTTTATATATACAACATCGCTGTTATATGCGGGATATGCATGAAGGGTGATTTTTTTAGCAACATTGACTAGATTCGAGAAAATAGGTCCCTATAAGAATTATTTTAATCCTAGTGAGTGTTTATAATCTAAAAATTAAAAATTTATTTTACTAATTAACTAATCATCCAACGACAAAAATGAGGGTTTTTCCCCACTTTCATTATGAAAATTACAAATATTTATAATGAATTAAAATTAAAATTTGATAGACAATCATTTTTTGTTTAAAAAACTAACAAAGGTATGGAAAATTAATTTGATTCGATTTTAAAATTAATTTAAATAATTAAATAAATGTATAATCGATAAACATGTGATTTTATTAGATAAAGAATCTCCAGTGCAACTAAGGTATTTAAATATTTTTTCTATATTGTTTTTCTGTTTTAAAATGTGTAAGTCAAATAAATATTATTTTCATATTTCTATATAATAATTATTCTCTTGTCATATTTTCAATTTATTTATTTATCTTTCATTCCATTTTAAAAATGATTTTCATGATTTAACAAAAAAAAAAAAAAAAAAAGAACTGATATGTAATATTAAAGCATATTATTGATATATTTATATACATATTTGAAGAAATAAAATTTATTTCTTTGTCTATAAAAAATTTATTTCATATTTCTCAGTTTCCTTTTAAAATCCTATTAACTTAAGTTTTTTTAAACTGCGATTTTTCAAAACTCAATTTAAATAACTTGATTTTCATTTGTAAAATGTTTATTGTTATTGTTATTATTTTATATTTTCACGTTTATTTACGTTTCATTGTGTTTTTACTTTTTATTATTTATTATTCTCCCTTAGTTAATTGTATTGTATTCTTTTTTCATTTTTAATATTTTTTGTTTTATGTTAATATGATATCTTATCGTTTTTTTTTCATTAATTTTCATTACTTATCAGATTGTTATTATCATTATACAATAAGAATATTATTAATTTTTTTAAAGGGAGAATTTAATTGAAAGTTAATTATTTTCTTTGTGAAGATATTTCTTTGAATCAAAATAACAAATTGATCGATAAATTCGTTGCTTTTGACTCAATAAGAATAATAAAAAAGTTGAGATTATTACTCACCCTTGTAATAAATGTATGAATCATGATAAAATTGTGAAATAATTTTTTTCACATCCTTCTACGTATACACATTTGCAAGTGCTGATGATACACATTCATACACAGCATTTTTTTTTGTAGCACTTACGGTCCACACGCTATTTCTCTATATCTCGATCATTTTTTTTTTCCTGTAATTACGTAATTGTAAACAAGGGGGTTTTTTGCTATGTGAGTTGTTACCAGTCATAGTTGTGTTGATGGAAGGGATTGGTACATGGTTGTTGAGCGTGAAGATGAGTTTCTACCGGTGGTGGTTTGGAAATTTCGAATTCTGTTCCCACTACTTCACTGTATATCTGTCTCGTGTGAAAAAAAAATTAACGAATTAGTTTTTTCAAAACATTTTTTTTAATACTAAATTTAATTAAATTATTAACTACATTAAAATTGAATAAAAATTCACCTGGAAGCTCCTACGAATAAATTCATCCTCTCCTTTGCCTGAGATACTGTAGTTGTAACCGCCGCCTCCACCTCCTCCCCCACCACCATTTAAGAATGGATTATTGGGATTGACAGAACCTAAAAAGAAAATTTTAATTTCCAATTATTTTATGCATTTTTCATTAAATTATTAATTTTTTTAATGTTATTTAAATATGTTTTTTCAGCCAATAAAAACGGGGAATTAAATCTTGATATCAATTAACTGAAATTGGGACAAATCAATGCTTTTGCATAATTTTCTCTGTCTACCGTAAAAGAGGGGGTTATTGATTTTATCAATATTATAATATTTTGACACATATTTGCGAGATATAATGAAAAAAAAGATAATAATTGATTACCTCCATTGTTACCGGGTACACCTAAATTACCACCACTTGTTTGATAAGTTGCACCATAACCGGGATCTTGATTGGCTAATTCGTGAAGACGACTTGAACTTAAAGCACGTGGAATTGCATTACTTGGCACGCCATGTGGAGCCAAATGAGTTGCTTCGGCAACTTGATGGGGATCTTCTGTTGGTGGCAAATCGGAAACAAATCCAGTGTCGACACGATAGAAATTAATGAAAATAAATCCACCCAACACCAATAGACAAACAAAACCATAAGCTCGAAACACCGTTGTTGTACCTGAAAATTAAATTATTAATTAATAATTTTAATTTACATGAAATATTATTTTATAATATTTATTATAAAATAATTAAATAACTTGCCATAACTAGCGACTAGCATTCCACCGATAATAGCTCCGCAACCACGTCCAAGACCATGGTGAAGACCCTGCAAGACACCTTGTGCGCTAGAACGTAATTGTGGTGGTGTATTGTGAGCTATGTAACTGCAGCAAGCAGCCCAAACGGCAGCGTGAGTTATTCCTTGAATGAATTCAAAAGGCAACACCCACCATGGATTTCTTAAAGCGGAAATATAAAGGAAACGCAGTACATTTCCTCCGAGACCAAGGCACAATACCTGTAAACAATAAAAAAAACAATAAAATAAATAATTATAATTTTATTAATATAATAAAATCCTCAAGATACCTTGACATGACCCATTTGACGAATGAGTCGAAAGCTGAAGAAATAAGCGAAAATTTCGGAAATATGATTAATAACGGAAGCAACACCAAAAAGTGTTGGTGAACCTCCATAATCTTGAAGATGCCAAAAAAGAAAAGTGAAAATAAGTCCAATGCCAAAGCCCATAAACCAAGCAACAAAAAGAAATGATGCACATTTAATGTCCTTGAACTGTTTTATCACAGTCACCCATTCAGGTATTTCCCTCGTTGTTTGAGCGAATATTTTACTCTAAAACAAAGGAATAATAAACAAAAAATTGATTTTAAAATTTGAATTAAAAAATCCAGTTTTTAAATTATAGCAGATTTTGTAACTTTTTATACTTTAGTTGAGAATTTATTATAAATTAATAAAATAAGTATTTACGGTCTTTTCTGCCGGTGGTGGTTGAGGTGGTAATGCACTTGACGATGAATCCTGCAAGCCAGGTAAATTCAATTGCTGTGACAATTGATTTTGAAGTTCTTCCTCTCTAGTTAATTCAGCAGGTGGCTTGGAGACTTCCTTTTAAAAACAATGCACAAAGATTTCGATATTATATAATAATCAAAAATTTAAGAATAAAAAAAGTTCTTTATTTTATATATTACCGGCTCAGAGGCGATGAAGTCATATTTGAAATTAATTTGCGTGGCAGTAATTAAAGCACCACCCATTAGTACACTGAAAATAGCAAAACAAATTGTGTAATTTTTCTCTCTTGCATCTGGACCACAGGGATGATCTGGAAATGCTGTACTATGATCGAGGGCAATTCCAACGAAAAACATAGCCAAACCCCAACCTAAACTTCCAAACATACGTTGATGTCCATATCTGTAATTAAACAATAATTATTTGTTTTTTTTTCTTTCACTTAAACCATCAACATTTTTTTTTCTTTTATTTCATTATTCAAACCTGTCAGCATCTTCACCAAGAAGAGTAATTACAGCAGAATCAGCCAAAGTAATTGCAGGAGCAGCAAAAAATTCACCAACAATCACCAATAGTAAGAGAAGAAAAAAGGTTTTTTGAATATCCTGAAAGACGTATGTCAATTAAGTATATATATAAACAAATCTAAAATATTAAAAATTATAATGAAAAATTAATATATAATACTTACAGACAAATTGTAGACGATGAAACTGAAATAAGGTTTAACTAAATTTTTATGCTTCTCATAATCATAGTTACTGGCATAGTTGACAGATATAGGACTTTGACCCGCGGAAGCTCGAGGATAAATATTAACACCACGACGTTTTCTTACATAACGTCTATTTTCATGTTTATCCTTATCCTCCATATCATCTTCTGCTTCAGACTCGTCTTCAAATGCTTCAATTTCATCAGTATCGACATCATTATCTTCCTCGTCCTCAAGTTTTTCTATTTCCTCTTCCTCCTCCTCCTCTTCTTCATCTTCTTCTTCCTCCGCCTCTTCATCATCGTCATCATCATCAATTTGTTCAGCTCTTAAATACTTCAATTTTCGTGGATAAATTTCCTTTGATTCTGAATCTTGAATACTGGATTCGAAATCTTTTGCAAAGTGTAAATTATCAATATTACGTTTTACCATTATTTTTTGTGGTGGAGGTTTCACTCGTGTTTTTAATGGTCGACTATAAGCCTTTTTCGGTGGTCTTCCATCATTTAGAGGTTCGTTCTATTGAAACAAATAACAATAAAATAATTACTTATTGTTAATTACATATATATATTTTAGATCTTTTGCTATGATTATTTTTATTATTTCTTTTGTTTTGTTAAATTTTAGGTTATGTTTACTAATTAATATTTCTGGACTAAAATTTAAAAACTATAGGAGGCTTCCTATTGGTCGAATAATTAGTATTTGGAATTTCTCGCAACGGAAATTTTTTTCCTCAGTCACGTGATGTATAGTGTTTTGTGAACCAGCCTTTATTTCCGTTTTGAAAAACCGTTAACATATCGACAAGAATTTTACTCTCGTGATTTATTCGTATTCTCATAGAAGTAATTAATAATTATTAGAGAGTTATTTAATGAAATAATTTAATTTATACTCACTTTCAAGAAGCGTTTATACTCTAAAACATCTGCAGGTCTATTCTTTCGAACAATCGCATCGATATCAATCCTGTGCGAAGTATCATTTTGTTTCATTGCATCTGAAGAGAAAGGTATATATATGAGAAAATATTAAAATTTTATAAAGGACTTTCTTTTTTTTAATGTCCTTGTGTTCTATTTTGTGAAATTTTCATTAAATACCTGTAATAGCCGCAATAGGTAATGAGTGATTAACAACGAAGAAATCGTCCACATTGCGTCGTAACCTCTCAAAGACCACGTTTGCTGCAATTTCCAAGTAATCCGAATCAGTGGCTGTTGAATATTTATTATCAATAGATCTTTTAACGATTCTTGGTCCCTTCAAATTTGTGGGTGCTGCTAATACAAATGTAAAATTTTTTTCAAGCATACAAGTTGTTACAGGTGGTTGAATGAATCCCAAAGGCAATGTGAAGATGATCCAACAGGACAGAGAAGCTAGCAGCATCAATTTGCCCTTTTGATACCTGTTTTATTACAAAAGGTAAATTTTTATTTTATATTTCTTATTATTTTAAAAATTAAATTGTTTAACAATTTATATTTATAAAAATTTAGATTTTTTTTTTAAGTGAAACTACTTAAAAGATGTGACGTCAGGGTAAAGTAGCCAGAGGCATTTTAATGTTTTTGACAGCCTTTTTGAGGAAAAAATCGATATTTGTTCCAACTATGCTAGAACTTGTATATAAAAATATAAAATACACTTTATATAGATCATAAAGATATAAATATAATATTTAATATAATTGTCCCGTCAAGTATTTTTTAAAACTTTTATTTAACTTGAGTTATAAAAAATTTAATAATTGCAAGTGTAATGTGTGTCAATTGTCTCTGAACGACACTATTGAAGAAACTAGAGACCTTTTTTAGTATTGAAAACTTTTTTTTAAAAAGAAATTACAACTTTGCTAAAGTAAACTAAAAACAGTTTTAATAATAAAAAAACCCTTAGAATAATTTTCAGTTCATTGACATTTTTCAGCCTTTATGCTAACAAAATGTTTCATGTTCCAAATATATATCAGAACAATTGAGAGAATACAACGCAGTTTTCCTTTGAGACAGTATAAGTGTCAGTGACCTAATTTCTTTCAATATGGGAAAAAAGAGGAACAAATAGAAAAATATGGACTGGAGAGAAAAATTCTGGGAAAAGACACAAAAATTAAATATCAGGTAATATATTTTTGTACATTCACCTGTCAGCGAGAGATCCCCAAAAGGGTGCGCTGAAAAATTCGATGAATGGCCTAAGACCAACGAGTAATCCACATTGACCTGCGTTCATTCCCATTTGCTTGAAGTAGACCCCCATAAGTGGAAATAATGATCCAAAGGCCGAATAGAAAAAGAAATAAAATGTCTTGACGATAAGCATTTCTTGATCTACTGAGCCAAAAAGATATTCGAGAACATCGGTTTTGCCACGAATTTTATGTGTCGCCTCCTTTGGCTCGGGATAGAGATTTGGATCGACTTCACCTTGGGCCTGTGGATCAACCATTGGTCTTGCTCCTGGTGCCATTGGAAGATTTCGACCAACTCCCGTGTTTGGTTCACCTTCTGCCCCATAATTATAATCCTCGTGGCCGTAGTTTTGCATTGTGATGTCTTTTTTTTGTTTTTTTTTCGAAGAAAGGACAGGTTAGTCCTTTGATTTTTTTCTTTCTTTATATCTTTTTCTTCTTTTTTTTCCTTTATTACCGAAAAACTAATCTCACAAAATTAACGAAACACGTAATAGAACACTACTCGGATCACTTTTGTGTGAAAATTTCTCTAAATCATGCGCCGAATCGATGTCCAACATACAGTGGTGATACCATTTCACCCTCACTGTTAATCGATAAACAACATTCTGCGCTCGCGCAACACTTATATATGTATTATATGCACCCCCGTATTTCTAACACCCCTCTTTTCAAATTTTGGCATTAATCGGGGCCGGCCTTAATTATAAAACAGTTAATTAAAGTTAATAAAATTCAATAACTGATTTTTATATTTTTATATCAGTCATGATTTTCTACTTATATACGGAAGTTTGATTTATATATGGTTTTTTTCGATAGGATCAGCAAAAAACATTTGATTTTTCTTCGATACATTTTCAATTAAATTGTTGATTTATATACAAATTTAATTTTATTGAGTATTAATATATTTTTGACCTTAAAAAAAAATTTATTCATAGAGAAATTTTTTTTTTTTTATTTTCGATTTAAACTTTCATTAGTTTGATTTTCTATAAATATAATCGTTTTTTTTTCTATTTAGTAAATATAGCCTTCGAAAGCTTAAATAGTTATCAGCAACTATACTGATAGACCAAGTCTCATATAATTAAAGTTCAAAAGATCAAATCATACAATAATGTAACTAATTCAATATTGGAATATACATATAATTAAATCTTTATTGTTCTCGACTTGTAATAAAAAGCTATAAAGGGCTCAATAACCTCCGTGTTATTTTTTTTCATCTATCGCGCTTTGCTGATAAAAAATCATATAAGAAAAATAATTATTGTGCAAAACGTCCTTGTGATAATGAGCTTATGAATAAATTGCCTCTCTGATGCAAAAACGATATTAAAGTTCGTTTAAAAAAAAACTTTTTTTTAACCAATGAAATCCATCAGTTTGATGCAATATAAAGAAGCAAATTTAAAAATTTTTATTTTCTTAACTAGAGCTTCTCAATTTAAAAAAATATATAATTCAATAAAAGTTTTAAAGGCAATATTTTGTTTGTAATTAACTTACATAATTTTTAATCTTTACAAATATATTATGTCAATGATTTAATTTTTATAAAATTTATTTTTTGGATTTAATTTATACATTAAGTATCAGAGTAATGTAATTTCTATGTATAGAGTTTTATTCTATTTGCAATATCTCAGTAGATATACATATAATTTATTTTATTCTTTGTCAATATTTGCATATATGTATAAAGCTTTCAAGAAGAGAATGATAGAGATTCAGAGTGGCTTGCAAAAGATGAATATCAATTCACCTGAACATAAAAACGTGACGAAACCATTATAGTGCTACGCGAATGACCTTGACATAGTTATTTAATCTTCATTTTCTTCCTTCTCCATTTCGTCAAGTACTCTCTATAATCTAATACGTATTTGCTTTCACACTATCACTATACTAGTGAATGACAAAAGTTCAATGACCGATTAGAAATTGTCCTTTTATATTCACACTTGTAAACAATTAAAAAATTTTTAAACATTAATTTTGAATTTATCAATTCTTAACAATAAATTATTCAAAATGGAAATCTCATTCGATTAGAAATAAATTTGTTGTGCAATTTAAGTGGAAAAAATTTTTCTTATTTACTTTTTTATTTTAATTTTATTATAGAATAATTTCGAAAGGAAGGATTGTTAAAATAATGAAATCCGTATGATTTGAAAATAAATACTTTTTTATTTCAGTGTCATGCCATTAAATTTGAAATGGTTTTTCTTTTTTAAATATAAATGTGTTCACTTTGAATAAATAATTATGATGTTATTTACAGTGTTCCTTTTTTTAAATCTAAACAACGATTATTTACAATTTTCGAATGGTTTCAGGAATTTGGTCCATTCTTGAAGTGAGTGGAAAGGATGAAGCGGACGTTGAAGACGGTGCTGGTTTCGGTGGCCCTTCAAATAAACATGTTTTAGCTGTTTTCAAAAGACGTCCATTATTTCCCGTTCTCCAATAAACGGTGCGAATCGCTTGCTTACCAGCTACAAAACTTACAGATCCACCAATCAACATCTGAAAAATTACACGAAAAAAATGGAACATCAAATTGCGAAGTGAAAAATAATTTCCCTCAACTTCGTCGTTAATGGTGAGTAAATTGAAAATTTTAACAATAATTAAAAAAAAAAGCTTTAGAAATAATAAGTAAATTTTGGGTATTCTCGAAAAATGTGTTATTTATTAAATTTAAAGAATAATTAAAATTAAACAATTCAAATTCAAACAATTCAAATTCAAATTGCACATCAAAAGAAAAAAATTCGAAAATAAAATTACTATATACTTTACTTTTAAAATTAAGAAAAAATAAAATGCAATAGGAATGAGAAAAATGGCAAAGAGAATATAAAGAAAATTTACCTTTGTTAATTTGTAAATTAATTGATACTGCACGAAATGACTAGACTTGTTCGAAAATATAACTTGCAAAAAGTTATATTCAGAGTGTGCAAGCTTCTGGTCAAGAAATCTTTTCTGCTTTCTTCATTCGCACTCGTTATTGTCGACGAGAGCATTAACACTGATCTCGAGCGTTCGATGTCGATAATTTATACCCGATACAAAATTTACGTCATAACTTTTAGATAAGAAATATTATTGTCATTCAAACAACGTGTGATCGCTCGCAAGAGTGAAAAAAGTATATACAAAAGAGACTAAGTAAAAGGAAGAAGAGATGGGTGAGTGCAAAGATCTTTGGAACACACCTATAAGGAGTATAATATTGATAAGCATTGCAAATGGGATTCTTTGTACATATCTCTTCCTGTTGGCTTATTTTAAAAAAAAGATAGAAGTCTCCAATAAGATTTGTTACCAGAAATAATAATAATATTGTTGATTAAATATTACGTCTTACATAAAATCTAATTATTAACAAATATATCAGCGAATATTTTCCATATACAACGCAAATTTGTCATTTTACCGTTATTTCAAATGACGCAAATAATGATGAAATTTGTTTTGTGTTTAATTATTATTATTGTTGTTTTGTACCGAAAGCGCAATGACTTCTTGTAATCGTTTTATTTACATATTCTTTTTTATTCCAACAATATATATTTAAGTGTGTGACAATTTTCTCACTTCTTGATTTTCATCATACGTCAGAAAATTCTTCCGTTTGCGTAACAAAACTTTTCCACGTTAAATGACAATAGGGAAAATTACAGTATTTTCAATTAAAAGTTCTGGAATCTTCCTGAAAAATTTGTTTGAAACTTTTTTGTTTATTATCGTATTCTTAATTGGGAAAATTCTTTTCAATTTAATGTAGATAGTTTTGATTATTTCCGAGTGTTTTCTGTTTTTTTTATTACTAATTTTTGTTTCTTCATTAAAAACAATTTTTAATTTTTCTCATTTTTGTTTTTTTAATTTTATTTCTTAAAATTTTAATTCCTAATTTTTATTTTGATTTTGTATTTACAAAATTTGTTTAGAATGGTGATTCTTTAATTTTATTCTTTCTAAGTGCCTTAAAATTGGGTATTTCATAATATATTTAGCGGGCAAAGTTGAACAGAAAATTCCTCAAAAATTATTTTCCTTTCATATAATATAGTTGACATTTCTGTTATCAATGAAGAGGTTTTTCTTGAGATTTAATCTATACGGTAGCAGTAGATGTCGATTTTTTTTTTAATATCGTGTTTAACTATCTACATTGCAATGTTTTTATTTTTTTTTAAATCTTAACGAGTTCCTTTTTGAAAAATAATAAAAATTTAATGAATCAGCAGATTTACATGCGCGAGATATATATCAAGAAGTAGTATGAACCTTTTTTAAATAAATAATTTCTTACTTTATACCTATAATATATAATTTATATATTTCAATACAACAATACAAAATTTGTTTCATTACGTCACTCATTACATTTTTTTATATTTGATGTTATTTTTTTGTATTCAGTTAAGCATTTGTTTGCATAAACCAACAAATATTTATATAGATATATATTTTCAGAATTTTCAATCGTTTTATCAAAAATATGTTTGCTTGATTCAAATAATTGATTTTACTAGGTAAATTTATTTATATGATAATAGCTTGGGGGAGGAAATAAGGCTATTATTTTAGTTCAAAGTTTTCCATAAAATAATAGGGAAATAATGAAAGAGAGAGACACACACACAATTAATAAAATCGTGGCAACATTATTACATTTTCATGCACGTGAAATCCTCATGGCTTGATAATGAGAACACTATTGTAAGCTACAATAATAATAAAAGGTGATTCCGGGTGATTCTTCTTATTGTTAGTCACGCATTTCTATATACTGTATTGTTATTTTTTTAAATAAATATAAAATTAAAATTTAGAATTGTCAGTTGTTAATTGGAACAAAAAAGAAAAAAATTAAAATAAATAATGAATTAATAAAGAAGTATCTAATTGACAAAAATGAATTAATTTATTGCTTTCTCATAGCGGAAGTATTAAGTTTATAAAATATTTAATCATTTACATTAAAGAGGTCATGACCCTCGCGGATAAAGAAGATAAAAAACTTGATAATAATTTATCTTTGTCTGAATACATCTTTTTTTTGCAATTTGTTAATGTAATAAAAAGTCAATGTTTAACCTGTTGCGATTATATACTAAAAAAAATTTCAGAAAGAAGCACTTTTAAATATATATATATAACATTTTTGTTTAGTACAAATAATGAGAGAAAAAGAGATAATAATATTATATATGTACAAAATAATCCAAAAAATGCAATTATTATATCAAAATTAAATATATCAATCAAAAGAGTATATAACTTTATAAATGAGTTAAATATTAAAAGGAAATTTAAGTCTTTCAGAGAACTATATACGTAATGACGATGCAGTTATTCAGAATTTATAATTATTGATGAAATTTAATAAATATAATATGAAAAATTTTTATTAAGGAATATTTATAGAAATTAATATTCTGCAAAGAAACTGTAATAAGTGTGTTTCTAAAAAAAATTCAAAATTTAGGAAAATTGATGAAATATAATCAAATATAAAGCAAGATGAGATGGCAAAAGATAAATAATTAAATAACAGTGAATTAAGGAATTCAAAGAATTGTTAATTACAAACTGATTAGAATAGAAAATCAACCGGTGCCAATGAGTCTGTTGCGGTTGTAGCTTGTTTTCTTATCATCTTTATAGTCTTAGTCATATGCACGCGTTTTATATCAAAGCTTATCATTTATACAACCTCGCTACCATTTTTTTAAATCTTAACGAAAATTTCATTGATTTCCCCGCAAGTTTCATGGAAAAAACACATCAAGATAATTTTTTTTTATTTTATGTATAAAAATTTTGTTCATACTTTTTATGATGACTATTGGTCAGAATTATAATTTATTATAACATTTGCAATTGATAATAAAATAGTAAATGTGAAGGGAAGGCACCTGTAAAATTTCAACTATTTATATAAATTTCCATTGATTATGCAATTTTGTTTCTTTTTAGAATTTACAATAATTTTATTCTCTTAAATTTGTTCTTTTTTCCTTTTAAGTATATATTATTAGAAAAAAATTAATTGCATATTTTAATTATTTATTATTTTTTTAGTCTATGCTCAAATAACAGTCAGAAGGACAGGATCGATGTGGAGAAAGGGCAATGTAAGGGCAATCGGTGAGTCATTTCTTTTCTTTCCCTATTTTTTTTATCGTAAAAAGAATTCGGAAAATTCTTTTTAGTTTAAAGTAGACTTAAATGTAGTTCTTAATCATTTTTTTTTAATTTACACAAGAATTTATTTTTTCTTTTGCAAAATGTTTTCAAAATAAGACAAACTTATTTTATTTACGTTAAAAAAATATATTTGAAAAGACAAGACATTTTTAATTACCATTTTTAATAAATGTCAGTTTTTTTTATTTTTTTAAAAATTTAATTACAAAGGTCTAAAAGTTTTTACAGAATATATTTCAAATTTGAAGCAATCTGAACAATTTTTTGATCCCCGTTTTTTTTTTGTTTTCTATTATCATGAGTTAGAAGTTGTTTCTAATTTATCGAAATCATTAAAAAATTATCGGAATAGTATTCAATTTTCTATTTCATTGTAGTCCTCCATTAAAGCTGTTATGTCATCTCGAGCTTCTTTAAAAACACTTTGTTCCATTCCTTCGGCAAGATAGTGATGTACAAAGGCTTTTTTTTTGTACATTGTATCAAATTTAGACGCAATTCGCTTCCATGAATGTCTGATAGATGTATTATTGCTTAATATTGTAAGAGATCTGTCCGTCTGTGGCAAATCCCCTTGAGGGACAATAATCGGTGGTTGATAGTTGATACCAACCTATAATTAGAGAAATTCATTAATTATTTCTTCATTTACGATAGTGTTCATCTTTGAAAATATATTCTCTCTCAAAGAGATAAAGATTTTAAAGAACACTTTATTTTGTACTTTAAAATTATTTTTGTCTAATTTCAATTATTTTAATTAATAATTATTGATTTTGTCAATAATTATAAATTGATAACCTTAAATCCTGTGGGATTCCATTCGCAAAACCTGATGGATTTATTTCCTTTTAATGTATGTATGGCATGATTAATTTTCGTTGGATTAACATCCCCGCGATAAAGTAAACAGCAACTCATGTAAGCACCAGTTCTTGTATCACATTTTACCATCTGAAATTTATTAAAAATTTACCGAGATTAATGGAAAATATTGTTTTACAATCAGTATGAAAGAAGAAAAAAATTATATATTTAATTTTCATTTAATAAATCGGAAACTGAAACATTAACATTAAATTGATAAAAACAGTAACAATAATCGATTATGTAGTGTGAATGTTTATAATGAAATTGAAAACACAAGTCCAAAGAGTAAAGTTAATGAATTTATAAAAATTGAAAATTCTTTCAATTTTACTGACAAACAAATCAGAAGATGCAAATTGAGTGCATTCAAGTTTGAGTTTATAGATTATTTAAAAGTGATCTTAAAAAATAAGAAAAATATTTGTCGATAAAAAAGTGATAAGAAATTTGGTACTTTTTGTATACCGATCTTAAATTTTTTTTATCGAAATTATTTAGCAAATTTAAAATTAATCTTTATTATTATATAGTTTAATAATTTAAAATATAATTTTATAAAAAAATAAAACATTTATATTATTTACCTGATTGGATGGATCGAAACAATCATGAGTAATTTGATTTTCTGAAATGTCTGCCAGCCTGGCCTTCTCCTTATTGAGAATCGGTGCAAATGACATTATTGGAAAATGAATTCTAGGATATGGTACTAAATTAGTTTGAAATTCTTGTAGATCCACATTTATAGCTCCGTCAAATCTCAATGATGCAGTAATTGCCGAAACTACTTGTGCTTCAAGACGATTCAAATTTGTGAAATTTGGTCTATCTAGTTTCAATCTTCTGTGAAAGAATAAAATTCTTCTTTACAAAGTTCCATTCTTTCAAAATATAAACTAATTAAATATATTAATTTATCAAATTAAATAAATAATACTTGGAGCAAATATCGTAGAGCGCTTCATTGTCCACAAGAAAGCAAACATCTTCATAATCCAATGTACCGTGGGTTGTAAAAACCGAATTATACGGTTCAACAATTACTGTCGAAAGATTAGGAGATGGGTAAATTGCAAATTCGACTTTCGTCTTCTTTCCATAATCTTCGAGAAGCCCTTCCAATAATAGAGTTGTGAAACCACTTCCAGTTCCTCCTCCAAAAGATCTATAAGAGAATTTAAAAAGAAGAATTTTTTTTTGAAAGCTCAAATTTTACAATATTATCAAAAATGTAATATTGTCTGTACCTAAAGATTATGAAACCCGCGGGTCTTGATGCATTCTCAACTTCCCGACGAAGCCTGTCTAAAACAGATCCGATTGCTTCACGGCCAACGGTGTAATATCCTCTTGCAAAATTATTTGCCGCATCTTCCTTTCCATTTAGAAGAGAATTTGGATTAAATAAATTCTTATAGGGCCCTGTTCGAACTTCATCTATAACATTCGGTTCCAAATCCACCAATAATGTTCTCGGTGATAATTTTCCTGTCTGCAATTTTAATTTGAATTTTTTTTCTTATTTTAAAATTCAGTTCTTTTTATTTTTACATTAATTTTAATTAAAATCCAATTTCACTAAATTTTAAATTCTTTTTCTTTTATTAAATTTATATCATATTATGTACACAATTTACGATTATTAAATATTTAAATAATTGTGTATGAAATTTATATATTACCTGTGCTGTTGAGAAAAATACTTGATGCGCTTTTTCATTTGCATCATATCCAGAATGCATAAATCCATCAGGTTTTATTCCGTGTTCCAAGCAAAATAATTCCCAACAGGCCGAAGCAACTTGTACTCCTGCTTGACCAACAAAAATAGTTACAATTTCCCCGGATTTATTCATTATTTTTTCTTATTACAATTACTTAGAATTTTCTGATAAATTGGAAATTTTTGTATTTTTTGATGGAGAACACAAAACGAAATGGAAAATTGAATATTAAAAATTATATTTTTGTTAGTTATTGAACAGCATTATAGAAAAAAAAGATATTTTTTTTTTACACTTAAAATTTTTTGTAAAATTTAGGTTTTTTCGGGGGACATTTTGTTTGACACATCTGTCGCCTGATTTTGAACTGTGCTTTGTTTTTTTTCTGAAACCTTAAAAAAAAGAATAAAGCATTTATCTTTACTTTGTTTTTTCACATTCGAAGTTATAAACTTAATTTCATTATTATTTTTGATTTATACATTTTTATCATGAAAAATTGCTTTAAAAAATTTTTTTTTAAGTATTTTACTTTCAAATATTATTCGATTTATTTTAACGAATCTTGATGAAACATTCATTATAAATTATTTTTCATAATTTTTATATTATTGAATGAATACATAAAAAAATAGTATTTTAATGCTAAAATTTATTCATATTTTTCGACAATGAATAAATTTAACGAATTATAATTAATTAAAATTTCATTTAACTTATTATGGTATATTGTATAAATAATTACAATTCACTTTTTATTTTACTTTAGTTTAATATTTATTTTTAACTTTTCATATATATGTATATATAATAATTAATTTTATTTTAATTTTTACTCGAAGCGAGTATAATTTTGTTTAACAAACTTTAAAATCAACACTAAATTTTCTTTAAAGTATTTTAACTTTAAAGACAAAAATAAATATTTACCCAACTACATGTAATTACATTAACTGGTTCTCGTAATTAATGAAACTTTTATCTTTGTTGATAAATTAATAATATTATTGACACGAAGGAAAAATAAACGATTTCTTTAGAAACAAAAAATTGTTTAACGTTTATATTCATTTAAGTTTATTTAAAATCGAAACGTGGCATTTCAAGTGGCGTTAACGGTGGAAGTGGTGCTAATCGTAAAGAATGAGATTCATCGGCATGAATTTCTTCACTTGTGTCGACTGAGATTTCATGTAAACGCTCAGTAAGTTGTCGAACTTGATCTTCTTTCTCCTCTAATTGACTAAGTAAACTGCCGACCAATGATCTCAACTGTGTATTAACAGTTCGTAATTCTTCAATGACAGTTCCTGTATCCTTTGGATGCTTGTATTTTTTACTGTCTTGACCTTTTTCCGATTGTGATGATGGTAATTCAAGTACATTTAATAGACTATCATGTTCATCTATAGTTCGATAAATTGCTTGCTTTAATGAACATTCACACTTATCTAAAACTCCATTCACATTGTCATCAAATCTTTTATTGATTTCTTGCTTACTGTACAAATCTCGCCTTTGAGCTTCTAATGTTGCTTTATATTCTTCATATCGAGCCTGTTTCATTCTGCAAAACAGAATTTCCATTTAATAGAATTCATAATTTAAAAACGAAATAGTTTTTAATATAAATATGTTTACCTAACTATGCTAGCTTGTCTAGTATGATAATCTCGTTGAAGAGCGAGAGATTCAAGTGTTGCTAATGATTGAATCGAGGGTTTTATATACATGGAACCCTGATTATCCGAATTACAGGAATTTGATTCTAATTGTCGAGTTTCTAATTTTGAATGAGCTTCTGTTAATAGATTTGCAACTCTTTCATGGCACTTTGCTGCTTCCTCAAATTTTCCTTCACGCAAAAACGCTTCCGCTCTTCTTTCGCTTTCATGTGCCTTAAAAAATTTATATTATCATTCACTGCAATTTCTATTTCAGTCAAAAATTAATTAAAAATTAATTTATATTTATATATACTATATAACTTAAAATTCATTTATAATTTAAAATCATTTGTTTTTAATTAAATTTTTATATTTATCAAAAATTTAAACGATAGCCCTAAATAATAATTTTTATTAACAAACGGATAATAATTTACCATATTGTTAATTACAATTCAAATTTTTTTTTACTAATTTGACAATGAATTTTTCGTAATAAAATAATGAGAGTGAATGCTATTTGTTGTGTATAACAATACGATAATTATAAAAATAATACAATAACATATTTTTACTGCGTAAATAAGTTTTCCTTTAACACTATGCAACAAAATAAAAGACTATGTTAAAATTAAAGGAAAAACAGTTTCAAGTAGGTACTTACAGCATTTAAAGCAGACGTCTCCATAACAGATTTGTCAATTACTTTTTATGTATCATTTCATGAATTCGCGAAATATATAAACGTCACTTCAGAAGTTTACAATAATTAATAGAAATGATGACAATTAAATATAAATGATCTATGTCCCCACATTGTTGATGTTTACAATTTAGTAACTTGTCAGGTTGTCATTTATATTCGTTTACATGTATCTGTTTTCAGGGATAGGTTAGTAAAAATAAGTTATCTTTCGTTACGTTAATTCTTTTATTTACGTAATGATGTGTAAAAAAATTAGCCCTAATGATTTCGACCAATGAGAGGAATTTGTCTAATAGCCATTGACCAGTCACAATGTTCGATGAATGGCGTTGTCGGAAAATGCAGTGAATACTTGCGGTTATTCACGATAGATGGCGTCAAGTTGCTGAAAAAATGTAAAAAAATATCGTTACAATAATTCTATTTGAATAATTTGATAAATTTGCCTATTTTTCTTTTAAATTATCGTAATTTTATAGACAAAATAATAAATTAATTGATTTTATATTTCTATATTACATTGGAATTTTTTTCGCAGGGTGAATCAAGAGGAAAGAATTTAAATTTACCGCGCGAAGGGCGTAACAATATCGGTGGCGCGCGCGCTGGCTACATGGAGCCGGGAGCCGCCATTTTCCTCCAGTGTGGGAGACAGTCGCTTGTCGAACGATTGTTGGCCGCTTTTTTTCCCAAGGATTGAGCAAATTTCACCAAGTGTGGGGCGTCGGGCGGACGCGCGTGACCCCGAAGAAAGGAATATTCTAATAAGAAAAACGCTGACTTTAATAACAGAAAAGTCAAAGGATCGCGAGTGAATTTTTGGTGGTGATTGCAGTGCTCGCCCGGTGAAAAAGACGTCGAGGACGAGTAAGGGATACAGCAAAAAAAAATATCTTACATCCGACAGGTTAGTGATTTTGTTTTCTTTTTAGTTTGTGGGTTTTCTTTTCTTTTGGTTTTTTTCTCTGTTTTTTAATCTCGAGGACGATGTTATCCTGACTTTCCCCCCCGGTGTGCACACGCACCGGAGAAATTTTCCCCCCCACACACACATGTGTGCGCGCCCGGTCTGCGAATTGTGATATGGCGGGAGACCACGACGCACTGCCCTCCAAGCCGATTATCGCGTCGAGTCCATGACAGAATCCCGATTATTCGAAAATTTCATACGTCCTTTTATTATTCAAGGTTAAAGTTTCCAAGATTTTTTCTTACACAAGGAATGAAAACATTTTTTTTTCTTTTATTTCAATTATGCTTTCAATAAAGCATAATATTTGAATTTTTGTGATGGTAATTTGTTTAAATAATTTTTTATTTACAACAATTTATAGGTTAAGGTTCATTGTGTTGATTTCATTGAATTTGATAGGATAAAATTTTACATCTTTTGTTTGTCGAAAATGTGTTGTAGTTTTGTTCTTTGAATTTTTTTGCTGTTTGAATCTGTGTGTTTCTTTTTTTTGAGAAAGTTGTTATGTATATATGTCTCTTTAAAATGTAACCTCTCATTCTTTATTACACTTTCTCTCTCGCTCTGGATGCACTGTGGGGTACTATTACAAGGACACCTTGTCTATCTACTTCTCAACTCAGTTTACACATTCATATAATCAACACGTGATAAACATGTAATTCCTGATTAATCATTCATTACTGTTTCCTGGCTATCAGTTACAAGTAAATTAATTTTTTTTAGACTATTTCTGATAATCGGTTCCTTCTTCAGTGTTTCGTATTTAATAATCGACTTTATTAAAATTGAATTTTTAAATTGATTCCTCTATTATGAAATTCAGTAATTTAAAAATACTCTGTACTTATGTAATTAATTAAAAAACAGGAAAAAGTTATTATAGATCTGAGAAAAATATGTATTAAAAACTAACAAAAGAGTATTCCAATTTGTCAAACATTGAGAAAGTTTATAAATTTAAAAAAAAAAAATTTTAAAAGTAGACGCTCATATTGAATGAAAAATATGAAAATTACATTTTGTTATACAATTTATTAAGAGTAGCAAGTAAAGTAAACTGGTCATTAAATTTTAAAACGGGTTATGTGTATATAAATTCAGTGATAATGATAAGTGTTTGGTGTGCAACGTGAATAGAAACGATAAATATATATGTGACGCTCCACGACAAAAGGTACCTAAGCTCCAAAAAACTTTAGGTTATAGTATTGATTTTTTAAATGAAAATACATAAAGAGAATTCAACTTTTTATAAAAGCTATTAATGTTTAAGTCTATTACATCAAAAATATTCAATAAAATTTATTTTTGATTTTGCCAAATTAAAAAAGAACTTTATATTGAGGTAAAACTGTCACTAAATATAACCTAAGATTTTTGAGAGCTTAGGTAAGTTTTGTCGCGGAGCGTCACATATATAGTCAACAAAAGTTATAGAAATTAATTCCTTGGATAAAATTGAGGATAGAAATATTTTTTTAGTCTAAATCGGAGTGTTTTATTTAGAAAGTTCGTAAAAAAATAATTAATGATTATATTTTCACCCAGTATATTGTCTAATTGAAAAATTCTCGATTACGTGATATATGTAGTTTTAGGCTTCAGTAAACATAGTATATAATAAAAGTGAAGGTTTTCTTCTGTAATATTAATTGGCATTCAGGAACAATGACTCGCAATAAGTACCAATCTCTAATTGTTTGCAACAATTGAAGTGCATAAGAAGTTACTATCATCTGATTAGCATTGGTTCAATGTGATCCACCAGTTAAACTAGGTTGATGCAATTATCTTGTTAGAAATGAAGCTCATGGAAGCTTCCACAAATTATTATTATCATTAAAAAATATATTTTTCTTCAACTATTCTTTATTCTTTTTTTTATCAATTTTTGAGATTCTAATTGATGTTTTATTAGTTATTAACTAAAATTTTAAACTTGTTTTTATTGCACAATCTTATGTATTGAAATTGTAAAAATTGTCAAGACTGTATGCACTAAAAAAAAACTTGATGCGAAGTTAATGTATCGAAAGAAATGAAATTGTGATTTAGCGGGGGAACAGAAAAAAAATGAGTACACTTTAAATCATATTTATTAAGCCGAGTGTGCGTCTATAGAGACGACCGCCATTTGGTCGGACGCTTCGAGAATATCATTCATTTTATATCTCCTTCTCTCTTGTAGCACTGCACTTGAGTGTATATCATTTGTCTCTGTTCTTTTTTCACGGGCGTCCAAACCATTGTGACACATTCTTTGCGGGAACAGTAACCAGGCTGTCTCTTAATACAGGAGTCGTTAGAATACCTCTATATTCCTCTGACGCACACACCGCGAATGATGTCTCTCCCTTGCGCCCCCCCCCCCACTCTCATATTCACTCATACCCCCCTCCCTCCCCTTCCACGTGTTTCAAATTATCGCTTACACAAACCCCACTTCCACCAACAGTACAGCATCTCAGACAGATAATTTTTCAAAGGCCTTCGCTCAGAATCTTCTTGACCTGCTCTAAAAAGCCCCCATCAACTTTTATCGCTATTTCCTTTTCTTTCCAAGAGATTCTTTATTTTTTTTTTTTTCAGTTATTAGTTTCTTATAATTACTATATTGAAATATTCTTTCACTTACAACTTTGTTTTTCATCTTAAACAAAAATTCTGGAATTTGTTTTCATCTTAGAAAAATTAAATTAAATTTTTTTACCATTTTGAAATTTTATTTATTGTCGAGGAGAAATTTTGAAAAAAAAATTTCAGTTTTAATCTCATTCATTGTTAAAGCCATATGCGACCTCTTTTATGGGGAACGATGATGCGCCCATTTCTTAAATAAGATTTACATAATTGCATGTGGTATAGTATTGCATCGCTCACTGCGCAACGATTTACGCTTGATGACCAGAGTGATTTCATTCTAGAAAATTGCTACATGACTTATATCCAACTATTATTTGCTATTAAATATAGAACGGTTAAATTTAATAACATTATTTTAATATATAATACAGGAATACATATATATATATATATATATATATACTTTTACATTTTTTATACATTACATTTTGGTAAAATAGTAAGATTTTATATTATGTACTTGATTTAATAGAAAATGATCTAAAAACAAAATTTACACAAATGATTTTAATTTTTTACACTTTGTAATAACATGTATAAAGGGAATGTAAATATTCTTGAGAGAATCGCGTGTTATCGTATCGATCAGTCGCAATTTATAATCGAAGCGTAAATCGTGATCATGCTCCATGATACTGACCAGTTGCATTATTTGCAAACGCAATCATGCATATAGGCAGTCATGTGATTCGGTAAATTCATCAAAAATAAATTTCTTATTAATTTATTCATATATATATATTTTTTAATTATTATAAATTTTTTTATGTTCTATCGATTGTAATTAACTTTTAATTAACTTTCAGTAAAAAAAGACTATTAACCTTAAATGAGGATTTTTGGAAAGAATTAAAGCATTTAGTGGTTTTAACGAGGAAATTTATTTCCAATTGTCTTTTAGAGTTATTACATAGTAAATTATTTTTTCTGTTTATCTTTTTTCGTGTGGAAATGTTCTGGCAACGCATATAGAATTCTTCTAAAATATAATAATAATAGTAATATACTCAGTGAGTCGAAAATTCGTCATTTCGAAGCCGAGAGCACGCGCGTTTGATAAATACAAAACGCATTCGATGAAAGGAAGGAAAAAAATAGTCGCGAATCTTTTGCATTATTCATTGCGCCTTTGGATCGTGTCTTTCCATTTGAATTCAAGATTAAAAATACAACGTGACAGTTGACACTATATTAGTCCAATTGTTATCAATTCATTAAACAATGAGTTACATTGTTCTTATTTTCTTTCTTTCATTTTGAAAATTAATTTCCACTCTCTGAGGAATAATAATTATTATTTTCTGTTTCATTTCGTTAGGTCTCAAAATAAGCTTGAAATAATTTTTCCATTGTTGAGAGAGAAAGAGAGAGAGAGAGAGAATATAGACGCATAGAGAGGCGAAGAATCAGTGAGCTAATTCGACTTAGCCTCTCGTCAAGGAAGCCAGTAATTGTTTGACTGACATCTAATTGCGGTTTAATGTCTGGCCGTGAAACGGGCTCTTGATTTCCAGTTTTCCTCAGATTTTCCTTCTTTCTATCTTCGCGGTAAAAATAAAATGTTGAGGAAATTTAATTCTGTTTGCAATTTTCTTTTATTATTTTAGAGTAATAATTAAACTATTACTACTATTAATAATTACTATTACTTTATGAAAAAAAAATTATTAATATAGTTATGACAATTAATAAAAATTTGTAATTATATAATTCGTATGTCAATTATCATAGGATCGAATTTTATTGAATAATAAGACAATGAGCAAGAAGAACTATTTATTGAAAACTGGTTTAGAAATAGGTTATGCACTCGATGAGATTATGCATTCTAATGAAACTTGATAGAACGAAAACGTTGCCTCGCAATCAGGAACTTGTTAGTCGCTCTCCACACACGTATATTAATACAAACACACAGATAGAAATTTATAATACTCAGACTCATATACTTCACAGTAGCTCGTAATTCACACACTCTCTCATAATTCACTCGCACCCATAGTTCACATATATTCAGCTGTATATTATCATTTTAGTATAGAAAACACATATCCTTCAATCGTTGTATATATGACACAACCAACACATACGAGAAATCGAGTCCAGTTTGCGTAACTTTCGCCAAATTTAACGCAAATGCAGAATGAGTCTCATCTCGTCATTTTCTCTCCTTCTCTCTCTTTTGGTGAATGTATATTCAATTATAAATGTGAATACTCTCGTCATTTATGTATGTATGTGCGATTAATATTTAAGTCGATATTTAAACGAGTTCTCTCTGTCCTTAC